TCATTAGTGGTTTATCTCTGTGTTATCACCAGAGTGATATAATCATTAGTGGTTTATCTCTGTGTTATCACCAGAGTGATATAATCATGATTGGTTTATCTCTGTGTTATCACCAGAGTGATATAATCATTAGTGATTTATCTCTGTGTTATCACCAGAGTGATATAATCATGATTGGTTTATCTCTGTGTTATCACCAGAGTGATATAATCATTAGTGATTTATCTCTGTGTTATCACCAGAGTGATATAATCATGATTGGTTTATCTCTGTGTTATCACCAGAGTGATATAATCATGATTGGTTTATCTCTGTGTTATCACCAGAGTGATATAATCATGATTGGTTTATCTCTGTGTTATCACCAGAGTGATATAATCATTAGTGATTTATCTCTGTGTTATCACCAGAGTGATATAATCATGATTGGTTTATCTCTGTGTTATCACCAGAGTGATATAATCATTAGTGATTTATCTCTGTGTTATCACCAGAGTGATATAATCATGATTGGTTTATCTCTGTGTTATCACCAGAGTGATATAATCATTAGTGGTTTACCTCTGTGTTATCACCAGAGTGATATAATCATTAGTGGTTTATCTCTGTGTTATCACCAGAGTGATGTAATCATTAGTGATTTATCTCTGTGTTATCACCAGAGTGATATAATCATGATTGGTTTATCTCTGTGTTATCACCAGAGTGATATAATCATTAGTGGTTTATCTCTGTGTTATCACCAGAGTGATGTAATCATTAGTGATTTATCTCTGTGTTATCACCAGAGTGATATAATCATGATTGGTTTATCTCTGTGTTATCACCAGAGTGATATAATCATTAGTGGTTTATCTCTGTGTTATCACCAGAGTGATATAATCATGATTGGTTTATCTCTGTGTTATCACCAGAGTGATATAATCATTAGTGGTTTATCTCTGTGTTATCACCAGAGTGATATAATCATTAGTGGTTTATCTCTGTGTTATCACCAGTATTCAGTAGTGATATAATCATTAGTGGTTTATCTCTGTGTTATCACCAGTATTCAGTAGTGATACAATCATCAGCAGTTTAACTTTGTTATCTCCAGTATTTCATTCAAATTTTATGTTCTGTAATTTGTTTAAGTTTGTTTGTTTTGTTTTTTCATTTCCAAATGCAATAACAGCATATAGGTAGCAATGATACACAATTAGTTATATCATATTAAATGTTCAAGATGGCGGAGGGCAATTCCATAGAGATAGTGAATATAACATATATTGACACCAAACAGTTCCAGGAATTAACATATAACAATGTCACGAGAATCAATATTCATAATTATATCCTTTGGTTTGTGACGTAATAATAAAGATGATACGGGAAAGTTATGACGTCACACAGTGTTAACAATGAAAGTTAGTAATAAGCTATGGTAATAGAGTAGAATTCATACTCATATAATAACAAATGAAATTAATATACAATGTATTACTACTACACAAGAAGGTTTTTTCTTTTAGCTGTTGCACACAATAAATATCTACCAAATTTTCTTAAAGTTTTAACACATTTACATGTAAATAGTTCTACTAATTAAAACACACATGGACGTCGAAAGTGATGTGTTTCTTTTCATTTGCGTACAGAGGTCGAGTATTTTAAGTGTAACTATATATAGATGAAAGCAAAGGTCAAGATGATAAAACCTGACCCTTATTTTAAAAAAAAATATCAAAATTATTGTAATTAAAACCCTAATGTTTTGTTAGTAAACAGGTTTACTGGTATGGCTTAAAGTGAATACAAGTCGTAGACAACATATATATATTGTTATATTTTGCGTTTAGAATAATCTATTTACAGCCTGTTTAAACAGGTTACCGTAGGATAACGAGGTTTCACATCAATTATCCTGTGCCGGTACTGTACCAATTTAGATTCACACCACAGACGAATACAGAAACTGATTTTAGAATGCTAGTTCAAGTTTTATTTATTTACCTTTAGTCTAGCAAGTTATTGGGTTTTCTTTTGCACATCAAGAAGTCATCCTGTCAAGGTCCTTCTCACATGATAAAACGTACGATGTAAAGTGGTCTTTGCACTTCAGGACACGTCAATTATCATTGTAAAACTCGCACAACAAACCTTTGTATCAACAGAGTGTAGGTGTAGTCAAATACACATTAGCTGGTGGTTAGAAAATTTCCTCCGATATTATTTATTGACATTGGAAAGTCTGATACAAATACGGCATGTTATTTCTTCAGTAGAGTGTTTGACAGGGTAAGAACAACTACATCCGTCTCTAAGAACTTAATATACCTGTCTCGTGACATCGACTTTCATCATTGCTAAATGTTATAAAAGTTAGACCATGCTTTGCCAAATGGAACGTATTAACTCTCACATGTTCTCATAATTATCATACAACGTATTGTGTCCAGGTAAGTTTTCTTGGTGAAGTGCTACTGTCTATCAAATATACTGTAAGTTACTCGGATTTCGCGTTGTATTTTTTTCGCGTTAATACACGAGGAGAACCAATCGCGAATTCTGATTTCGCGAATATTTGTACGAATCCCTTAATGACGTCCTTGTTATTCCTTTGTAAGCTTGCTTTACTTCTGTTATACACCTTGACTTTTTATACCTGGATACCTTATTATCATCAACAGATCTGCTGGACATGGATTTCTTCGCTATGATATTTTGTGTTGGGAAAGGCCCAAAACAATTATAACAAGAACGGTTAAAACCTGGAAACATGAAATAGAAAACGTGATAAAATGACTACTGTGCATGTAACATTGTATTGTTTTGTATAAAGAACCGTGTTGCCACACGAACTTTCGTCCGAGACAGTATTTTGAGTGTGTTATGTTTACTTTGAAGGTCACCACGATAACATGAGGACACATAGATAAAATCGTCGCCATTACTTATCATATCATGTGGAGGGAACTTACTACAACGTGTTGTGCACAATAAGGTGAGTATATGGGAGTTCATTTCGGGATATTGTGACTTCAGGAAAGCATTGTTCTGTAAGAGAACCTCACTACTACCAAATATAGATAAGTTTTCTGTAAAATATCCATGTGCCCAGCTACACGGACATGTCATCATAATCTATTTTTAGATAATAGTTTAACTAAAGAACTTCCTCTTCATGAATAATGCCGACATAAACGTGTAATGTAGCCAGAGATGTACAGAGACTTAGCAGTAATATATATGATGTCGTGCTACCTGGGATATGCACACGACATCGGTCACATTTGTGTCGCCGGATAAACACGTGTCGCCAGTTATGTTGGCGTCACAAGATATACACGTGTCGTCTGTTATGTCGGCCTCATAGGGTATACACGTGTCGTCTGTTATGTCGGCGTCATATGATACACACGTGTCGTCTGTTATTTTGGCGCCATATGATAAACACGTGTCATCTGTTATTTTGGCGCCATAGGATGAACACGTGTCATCTGTTATTTTGGCGCCATAAGTTGTATCATGTTGGATTTTCGCCAGTACATCGATGTCATATTGGAGGTTCTAGAAACCAGTTTTGCCTATCGCAGGTTATTTGACACAGTTATTTATGATTTAGGACATATTTGGCATCATATTGGTAGCTCTAAGATGTATTTAGTATTCTGTTCATGTTTCTATCTACAAATGAAAATAAGTATGATTTCCAGGCTGAGGTAGAGCAGGTCCAGGAGATGAATACCTCTTAGACAAAAATAAAATGATGTATCATCAGGTTTACAAACTTTTTTCCAGTATGACTTTATCTGGGTTGCCAAGTTGGGCGATTACATTCATTCCTGAGCTTTCAAAGTTCGTCGCACTGAGCGAATGCTGTATATATGCTCCCCATGTAAATATGGACTCGTCTGTAATCTACATAACAATGAAAAGTGATAGTACGATTGATCGGGCGCGGTAATCAATGGATGTTGTATATAAAGAAGCGACGTGATTGGTGCATACACTGACAACGTACGGTCGAGCAATATCACGATCATTTCTACACAATACGTTGACGGGGGAAAACAATTTACACTTGAATTAACCGACTAAATTTGGATCTCGATTTAAAGTCATCCTCTTTAAAACGATCTAAAATATTCTTTATCAATACATCATTAATTTAAAACAATCTAAAATATTCAATACATCATTGATTTGTGGTAAATTAGTAATAGACAATCAAATGTATTATGATACATTAATAACATACAGCTTTTACACACCGCCAAATATACGGAACTACCTTAATTGGTTTTATAATGTATGTACGATACACGATCTAGACTTACACCAGTGTAGATCTATCGGGAGACGAAATCTACGCTACACAATTAACCTCTACGGCAGTTATCGTAATATGAATATAGGATGACATAGTAATTACATGACGTTAGCGCTAAACATGGCTAAACTGTGTACAGGTAAGGTTCATTTTTTTCTATTTTGAACGGGTGTAATTTGCTTTATTTCAAACAAGACACCTATCGAAGCACTGGATTTCAATAACGAAACAAGCATTTAACTGCAGTTCGCAGTCTTTGGTTCAGCAAAAAACTTTGTACAATAGTAATATTATAATTGGCTGTGGATCCCTTTTGTGTGTGGCTTTTCGTCACGAAATTTAGCATTAGCCTGTAATGGTAATGTAAAGGGTAATGTTATATCCTTCGAGGACGAGTAACAAACTAGCTGTAAAAATTGTCAGAAATTGTGTAGACAGCTAGTTAATGGACGAGATAAGATTGCAGATTGTGGTATCTCACTGATTTACATGCTTGTCAGTTTTGGTAGAATGTTTTTTATCTCGAGCTTTCCCTAGTACAGGATCGCGGGATCAATCTTATTATTATTATTATGTGTATTATATAAGGATGCACACTGAGACTATAGTTATTTACAATGTGATTAAGCAACACATTTTAAATATTTCAGAAGGCAAACACTCTAAACGATGAACGCCCTTTACAATGATGGTTCAATCCGACTCGCAGCCGAAGTTTAAGGATGGGATATAAGAACGAGAATTCAGAAGAAACCGAGAATGACGATATCATTAAGCCACCTGACGGAGGATGGGGCTGGTTTGTTGTGCTTGGTGCTTTTATTATCAATGTGATTACCGACGGTTGCTCTTACTCGTTTGGAGTACTGTTTACGAACCTTATTGAGTACTTCGAAGAAAGCAGAAGTAAGACAGCATGGATCGGTTCAGTCTTTTGTGCAGTTCCTCTACTCTGTGGACCTTTAGCCAGTTTTGTAACGAACAGAATTGGCTATAGAAAAGCCACTATACTCGGAGGTGTAATAACTACAGCCGGTTTTGTTTGTAGTTGTTTCGTGAATTCAATAGAATCTCTATGCATTACATATGGAGCTATTGCAGGCCTCGGTATATCGCTTCCGTACCTCAACTCTATTGTCGTCGTGGCAGAGTACTTTGAAAACAAACGTGCTCTGGTGACCGGCCTGTCCGAGTGTGGTGCTGGCATAGGTACGTTGCTATTTGCACCGATGTTGGAGCGTTTGATCTCAGAGTATGGATGGAGAGGAGCGGTTCTTATAATGGGGGGACTAGCGGGAAACATTGTTGTTTGTGGGGCACTCTTTAGACCACTTCGTGTCGTAGATTCCGACCAAAAGACATTGCCAAGTAGTCAAGAGCCATTCATTACAAACAATTCACTGGATCGGTATTCCAGTGGTACCCCAACAGAATTTAAGGTTTTAAGGGCAACAAGGGGAGATATTCCCGAATGTAGTGATTGGACATCAGATTCAGCCTCAAGTTGTTCATGTGAACGAGAGTCTTCACATGACGATAATGTATGCAGAACAAGTCAGCTATCAATAAAAGTTGTTAACTTACCGGAGAATCCATCATTGATAGGAGGAAGCATTGCTTCCTTACCTCAAGTGATACGTGCATCCAAGAGTTGCCCCGAGGTCCGGGAAAACATCAAACTTAAGTACCAAACCAAGTCAAAGATTGCTTGTCCTAAGTCGATCGTCGATTTGAGTGTTCTAGGAAATCCGGCTTTTCTTATTTTTGCATTTTCCAACTTCATTTTATATTTCTGGTATGACGTCCCATACGTGTTTACAGTGGACAGAGCCAAAGAGATGGGTATTAACAAGAGGGATGCCTCTTTAATGGTAGCCATCATAGGCATTCTACATACTATAGGTAACATACTGTACGGCTATCTGGGCGATAGACAGTGGATGAACAGATCTTATTTATATTGTGTATCAATGATTCTTTGTGGTGCTACCTTGGCCATTGTTCCAGTTTTCACGACGTTCGTTCCGTCGACTATCGTCGCTGGTATCTTCGGACTATTGTCTGCTGCAGCGGAGGCCCTGTGCTCTGTCATCATCGTGGACATACTAGGTATAGACAAACTCACTGATGCCTTTGGTATTATGATGTTTCTGCAGGGCACAGCAAACCTGATGGGACCACCGTTTGCAGGTAAACCTTTCATTAATTTGTTACTGTATTTCATGTTTTATTATGTCATCAATTAAGACTAATTGAGCCTCCTTAACAACTAGTGTTTATCATTTAATATCATTATTAATGTAGCAGGCATTTGCTGTCATTTCTTAATACTACAATTACTACATGCGTATGTTAATAACAAACTGATCAATATTATAACTTCGGGCGATGAGCAATACATTTATTCCTTTTTCTGTAAAAGCGACGTTAATCGGTATGTAATATTACTGTACTTTAATGTTTTCTATCCACAGGGTGGCTTTATGATGTCTACAGAACCTATGACAAGACATTCTGGTCGGCCGGAATTTGTATCATTGTGGCTGGCTGTGTCTTTGTCGTTGTACCAATGTGGAAGCGGTGCAGAAAGTCGAAATTTTTCATATTTTTATGAACAGAACTGTACGATATATCAATTTTGCAGTAATTGTCTTGCCAAATCCATATTTATATATCATTATGTCGCTGGCGATGCTATATTTTTGCTTGGTTCAGTAAATATAAATGAACCAGTGTTCACATTCCATAACCAGTTATCAATATGTTTTATGTAAATGATGAGTAATGGCTGTAGTTTCGGATAGATAACGAATTTAGGAGTGATTGAGTCAAACATATCGAAGTAATGTTTCACACGAAAGTGATACCAAGTATAGGTTTGTCAATGTCAGGCATGCATGAGTATCATAATGTCCTTGGGAAGAAAGTACACCTATCACAATACCTGATCTATTTATCAATCACACTTTCCGTTATCAGTGGCTTAATTCATAATAAATCTAGGTAGATATTATAAATACAGGGAAAATCAGAAAATGCGTTCCAGAAAAGTAAACGTTTTCTGCTTTATCGACAACACCTGGCAAGAACATATTGGCCTTGGAAAGTAATGTCACATTTCTCTAATGAGAACAAGATATACTACAACAGAAGAAACAAGCAAACTATCGAGCTTCAAACAAGTCCAGGTTCGTATCGCACGAAGATATAGAATGTTTCTCGATGAGATTACCATGACGACCGTAAAGCTTTCCCTTAATTTTCATCAACCTGCATATTTGAAACCCTATGTAATGAGTTTGTCGGCCAGTTGACGACTTCTTGCACAGAAATAGTGATAATTGAAACAGGAATTTTGAATAACGAACCAATTGTGATATGCATAACCATAAGTTGGGGATGCAGTTGTTTTGCTATACAGAAATGGAGAATTCACAATAGGGAAATTGAAATCATCCTGCTTATCAAACAGCTTGGGACAAGTTGTCCAAAAATGCATTACTGTCCGCTCAATTCACATGGACATGGGAACGAAACATTAGGCGTCATGGAAAACATGAATGTGGAAATAATTAGGTGTCCGTGTACTGTATACTAAGCAGGGCACTGTGCAGTGACTGGGAGAGGAATATAGAGTATACGGGATTGTGTTACGTGTCGCGGACACAAGATATATAGGTAGTACCCCACTTTAGGATACACAGAGTAAGCGCATGTAATAGGAGGGAGCTGTTTTTGTATTGTCTACAAATGCAACTATTGGTGATGAGCATTGTGTCATGAATATGGGGTTTGTTTTGCACTGTCACGCTTTAATGCAGGCTGTTATGTATGTAAGGTATGGTAGACTAGTGTAGTGTCATATGCCTGCATGGATGTAACTGTATCCGATTTTTCATTTAAACACTATTATTAAAAGTTTTTTTTTAAATTTGTAACAGAAGTATCTACAGCAAATAAACCCGTAACATGCCTTAAACAAGAAATGTGAAAAGTTAAACTGATAAAAGTTCTACCGAATATCTGAACGACTGTCACCATCTGATGAAGGCGAGTGTCTATGTAATGACACACGGGTATACGATTAAATCTTGTCAACTTCATTTAAATAAGCTTCAAAACTAGCCTGCATGTACCGTACGGTTGATAATGTCTGCAACTGGATCATGTTCTGAACCATTTTTACCAATACGTTTAACAAATCTGATTGGTATGATATCGAAGATGTCCTGCCAAATATCAGAATTCTAAGTATTTAGTTACTGCACTGGGAAGAGGGCCTTTTGACATTTGACGCGTACTAACTTGAATATGGGTCGAGGTAATTTCTTTTTGTTGACGTCACGCTGCGACATCTTTTAAAAACAAGAGATTCCAAAGGGATCTTGGCACCCAGCATCGTTTGATCTTTATCTGTTCTGAAAAGATTAAATATTTTCCTTTCTTTTGTTTTCCCTATTTTTGCTCTTAAATATTAAAGATATGGAACTTAAAAAAAATTCTGAAGAAAAGGGAGAATAATCTTCAACTGTCACATCAAAGATGGTGGCCTGTCGACCATTTTTTATTTTGTTTTTTTGTTTTTTTTCATTTATTTCTTTTTAGATAAACAAAAGAGCACAATAAGGACCAAAGGAAACCTACATACGGAAAAGGAGAAAATTGAATTAAGTGCTTCTCGAGAAATAACAATAACCAACTTCAAGATGGGGGCCTGTCAGCGATTTTGTTTTCCTTAAAGATCCCAAAATGAAATAAAGCTCAAGAAGGGACCAGTGAGGATCTACATTTGAAATATAAGAATGATTCATCAAGTACTCCTCCAGAAATACTGAAAAACTATTACTGTGAAAATCGAAGATGGCGGCCTATCGGCCATGTTGCCTTTCGGATCAGTTCAAAAACGGGAAAATGCAAAACGAGAAGCTAAGTGAAACCTACATGATATTTGAGAATGGTCCATCGGGTTCCTCTCCATTGGATTAACAAACTAATACCGTCAAAATCCAAGACGGCACCTCGTCGGCTTGTTATTATTTTGTTTAGATATGTCCTAAAAGAGGACAATACAATTCGGGACTAAGGAATAAACATATAGAAAGATCCATTCAGTACTTCTCAAGAAACAGACAAAAAGAAATGTGTAAGGACGGACGGACGCAGAGAGATTTGAACTGTCCACTATCTGATGATGGCCGTTAAACGAGCAAATAAGCTGACAAAGATGTACATACAGAAAAAATCGACTTGAATGTTTCAAGATCCATAGCTATGATGGTCGTATTAAACATGTGATATAACTATTAAGCAGCTCTTTCCGTTCTTAAAGGACCTGTTTCACGGTACACCTAATCTGCCCACATCCCAGTTTAATCTTTATTGTATGGTATTTGTAGTACCTCAGTAAACCCCTAAGAATGCATGTTTAAAAAAGCCAAAAGTCACCTATGGCCTGTACAATGACCTATTTTATGACCCTTGTCATAGGTGTGATCCAGGGTGCACATCTTACCCCAAATCGTGTTAAAAAACCCTATTATAAATAATTAAACAGGGTCAACTCCTCTTCATCACAGCCTGCTGCATGTTTTTAAATCAAATATCAAACCAAGTATTAAAAATATAAAAAGTGATGGCAGTTCAACTGGGACAAATCATATTTTTTCATGAAAATTTCAAGTTCAAGTTTTGAAGAACTGACAAACTAACAGTTGCTATTCACCTAAAATATTCACACATTTTTGGCCACATATATGTACTTAAAGTACCGAAATTTTCATCGAATTCAGAGACCGTTAAAATTGTTCCAGGGACAGATTTTCTTGTGATGGCAGAATCAGGAAACTAAAATGGCCTAAAGTCATCCTGTATAATTTTTTCGAAATACATTACGCAGATCTCTCTGATCATAGACCTTCTTTTGTTACTATGAGAACCAATAGGCATCAAATGTCTTTGAAAATAATATTGCACATTGTCATTCCTCTAAACTATGACATATATCAATTATCAGAATAATCGGACAATATCTCCATTTCTACCAATCGGATTTCAAATGACACAATCGGTTCTGATATCACGAATGACATTAAACCGTGCACAGACATCAAAGTGACATAGAAACAAATAGACAATTATTGATCGATTCTAGTTTTATTTTCAATGAGTCATTATCAAATGGTGGAATACGTATATGCACACAAATTACGTTTTAGTAGCAAATGTATCAAACAATAACAATTACACAGACAAAATGATAGCTCGGTTGTAAATGTAATTAATTAAGTAGTAAAACCAAATAGATTATGCTACATCTAGTTACTGTAAATCTGTTTAATATCCTTAACAAAATTTCAACAAACAAATCAAAAACATCCGAGATTCAATATAACATGTGGCAAGACAAATTATTATCAATGTTAAGATAAATTTAAATAGGTTATATCAGATCAGCTACTGGTAAGACATGCGAGTATGTCAGTGTTGATTCCAGCAATCATAACAAAACTAAACTCCAACTGTAGTACTCAGGTGGACTTATATTTGTAGCGCTCACCTTGATGTACTATACAAATATTAGTATATCTAAAATTTGAGAATTTAAAAAAAAAGAATATGTTTTAAGTGAACTAGAAGATCTGTTCGAGGTCAAACTTTGATCATATTTCAGTTGTGAACTTAATCCTAATTAGGGCAATAAGACAAGTAAATGTTGAAAACGTGGTAAAACGAGGCCTGTGTGTTGAGTGGTACGGTAATATAAATCTACTAACAATGAAATCTGTGTAGTTCCATGTGTACACACCAGAGACAGATGTGTATATCTTATATGATTATAAATAACGTGTTTCGATAACCTAACAACGAGACCAACATGGTCTGATACAAACAGTATGGAATGTGATCGATGTAACAATCATTTGAAAAAAAATATACAAAAAATAGTGAACTAAGAAAGAGATATTGAAAGCATGTATTTCCAACATAAAGTCACACCTGACATGACGTCATATACTGGAATATCTAACAGGAAAGTCGAGTATTATTATGTTGTTTTCTAAGCGAAGCTAACGCTATGCACTAATCAAACATACCCAGACGGTGCAATGTATATTTTAAGTATAATCCATCTTATCTGTGGCCCTTTGTGCAACGTACCAACACAGTAAGGCCGTTCGTTACCTACATAACATACCTCAGTCTGATCAATAATCTTTACCACCGAAAGGCCATAACACGATTCCAAACTGCATCAAATGTTTACTCCCTGGTGTACCTTTTGGCGGTGTCGGTCGAGTCGGAATTTCTTCTGCTCGTATTGATCATAACAATAAGTAATCGTCTGTATGATTGCTAACGTGAAAGTTGGCAGTCCTGCTATAACCATCCTGAACCTGTTTGTCAGACCTGATTCAGTCGTATGAAAGACAAGATTTTGTATATAATCTTTCAATGGCAATATTGAAAAAGGGAGAGATGAATTTCAACTCCTTATTTAGAATACAATAAAGATCCACAAAGAAGGCACGCAGTACACCTTTAAGTGTTGATATTTCGTCAAATATTTTCGTTATAATTAAGTAAAAGCTACGATATCAGTATGAATTAATCAGGGTGTAAATCTGTACTGAGGACAAGAGGCCCAAGAGCCTTAACGGTCATAATGTTCTAGTAAAAAAAGTAAGATAACTTTAACTATATGGTACACATAACGCAAATGTAAATTGTGTATACATTAACTGCTGTCCCAAGCTAAAGCTTCTAACCAAGTTTGAAATAAAAGAAATTACACTCAAGATTTGAATTTTCCTATATAAAATCTTCCATCCAAGAACAGTAGAACATCTTTAAAATTTCAGTCAATTTGACCTCTTTTTACCCCGGCCCATCAGCCTCTGGACGTCAGCTGAGGTCAACATGTCCAGCTCAACAAACTGTCATCTTATACTCATAAGTATAACTAAGTCTGAACTATTTCCAATTGAAAAGAAACAAATCATGTTCAAAACTATAATTTTTCTATACAAGCTATAGTAAATTTCACCCCTCTACAGGGAGAAATGTGAGACCCTGGGGTCATGAAATTTAGACTTTTGGATTAGCCTCCGAGGGCAATAAATTTTACTCCTTTTGGCCACGCTCCTCGTGCCCCTGGGGGTTGGCTACCATACGCTTTAAAATTTTTGGTGCGTCTTTAGCCATGGAAGGCTTTTTTTTTTTTTTTTTTACAAAATTTCACTGAAATCGGTTCAGGAGTTGTCCAGAAGAAGTTTGAAATGTTAAAAGTTTACGACGCACGTTGCTGGACAAAAGGGAATCACAATAGGTAAAACTGAGGCTTTGTCTCAAATGACCTAAAAACAGCATACGGAGGCATAATAGAAACACGATCAAGACAAGTTATTTTGATACCGGGGCAATGTTTCAATGGCATGCATTATAATAAATCGCAAATAAATGTAGTGATTATTACGCAAAATCCAATCTTTAACTACAGTAACGACTTTCTAATCATAAAACAGCAAAATGATACACAGCAATATTGATTATCTAACAATTAAGATAACTACAAAATTCTGACAACAAAACTACTACACGATAACATGCAATACACGTCGCAAACATTTCAAATAGAGACAAACAAACGCATCTTAACGCCAAAACATCCTGTTATTTCCCAGGTAATGAAAGAACAGAAAATGTTATCGCTTTCAAAGACACTCTGTCACCCTGCTAAAATCAGGCATGCGCAATGCATTTTTTATAAATAACAAAATAAGCAACACACATACCAGCAATAAAAACAACATCCAAGAACTCTTAATTACAGTATTCCAAATTTAGTTTTCTTCATGAAAAGGATATTTACTCGGAGTATGAATGACGAAACAGCACTTGTTGGGTTTATTTATAAAAAATATGCTCCAAAGAGACTTAACGATGCAAGGTTTCGCTTGGCACAAATTCCCGCTGCATGTGTGTATACATCATAGGCATGTGTTTACGGCAAAACGTTCCACATTAACGTGATATATAATACTCTTACATAGTATATCTAATGAACAATAAGAACAAGCAGTCTACAGCAAAACAAACACAGTATACCCAACTTAAGATTTAAAAAAGACACCTTTGGATTCAAGATATAAAATCTTTCATAAATAAATTATAAAAGGGAAAAGTAACAAATGTAAATGAAATGATTAATTACATAAAAACAACAATAAACTATAAGATTCAGATCCAGACTAATCACTGTTAAATCAAGGTAAACAAAAGATAAGTCACTGCCTCTATATTCGCATACAAACACCATCCGGCTATGTAACATGGATTACGTAACACTTTTTCATCAAGGTTATATATATAACAAAGCACTTGGGTCGTCTATCATACCACACTATAGGATTCTCGACGGGAAAATGAGTTGCAAGTTTGTTCATCTAATCTCTAAAACTATATCGATGTCTAAATGTAACTACAAATGCACGCGAAACATAACCATGTATACCAAAGTTTGAAGTAATGTATCATGCGTCTCAATGACACACCAGTGTAACCTTGGAAAAATACCAGCCGCAATATACCACTCGTCTAGCGAGAAGTCCTCTATAGCTCGATCGGTTGAGCGGGAGACTAGTAAGCCAGAGTTCGAATCCTAGCGGAGGCACTGAGTTAAATTCTGACCTCTGTTACACCAAGTAAATTGTGACAAGGAAGTAATGGGTGTGACCTTTTATTATTCAGATTGGAAAATAAGTCAATGTGATAGAGTTATTGAGTGTGTACCCAACCATTATATCCATGGCAACTAAAGTGGATCGGTATAAAACCACTATTAGTCTGGGAACGTGTTTCATCTTAAATGGAAAGTCTAAATCATTGTGAACTATCTATGGTAGCAGACAAAAATTCTTGTCAAATATTGCAGTGCTCAATTTCGTCCACCGGCTTGAAACGATGGGCTTGTAACGAATTTCATATATCTTAAGAAGGGCAAAACAATCGCACTTCACCCCAGAAGGTATAACAGTAAATGTATTTTGGGATACGTGTTTTACAAAAATGGGACATATGGTACTGGAATAATTACCATGGACGGACGTCCAAAAATTTTAGATATTAGACTTTTTACGACCCCAACACAGGTAAATATGTTGACGTTTTAAGATAGAATAATGACTTACAAACTGTTACACGACTCCAGACGCTTAAATAGGCTACTGTTTCCAAATAATCTCAATAGAATACACGAATCATAATAATCCACAAACTTAGTTTCGTTATACTAAATATACGTACAGGATCAGAAACATTCTGATTAACACTCTGAATTCTTACTATAGATTCTGGAGTATGGTACTAACGTCAGTAAGAACATGTGCATTTTAATGGTTTCAATATCAGTAGTAAACCTTCAAAACTATACTACAGTTTCTATTTCAGTAATGGTCAATTGCGCAAAAACTCTGGGTATTTCCTGTTGTAATTCTTCTGTAAGTGGCTCTGCCTCACCTGGAAACGTTGTTTCCTGTTCATTTGGGTTACCAATACACGTGCTCTGTGGTTTCTCCTCTCGATATCTCGAGATGACTCCCTTCATATATTTATAAACGGGTATTACAAGAATGACCACGCCTGACGCAGAGATAAAAGTCCCGCCAGCATAGAAAGTGTGATCATAACTACCAGAGTCATCATACAGCTTTCCTACAACGTGACGTTAGAAAATTAAAATTCAATAGTTTCGTTTTACAATTTTCATACACAAAATAACATTTTCATCAATATATGATATGGGGTGTAGCAATGATACGACATGAGCAATTTGATTAATTAGTTAAAGGGAAGACATGCATAATTCAAAATTATGCAGATAGCGTCGTAATCACTGAGATATGTATTGTGTTAAGAAAGTATATGAATATTTCAAATGTTAGGAATTAGCATAATAATTGTACCACATTTGAATTACGTGCATGCTCTTTGATGTAAAACAACTTACCTGCAACTGGTGGTCCAATCATATTGGCTATTCCCTGTAAGAGCATGGTCAAGCCGTAAGCATTCGTGAGCTTATCCATTCCCAGGTACTGCACTAACAAAACTGTGCTAAGCACATAATTAGCACTAACGAAAATCCCGTAACAGGCGGCCAATAAACACAAAACAATCTGGTCAACAAAAAGAGGCACCAGTGCCACACTTATCCCAGCAACGGCAAGAGAGATTCCATACAGAACTTCCAAATTGATGTCGCGATCCCCTACTATTCCATACAGAATTTGTCCGAATGTGTTCGCTATTCCCAGACATGATATTATCAACGAGCTCCTATCTTCTGATATGCCAAATTCCTTGGCTCTATCAACAATAAAAACATATGGTACATCATACCAAAAGTACAGTACAAAATTGGAAAACAAAAATAAAATAAAAACTGGATTTCTTAAGATGGCAGTGTCAAACATTGCCTTGAAAACTTTAATCATGTAAATCGGGAATTTCAAAAGCAAACTGATTCGACAGAGGTCTCCTGCTTCTGAATTTTCCTCGTCTATGGACCCCAAATGGAGCTCTGGACAACTTGAAGACCGAATTTCGAACTGAGGCACCTTCATCAGATTACCTCTATAGAACAGATCTTTTCTGTGAAGAGGATAATATTCAAATGCTTCACGTTTTCTCCTTTGATTATCTCTCTTCCATACGCTTCCGTTATCCATTAAAGAAATCTTAGGTTCCGCAGTGTAACCACTACAGTTACTCAGTAAATGTCCATTTTCTCTGTTACTATTGTATATAACACTCTGATTCAATGAAGAGTTTGTCATATTGTTCATTGAAGAACTACATGCCACAGCGCTTGGCTGCCTAGTTCGGAGAACGTGCTGCCAGTTTTTCCCACTTTTCGTAACTTCAACAACTAAGTTGTCTGGTGTATATTTCAGTTCATTTTGGATGTAAGTTGGCAGTTGTACTTGTGAGTAGCTCATATGTTCCAGGTCAGGCGTGTCTGATTCTGAATCTACATCATCAGTGTGACTAGTGTGTCTACTTCGAGGAAAGTCATAAAGACTCGTTTTAGATATGGACCGTGAAACTGTCTTTGATAATTTTTCGAACGCCTCCAGTTTTCGTTTCCATTGCTCCTGTGGTGAAAATTTTAAAGGTCGAAGTAGAGTGCCACATACAACCAAATTTAATATGACACCACTAAGAATAAGAAACGATCCCCTCCATGTATAATGTTCAATTAAATATTCCAGAAGCGGAGCAAATACAAATGTTCCTAATCCTGAGCCACAAACAGCTAATCCGGTCGCCAAAGCTCTCTTTTTCTCAAAATAAAATGCTACCATTACAATAGAAGTAACATATCCCACCGACATCCCAAAACCAGCTATAATACCGAGCGTAACACATAACATTGCAACGGAATTAGCAAAAGAACTTGCAAATACACCGATAAATGCAATAACTCCACCGACAATCTGCACTTTTCTACACCCAAATTTCGTTGCTAGTGCACTTGATATCGGTCCACAGATAAGAGGTACACCATAGAATAATGAGGCTATCCATGACGTGTAACTTTTACTTTCCTGAAAAACCTCCAACAATTCTGTAAAGAGTACTCCAAATGAAAAGGCAAATCCGTCACTTATCAGCATTATCATGAAGGAGCTTAACACAACAACCCACCCCCAGCCCCCATCAGGAGCTGGTGGCATCGAATACGTTGATGAGGAGGAATCCAGCGAATAGTCACTGGAAGAGGAAGATGAGGACGAAGAGGATATACTTTGAGATCGTTTTTTCTTTTTCCGAGAGCTGCTCTGAACTTCTGCCATTTTTTGATATTAGAGGTGTTATTTTTTAAATTGTTACTGCTAAAGAACTCTGCCAAACTGATTGAAAATATAGATGAAAAGCACAGTTTAGTCATTGGTCGGATGAGGTATAATTTACTTTCCACGCACAATGTAAAGTCCCACGAATGGTTCGCCATACAGCTGTTCCACTTTGGGAGTACTCTGCAATGAAGAGAGAGAAAACGAACTGATGAATACATAACATCGATGTATGCGACAAATATTAAACAGAATATGTAAAGATTGATAATATGCATGCACGGTCGCTCAATACAATACACCGCCTGCTTATATACACACACACACACCTATAGTACAATATTTCCCTTCGTTGGGTACACCTCGATTTCCTGTCAGAAGGCCACATACACGTTACACGTCTCTGAAATGCAAACGCCAAACACGCATGCTATAACAGGCATGTGTATTCAGCAAACTTCAGGGCAAATTATATTGTAGCCTGCATAATTAAGAGAGAAAGTGTACTAAATGTTCAAGCATGTAGTGATTTTATACAGTCAGGCTGGCAAAGAACCTAAAAACAATCCGAAGTATCCAATACCAGTATTCTGGCAGCCTAGGCAGAGTGACAGGAATCAATGGGATAGGAAGGGTAAATCAGATATATATTACTGGTCCGGATACCATTCCCTCACAATTTCTCTACAGAAGTTTGTTAAGGCATGTTGTTTATTTTGTCTTGATAATTGTTTTCGCTGATTTCAATATAATACATGCTGAGTGCGTAACAACTACTGTAGGAAGCGATATATCTTTTCTTTTAAATTCTAACGCAATTTTTAAGCTCGCGATCTTCAACATACTAACGGGAAATCACTTCCAACTCAGCTTCTTATTAGCAGAGATACCGATGAATTAAATCAAATCATCTGGAGTGTATGTCTGTGTATATCGGTTCTACGTCAAGATTTTGTCAGTCCTAATTCTGACTTGTTTTAAAAGAACTAATATTTTTATATTAAATTGTGTTCCAATGATAAAATCAGGCTACGTGATTTATTCACAAAATTAAAGGTCTTTTTCTTTCCGAGTTTATCGGAGCCAATGATCAGAAAACTTACAAAGGATAAGCAGTGAGGCATGCACCAATCAGTTTTATAATATAGTCTTTGTAGGAAACATTTGCTTTCATTGAAGCATAACCACGTAAAAAGATTACACAATTGTACTACGAGTTAGACCCTATCAACGATTCTCTGAATTCATATTCAGAAACAGAATTCCAGATTCAGAGATTCATATACAGATTGATGTTCAGAGTAAGACGTCATGTAGTTTAATGATACGTATAAAAATGTAGGTATGAAATTTCTGCTAACCAGGGTAATAGACCTGTATCCTTCAGCTCCTGTTATACCCCGTTATGTTATAATTTCTTCAAATTTGTTTTCGTTTTTTTAAAGTCAATACAACATATATCATAATGTATGCGACATAGATGGAAGGGTTACAACAATAAAGGTTAGCGTTTCTTACGAGGGATTACTCCTATGTATTACAGATTGACTGATTGTACTGTTTGATATCGGACTATCTTGACGTACATCTTGTGTAAATCGAGGAAGCACAATGGATGTCATTATCTTGTCAAAAGTCTAACAACCTTCAAAATCAGCTTAAGTAATTGATTTTGTTATTGATTTTGATATGGTGGCCCTGTTTGTCCGTGTGAGGGCCTTACAGATCTCATCCATGGCGTCCAGGCTGAGATACCAGACAGGGAAGCATGTGTAGCTGCTATCAAAAGCCAGCTTAAATCGCATCCTTCCGTGACACCTCACTGCACAAGCCCAAGATTTTACATGCGAAATCAACCAACAACAGCTTGTCAATGGTTAACCAACTATTCCTGGATTTAGAACAATATGTTCATTTTTCAGATATTGTAAAAATAAAAGACAATAAAGTTAACAAGACAGTCTCGTGTTACATCAAAGTTTTGTAATAATATCCTGCCCACTTTAGGCCTTTAGTACCGGTGACGAGTCCTACAAGGACAAAACTGTTGTATGGTGCAGTTAAATCCATTATTGGACTCTGCTGTTTCTCACTCTAAGTTTGTACAGAAAGGTGCAATTCTCTTGTGCGTCATTACAGACATTCAGTATAAAAGTAGTGTTCTAATCACTTCCCCAACAAACATTTTTTTCTAAACAAAAAAACCCTGACCAGCTCTCAAATGTTCTTATATGTAAAACAAAGAAATCATAATATTGAGGTGAAAATAACCTTCTAATTAAAACTGATAAGATTTTACAATGCGATGCCCTTTAAAAAGTACATGGAGAACAGGTGATATGGAAGGATGTATGGGAAGGTATAACTTTTTGCTTCCTACTTAGACATCACAAAAGTTGGATTTTGACAGTTTGCTTTTCTTTTCCCATCAAATCCAAATGTTTTTCTTTATCACAGTAAGTAAAATTAAACCATCAAAGAATGTCAATACAGCAAGTACATGTCACTACATAAATTCTGCTTTTAATACTAACCTCATTCCTGTTGATCTCAAAAGTTTCAAAGTTCCTCAAAAGTTGCGAATTCATTTCATGCATGTATGCATTAATTTCTTGTGCAAAATACAGAAGGGATTTAATCATAACTTTGGTATGAAACCACTACTAAGTATAACTGACTCGATAGGGGTCCTCCAACATTGGTGACAAACTACATGTATTATTTAAATGTAAGCAGTTTAATTAGAAGAATTACACGGTAAGCAATGATGGCTTTATAAAATACCTTAATTAAACTGGCGATCAGATACTCTGTCCGAGATACAAAGGTCATGATTAAATGCACATATATGAGCAATCATTAATGTGACCATTGTACACAGAAATTGATCTTCTATCACCTGAATCTGCCCATACCATCTATGATCACCGTGTTTATACACCTGATGTGGGTGGTACCTATCTATCATATATATATACATATCTACAAAGCAGAGGTGTTCAAAATGCTAAAAAATGCAACACTGAACATCTGATACCATGCCACGCTAAGATATGTTTAGAAATTGTCAATATTATTTTGATTTTCCTGTTTCACAAACTGAAATGCTGGACTTTTAGAAACACAGAAAGAATTATTCTGACATTTTCATTTGATGTTTTGTCTAATATTTACTGTAAAGACTGAAGTTATGTAGCTGTCAAAGTAAAACATGTCAAATCGACAAACTTTGACACCTCGTTCCTCTCTATATTTGAAAGACAAATAGAATTTTGGAAGATGGTTGATTTCATGAGCGTGCCAGCGACTTATATTGTCTCCTAAAAGAGTGCAAGAAAATGCTAAAACACAATTAATGAGCTGAACCTTCATCTTTGGTCAGAATTTCTTACAATATTTTCAGAACCAAAGCTCCATATTCCATCATAATATACAAATATATTTTGATTTATTCCTTTTTACAACATTTTCTTCACAGGCTATTTACATCAATATCAAATAGCATAAAGCATATGCCTGCTTGATTGTTCGGGGTGTTACATCCTCAAAACATCCTGTCAGTCAGTAGTCAACACACCATGTGGAGAGAGATGATCAGGAGAGAGATGGTTACAACAAAATATTCTAAAAATGACAACTTTCTTTTATGTTTCCTATAGAATAAAACATGTCAAATGATACTCTACTTCCATACTTAAGAAATGCTTTGCCATTCAGAAAGAAAAACAATGTCAACAGGTGCCATACCTTGTGCCTAACAATTCCATACCCTATCAAGTTTTAGGTGCGAGTAACTGACCTTAACAGGTTACTCCCAAACTATCTAAACACAACAACTATGGAAATGGATGACAATGCCAGATAGTAAATTATAGATAAATGGAGATATACAGATGAACAAACTAGGATTACAGTAATATGGGTTTCTCCTTGTAAATGAAAACTCGTAAAAACAATGCACATGATCACTAACACTTAAAAGCATGACATCTCTGTTGTATACAAGGCCACACTTAGGGATCTACCGATTTATCCTTAGCCATGTCAGAATGAAGCGGATGGTACTTTTCCAGGGCGACATTTAATTTCTTTATACTGAACAAAGTCCGATGAATTTGACCAGGGTGCCATATGATTGTTTATAGTGGGGCAGATTTCCACCACTTGAATAATGAGGGTTTTGTTCTTAGCGACCTTGTCTAACAATATGTACAGTACATGTACTAACTGGTTACAAATGTAACTAAAGCATGTTCAATAGTAGACGCTAATAAAGTGCAGGTCCTTTAACATACAAACTTACAACTAGTTAACACTGGGTCTGACTATAGTAAATGTGGTTAACACTGGGTCCGAGTATAGACTAAATGTGGTTATCACTGGGTCTGACTGTATAGTAAATGTGGTTAACACTGGGTCTGAGTGGTTGATACTTGGTCTGGATATGGAATAAATGTGGTTAACACTGGGTCTGAGTATAGACTAATGTGGTTATCACTGGGTCTGAGTGTAGACATAATGTGGTTAACACTGGGTCTGAGTGTAGACTTAATGTGGTTAACACTGGGTCTGAGTGTCAACTAAATGTGGTTACCACTGGGTCTGTGTGTAGACATAATGTGGTTAACACTGGATCTGAATGTAGACTAAATGTGGTAAACACTGGTTCTAACTGGTTAACAGTGGGTCTGTTGGAGGACTTAATGTGGTTAACACTGGGTCAGACTGGTTAACACTGGGTCTGAGTGTATACTAAATGTGATTAACACTGGGTCAGACTGGTAAACACTGGGTCTAACTGTAAACTATATGTGGTTAACATTGGGTCTAACTGAAAACTAAAATATGGTTATCACCGGGTCTGAGTGTACAGTACATGATTTTGACACTGTGTATAGATAGCAGTCTAGATGTTGTCTCGAAAGAGAATATTGTACACAATCAAATTGTAAGTTAAAACAGATTGTTTTTGATATCACTACATGTGTATAGCCTGAACAATTCAGATTATTTATTGATAACCTGTACAATAAATCAGAGTCTAAAATCAAGAGTCTTCCTCCTGAATCATGTGGCAAGTATGTACAGCAAGCTTGTAATACTCAGCAGTAACCATAAATAGGAAAATATCGTCACATTATGAAATCTTGTTTGCAGAAACACTTAACTAGTACCATAAATATCTGTTATTGAATTACTGATAAAACTGTACTAAAGTAAATTACAGTTGTTGCCCAGGCTAACAGAAGTTCTTAATCAAACTTCACCAACCTAACTCATATTTACTATCAACTCAATATCTAAATCAAGGCTGACCAATGAAATGCAAGATCTCAATCAAGGTTCACCAAGCTTACACAAGATCACAATGATGGCTGATCAATGAAAAATAATCTAAATTAAGGTTGACCTATGAATGATCAGATCTTAATCAAGGTTGGTCAACCTAAACAAGATCTTAATTAAGGTTGGTCAAGCTAACACAAGATCTTAATCAAGGTTGGTCAAGCTAACACAAGATCTTAATCAAGGTTGGTCAAGCTAACACAAGATCTTAATCAAGGCTGGTCAAGTTAACACAAGATCTTAATCAAGGCTGGTCAACCTAACACAAGATCTTAATCATGGTTGACCAAGCTAACACAAGTCTTAATCATGGTTGACCAAGTTAACACTAGATGTCAATCAGTGCAAGTAAATGAAGGCAATGAAATAAATCGATATATACCTGGGGTTTAAATTAGGATCATTAATATCCTGAATAAAGATACAGCATGAAGGAAACTCAATCTATTGGTCATGTTCAGAATCTGCAGTTCATGAATGTAAAGCAATTTGGAAAAGAGCAAGTCACCTAGGATCAGATGACACATGCTTAGTGCAATGTTTGTGTGTGTCATTTTCAACATCCATTAAATCATTTCGGCATTTTATAAACATAAAACTGTCTCTATCTCAGAAACACCAATAAACTTTCAATTCTATCCTTTAATTTAACCTACATTTTAAAATCTGCAGATGGTCTAATACATCTGAATTTAATCAAAAGGTTGACTTGATCTGAGTATATATGTATACCTGTCCAGATACCAACTGGTATCTTTAATAGGTCTATAAGAATGAAAATTAACAATTAAAATTTTATATCATCCTGAGAAATCTAAAAATATCAATGTAGGTTAGCAGAACTTCCACAGCTAAATTAATTACAATAAGGTATGTGAAATAATATTACTTTGTAACATACATCTCAAAACAGATGTTCTTTAATAGATAAATATATACACCTATTTCTATATACAAAATGCAGCGATTTCTGTAGGTATATGATGTATAATGCTTGACTGCCCGATCACCAACAACAAGCCTCTACACACATGTATGACACATCTGTAAATTAGATCAGGTAATACATGTCACAATAGAAATGACCAGAGTAAAACTGATTAGGCCAAAATATAGTCTGTAAGGAGTAACCCGCACGACCTGAAAAAATTGTGCCAACTCAAAAGCTTGCATTGTGATGCATCCACAGACAAAGTCCTGGTCAGTGTTGTTGGAAAAAAATCCATGATTGTATAATTTTAGTTAGTTTCCAAAATCTACCGACAAGTCCGTAAGATGTGGAGGAGTATACAAGTAACAAACCAATCAACACTTTAGGTAAAGTCAAGTAAGTTTATTAAGTATACACGACAGAATCAGTTGGGGCAGAATGTACACATAAACAGTAAAATATACAATGTAGATAAAGTTGCTGTGAGTATAGGGTAAATCCAAATGTTAATATTCTAGCACTACTCTTATAATAGCCTGCCACATGGTGACCAATTAAGCCTTTAAGAAATAGCACCAAGTTCCAATGATAGAACTGCTCCCCTTACCTACACTGACTGACCCTGACAAGGGACCTCACGCTATACCCCAACCTTGGTGCGCTGTTTTCAGCATATGTGTGGCACTCCTCATCAGCAACTGGTGGCAACTATTATCAAAGCCTGGTAGTACAGAGAATTTCCTCTCCGAACTGTTGGCCAGCTGTTTGGCCATGCATGTCCTCTATTGTCACTGAGCTGCCTTTTTTTATACCCCAGCCCCCATGTCCAATATGCAACAGACAACAAACCACAGATATAGGGTGATTTGAATAGCCCTAAAAATGATGGTGGGCTAAAAAGGATGTTCGAAAGTTGTACTTATAATTACAGAATTTGTTTGTTTAAAAGCATGTATGTTAAAAGAAATTAAAATAAGAGGCCCATGAGTCTTAATGGTCATCTGACTACTCTACAGCTTACATAGAAGGCTCGAAAGGCAACTTTTACAGTATTCTAGATTCTAGAATGCATGAGTGAGAGATATACATACAACTGATGTCTACATTACTAAGGACAACAGAATTAAAAATTTACAATGAGAAAATCAATAGTTGAAATGTTATTTTTCTAATTAAGAATAAAAGGCACATGATACTGCATCACTTATAGAGAAGTAAAAATATTAGAGACTATATCAAGAGAGACTACATGGTCAATTGTTAGGGTGAAGACCTTTAATGGATAGATCAACAGTTATTTGTTTTAAATGCAATACCTACAACAAAAGTATATCAGAAAGTAATAATTAATACATGTGCTATAACACAGCCGTTAACCATCACTGTTGAGTATAACAAAGATATGTAGCAGGTGAATTCCGACAATGACAGTGCCAGTTGCGGAAGAATTAGCATTCCATCTTTGTTTTCAGAAAAATGGTAAATGAAGAATTCTTTGCATGGTCGAAGCACAGGCTCCAGACTTAACTCATCCATGTAATAGTGATATCCTCCTTTCAAGAACGAAAATATAAAAAAAAAATATTTTAACCCAAATGAGAATAGTAATGAAATAATGACATGTCTGCCCTTCCTGCCCCTGGGGGCCGAGAACCAATACTTATATAAACTTGGCTTCCCTTCCCTAACAATGCTTCTGACAATATTTGGTCAAAATCTGTTGAACTGTTCATGACCAGTAGCCCTTCCAACCCAGATCAAACTTCACTGACATTCCTTTATGCAAGTCTATATTTGAAAGTGGTGAAAGGGCTATAAAAATATTACATCTGTTTATCAATTACTTATATGTAGCATGCAGGTTCATTTTCATTGATAACTGACATCAAACAAAAGAATTTTTAATAGATAGAAAGTTATCTAAAACTGCAATGTAATTTTGGCTGAAAGTCTTACATCAATATTATACACAATTATCATTCAAGAAGACATAGTAGCAATCTCCATGCCTCAGCCCACAGTCATGAGAAAAGGTTATGAAATCCTTGCCGAAATGTTCCCTGGTCTTAACAATTGTACACCATATATGTATGTAAAAACTGAATTGAGGAAATAACACACTTTTTAATCATATGTAACACATTTGGTTATGATTGAAAATATTTTTTCATAAATGTAACAAGAATTAAGTACCCGAACTTCTCAGTCCTACATATTGTAGGTCCATCAGACAGAAATATCTAATTAATGAATAATTATTCTCCAAAACCTAACTCGTATAAATTAATTTTTTTCATCCAGAACACGTGCAAACTTGCCAGTTGACCAAATGTTGTCAATTGGAGTATAAAAATGTATGTGGTTGTAATTCCTGCCCTATGTGGGTCGTAACAAATATTTACACGTGCATTTTGTCCACGAAAGGCAGTAGTATAACAGCAACAGTTACTGTATACTCTTGCCACTCTCACAAGTCGCTGTACCTGTAAGGTTTCGTCAGCTTCTAATATGGAGATAGCAAAATCGAATGTTGTAAGTGAGCTTTCGAGTTTGCACGACTCTATCAATATTGTCAGACAGACCTGGAACGACAGGTAAGTTTGCGCTGGGGACGCTGCGGACTAACACAAGCAAAGGAAAGGTACGAGGCCTTCCGGGTGACAGCCCCCTCCTCCCCGGAATCCTTTGAACTGTACATAAACGATAATGCCATTTCTCAACAATATTAAAAACAATGAGCTAGTTACCCACTGAAAAATGTTCAAGACATAAAAAGACAGGATAACTATCGCATTATATCATGACCAATAGCACAATTCAACAGTTGGTGGCCATGTACAAAACCGTATAGTTAAAAATACATTTGACAGAACAGCTGATCGATCGAAAAGCGTCTTTCGCAAATTCGCTTGCAATGGTACGAAAGTAATAAGAAATGTAACTTACCCCATATCCTTTAGTCGATATATCTTACATGAACAGTTGATCGATGCACACCAGGAGAAGGCAGGCTGTACGACGACTGCAAATAAGAATGCAATGAAAGCGCACACAACCAGTCAGTTGACATCCGTCTCGCTCTGATAAACTCGGTTGTTAACCTATGACCCACAGCTAACGTTAGAGTGATCTCCCTTCAACTGCTGGACCAACGGAGGCAAAGTGAAAGTAGTATATTTGGCGCTTTAGTTTCGGACCCATTAAGAACCATTTCTCGCTATGTCAACAGATTCCTATCAAACAAATACATAAATGAATTCATGCTATAAGATTTATCTTAAAAACTCATCAGTGAAAAACCAGTATTTTTCTTTTAAAAATATCCAAAGAATTCGCTCAGCTGAAATGATCAACATGTGAATAGGACATATGACGTTCTGATGACAGAAAGAAATCAAAATAGAATAATTGTGCGAAATTCGTGGTCATTTTTTTAATGTATGCAGCTTTTCTAAAGAGTTAGATTCAAGTTGTTATTTTTTGGTTGTTTTTTTTGTTTGTTTTTGTGTGTGTGTTTTTTTAATTAACAATATTGCTTGTTAATCCTCTTTTCTATAACACAAACAATTTAAACAATCGAAGTTTTCATCGGTCGGTCTACAATTCGGTAGTTTATTAAAATCATAAATGAGTTATCAAAAGTGAATTGAAAACTCGCCACTTTTCCAATACAAGACGTAAGTGCATCTTTGGTCTTCCGTAGGAAAAAAAATGCATGGAGGTGTGGTCTATAATTACTGGTCGATTTTGATTCACTTGACAAACGACAACAGGACACTGGCATCCGAGAATGGATTGATTGGTTATTTTCATAATATCTGGGAGAATGTTTGACATGTGTTTCAGCCAATCATATATTTATTCAGAATGTTTTATGATGAATGGTTTTAATCGCTATTTTTTAATGCTTTCCGGAAGCGTGACACGTTACAGCAACCAAATTATCCGCGTGCGAGGTAACACAGATCAGTAGAGTGCATGTGACACACTTCGACAAAATGGTCGTTCCGAAATACATAGCGGTCTGGAACCGATGTCCAGACGACATATTTCGTGACACAGGCCTAGTCCATTTATTCATTTTTACTACTTTTTTTTCAATAAAAGTAAATGTTAATCACCTATATTCAACGAAATATTTGTTTGCAATTGCAACATTCTTTGGCCATCTCGTCAAGATGATGGTTAGAAGTAAAATGTGAAAATAAAACACGATCAAGAAAATGTGTCATATGATACATCGTACATATTTTGTTTTCTAGACGTAAGGTCGGTGACTGCGATTAATAAGAAAGTGAACTTTTGGAACATAGAAAACTGTGCTATCCCTATATCGATTGGCTTTCCTTTTTGTATTCCTTCGCCTGCCAAAATGCCAAGTTAAGTTGACTTTATAAATGGTTTCTATAAGTAAACAATATCCGATACATGTTACCACTGAAAAACATGTGGAATACCCGTCGTATGCTACCCAAAGCAACTGAGGTGTCATATCTGACGGTCCGAGCTTCACGAATAAAATGGGATCAGTTATTACACATGTATATGTAGAATCTTCACTGTCTGTTACCGACAAAGTCTACTGCTTTGCAGACTGAGATATCCAGACTCTTTGAAAGATATGTACTTACAATGCGAACAAGAAATAGCACTAGCGAAGACAGCTGAAGTAATGAAAGTTACATGCTAGCGATGTCACTGTCATTTTCAACGACGCCATTTCGAAATAATTTGTACACAATCTTGTCTTGCATGTGGGAGTGATTTGTTTTAGCAAAATCATCATCCTTTATAACCACACAAAAGGAGAATACCGAGTGTTAACAAAATCGTCGTTCGGTAAAAAAACTAAAGAAAGGAAAATAATGATTTACACGGATGTACAAGAACGCTGACACGTATCTGTTAAGAGAATTTGAGACAGATCTCGTTACAAATTAACATTAGTGAGAAACTTCAATATCTATATCTGAAAAAAAACTGGGAAAAATTGTGTGAGATGTCATCATGAATCAGATGGAAACAAACAATTTATCCAACAAATACCGGACAGATCACCCTGTATCACTTCGCTATTGGATGTTATGAACATATGGACGGAAGAATGGGATAATTTAACCCTGCCTGCTATTCCAGAGTACCACAACCAGAAATGTTGGCAAACAATATCGAAATGAGTCCGGGAATACAAGCTGACGGGGACACGTACCAAGCCAAACTCACAAACACTCGAAATTTATCATACAATACTTGTTATTTGTTGTAAAGATAATAAATAATTTGAAGCCCTTTGCAAAATTGAATTGACTTTCGACATTGGCGTCGAGGGGGAATTTCAGAGTCACATGCTCATTAAGGGATTGTATTTTCAAGATAGTGAAGGAAGACGACCACAGAAGGTAGATGTTAAGTTACAAATCACTGGTTTAGAAATACAATCTGACCGGGACAAGTATCACGCCAAACTCAGAAATACTCGAAATTGAACTGAATTTATATAGAATTTATATAAAATCTATACTATCTCTTTTTCTCTTCTTTTTCTTTCGATCCTATCATCTCATCTTTTCCTCCTTTTGGCAAATGATTTTAACTTACGTCTACGAATAACATATCCTCATGTTTATAGTATAAATGTTCCCTTAATTACTACTTATTTCGGATGAACATTGTGGATACCCATAGTTGTGTATGAGGAAATATGTGTGAATATGCCTATCACTTTTTCTTTGGATGCCATCGTTATAATGTTCACAGAAATGTCCTTTTCCAACCCTTAAATGATATGAATTTACAAGTTCACTGTGACTTAGATCTGCTCCTTAATGGAAATGATCAACTGTTACCTGAAACAAACTCTGAATTTTTTTACAAGTCCAACGTTTTATAAAAAGTAGCAACAGGTTTTAAACCATGAAACTTTGTTATAATTTCACTTCCGATGACGTCATCCCTTCTACCCCCTACCCCCACCCCTACTCCACTTCTTTCTCTCTCTCTCTTTCCCTTCTCTTTAAAAATGTATTAGCCAATATTTATGTAAATTATTGATGACTTGATAGTGTGATGTTTTTGTTTTGTAAGGTATTGAGGAAAGGGCAACTATAAGTTGAAACAACTTGTGCCCGATCCTTTTGTAAATAATTTACAATAAGATATGTTTAATTCATTCATTCGTATAAATATGTGTCATGTGCGGTATATTGATTATTTGTAATTTTATTTATGGAGAAGATTTCATAAGTAGCAAGAACTTGTCTCTGATCCATTTATCTGCTGCTGATAATAAAATATCTTTATATCAATTGATATTACAATATTTGATTGTTGCTGTTCAGCTCATAATTAATTGTGATCCATTCGCAAAGTTAAGCGGTCTGTTGAAGTTGTCATCGAGCCGAAATTCGCCGTAAGTTTTTATTCATATTGAAATATTTCAGCAGTCCTGTTCTTATTCTAATTGTCTGTCAAACACTTCCTATCAATCCAAACCTCACGTGCAGGAGATTCAGAATAACAATCTTTCCCATCTCATCCCACCTTTAAAGCATGATATTTTGATAGGTACATAATAGGAGAGTTGCATAAATGGTTGGAAATTCTCACATGGCGATCTGTCAGGTCCCTTGAAATCCCACACGGTATTCAATTAATCTCAAACTTGTTATTCACGGCTGATTCTTCTGACAGTCGTTTCAGCGTACACATGTATGACCATTACTGACAGGTCGTATGGACCAAAGTCTCCACGAGCTCTGTGTGGTTTTAACAAAACCAAAGCAGCATGATATATTTTTCTATCCTTTATTTAAAAGCTGTCAACTGATGTAAACATATAACATATACGTATAAAATGGTCGCTAATCGACGGAAATTTTTAAAAATTTTCAAATAACACAATCGATCATTTGTATTCTTATCCATATAATCATATCTGCATTTTCACCAAAATATTGATTAATCATAAAATCGTCACTGGAATAAATAAATATGACCAGTGTAGGGATGCTGTGAGTTTGAATTATGATCGTGTTGACAAGTTGTTGTCTAGAAGTTTAAGTAAACTTTCAAATGTGCGTATAATTCTTTTGTGAAAATAACACGATTTTAGCAGGAATTATTACTACAGCATAACCAAAGGATATTGACATTTCAGACAATCCGGCGAATTTCAATGCAGTGACAAGGATAAACACTGGCAAAATACGTAATATCATGATTTGAATAAACCAGACATACTGATTATAATATGTCCTTATAAGGATATCAATAACAGCACGTTATCCAAAATATACCTTTTACATTACGGCATACAAACTTGAGAGGATACAGGAGCTAGTGTACATTGCCGGTACGTTCACCCTCCCAGCAGCCTAGTGTCCAACGTGTCATGGTTTAGCTGTTGTATGAGACTGGTTTACATACCACTAGCTGAATGATAAAAAACGAGGCCCATCTCAAGTACAGTCATCATAATACAGATAAAAAAATTCCATCGGTCCATCGCATGACTAACATTCTGCCAGGTCAGCACAGGACGCTGGTCAGTGCGCTGCAACGTAGTAACGCGGTTGGTAACGTCATCTGTTTCTGTGATGTCCACATCCTTCTCGTCAGCCTTTGGATAACGTTCCTCAGTCGGTTCTCCATTAAAAGTGTTCTCTACCTTATTGCTACCCTTGTATATTCGCCAGGTCACCAGCATTGTTAACAGACGAAGATGACAAGATATCTTCCGTGTATTACTGCGATGATGGTAATTCAATGACAGAATAGTACACGTACACACGATGACGTTGTTCGCAAGATGTACGCAAAGGATGACGCTTACGACAGGTACATCAGTGGACAGTGGCGGTAACTGGTCCATAACTATAGTCATGAAGATTGCCAGAGACAAGAGGACAGTGATGGAGTAACTGGCCTTCTCACCACATTCAGCCGGGAGAAAAAACACGAACAAGTTCATGCAAACAAGAAAGGCAATAGGGATAAACAGATTCAGCAGTAAAAAATGTGGTCGGCGTGATAACGTTATGGAAAGGTCAACATACTGCGAATCGTTCAGCCCTGGAACCAACCACTGTTCAGTGAGGTTCAATATGTCCATAACCCATTGTCCATTATCCACCAGATAATTGGTATATAAATGTAAGGGTTTTGGTATCACATTACCCGTCCCGTAACCTATAGAACTAATCATTATATGACAAGTATGAGAATCAAACGGGAAATACTTTACATATGGTTTACAAGTGGTCATTACGTAAGCGGCGAAGACAAGCGATGCATTACCGTCTGAAGAGTACTCCACGAGAAGGTTTTCATTCTCGTTACCTAGTAAGCCATATTTGTCTGCCGGGTTTATAAGCACCATCGGTGGAACCCACACATCAAGTATGGAAAAGTTTACCGTAGTAATGTTGTCGTAATCAACGCTATCCCAACGCATGTACTCGTCCGTCCACTGAATGTCGAAGAACAGGTGTGTACCTAGAAGGCTTTCTACGATGTTAAACTCTTTCACCAAACGGCAGAAAACGCTGACATATACTGAGAGAATATCACTCTGATTTCTGACGGGACGATTAGACTTTGTGTATCTCTGTAACAGGGTCGACTTTAGACGTGTCAAATTCTCATAGGATTGTCCGTTAACGTTTGAACATAACACGAACACTGTTAGCAATAGAACACGAAACACCAACATGATAAATAGCGGTCACCTGTGACTGTCCTCACAGACGGTACTAATAGTCACCTGTGACTGTCCTCACAGCCGGTACTAATAGTCACCTGTGACTGTCCTCACAGACGGTAACTGGTGGTCATCTGTGACTGTCCTCACAGACGGTAACTGGTGGTCATCTGTGACTGTCCTCACAGACGGTTAAAAGTGGTCATCTGTGACTGTCCTCACAGCAGGTAACTGGTGGTCATCTGTGACTGTCCTCACATACGGTAACTGGTGGTCAACGGTGACTATCCACATAGACGGTAACTAATTGTGACAAGTGACTGTCCCCACAGACGGTTAAAAGTGGTCACATGTGACTGTTCCACAGACGGTAACTGGTGGTCACCTGTGACTATCCTCACAGACGGTAACTGGTGGTCTCCTGTGACTATCCTCACAGACGGTAACTGGTGGTCATCTGTGACTATCCTCACAGACGGTTAAAAGTGGTCATCTGTGACTGTCCTCACAGCAGGTAACTGGTGGTCAACGGTGACTATCCATACAGACGGTAACTAATTGTGACAAGTGACTGTCCCCACAGACGGTTAAATGTGGTCACATGTGACTGTTCCACAGACGGTAACTGGTGGTCACCTGTGACTATCCTCACAGACGATAACTGGTAGTCACATGTGACTATCCTCACAGACGGTAACTAATTTGTAACTCTGACTGTCTTCACAGATCGTATGACGGTAACTTTGTCGGCTTCCAAGACGATAACTGGTCACCTGTGTATGAGACGATAACTGGTCACCTGCGTATGACACGATAACTGGTCACCTGTGTATGAGACGATAATTGGTCACCTGTGTATGAGACGATGACTGGACACCTGTGTATGAGACGATAACTGGACACCTGTGTATGAGACGATAACTGGACACCTGTGTATGAGACGATAACTGGTCACCTGTGTATGAGACGATGACTGGACACCTGTGTATGAGACGATAACTGGACACCTGTGTATGACTTTTAGATGATATATCCTCGGTGTATGTCTGCTCAGACGGTATTGACGAGTCAGCTACAGAAGCACCGTAATGTGCTCAAATCACAATTCTGACATTCTACCATTAACTGTATTGTACTTTATTTATTTAACACTAAAACAATTTGTGTCTACAAGTCCTCGTATTCCATTAGCTTTGTATTAACAACAGACATAAATGATTGACAGAAAACCCCAGTGGGAAGAGCGTAAATAGGTTTTCATCTGTTGCCATGGAACATTTAGATAATTTCGTGTTCTGTATTGTTTGTGTAAATAATATCCCGGCTTATACAAGGTTTAAATTGTATCAGGTAAGTCGCATTCGATGCCATCGTAAGTTACATACAAAGGTATTAAAAGGGGGTTTACAAACACACAGACACGGATCTCCACCCAAGGTCCCCAAGGTCCACGTGGTATCCCAAGGTCCCCGTGGTCCATATACATGTACATTTATATTATAATGACAAGGGTTGTGACTTCCGAGAAGGAAAACAGAATGTGTTTTTATGCTACCGGTCTTTTGGTCCGTTACATTGTGTCCGGATCATAACTTTGCCCACAGTTAAGTAAGGATCATGATATTTGGTGTATACATTGGTCATACTAACGCAATGTGCAGCGTATCAAATTCAGGTCTCTCCATCGGTTAATTACAGAGTTACTGTCCTTTTATAAAATTGTGTGTCCGGAGGTTAATGAAACTTTGTGTATACATTGATCATACATAGACGATGTGCAGTGTACCAAATTCAGGGTCCACAGCATCTCAATTAGTGAGTTATCGCATTTTGTTAAAGTTTTGTGTCAGATAAATACACTGATCGTGAGGTGTCAGGGTTCTACAGATAAACACACTGATCGTGAGGTGTCAGGGTTCTACAGATAAATACACTGATCGTGAGGTGTCAGGGTTCTACAGATATATCAGGGTTCTACAGATAAACACACTGATCGTGAGGTGTCAGGGTTCTACAGATATGTCAGGGTTCTACAGATAAATACACTGATCGTGAGGTGTAAGGTTTTCACAGATAAATACACTGATCATGATGTGTCAGGGTTCTACAGATAAACACACTGATCGTGAGGTGTCAGGGTTCTACAGATAAATACACTGATCGTGAGGTGTCAGGGTTCTACAGATAAACACACTGATCGTGAGGTGTCAGGGTTCTACAGATCGTGAGGTGTCAGGGTTCCACAGTTAAATACACTGATCGTGAGGTGTCAGGGTTCTACAAATAAACACACTGATCGTGAGGTGTCAGGGTTCTACAGATAAACACACTGATCGTGAGGTGTCAGGGTTCTACAGATAAACACACTGATCGTGAGGTGTCAGGGTTCTACAGATAAACACACTGATCGTGAGGTGTCAGGGTTCTACAGATATGTCAGGGTTCTACAGATAAACACACTGATCGTGAGGTGTCAGGGTTCTACAGATAAACACACTGATCGTGAGGTGTCAGGGTTCTACAGATAAACACACTGATCGTGAGGTGTCAGGGTTCTACAGATAAACACACTGATCGTGAGGTGTCAGGGTTTACAGATACAGATAAACACACTGATCGTGAGGTGTCAGGGTTCTACAGATAAACACACTGATCGTGAGGTGTCAGGGTTCTACAAATAAACACACTGATCGTGAGGTGTCAGGGTTCTACAGATAAACACACTGATCGTGAGGTGTCAGGGTTCTACAGATAAACACACTGATCGTGAGGTGTCAGGGTTCTACAGATAAACACACTGATCGTGAGGTGTCAGGGTTCTACAGATAAACACACTGATCGTGAGGTGTCAGGGTTCTACAGATAAACACACTGATCGTGAGGTGTCAGGGTTCTACAGATAAACACACTGATCGTGAGGTGTCAGGGTTCTACAGATAAACACACTGATCGTGAGGTGTCAGGGTTCTACAGATAAACACACTGATCGTGAGGTGTCAGGGTTCTACAAATAAACACACTGATCGTGAGGTGTCAGGGTTCTACAGATATGTCAGGGTTCTACAGATAAACACACTGATCGTGAGGTGTCAGGGTTCTACAGATAAACACACTGATCGTGAGGTGTCAGGGTTCTACAGATAAACACACTGATCGTGAGGTGTCAGGGTTCTACAAATAAACACACTGATCGTGAGGTGTCAGGGTTCTACAGATATGTCAGGGTTCTACAGATAAACACACTGATCGTGAGGTGTCAGGGTTCTACAGATAAACACACTGATCGTGAGGTGTCAGGGTTCTACAGATAAACACAATGATCGTGAGGTGTCAGGGTTCTACAGATAAACACACTGATCGTGAGGTGTCAGGGTTCTACAGATAAACACTCTGATCGTGAGGTGTCAGGGTTCTACAGATAAACACACTGATCGTGGTTTAAGAGTATCGTAGAAATAATTACAAATTTTCGGACACAGATTTGTTTCATGTTTGAATCGTGTCTGTGCTATTTTTTTCACTTGAAAATGCAATAAAAGTATACTGTGGGCCTCAGATCGTTCTATGTTGTCAAGCTAGTGTCTGTTAATGTTCGATTAGAAATTAGTAATTACAAAGTAAAACTTGTATAGATAATAATACGGACACAAACGAAGACAGAAACAAAGTAGACAGAAATAACGGACGAACAATAATTTGAATATACCGGATCACAACATAGGTTATGATGGTATTACTCAGTGTGAAAGATATAATCTAGTAAGTAATATCGACGGTATGGTTCAATAATATACATATATAGAAACGTTTCGTGTATCGTAAATATGAACATAAAAACAAAATATCAACATGGCAACTGATGGCAACATGTGTTGCGATTTCGCCTGAAGATGGCAGCAAGGCTTGGAAACGTTAGTGATTGTAATTTGGAAACTGTTACCATGTTGATATTTTGTTAACACACGCACGCACGCACGCACGCACGCACACACACACACACACACACAACACACACACACACACACACACACACACACACACACATATGTATATGAATGGAATTGTGATAATGTGTGTCCCTGTGCTACTGTAAAAACAAAAACAAAATATCGGGAACTTGTACACCAGAAGTATAACCTTTATCAGGATCTATTGATATTTTAAATGTTTGTCTTCAGTGAAATAATTATATTAGAAAAACAATTTTCAGTGAATCATTAAAACATATATAATACACCGGGGTGGTTACCTTTCGCCATCGTAGTAGTTTGTAAGTATATGAAAATCCGGCTAGGTCCAGTCGCTACTCAATAGCTTGGAGACCGTACTCTAAGTAAATAAACCCATAATATTCAAAGACTGTGACGTAGTAACACACTCATGTTACTCACCATCATAGTTACTTTAACATTCTCTCTTATATAAAGCAAACTCTGTCGAGATATTGACAAGTTGAATATTTTAATTCAAACCAAATATCTTTATATATATATTAATTAATTGTATAGGTACATATACGTGCATTAAGTTCAAAGCACTCAATAAATCCAATAGGACATGAAAAAACATATACAAAAATGTTGTCATTCAAAATAATAATTTCGATAATAAATATATAAATAAATAAGGAAAGGATTTGTTTCTAAATCACAACCTTTGTCATCAGGTTTTCACAAGTTGATCATTTATGTCGCCATTCTAACTATATCTTGCATGTTGTTACTCTCAAACGTCAAACTCGATCAGCATTTTCTCATAGTCTGTGTGGAACTCTCGCTTATTGATTAACATATAGAAACAGCCCTCAACTCCCATCACGACAGGGAACTTCCGGTTTGTACACATGGACATGTCGTCACCAGTTATAGTGTAAATGTCTCGGTGGGGTGTGTCCTCGTGAGACATCTGTGGTACGTGCTGATAGGTGTCGTCCCCACCTAAAACTAGAAGTCTCGTACTGTCGTCATTGTCGTGTATCATACTGAAGTGTTTCCGGTCAAAATTTGGGATCTTTCCAATGAGCTTGGTCGGTCCATTTCCTGTATAAGACATTAATTTGCCTTCTGAACACAAAACTTGGATGCTACTGCCGCAGGCAACTGCCCTGGTGAATTTGCCAGGGCTGGGAAGGTTGCTGACATGCGTGCATGAGTATGTTTCAGTATTGAAGCACTGAATTGCTGCAGTTTCTTTGTCGCATCCAAGCCATCCTCCAAACGTATAGATATTGTTTCCTATGGCAACAGCACACGAGGCATCAACACCCGTGTGAAGGTCACCAACTTGTCTCCAGATGTCGTTCCGAATATCGTACTCTTCGATACTCTTCATTGTCCCGGCATTGTAGCCTCCTAAAACATACAGTGAACCTTTCACAGACACCATGCAATGACGGTAACGCCCAGAAATCAAGGCAGCCCGGCTACGCCACCTGGATATCTTTGACGAGAAATAGAAGCAGCCATTCAATTTGTTGGTGCCGCCCGTAATGAACAAGTCTTCACCATAGCAACACGTTGCGAACTCCTCGCCCGTGTCTGGAGGTGTTGGATGAAGTGAATACCATTTTTGTTGAGCAAAGCTGTAGGCAATGAATTCCGTGATCCTCTCGCCATTCTCCTTTAGACGCCGACCTAATACTGTTAGTACTGTCTCCTTGTCCGAACTCTTCCTTGCTGGCTGTAAAAGATGGCATTGTTCGTTTTGGCGAGCTGGGATAGCGTGTAGCTTCACGGCTTGTCTGACAAGATTGATACAAGTGTCGTTTGAACGAATCAACTCCAGCGGATCCAGTTTGTCTAATAGATATTCTAAACTGACAAGTGTTAATCTGAGGAGAGAAACCAACTTTTCCACACAAAACTTCCTCTCCTCCTCCTCAGCGTTGACCCAGCGTAACACAGAGTCACACACATTTTCCTCCCGAATCACCACTAAATCATCTGATTTGATAATCTCACAAAGTTCGTCAAGTTCAAGCCGTACGAATTCATCAGTCAAACGGACTTCTTCAAAATGATTTTGTATAAATGTCCAGCACTTGGCCTCGACAGAAGCACTATGAAAAGCTCGGGCTAGCTTCCAAATCCCCAAACAGTTTTCTGTGTTCATTTTATTTTCCAAGAATATCTCACACTCTCTCAGTAGCGAGTGGATCTGTAGGAGAGAGGACGCTTTGAAGAGGTCTTCCGCATTGTGTTCAGTGAGGATATTGGTATCTTTGTACACATATGAAATGATAAGTTTGAACACGGACGGTGTGATGTCTTTTAGGGACACCCTGTCCTCCCTGGATTCCCTCATTCCGGACGAGTACATAGCGTCGAAGAACTTCGATATGGCCGATAGCACGATCCGATGACAGTGAAAGGATTGATCTCCAACTTGCACTATGACGTCAGTGTAGCGGTTTGTGTCATAGCATTCTCGTAATCCTTGCATAACTGTATCTTTCACAGACATGACAGCCATTGTCGTGACAAATAATCACATCACCTATTGAAAATCAAACATAAACACAAATTAAACATTATTTTTAATAAACACGTAACGTCAGTTTAATACTGAGAGAGGTTCATCAAAGCGTGACCGATTTCTCCTCTTGACTGTAAAGCCTTTTTACCCTGAGGATAAAGTCTATTTTAACTATCACTAGGAAGGCCTGTAATTCAAACAGTATGTTCGCGGATTGCAGATCAGGCTATTAGATTTCCATTAATATTTCTAATTCAACTTCTTCAATCGATTTATATGTGTTTCGAGTCATATTGATAGAAATTCAGTAGAGTGTGAACAGCATCTATCTCATTAACGTCGATAAGTAACCCCTAATATTAGGATCCTGTAATCAACGATATGTCATCCCGAACCCAAGTAACATGTAAACACAGGTGTTACTGGACACCAGGGTAACATGTAAACACAGGTGTTACAGGACACCAGGGTAACATGTAAACACAGGTGTTACTGGACATCAGGGTAACATGTAAACACAGGTGTTACTGGACACCAGGGTAACATGTAAACACAGGTGTTACTGGACATCAGGGTAACATGTAAACACAGGTGTTACAGGACATCAGGGTAACATGTAAACACAGGTGTTACTGGACATCAGGGTAACATGTAAACACAGGTATTACAGGACATCAGGGTAACATGTAAACACAGGTGTTACAGGACATCAGGGTTATGAACACAGATGTTATTGGACATCAGGGTAACATGTAAACACATATGTTACAGGGCATCAGGGTTATAAACACAGGTGTTACTGGACATCAGGGTAACATGTAAACACAGGTGTTACTGGACATAAGGGTAACATCTAAACACATATGTTACTGGACATCAGGGTAACATATAAACACAGATGTTACTGGACATCAGGGTAACATGTAAACACATGTGTTACTGGACATCAGGGTAACATATAAACACAGATGTTACTGGACATCAGGGTAACATGTAAACACATATGTTACTGGACATCAGGGTAACATATAAACACAGATGTTACTGGACATCAGGGTAACATGTAAACACATGTGTTACTGGACATCAGGGTAACATGTAAACACAGGTGTTACAGGACATCTGGGTAACATGTAAAAACAGTTGTTACTGGACATCATTGTAAAATATAAACACAGGTGTTACTGGACATCAGGGTAACATATAAACACAGATGTTACTGGACATCAGGGTAACATGTAAACACATGTGTTACTGGACATCAGGGTAACGTGTAAACACAGATGTTACTGGACATCAGGGTAACATGTAAAGATAGGTGTTACAGGACATCAGGGTAACATATAAACACAGGTGTTGCAGGACATCAGGGTAACATCTAAACACATGTGTTACTGGGCATCAGGGTAACATCTAAACATCGGTGATACAGGATATCAGGGTAACATGTAAACACAGGTGTTACAGGACATCAGGGTAACATATAAACACAGGTGTTACTGGACATCAGGGTAACATGTAAACATGGGTGTTACTGGACATCAGGGTAACATGTAAACATGGGTGTTACTGGACATCAGGGTAACATGTAAATACAGATGTTACTGGAATTCTTGGTTACATATAAACACAGGTGTTACTGGAATTCTTGGTTACATATAAACACAGGTGTTACTGGAATTCTTGGTTACATATAAACACAGGTGTTACTGGAATTCTTGGTTACATATAAACACAGGTGTAACTGGACATCAGGGTAACATGTAAACACAGGTATTACAGGACATCAGGGTAACATGTAAACACAGGTGTTACAGGACATCAGGGTTATAAACACAGATGTTATTGGACATCAGGGTAACATGTAAACACAGATGTTACAGGGCATCAGGGTTATAAACACAGGTGTTACTGGACACCAGGGTAACATGTAAACACAGGTAATACTGGACATCAGGGTTACATGTAAACACAGGTGTCACAGGACATCAGGGCAAAATGTAAACACATGTGTTACTGGACATCAGGGTAACATGTAAACAGGTGTTACTGGACATCAGGGTTATAAACACAGGTGTTACTGGACATCAGGGTAACATGTAAACACAGGTATTACAGGACATCAGGGTTAGATCTAAACACAGGTGTTACAGGAAATCAGGGTTATAAACACAGGTGTTACTGGACATCAGGGTAACATATAAACACAGATGTTACAGGACATCAGGGTTATAAACACAGGTGTTACAGGACATCAGGGTAACATGTAAACACAGGTGTTACTGGACATCAGGGTTATAAACACAGGTGTTACTGGGCATCAGGGTAACATCTTAACACAGGTGTTACTGGACATCAGGGATATAAACACAGGTGTTACTGGACATCAGGGTAACATATAAACGCAGGTGTTACAGGACATCAAGGTAACATGTAAACACATGTATTACTGGACAGCAGGGTAACATGTAAACACAGGTGTTATTAGACATGTTACAGGACATCAGGGTAACCTGTTCTGCTTATATGATACGTACACGACACAATACATCATGCTTCGTTATTTGTGTTTATATGTTACATACACAACACATTACATCATACTTCGTTATTTGTGTTTATATGTTACATACACAACACATTATATCATACTTCGTTATTTGTGTTTATATGTTACATACACAACACATTACATCATACTTCGTTATTTGTGTTTATATGTTACATACACAACACATTACGTCATACTTCGTTATTTGTGTTTATATGTTACGTACACAACACATTATATCATACTTCGTTATTTGTGTTTATATGTTACATACACAACACATTACGTCATACTTCGTTATTTGTGTTTATATGTTACATACACATTATATCATACTTCGTTATTTGTGTTTATATGTTACATATACAACACATTACATCATACTTCGTTATTTGTGTTTATATGTTACATACACAACACATTATATCATACTTCGTTATTTGTGTTTATATGTTACATACACAACACATTACATCATACTTCGTTATTTGTGTTTATATGTTACATACACAACACATTACATCATACTTCGTTATTTGTGTTTATATGTTACATACACAACACATTACATCATACTTCGTCATTTGTGTTTATATGTTACATACACAACACATTACATCATACTTCGTTATTTGTGTTTATATGTTACATACACAACACATTACATCATACTTCGTTATTTGTGTTTATATGTTACATACACAACACATTACATCATACTTCGTTATTTGTGTTTATATGTTACATACACAACACATTACGTCATACTTCGTTATTTGTGTTTATATGTTACATACACAACACATCATACTTCGTTATTTGTGTTTATATGTTACATACACAACACATTACATCATACTTCGTCATTTGTGTTTATATGTTACATACACAACACATTACATCATACTTCGTCATTTGTGTTTATATGTTACGTACACAACACATTACGTCATACTTCGTTATTCGTGTTTATATGTTACGTACACAACACATTATATCATACTTCGTTATTTGTGTTTATATGTTACGTACACAACACATTACATCATACTTCGTCATTTGTGTTTATATGTTACATACACAACACATTACATCATACTTCGTTATTTGTGTTTATATGTTACATACACAACACATTACATCATACTCCGTTATTTGTATTTATATGTTACATACACAACACATTATATCATCCTTCGTTATTTGTATTTATATGTTACATACACAACACATTATACTTCGTTATTTGTGTTTATATGTTACATACACAACACATTACATCATACTTCGTTATTTGTGTTTATATGTTACATACACAACACATTATATGTTCATACACAACACATTATATTCGTTATTTGTGTTTATATGTTACATACACAACACATTACATCATACTTCGTCATTTGTGTTTATATGTTACATACACAACACATTACATCATACTTCATTATTTGTGTTTATATGTTACATACACAACACATTACATAATACTTCGTTATTTGTGTTTATATGTTACGCACACAACACATTATATCATACTTCGTTATTCGTGTTTATATGTTACATACACAACACATCATATTTGTGTTTATATGTTACATACACAACACATTACATCATACTTCGTTATTTGTGTTTATATATTACATACACAACACATTATATCATACTTCGTTATTTGTGTTTATATGTTATTTACACAACACATTACATCATACTTCGTTATTCGTGTTTATATGTTACATACACAACACATTATATCATACTTCGTTATTTGTGTTTATATGTTACATACACAACACATCATACTTCGTTATTTGTGTTTATATATTACATACACAACACATTATATCATACTTCGTTATTTGTGTTTATATGTTACATACACAACACATTACATCATACTTCGTTATTTGTGTTTATATGTTACATACACAACACATCATACTTCGTTATTTGTGTTTATATGTTACATACACAACACATTACATCATACTTCGTTATTTGTGTTTATATGTTACATACACAACACATTACGTCATACTTCGTTATTTGTGTTTATATATTACATACACAACACATTACGTCATATTTCGTTATTTGTGTTTATATGTTACATACACAACACATTACATCATACTTCGTTATTTGTGTTTATATATTACATACACAACACATTATATCATACTTCGTTATTTGTGTTTATATGTTACGTACACAACACATTACGTCATACTCCGTTATTTGTGTTTATATGTTACATACACATTACATCATACTTCGTTATTTGTGTTTGTATGTTACGTACACAACACATTACAATATACTTATATATAATATAATATAGTATATACATAGTTATAACAGAGTGTTATCATTGGCTATATTTGTGAAAACTGTTAAAATGCAATTGTCTTTAAAATTCTCGACTAAGTAAGAAAGTAAAGCGGAAGAAACTTGTGCCTACATGTACGGTCCTCGATCACTAACAGTAAACACTATATCAGACTCTGGTTCTTTATGTATTTTATACTAATATTATATATCTATGAATACATATGCTACTATTACTATGAATTAATATTGCTATGTATGCGTAACATTTTGATAAATAACAAGAGTACACGTACCTGCTGACTCTATGGTATAAACACTGGCGATCTCTGACCCGTCGACGTGTCCGTACGGTATCAGCGGTCAATAATAAAGATTTAAGCCAGAACTGACCTAAGCCCTAACACGTTGTGAGGTTACGTAATCCGTCACGGCCCTGCCTATTGGTCAATCAATAGCTAGCGGTCAATTATCGCTCTTACGGTACCACGGCGGCGTAGAACGAAGGCATGGAAAGCTTGACCGGGTTATAATATATTGTTATCATCGGCAATATTTGTAAAAAGAAAAGAATGACCAGGGGGGGAAGGAACCTGGAGACATTTTCTGTTGGGATCGCCACCACAATACCATAAGTTAGAGAACTGGGACGAAATTTCACACTGTACAAGTTGACGAAGCTTGACATATTTTCAAGCTTTATACGATAGTTGTGTGTGAACCCAGATTGTATAAATATTGATGCTGTTATTGATATTGGTACATGTACACGCGCACCCAAGCTCATGGACATCAATGATAATTACAGGAATGTGAACAATTCTTCTGCCATCTGCCACTTCTCTAGTCGGTTTTTAAGTACAGTTGTTGTAACGTACAATGCACGAGCTTCGTGCAAACAACGTGCATACATAGTATCGTGCGCACAACTGTGCGATTGGATCGCACATTTTCAGCGGTTTGGTAAAAGTGGTTGAATAATATTACGAATTGAAAAGTAAAAGGAAAACTCGTGAAGTTATGATTAAATGGCGATCTCAGGAATCGTACAGTTGTGTCTCGGATAACTTACCTGTATACGAGAATATACGTGTACATGACAATCCGCACCGGCTAGGTCTCCTGTTTAACAAATTCTGTGTAAAATCGATAGATTAATAAGAGTAATACAGAAGTAATGAAAATAAAGTTTCCTTTCTGACGATATGAAAATTTAGAGGATTCAGTGCCGAGACAAAAAGAGACGTCCATTTAATGTTTACATACTGTATATATATTACACTTATTACATTTAGGTTGGTCACGTGTGACGTAAACAAAACACTTAACATAACGACTTTATATAACTATTCAGTCTGTACCTGATTGACCCACGTGTTTCCAACCTATACATTTCTGGCTTAATGTGGAGGTATACTTAGTTCAGTATTCATCAAGTTCAACTTTTATTATATCCAAATGCAATACAGCATTTATTTTCGTCCGTTATACCTTACCCAGGACCATACTGGGCATCGGAAACAATATTTTCTCATGTACTCCATTTAAAAAGACGTTTATTTAACAGCGACGTAAACATTTTGGCTAAATGGCTAATTAATACAATTACATTGTTTCTATCCCACTTTTTGTGTAAGGGACTAATAACGCCTTTAGCACATGAGCCTGGAAAATATCCTGTTTGTAACATAGTACTAAATAACCTTAATAAAACAGGTGAAAAATATCTTTGTACTCAGAAACTATGAAAACAATACCCGCAGATTTACCATTAGATAAATCTTTAAATATTTTTAACAATTCATATATACTAAAATAAACATTTAATGCAGGAAACAGACGGTCAGTGTCTTATCTTCCATAATATCACCGCCATTGGCCTCATCTGCTAAACCTTTAAAATAGTTAATAATAACTCTTACACACTTAGAAAATAAATAAATGTTATCCCACACTTACCTATATGTCATTTCTAAATTTATATCAACCACGATAGAATCGCACATTTGTGTTAGAAAACAGATCAATGTGTAAAGCTATAGTACCATGCAAGAACGTTAAATGAAATAGTGAAAATGTCAATTTTATTTTATCTTAGCGAGAATTCATGTAATCTTATGCTTATAAGTAATAGAATTTTATGTAGATAAAATGACGTCAGAGATATTATAGCCGACTTTTGTCAAGTTGTCAATACCTGTGTATTTCTATATTGTGACGTACTTAATGTATCCTCTACAGTTGATGATATGATTGTACCGAGTAAATCTAGAATGCCAGAAGATAAACATTGGTTTACTAATGGTAGTGGGACAAAGTATGATGACTACAAACATTGGCAAACTTTAACCGGTGTAAGTCCAAGGAGAATTATCGTAAGCTAGTAGAAAAGAAATCATTGTGCAAAAGACTTGAAAATAAATACAAGGATACAACAGGCACGAAAGTGATATGCTAGAGTTGGTTAGGAAAAATAATACACAACAGTTTTATAAATATATTGTTTCTAAGTGTATGTCGGTCTAATATATCTATGGATGGCTTATATGTTTCCATAAATAGTTGAAAATCGACGAGTTTGGCAATGCTAACGTTACTTCTTTGGCAAGTAATGCTGGTGACACGATTAGCGAAGAATTAGACATTTCTGTAAGTAGGGATAGAATCGTTGCCGCTATTAGAAATAAAAAAAAACCAGGGAAAAGTTGTAGACGATATTCTGAATTAAATCTTTATTGGTTGTAAGAATGAACTTTTACCATGTCCCATTGATTTGTGTAATGATATTTTCCAGTCTGGTTTTTTCCCCAAAGTCTTGGTCGAAAGGTTGTGTCGTTCAAATCCATAAAAAGTGATGTGGAAGATCGAAATAATTACAGGTGTAACACTCGTTAAGAGGTACGGGAAAATTATCTACAGCAATAATTAACAAGAGGCTGATGGAATGGGATAAAGAATACAATATCATAACAGACGCTCAGTTTGGGTCTAAACCTGGATTTTCTACGATTGATGTTATGTTTACTCTACAAACTTTGGTAAACAAAGCATTTATAAAAACAGAATGTACTGTGTTTTTTATTTAATTGATGGAAGTTGTCTATGATCAAACAATAAAACATGGAACTGACGGGTAAATGGTGAAAATCATACAGTCCTTAAATGATAATGTGAAATCTTATATTAAATGTGATGGAATTGGGTCTATATACCACAAAAACACGGTTGGATTATTCCGGAGAGAAATTCTGTCCCCTATTTTGTACAGTCTTTATGTTAATGATTGCAAAATGCGTTTGATTAGTGATTTGATTTAACCATAAGTAGCAACAGGATTGGACACAATTTTACAACTCATTTAAAGCCTTTTCCAAACATTAATACACACATTATATTTACAAGGTGGCAGTATGATATAGTAACAAACAATTATAAACAAGTTGAGAGAGAGAGAGAGAGAGAGAGAGAGAGAGAGAGAGAGAGAGAGAGAGAGAGAGAGAGAGAGAGAGAGTGGTGGTGGTGGGTGGAGGGGTGTCACATCACTAGGTATGAAATATAGTATGATGTATTTTTCTAATTCTGCCGTCGTACATGGTAATGAAATGACCGTTCCCTGGAAATTACTTTTTATTTATCTATTAAACGGGTTTCATGTCCACTAAATCAGCCGTTCGGCCTCCCATCGGATGACCGGAAATAACTATATTCTACTTATAAATCTGTAATGTGTCTCCTTTCCGAATCAGTCTACTTGAATCTTTTCTCGTTTATCAATACACGTACATGTAAAACCACAAAATGATATCGTCCATTGTCGGTGGATGTTTGTGTCAGAAATAAAAACGAATATGGTTTCATTATGAACTTTAATTTTATGGGGAAAAACAAATATAAGAAAATGGTATTTAAAGTTGTTATATCGTATGTACCCAACAATAACAATAATGGTGGAAAGTAACAATAAACTTGAAAACTTTTGAAAATAAAAAAAGATTGACAAGAAATATGACAACGTCAACATCATATCCGTCACACTTTTGAAAACACTTGTTTGATATAAGACAAAGTTGATGTAAAGTACAACGATTTATGACCCTTTTTCACAGTTACATCCTGGTCTTTTCCTGTTAGAATCTCCATTGTCTGTCTCCTAGTAGTAACATCTACCAACCAGTCCATCATGTCGTACAGACCCTCCCCAGTTGTAGCCGTGGTACCGAACACTTCACACGTGTGCGTTTTACGGATGGTACTAACGTCCATTTTCTCGTCAATTTCCTTGGGGGTCATTGCACACTTCAAATCTTGTTTGTTGGCCACAATGGCGATATTAACGTCCTTTAGTTCTCCCTCTTTTGAGATAGCATGCAGTTCCTCTCTGGCTTGTTCCATCCGATCTCTGTCACTACTGTCAACCACGAATACAATAGCTTTAACACCAGGGTAGTAGTGTCTATACAGAGGCCTCATCTTACCTCTTCCGCCTACGTCCCACGTCACAAATGATATATTCTTGTATTCGACCGTCTCCACGTTGAATCCTATGGTAGGAATTGTCGTTACAACTTCACCTAATTTGAGTTTATAAAGAATTGTTGTTTTTCCGGCAGCATCAAGTCCATTTAGCAACACCCTCATTTCGGGTTTCTTGAACAATTTACAGAATAAGGCTCCCATTGCTGCTGTTATCTGTGCGATTTGCTAACTAACTACAATGCGGATCTGTAGTGTTTATATACATATATATAAACACGTCACTTGGTTGTGTGTAAACAAAGCCACGCTGTTCCGAGTGACAGTATACAAGGGGGATAACCTAGAGTGTTGTACTGAACTAGGTTGCACGTCACTATACAGTGACATGCCCCTCCAAACAAAAACTGATTTGGTAGTTTTATATATTAAGCATAAGGATATAAATATATGTACATGTGAAGGTGACCAATACATTTATTCAAATTTTGAGAAAATGTTGGACTTATTATTCCACTGAAAAAAATGTGACTGTGAACTGAAAATATTCTCAAAATCAGAAGGGCACATATCTTCCTCCAAGATGTCAGTCCTAACCAAGCACAACCCTTGCTAGAATAGACAAGCTTATATTCTTACATCAGTACGAAATTTTATCAGTTGCCGCCAAAAGTTGAATCAGCTCTATTTTAGAAAATCATCGGATGATACTACAACAATTCAACATTAAGCTTGCTATTTTTATTATCAACCACATGTTTCAAATCTTAGTGATAACAATAAAACGGTTCTTATGATAAAAAAAATCGAAAAATTCCTATTGGTATCCCAAAACATGGACAAGGGTAGGCGTTATCGGAACATTGTAGCCGCATTAGATTAGCCTTAACGGTAGGAGATATCGGAACATTGTAGCCGCATTAGATTAGCTTCAACGTTAGGAGAAATATTTCATAGTGGATCCTAAAATTCAAATATCATGGACCATTAGATCTAGATTAAAATGTTTTGAATTTAATGTCAGAATTTCTTCATTTTCCCCCCTCTTTCTCTAACATTTTATTAAAATGACAGCTTAAAATTTCATGAGATGATTAATATCCTTTTTTCCTTACTTCAATCACACAAATTCTTACAGAAGCATCATATTTAGAAAGACCTATCCTTACTAACAACCAAACAGATAATCATACATCTTAATATCTGTTATATTGTGCGGGTTCAATGAATACTGAAAATTAAAAGAATAAATTCCAACTGAAACCTTATTTGTGGAAAAAAAACCCAGATTTTTAAAGAATATTTTGTAGCATGTACTTTATCAATTTAAATTTATCTCGATGTATTAATTAAATATACATGAATTAAGTTTCCCTCTGTGACAAATGTCGCGACGCGCAATGTATCTGGTGTGTCAAAAGTTTTCACGGTTCACGCACTTTTCTTGTCATGAGAATTTTGAAAAGTTGGCAGATAAGCGCATAAGATCAGTCTGAACGGTAGGAAATATCGAAACAGATCAGACGCGTTAGATCAGCCTTAACGGTAGGAAATATCGAAACAGATCAGACGCGTTAGACCAGCCTTAACGGTAGGAAATATCGAAACAAATCAGTCGTGTTAGATCAGCCTTAACGGTAGGAAATATCGTAACAGTTCAGCCGCGTTAGATCAGCGGAAGCGATAGGAAACATCGAAACAGATCAGACGCGTTAGATCAGCCTTAACGGTAGGAAATATCGTAACAGTTCAGCGCGTTAGTTTAGCGGAAAGATAGGAAATATCGAAACAGATCAGACGCGTTAGATCAGCCTTAACGGTAGGAAATATCGGAACAGTTCAGTCGAGTTAGATCAGCCTTAACGACAGGTAATATCGAAACAGTTCAGTCGCGTTAGATCAGCCTTAACGGTAGGAAATATCGAAACAGTTCAGTCGAGTTAGATCAACGGAAACGACAGGTAATATCGGAACAGTTCAGTCGAGTTAGATCAACGGAAACGACAGGTAATATCGGAACAGTTCAGTCGCATTATATCAGCGGAAACGATTGGAAATATCGGAACAGTTCAGTCGCATTATATCAGCGGAAACGATTGGAAATATCGGAACAGTTCAGTCGCGTTAGATCAGCGAAACTGTAGAAACAAATTCAATAGAGTTATGTATATAACTGTATATATCAGAATTAAGTTTCGACACAAATAAAAACAAAAATTATCTTTTGTTCATAAGTCTTAATTATAGGTGTCGTAAAAGTAATAAAATGTCACGCGAAATTCCTTTCACTTCCTGTACATTTTAACTTACTATAAAGCTATGTTCAACCTTCTAATTTTTTCATTGACATGCATTCTTGTATGTTGGAATCCATTAGTATGACAAAACAAAATGGGTGTGATTACAGAAACATCAACCATATCATTTCCTGTCCTACATAAGCCAGATAACATCTTTTGTTGGCCTATGCAAGCATCAGAAACAAACTGGATCAGTCCTAAATAAACCTTAGAAACCCAACATAAGTTTATAAAAACACAGTAAACATTCAACACATAATAAAACATTTTGATGACTAACAATATTTTATTTTTATCAGTCAAAGATGACATAAAACAAGGAACAAGTACACATTAACTTGTCACCTATACATAATGTTTAAGATAAAGGGTTGCTTGGATACTCAATGCACAGATTTTAAAGCTTCAAGTTCAATTATCCATTTGCAATGTGAATTCAAAATGCAAAATTTGTCAGCCAGGAATTAAATTTGTGGAGAGGCAATCAGGGTGACTACTATAGGGTAAAGGGCCTTAACAATACAGAAACATTTGGTGTAGTTTTCAATGTAATTCTCAATGATAGAAGTGATACTATAGGGTACAGGGCCTTAACAATACAGAAACATTAGGTATAGTTTTCAATGTAACTCACAATGATAGAAGTGATACTATAGGGTACAGGGCCTTAACAATACAGAAACATTAGGTATAGTTTTCAATGTAACTATAAGTGATAGAAGTGATACTATAGGGTACAGGGCCTTAACAATACAGAAACATTTGGTGTAGTTTTCAATGTAATTCTCAATGATAGAAGTGATACTATAGGGTACAGGGCCTTAACAATACAGAAACATTAGGTATAGTTTTCAATGTAACTCACAATGATAGAAGTGATACTATAGGGTACAGGGCCTTAACAATACAGAAACATTAGGTATAGTTTTCAATGTAACTCACAATGATAGAAGTGATACTATAGGGCACAGGGCCTTAACAATACAGAAACATTAGGTATAGTTTTCAATGTAATTCTCAATGATAGAAGTGATACTATAGGGTACAGGGCCTTAACAATACAGAAACATTAGGTATAGTTTTCAATGTAACTCACAATGATAGAAGTGATACTATAGGGCACAGGGCCTTAACAATACAGAAACATTAGGTGTAGTTTTCAATGTAACTCACAATGATAGAAGTGATACTATAGGGCACAGGGCCTTAACAATACAGAAACATTAGGTATAGTTTTCAATGTAACTCACAATGATAGAAGTGATACTATAGGGTACAGGGCCTTAACAATACAGAAACATTAGGTATAGTTTTCAATGTAACTCACAATGATAGAAGTGATACTATAGGGTACAGGGCCTTAACAATACAGAAACATTAGGTATAGTTTTCAATGTAACTCACAATGATAGAAGTGATACTATAGGGTACAGGGCCTTAACAATACAGAAACATTAGGTATAGTTTTCAATGTAACTCACAATGATAGAAGTGATACTATAGGGTACAGGGCCTTAACAATACAGAAACATTAGGTATAGTTTTCAATGTAACTCACAATGATAGAAGTGATACTATAGGGTACAGGGCCTTAACAATACAGAAACATTAGGTATAGTTTTCAATGTAACTCACAATGATAGAAGTGATACTATAGGGTACAGGGCCTTAACAATACAGAAACATTAGGTATAGTTTTCAATGTAACTCACAATGATAGAAGTGATACTATAGGGCACAGGGCCTTAACAATACAGAAACATTAGGTATAGTTTTCAATGTAACTCACAATGATAGAAGTGATACTATAGGGTACAGGGCCTTACAAATCCAGAATAATAAGGTATAGTTTTCAATGTAACTATAAGTGATAGAAGAAGAAGACAGGAAGAGAAGCTTCCAATTATTTTAGTAATGTGGTCAGCAAGTTTACCAATAAAACAAGATAAACAAACATATGATATCACATGATCTTGTAGCAGATCCTGCTTTTAACAAAATTTGTTTCTGAAAAATCAACACTTTATCTTTGCAAAGAAATAAAATATTTTGAAGAATAAACATAGAAAATAACTGCTGGTATATGGTATAAAACTTCAGGTCTAAAACCCTGCATTCCCATCAAAAGTGTTTCTAAAACATACAATACACAAAGGAATACAACAACAAAAACCATGGATTTTAACATTACATACATATATATAAGATAAGAATTAGATCAGGACAGTGACCATCAAAATTTGTAAAAAAAATTTAGAATGTATGTTTTTTGTTACTACTACCTTACTAAGAGCTGTACTACAGAACATATATAAAACACAGAAATGTATACTTTTAGGTAGATTCTCCAAAGCAATTAATTATCTCTAGCATTTACACCAACAAATAACGTAGATGCATACATGATAGGGTCTGTCATAATTTAATCTGAAATTGCTACTATCTACAGTATACAAAGAGATACCTTACTATTTTGTTTGTGGTGTAATGTTGTCACCATTGAAACATTTGAGATACACCAGGACACACAAGGAATCTACCATAAAGTTGTCCCATAAATATGAAATATTGAGTTAGGATTTGACAAGGACAAATTAAAGCTGAGAGTATGTGCTGAGGTATACTATATGCTATGATGGTAAAAAGATATGGCAAAACTTGTAATTTAATATGCATTATCACTTCTTTAGAAGCTCTTTCTCTACATCATACAGATTTGGTTTAAAGAAAACACACTCAACATCTATCAACAAAATTTCTGAAAAGGGATCTTGGCACCCATCATTTTTTCTTTTGTTCGTCCTTTAAAATTTGAATCTTATCCTCTCTTATTATCACCTTTCCTGTTTTTGTTCTTAATTATACAAAATTTGAGAGTTCTCTTCAGAATTAGCAATAATCCATGATGGTTGCCAGTCAGCCATTTCGTTTTCAAAAGTTCCAAAATCAAAATTGCACAAATAGCGACCAAGGGGAACAAATACATGAACTTGAAGAAACACATTTATTACTTCTGAAGAAATAGCGAAACTTTCATTGCCAAGATGGCTGTCGGTCATTTTGTTTCTCTAATCAGTCCAAAAATTAAACTGGCACAACTAGGGACCAAAGTGAACCTACAGATGAATTTTAAGAAAGAGCCATCCAGTTCTTTTGCAATGCCCTGTGACAACATCCTTCAACAATCAACATCTAAGATGGCCACCTGTCTGCCATTTTGTTTTCAATGATCTGTCTCAAAATTAAATTGGCACATGGGGATCATGGAGAACATATATACATCAAGTCTGAGAAATATCCTTCCAGTTCTTCTCAAGAAATAGTGATAACAAAGAATGTTTACAGATGGAGGTACAGACCAAGGATGAAGGGGATTTGAGCATTATCTGATGAAACAGGGATGAAAATAAATTGTACAATATCCATCTATTATTGCACAGACACAGATAAAATACTGAGTATTTAGGTATTTTTAACTTCAGATTGGTCAAGTTCATTCCTGCTATATCTTACCTAATTGGTGGTCTAAGGACAGTAGATCTAATACCAAGACTTTTTCGTTGTGAAAATCCACTTGTCAGTACAACCTGTTTGAATGGCAAGCCAGTGTCGGATCTGTTCCCATCACTTTGGAAAGAACTGTTATAACTATTATTTGTGTCTGTCCTGACTACCGATTCCCACTTAAAGTATTCACAACCTTTTCTGTTTTCCTGGGGTTTACTTGGGCGAGACCCAGCACCACAGGTGAAGAAAAATCGGCCCATGTTAGGCCCTGGTGTTTGAGCCATGCGTCTCTTTGATCGCTTACCACAGCGACATAGAGGGGGAGTTTCCTTCATACCGCTTTTTCTGTTGTCTGACTTTCTGATGGAGGAATTCGTTGGCGTAACATAACTAGTAAATGAGGTCAAGGTTTCCTGTCCTGTTGATTTTCCAGAGAAAACAGAGGAGTTCATGGTCCTGGATTGAGGATCCTCCATCTGAAGTGGAATTCTGAATGATGCAGATTTAGACTGGTGCTTAGAAGAATCTTTCCCTTCTATGTTTGGGACTGTTATTTTGATGTTTTTTGGAGTTTTAAAGAAAGTACTGTTAATTTTTGTTGTCTGGTTGAGTTGTCGTGTACAACACAAGATATTGTTGTCTCTGCTTTTCAGGCCTGTAAGTGATTTCTTACCATTTTGTTTGGATAAACAAGTCGCTGTTGAATTTTCATCACCAGGATCTCTGTAAATCTGATCCACAATGGACAGTTTCGTTGTGGTTGAAATGTTTCTATGATCTGAAGCTTTTGGTGACCTTACTGGTATTTTACTTCTAGCAGTCCTTGGACTTAATACCACAAAACCCAGAGCAGTGTTGCTAGGTTTCCTGGTGGGTGACGAAAGTGTGTCTGTTTTCCTTTTCTTGTGACATGGACTTCTGCTTGGACTTTTTAGGTTTTGGACATCAGACGAAGCCTTGTTGACTGCAACATGGTGTTCATCAGTCTGAGACATTCTCACAGCTGTACTACTGTCAACAGGCAGAGCTTTAGGAATTCTTGTTTTACTACTGGACTCCTCACTCTGACAATAAACAACAAACAAATCTAAGGGTAAACAAATTTTATTTTGTAAAGCATAGTTACTATATCACATTAAATAAAAACACTGCTAGATATGCAATCTAAAATGAAAACATTTCAAATCTAAAAATTATATCATTGTCTAATTAATTTGCATCTCTCAGTATCACATAACTATTGTAACGAGTTTTCTGTAATTAAACAAAGCATAAGTCAAATTTCTAAAATTGTTAAAATCACATCAGATGAAGTTCAAATTAAATGTTTGTTTTTTGTTACAATGATGTTTGTTCAAATGTAATCTTAACACCAACTTAATGTCATTGCCTGGACTAAAAACTACTAGCAATCCGTCATACCAGCTTGAGTGTTTTGGTGGTGGTCAACACACATCCATCTCTAGTCATTCTCCAGGCCAGTCGGGCAGTGTTACGGGAATCATGTAGACCTAGAAATAGAGCAGTGTAAAATATCTCTCATACCAGCATCAATGGTGTATCTATTATTTTGCTTATCATTCTGAACATTTCCATTATTTATGTCAGCATAAAATTTAACGTATTGAAGCTTCAGGTTTAATATCTGTCTGTTGTCAGAGATTTCTTCTTTTAGGATGTCAGTAATCAAAGGTATTCATTGTAGCATATTCAAATTTCACACAACTTATCTTCAACTTGATGACCAGTTGTCCAGCAAAACAAAAGAAATTTTATTTTCAATGATCTTAATACAATAAATGTACCAGTAATTAGTATTTTTTATTGTTTAAAAGTTCTATGACAAGTTCAGCAGAAACTTAACACTAGCAGCACTTTCAAAGATTAGAGATTTGAAAATAATAATACTATATTACATTTTAGAAAAAAGTAAAGTATATCCAGGGTACAAAAGGGTATCATATATAGTATAACAACAGAAGTTATATAGCCATCACTGAATTTCAAATAACTGAAAATCTTCCTTGTTATTCGAACAGTAGAGTAGAAAATGTTACTCGTGCTGAAGATTAATACAACTGACAGATGAATTGCCTGAAACAATCTAACAAAAGTGGATGGTGTTTTTCCTTAAAAAACTCAAAGGGAGACAATTACAAGAAACAAATTTCAAAGTACCAGAAGGTCAGTTCTGAGCTTTATTTTCTTTACTTTCTTTTTTTACAATAACTTTTTTTTTGCTAACTTTGTAATTAAACATAAAAAATGGAATTAAGGTAGGTAGAATAATTATGAGCATCAGTGTATATGTATGAGTTTTACCTGAATGTTCCCGCCCCTCAAATGTGATACCGAGGTCCTGCAGAGCTCCATTTAAACCCTGTGGCCGTCGGTTATAGAATTTCCTGTATGTTGCTCTCAGATCAATCCAGCTGTTAAGTTGTGCTGGCCTCAACAGCTGCTTTCTTTTACATTCATTGAAAAGACACACACCCAAATCCCAATCTGAAATTAATCAAACAAATGTTTAAATGTTTCAAAGACATCTTTTTAACAAACAATCCTCCCAAATTCACTCTGGATTGTAAACTGATAAGTCAAGCCTTAACCTAAAAGGAAGTCAGTGTTTTGGTGATATCACTTCTGGAAAATGATTTTTCGTCTGGTAGACATCTCAGAAGATTCTACATCTAAGTTATCTCATATCATGAAAGAGCTGTGGGAAGGAAATGAAGCCACATATGTTCTAATCATCCAATTACAAAGTTGAATTAATGCTACTATACAGTATTGTTATAACAGAGATAGATATCTGAAACATCACTCCAATAAGTGGACTGACAATACACCACATAACTTAATGGTGAAAATAATGGAAAGTAACTAGTGCAAATCACATCATACTTCCACAAGAAGTTTGATTACCATCCCTGAACTTTCTGAATTTCTAGATCCAAACACAACAAAATTCAGAGGAAAAATATAAATGACTGATATCAAATTAAAATACAATTGTATTTGTTTTACAGAAGATACAAATCCACAAAACTAGAAACCGATGATAAAATTAAATTGAATTACCAATTCTCAAAATCCATTAGCAGTTAAGACACACAGCTAAATTTAACTTTTAAACACTGGTGAAATTGACTGAGTCCTAAAACCCAAACACTAAAAAATTTCCTTAAATCAATTCTGGTCGAATGTACAACCCCCACCATCGCCCCACCAAAGATAAAAAATACCTCAAAGAACTAGAATGTTAAACTGGTTCAATTAAAATATACGATAAATTGAAGAGATGGCCAATGTAAAAAAAATTGTAGTGTACAAGTTAAACTGATATTTAAAACATGGCAAAGATCACAATACCTGACCATGTGACAAATGTGGTGGCCTTCAATCTTGACTGTTGACCCACAACAGGTGAGAATGTTATCCCCTTGTCCTTACACAGGCCATCTAACCACTTAGAGAACTTTTTCAGGCAAAATCTCAGAGGAATTCCTTCATCAACCTGTTCCTGTACAAGAGGAATTAGCCAGAAACAATTAGCAAACTTTGTGAAACACATAATTAATTTATGGTTTACAATAAGCTGATACATGCATATTGTATCATTGAATCTCCTTGTAAAGTAGAGATAGTCATCTACAAATGTTACATATAAATAAGGAACTTAATGAAATTCTGACACACTGAAAACATTTGGATATTTATGACATTCAAAAGGAAAAAGATCCTGAACACTTTTAATAAAACCTTATTCCATATATTGAATTAAATAGAACACTGATATTAATACATGTACTTGATTATATATATTGAAGCCTATGATATCAGGGACAAACAGATACAGTTTGTATAAACGTTCTGTTTCTTATATTAGCAGCATGCAAAGAACTATGTCACAACATAGACAGTCCGAGTGTGCCACAAAGAAGCAGTAGAATTTACCTGTGTGATGCCTGTCAGTTCCTGACAGAACTCACTGAGTATAGGCTGCTCCTGTGGCTGAACATAGTAGTGGAACTCACTTTCAATATCCCCTGTAGTTGTATTGAGTAGCACTGCTGGAAACTCAACTGGCAAAAGTGATACAAGTAAACAATGACTGACTTGAAATCTCAAACAACAGTATAAGTATATTAATAAAAAAGCAAAAAGTGAAGATATGAACTGAAATGGTCATGTTTAAAATTCATTGTGGTCAAATAATTAACCATGAATATTCATGAAGATGTCAAAACCAAAGGTACAGAAGCAAAAATCTTCAGGCATAAATCATCCATTAAAAAACCTTACACTCCCCGTAAACCATTCCATCCATTCTCACTCCCCGTAAACCATTCCATCCATTCTCACTCCCTGTAAACCATTCCATCCATTCTCACTCCCGTAAACCATTTAATCCATTCTCACTCCCCACAAACCATTTAATCCATTCTCACTCCCTGTAAACCATTTAATCCATTCTCACTCCCTGTAAACCATTCAATCCATTCTAACTCCCCGCAATCCATTATCACTCCCTGTAAACCATTTAATCCATTCTCACTCCCTGTAAACCATTTAATCCATTCTCACTCCCCACAAACCATTTAATCCATTCTCACTCCCTGTAAACCATTTAATCCATTCTCACTCCCTGTAAACCATGCAATCCATTCTAACTCCCCGCAATCCATTCTCACTCCCTGTAAACCATTTAATCCATTCTCACTCCCTGAAAACCATTTAATCCATTCTCACTCCCTGTAAACCATTTAATCCATTCTCACTCCCCACAAACCATTTAATCCATTCTCACTCCCTGTAAACCATTTAATCCATTCTCACTCCCTGTAAACCATTTAATCCATTCTCACTCCCTGTAAACCATTTAATCCATTCTCACTCCCTGTAAACCATTTAATCCATTCTCACTCCCCACAAACCATTTAATCCATTCTCACTCCCTGTAAACCATTTAATCCATTCTCACTCCCTGTAAACCATTCAATCCATTCTCACTCCCTGTAAACCATGCAATCCATTCTCACTCCCTGTAAACCATGCAATCCATTCTAACTCCCCGCAATCTATTCTCACTCCCTGTAAACCATTTAATCCATTCTCACTCCCTGTAAACCATTTAATCCATTCTCACTCCCTGTAAACCATTTAATCCATTCTCACTCCCTGTAAACCATTCAATCCATTCTCACTCCCTGTAAACCATGCAATCCATTCTAACTCCCCGCAATCCATTCTCACTCCCTGTAAACCATTTAATCCATTCTCACTCCCTGTAAACCATGCAATCCATTCTAACTCCCCGCAATCCATTCCCACTCCCGTTAACCATTCAATCCATTCTCACTCCCCACAAACCATTCAATCCATTCTCACTCCCCACAAACCATTCAATCCATTCTCACTCCCTGTAAACCATTCAATCCATTCTCACTCCCGTAAACCATTCAATCCATTCTCACTCCCTGTAAACCATTCAATCCATTCTCACTCCCGTAAACCATTCAATCCATTCTCTCTCCCGTAAACCATTCAATCCATTCTCACTACCTGTAAACCATTCAATCCATTCTCATTTCCCGCAAACCATTCAATCCATTCTCACTCCCCATAAACCATTCCATCCATTCTCACTCCCTGTAAACCATTCAATCCATACTCACTCCCTGTAAATCATTCAATCCATTCTCACTCCCTGTAAACCATTTATTCCATTCTCACTCCCCGCAATCCAATCCATACTCACTCCCTGTAAACCATTCAATCCATTCTCACTCCCTGTAAACCATTCAATCCATTCTCACTCCCTGTAAACCATTCAATCCATTCTCACTCCCCATAAGCCATTCAATCCATTCTCACTCCCTGTAAACATTTCAATCCATATTCACTCCCTGTAAACCATTCAATCCATTCTCACTCCCTGTAAACATTTCAATCCATTCTCACTCCCTGTAAACCATGCAATCCATTCTCACTCCCTGTAAACCATTCAATCCATTCTCACTCCTGTAAACCATTCAATCCATTCTCACTCCCTGTAAACATTTCAATCCATTCTCACTCCCTGTAAACATTTCAATCCATTCTCACTCCCTGTAAACCATGCAATCCATTCTCACTCCCTGTAAACATTTCAATCCATTCTCACTCCCTGTAAACCATGCAATCCATTCTCACTCCCTGTAAACCATGCAATCCATTCTCACTCCCTGTAAACAATTCAATCCATTCTCACTCCCTGTATACCATTCAATCCATTCTCACTCCCCGTAAACCATTCAATCCATTCTCACTCCCTGAAAACCATTCAATCCATTCTCACTCCCCGTAAACCATTCAATCCATTCTCACTCACACTACATGGTACAAATCTCGAGGTTACATAACGGTTTATTGCAGTGGCTTTTGAAGTTGGATGTCACTCCTTTGTAATACATTTTATATTCATTCAAAAAGAGCATATCAGCCTGTGATTGGACAATTTTTTCTCCTGGAACCAATCAAAGAGTGTACTTCACTTGTGCCTTCAATTTTGCCATGACATTTTCTAGGGGTCTAGAGATCAAAAGTGATTATAAGCTCTGGCGTATCGAGGATGACTTATAGCACTGCAAACCTTCTTATTGATGCTTACTGAATGAAAATCAAACAATATATGCTCTCTCTTTGACAAATTTCTAATTCATGCTTTTTCATAGAAAACCTCTGAATTTTCACATTCATTCATTGACCTCCAACTTCCTCTAAGACTTACTGATTTCCTGTGTTTGGAATTTCTTCTCTTTCCAACAGGTGGATTCAAAGTCCAAAACTATAAGATATCCAAACGGCTGACCTGCACAAAATGAAAATCAATAGCTATGATATATGTATTTGTGGATCAGCATGGAAAAAATGAAAGACTGATGCATATGGATTCCAATGGGCATAAAAAAATCAACTAGAAATAAGGTGATATTTTAGATATTGAAGCTGACTGGTTGTGCTCAAAATCCTGAACCACAGATTGAAATTTTCTTTCTGAATCATTTTTTTACAACAGTCTATTTCATTCTGATTAAGTAAAAGGTCCCTGAGAGTAATTTAGGATATTTAGTTGTAACATTATAAAACAGGATTAATCGAAAATTCCAAAATTACATTATTTTCTCCTTTATTGGCCCCATAGTATTGCTGCATTTTTATTCTTATCAAAATTAAGAAATACTGCAAAACTGTCAGTTTCTACCAAAATCATTTTTTAAATATTTTCAAGAAATTGATTACATGGATGTCAACTTTTGCTGGAAATATAAAATTATGATTTTATATTGTGAATTACCGTTTTATCATTCTGGTTTAAGGCCAAAACTGGGGTCCATTTTCCAAAACTTTCTTTTGTTTCAATTGATTGGAGTACTTTCACTGTTATAAATCATGAACCTATTGTGTTGAATTTCCATTTCATGTCAATCTTTTCCTACAAGCTTTTAAGAAATAACAGAAAAAGATGTATGTGTTGTGAATCTTGATACAAGGTATTGAGAATTTCAGCACAAATGTTAAAAACTATCACAATTTATTTTTTATGCTTATTTTATATCCCTTCACCTTTAGGACATTAAATAACATAAATAATCCAAAAATTGACAATATGTTAAGAAAGAACTTCTATTAATCTAAACGAAATCTTACTTGGAGATCGTGACTTTTTGCTGCCAGCAGATGTTGATAGTGTGCGTTCCCTCAGAAGTCCAAGTTCCCTTAAATGATTGAATTAGTTGCTACTTAAATAACTGTTACATAATCAGAAAGACACAAAACTATAGTCATTAATTATAAGAAGAGTGGACATTTCCTCTTCTATTATTGATGTATTGATATTTACATTTTTATTGACATTGTCAATAAAAATGTAAATATCAAATGTCAATAAAAATGTAAATATCAAATGTCAATAAAAATGTAAATATCAATAACAGCAAAATACATATGAATATTTACGTCAAATTTAGGCAAATTCCTAACCGTTAAATTATCCTTTTGGAGACCCGGAATTTTTCGGTGTAACTGTGACTCAGTCTGGACGAAGGAGACATACATGCAGTTCGCCTACAGTGCAAGTAGGGTCATAGTGTTCTAGTGTGTGTGTTTCGAGTAAATCGTTTATCGTGAGTTAGCTAGACCGTAGATGCGGTTACCTTGCCAATTCTTTCGTAGTTTTCATTCTCTCCTCACAACCCCAAACAAGCCAGTTTGAAAATGCCGCACACAGTTTCTGTAAAGCATTCAATAGATTAGGATTTCCCCCATCTCAATCAACAGAGTGTTTTCAATAATAGAAAGGAAACCCATTACGATAAGCTTTTAAATGATACAGATGTAGAAAATAATAACACGTGAAACGTGAAGAATAATTATTTTTACCCCTGATATACCAAAAAGATGACCTCAACGAAAAGAATGCAGGATGTTTGCAGAATGAAAAAAGAATAGACGTTTGTATTATAATCATGTTTTTGTCTCTTTGCTTTTGATTACAACATGACACCTGAAGATAAATCTTCGGATTCCAAATCCTCTAAGAAAACCAAACGCATCGAGTCCAAGAAGAGAAAAGCAGCGGCATTCCTTCAACTAGCTAAAGACGTGGATGCGGTACGATGTTAAATATGAAGCAGGCAATGTCAACAAATAGTTGAGGTCCAAATGACACTCATGATGCCCTGTATAGATCTCTGCAAATACATATAAAGATTGGCCGGAAGAACTAAATGGGCTGCCTAGCTATCACCTTTTGATTCTAGGAGTCAAACATCATTATTCTCATTATTATTTGGAAAGTACACAAGAGATATTTTATATTTAGATTTGCATGAAGGTTAAATTATATAAGGACTATAGGATAAGAGAGACATCTTGGATTCGACAGTGAAAGTTTGTACAGACTGTTTTCAAGCATCACTAACTGGAGGATTAAGATCCCTTGCATTAAATCATATACCATCCATTCTAGTACTTTACTTCGATGACTATGTGTTGAAAAGATTTCCCTTTTAAATAATTTGTTTATTAAACTAACTTATATATATATTATTTATTCAGTTATAAAACAGAGTATTATTTTATACATCTGACTGTCTTTAATATTCATTTGGGATTATTTTAGACTGATTATGTACAATTTCAAGTTAGACTCTATGACCCCACAAGGAGAACTCTACCTTTAGAATCGTACTTAATATGCCTCATGTATAAATATATATTTACCAGTATATTTTATCAGTGTATTTTTAAAAAGGTTAAAACCAGTTTGGAGGACTCTGATGATGAAGATCACACACAAGCAAAGATACAGAAAATCCCAGAAGCCTTTGGGAATGTTGCATCATTTGTTCCACAAGAAACGTCGGCAGAAATTTTAAAGGGAAAATCTATGGAGGAGAGCAAGCCCAAATTATCAGGGGAAGCCCTGCTGGAACTGCGTAAAGCCTTACGAGAAAGACAGAAATTAAGCCAGGTAATTTGACTTGAAAATAAATGACACAGATACTGGTAATTCACACAAGTATTAAGATTTTAGACAAATTAACATTATTGTGTGATTGTTTAGTGGCTGTACATCAGTGTGAAATTTTGGTTTTTCTTTACAAAACATCTTAACATGATTGTAAAAATGTTTCTAACTGACATGCAGGTCTATGATAAAAGATTTGGACATGAACCAAATTTTATAGTCTTAATGTATTTAGAACTTGTAATAACTTAACATCTTCAATATATGAGACCAAGCATCATGATTTGTTTCGCTGTTTGTGGAGATGGTTAAGTATATTTATTAAAAAAAATTATATGGAGTAAATTTTGAAGGTCGTGTTGGGATCATGTTACAACTTAAAACAACATTTACACCAGAACCATTACATGTACCAATCTGCTTTTTCAAACATGAGTATAGTATGTGACTTGGTAAAAAACTACAGCCATCTTGTATAGTCTGTCATTTTGTGTTTATTTGTTTTTTCAGGATAAATCCAAGCTGTTTCTCACACTGGATGACCTTGCGTCAGAATATGGTGTCATGCTGTGTAAAGAAAGCCCAGTTCCTACATTACCTCCCCTGTTTATGATGGATGTACAGCACTTGTTGCTGTATGCATTACAGGGTAACCTGTCCTCTTACAGACCGAGGTAAATATAAGGTTACATCCTTGTTACGTGATGGTACCATGACAAGACTTACAATAAATAATGCACAGAGCAGTGATGATTCTTGCTAAATGATAGCCAAATCATATGTATGCTAACCAGGTCATATGATGGTGTTGTCATGCTAAATGATAGCCAGGTCATGTTATTGTATTATGCTAAATGATAGCCAGGTCATATGATGGTGTTGTCATGCTAAACGATAGCCAGGTCATGTGATTATGTTACTGTGCTAAATGATAGACAGGCTATGTGATTATGTTAAATGATAGCCAGGTCATGTGATTATGTTACTATGCTAAATGATAGCCAGGTCAAGTGATTATGTTACTATGCTAAATGATAGCCAGGTCACCTGATTTTGTTACTGTGCTAAATGATAGACAGGCCATGTGATTTTGTTACTATGCTAAATGATAGCCAGGTCATGTGATTGTGTTACTATGCTAAATGGTACCCAGGTCACGTTATGCTGTTTTTAAGTTTAAGTTGTATGTTATATCCATTAGAACTTTGTCTAGATTTAAAACTAAGACATGGCTGTGTGATCTTTGACCTGTCTTTAGGTGGTGTAAGTTGCTGAGACCCAGCAAGATTGAAGGGGTGGTAGTCATTGTGTTGGATGGTGTTGGCAGTGATGACTATCAAACACATCCAGAGTGCTTTCCAAATATACAGAAATATTTTGAAATGGTGAGTAAGCTGTAGATGTTGATATATTTCATTTTATGTGATATTGAATGTATCAGAGTGATAATACATAATTCATTATGTTTGTACATGCATACTGTGGAAAGATTAAGAAAAATTTTGACACAACACAAGATGTACAGAATTTCTGTTTTCCATTTTTTAAAAAATAATATTATATTTCATCTGAGAGATTCAACAGCATGAAATTGAAAAGACATCAAACAACAGGTATAACAGCTCTCTTCAATTGTGCATTCATTAATATACCCGACTTCTTTATATTGTTTTACTTGGATGTTGTTTTATAATACATATCTATTATCATACTGATGTTGTTTTAGCTGTAGTTGCTGGACATTCACGGTATGTATAATAACACAGTCACTAGCAATGATATGGAACAAACCATAAACAAACCATCTACACATATTTATTTCTGAGAAGTGCCAAACAGTTAGCATTAACTTGTACTGGAACCTGATAATACTGGAATATGAATTAACTTTACAGAATGTATTAAGATATTACAAGATTTCTTTTATTCCAGTCTGTAGACATGGTATCCCCTGAAGAATATGGCTCTTCTGTTGCGGAGGAATTACTGTATGTTCCATTGTCACTCAGAGAAAAGATGAAGCGCAGAGAAACTCAAAGTAAAACACAGATTGTTAATATTGAACCAATGGCTCCCATCATAGGGGGAAAAGTACCACAAACAGAGCCTGCCAGTGTGACACTTGAAACACAGGAAATTCACAAAGAACCAGAAATAAAGATAGAAAGTGAACTACTGCCAGCCTCTGATAGATTTCCTAGGACACACCTTTTATTGAGTACATCACAGATGGTGCTAGAAGGCTTCCCCATGCCAAACCTTAACACAAGTAAGGACTTTTTCTGTTATAACTGTTGTAACACCACATGTCAATACCCTATAAGTAGGAGAAGAATAATTCTATTTCTTTTTTTAATTAAAAAACACAATTTACATGAAATGATACAACTGTGGATATTGGGCAGAAGTAATTATTAAAATGTCTGTTTTCTGAAGTAGTTTTAATTACTACATAATGTTTTCACTAATTTATACCAATAGATACTATAATTTATTGTTATAGGACAACAATATACAATTATAGCAGTATTCACTAATGTATACCAATGGATGATAAAATCTATTGTTATAGCAGTATCACTAATGTATACCAATGGATGATAAAATCTATTGTTATAGCAGTATCACTAATGTGTACCAATGGATGATATAATCTATTGTTATAACTTGGTTGAACAATATACAATTGAAGCATGAGGTCAATTCATGATATTATCTTACCAACCAAGAACAGTATCAACAGGGACAGATATCAAAATTTCAAACTCTCTTACCGCTGTCATAACATAGTTGTACATGGCAGATTCAACCAAGTCCATCAGTTTCTCCATTCATAGAGGAAGAAGCCAACCTTGTTGGCATTGTTTTATGGTTTTTTAATAAAAATTGAAAGCAGATAAAGTTAGAAGTGTTTAAAAAATTGAAAACAAAATGTTCCCAATAAATCTATTTATGGAACCACACGATTTACAATGAATTTTTATACATTGTCACATGTGTCCATTTTGGCCAATAGAAAATGCGAAATTGCAATGTAAAATTATAGTTTTTTTATTCCAGGATATAGGTAACAGTGTTGACTACTGCTATGTTTATCATTTTCAGACACAGAATTCATCTACTCTAAAGATGACTATGGCACAGTAACTAACCACAGTCCAATTTTTGCCATAGATTGTGAAATGGTATGTACACACGTGATGATTTATTTCTACAAGATGATGTTGCATGAAAGTATGAGGAGGTATTCAATGTGAAAATTTCAGATAACAAGTTATAAAGGTGTAGTAATGTGACCATTTTTGTCCCTTGGCTGTTTGTGGAAAAAATATCTTTTTATGATGAAGTGGACTGTATCTCAAACAAAGTTCATTTTAGTCAGAAAAGACAGCTTTTCTCAAATCTCATTTCTTCAGAGAGTAGCTTTAGCTAAAATGTTAACATGAAGAATATCTCTTTACTCTTTACACACAATAAAACTGGGGGAAATGGTCTGACTGAAGGTACCACAATAGGGACGTCTTTTATCAGATGTTGGTAAATCTGACCACAATTGTGCTTGTCAGTATCAGATTTGGTGAAAAATTCTTTGAAATAGACATATGTTAGATTTTAATCATGATTTAAATGCCAGAATGAGACCAGCTTATTACTGACATCGACCAGCTAGAGTGAATAATTCTGGATCACACAGGTGTGTGTATTACTACCCTAATTTGTAACATATAAAAAGTGTCATGAATTCAAACAATATAACTTTATTCTGTATCAATGAATTAAGCTGCTGTTCAGTTAAAAGCATTAAGGCTAATGAAGTACTAAATAGGTTACCATATAAAACCGTAGGAGAATCATTCGCAACAAGAACAAATGTCACCAGTTAGTGGGTAATTTTTACTAATTGTCTACTAGTTTCGCCTCTATTCGAGGCTTCATCAGGACAATTTTTTGTACATTTTAGCTCCCTGAAGTACTTTTTTCAGAATTAACTATGACGTATTTACATTGACAATAGAGTAAGGGCAGATAAGCCCTAAAGTTGACGTTATACTTTGCCAAATTATGGTATTATTGAAGTTCATGAAGTATGCAAATTAATAATTAAAGTCCAATCAAAATAATAATAATGAAAAGCGTTTGTTGTTCATCATGGGTAGGCTAGTTCGTCCAGGCAAATGGTGGCATCTGATGTTGAGGCATAGGCCAGCTTCTTATAATCCACTAAGGGTCCAGGTAATTCTGTGGAGCTGATACTCTTGACGGAAGAGTTGTCGGAAGACGAGTCACTCAACAACAGGTCTCCCTTCAGTAGGTCAATGGAAATCTTATCTTCTGTTTGAGCTGGTTTTTGAGTATACGGCCCTGGGGGATTCCTCTCCTTGGCCGGTACTACCCTGAATTTGGCCTTCTCTAGTTGTTGTTTAGTAAGTGTTTCTAATGGTCTTATTTAAATAGGTTACCAATGACGTTTTGCATTCATTAACAACTGGCTGCAGTTTGTAGCTGTAACAAATTGAATATGTCATTCATTATGATATACCCTGGTAACCTCATATATTACTCATTCTTGATGTGCTATTGTATTTAAAGTGTTTGACAGTACGATTGAAAAGTGAAGTGACCAGAATTTCTGTAGTAAACGAGGACCTCGAATGTATTTATGATACATTTGTGAAACCACATCACAGAATCCGTGACTACGTTACCAAGTAAGTTCTCAATCTATCTGTAAAGACTGCTGAGGTGTAATATTAATACAGGGTACAAAGCTAGGGCTTAATTCAAACATGGAGATCTTTGTCTGAAAGCCCCAATACATGCATCTTTCACTATTTTTCTAACTTGAAGAAAATAAATGATTCTAATTATACAAATGTAGTAAAAATAATATCACGTGTTGGTATTGATAAAAAAGTGTTTGAAATTCACTCTTTGTAAACATGCCTTGATCCAGGTACAATCATTACTGAATAACTACACACCCTCATCCTGTCATCATGAAAACCTCACAGCAGGTGCAGCATTGCTCTTTACCTGTCAACACCCCTATACCAGTGTGCAAATATATATATATATATAGTCACATGATATTTTTGTGGTAGATTTTGAAACTAAGTATTAACATGGGTTAATATTTTCTGTGGGACAAATTTTTATAATTTTTATTTGTTTTGATATCCCCACCAAGTGTTACTCAATAGATACACAAGTGTAGCAATCAGCTTATATATATTTTAATCTGATCTTTCCATAGTTATCAAATGGAAGTTTTCTGAATCACAGGAAATTGCCAAATGATACATATATTTTGGCTTTAAAACTTGATTGGATTGACATAGAGTAAGGAGGTCTTTTGAGATGTGGGCTGGGGGAGTCTCTTTGGATTTACATAGAGTAAGGAGGTCTTTTGAGGTGTGGGCTGGGGGAGTCTCTTTGGATTTACATAGAGTAAGGAGGTCTTTTGAGATGTGGGCTGGGGGAGTCTCTTTGGATTTACATAGAGTAAGGAGGTCTTTTGAGGTGTGGGCTGGGGGAGTCTCTTTGGATTTACATAGAGTAAGGATGTCTTTTGACGTGTGGGGTGGGGAAGTCTCTTTGAATTTACATGGAGTAAGGAGGTCTTTTGAGGTGTGGGGTGGGGCAGTCTCTTTGCATTTACATAGAGTAAGGAGGTCTTTTGAGGTGTGGTGTGGGGGAGTCTCTTTGGATTTATATAGAGTAAGGAGGTCTTTTGAGGTGTGGGGTGGGGGAATCTCTTTGGATTTACATAGAGTAAGGAGGTCTGAGGTGTGGGGTGAGGTGTGGGGTGTGGGTGGGAGAGTCTCTTTGGATTTACATAGAGTAAGGAGGTCTTTTGAGGTGTGGGGTGGGGCAGTCTCTTTGGATTTACATAGAGTAAGGAGGTCTTTTGAGGTGTGGGGTGGGGGAGTCTCTTCGGATTTACATAGAGTAAGGAGGTCTTTTGAGGTGTGGGGTGGGGTGGGGAGTCTCTTTGGATTTACATAGAGTAAGGAGGTCTTTTGAGGTGTGGGGTGGGGAGTCTCTTTGGATTTACATAGAGTAAGGAGGTCTTTTGAGGTGTGGGGTGGGGAAGTCTCTTTGGATTTACATAGAGTAAGGAGGTCTTTTGAGGTGTGGGGTGGGGGAGTCTCTTCGGATTTACATAGAGTAAGGAGGTCTTTTGAGGTGTGGGGTGGGGTGGGGAGTCTCTTTGGATTTACATAGAGTAAGGAGGTCTTTTGAGGTGTGGGGTGGGGAGTCTCTTTGGATTTACATAGAGTAAGGAGGTCTTTTGAGGTGTGGGGTGGGGAAGTCTCTTTGGATTTACATAGAGTAAGGAGGTCTTTTGAGGTGTGGGGTGGGGAAGTCTCTTTGGATTTACATAGAGTAAGGAGGTCTTTTGAGGTGTGGGGTGGGGAAGTCTCTTTGGATTTACAAAGAGTAAGGAGGTCTTTTGAGGTGTGGGGTGGGGGAGTCTCTTTGGATTTACATAGAGTAAGAAGGTCTTTTGAGGTGTGGGGTGGGGAAGTCTCTTTGGATTTACAAAGAGTAAGGAGGTCTTTTGAGGTGTGGGGTGGGGGAGTCTCTTTGTAATTGCTGGTGACTCTTACTAAATAGTGTTACAGGAGGCCTGTTGCAGGCCATTCAGAGCAATTAGGGTTAAATGTCTTACCTAAGGACAAAACAAGGTCAGCACAGACAGATCCATTTCATACTGAGTATAGGATTAATACAGAGTAATACCGAGTATGGCATTAATAACAGGCATGGATTAAAACTCAAGTATCGTATTGATAACAGGCATGGATTAAAACTTGAGTATGGTATTGAGGTAACAGTGATTAATTGTAAAGATCTGATTAATACTGAAATGTCTTCATCAATAGAAATCTAATAATTCTGGTAAGAACAAAGCTCATCTGCTGAAAGGTTGTAATAGTGGACGTTAAACCTGTTAAATAGATTAATAAATAGTAACAAATGATAACTTTCTGATGTGACTCACAACAGATGTTTCTTGTCTTTAACAGATACAGTGGTATCACCAAGCAGATCCTGGACCCAGTACAGACACGTTTGAGTGATGTACAGAAATACTTGAGGAAAATTCTCCCAGATGATGCTATTTTATGTGGACAGTCACTGTGTGGTGACTTGAATGCTCTGCAGGTTTGTCAGTAATCACATTTTGATATGACACGTCATAAGCTGGCAGACTTCTGATATGTTTTGTTTTCAATGGTAAAAATAAACAAATTGAACAATTCTAGCATTTACTTGTTATATTAAGTTAGGGGAGTATAACTTGTCATAAGTTAGGGGAGTATAACTTGTCATAAGTTAGGGGAGTATAACTTGTCATCTGTCGGTCCACTGTCAAGGTTTGTCCAGCATAACTAAATCCATTTAAAATGATAATATGTCTGTCGAACTTGATATTTACTGAATCTAGATCACTGTGATTTTCTTCTCTTTGCTGGAATATAACTGAATCTGGGTAAAAGGTAAGATTCATCATAGATCCAAATCTTAGTGTAAATTTGCTGCCAATTTTTGCCCTTTTAAATATGACTGGTCTGGTTGACAGATGTTTCACCCATATGTGATGGACACAAGTGTGATGTACAATCTGAATGGCGACAGGAAGAGGAAAACAGGACTGAGGCGACTTGCATCTGTATTTCTCAAGTAATTTGTACTTTTTAGTTTTCTACAATGTTTGAATATCCATTATCCCACATAACTACATATTGATGACTCAGTCATCACTGTAATGGAGATAATTGATAATTACAGGTATTTTACATAAAGATATATACACAAATTTTACATTAATATTTGGTAAACTCAATGTTGGTCGTGCAAATGCTGAAAACAACAAATTTCGAGGCAGAATACCTAGAACTGAAGGACAAACATTGGTATTTGGAATTTCGAGGGAAAAAATATGTTATAAAATACAGTGTCACATCTTTGTGATGTCATAAAAGACAAGGTGATTGAGAGCATTATTGTAGGATTAATAGATTCTATTATCTGTTTGAGGTTGACTTATCTCAGTCAAGGGCTGACATTCTGTAAACTTTGTAACAGAGGTCATTATTTATTTCAATGCCTCCGCTAGGAATCGAACACGGGACCCCTGGCTTACTAGTCTGATGCTCAACCAATCGAGCTAAAGAGAAGTTCTCTCTAGCCGAGTGGTATATTGCGGCTAGTATTTAACCAGGGTTACACCTTCAAATAAGATATATAAATTATCTGAGACTGAGATAAAGCCATCTTGAACACAAGAATTGTATGTGGTAATGGAATCCCTACAGGCCTTGTTAGATATGTGTTTATGTTGTCCCAGTGCTTCACATCATTGAAGTAACAAAAGGATGAATTAATTAATGACATGTCATTAGTGAATTGTTACTGTTCTGTTGTCCTGACAGGGACCCCCCTCCCACCTGTCTCAAACTAATGGAGAGACACCTGTATAATTAATTGTTGACATGTCATTAGTGAATTGTTACTGTTCTGTTGTCCTGACAGGGACCCCCCTCCCACCTGTCTCAAACTAATGGAGAGACACCTGTATAATTAATTGTTGACATGTCATTAGTGAATTGTTACTGTTCTGTTGTTCTGACAGAGACCCCTCCTCCCACCTGTCTCAAACTAATGGAGAGACACCTGTATAATTAATTGTTGACATGTCATTAGTGAATTGTTACTGTTCTGTTGTCCTGACAGGGACCCCCCATCCCACCTGTCTCAAACTAATTTGATTGTTAAACTAAGGGATACCATGTCAGGCTTACTGAAGGATATATATAGCTGCTATTTTATAGACAAATGAATTTATTTACAGGCGTGATATCCAAGGGGATGCATCAGGCCACAATTCTATAGAAGATGCCTCAGCCACAATGGAACTCGTCAAGCTCAAGCTTGCCAATGGTACGACCTGGATGACAATGTGTTTTTGTAATCATTATTGTGTATTACATGTTGATTCATTTCATTGTATAAATACTGTATTCAACAATTGTTTCTCAAGAATTAATTGTAAACACTGGTTTGGCAAAATGAGTTACTCAAACGTAGTGCAAACCAAATGACAGTGGCATTGGAACTTGATTTACCAGTCTCAAAAACATTTAACATGATGTGTTGTGTGGGAACTTGATTTACATGTCTCTAAAACATTTAACATGATGTGTTGTGTGGGAACTTGATTTACATGTCTCTAAAACATTTTACATGATGTGTTGTGTGGGAACTTGATGTGCATGTCTCTAAAACATTTAACATGATGTGTTGTGTGGGAACTTGATGTGCATGTCTCTAAAACATTTTACATGATGTGTTGTGTGGGAACTTGATTTACATGTCTCTAAAACATTTAACATGATGTGTTGTGTGGGAACTTGATTTACATGTCTCTAAAACATTTAACATGATGTGTTGTGTGGGAACTTGATTTACATGTCTCTAAAACATTTTACATGATGTGTTGTGTGGGAACTTGATGTGCATGTCTCTAAAACATTTTACATGATGTGTTGTGTGGGAACTTGATGTGCATGTCTCTAAAACATTTTACATGATGTGTTGTGTGGGAACTTGATGTGCATGTCTCTAAAACATTTTACATGATGTGTTGTGTGGGAACTTGATTTACATGTCTCTAAAACATTTAACATGATGTGTTGTGTGGGAACTTGATGTGCATGTCTCTAAAACATTTTACATGATGTGTTGTGTGGGAACTTGATGTGCATGTCTCTAAAACATTTTACATGATGTGTTGTGTGGGAACTTGATGTGCATGTCTCTAAAACATTTTACATGATGTGTTGTGTGGGAACTTGATGTGCATGTCTCTAAAACATTTTACATGATGTGTTGTGTGGGAACTTGATTTACATGTCTCTAAAACATTTAACATGATGTGTTGTGTGGGAACTTGATTTACATGTCTCTAAAACATTTAACATGATATGTTGTGTGGGAACTTGATTTACATGTCTCTAAAACATTTTACATGATATGTTGTGTGGGAACTTGATTTACATGTCTCTAAAACATTTAACATGATGTGTTGTGTGGGAACTTGATTTACATGTCTCTAAAACATTTTACATGATGTGTTGTGTGGGAACTTGATGTGCATGTCTCTAAAACATTTAACATGTGTTGTGTGGGAACTTGATGTGCATGTCTCTAAAACATTTTACATGATGTGTTGTGTGGGAACTTGATTTACATGTCTCTAAAACATTTAACATGATGTGTTGTGTGGGAACTTGATTTACATGTCTCTAAAACATTTAACATGATGTGTTGTGTGGGAACTTGATTTACATGTCTCTAAAACATTTTACATGATGTGTTGTGTGGGAACTTGATGTGCATGTCTCTAAAACATTTAACATGATGTGTTGTGTGGGAACTTGATGTGCATGTCTCTAAAACATTTTACATGATGTGTTGTGTGGGAACTTGATGTGCATGTCTCTAAAACATTTTACATGATGTGTTGTGTGGGAACTTGATTTACATGTCTCTAAAACATTTAACATGATGTGTTGTGTGGGAACTTGATGTGCATGTCTCTAAAACATTTTACATGATGTGTTGTGTGGGAACTTGATGTGCATGTCTCTAAAACATTTTACATGATGTGTTGTGTGGGAACTTGATGTGCATGTCTCTAAAACATTTTACATGATGTGTTGTGTGGGAACTTGATTTACATGTCTCTAAAACATTTAACATGATGTGTTGTGTGGGAACTTGATTTACATGTCTCTAAAACATTTAACATGATATGTTGTGTGGGAACTTGATTTACATGTCTCTAAAACATTTTACATGATATGTTGTGTGGGAACTTGATTTACATGTCTCTAAAACATTTAACATGATGTGTTGTGTGGGAACTTGATTTACCATCTCTACCATCTCTAACACTTTAAACAAGATTAGTTGTGATATGGTATTCAAGGTTGTTCTGTTTCTGAATTTGAGTGATAGAGTTACATACCTTGGGTCGGATACAAAGGTCAAGGTCACTTTGGGTCAAAAGATAACAAGCCTCAAGTATGTGTTGTGAAAGATGCCCTGCTTTAGCATGCCTTTATCCATCAATACAGATATTTGTTAAAAATCTGGTGATGCTGTTGAATTTAAGAATGCTATTTACCATTTATAGTGTATGTGTGTTTCAATGTCATTATGACAGATCTTACATATATGTGTTAAATTTGATATTGCAGACATTGCTTTTGGTGATTGTGTGATTGGTGGAGCAATATTTCCACCAGAAGAGAAAAGTGATGTGGAACCAAAACCTGATCTGCAAAGTGTTCAGGCATCTGAGGAGGAAATAAAGGACCAAAACACTTCAGTGGCTGTGGAGCTCCAATCAAAGTCGGAGTCTCTATCACATACACAAATCGTCGCTAGAAAAAAATCCTTCTTTCACAATATTTCAAACAGCCAGTACAAAAGTCTGTTCAGTATTACAAAAGATGTGAAGAAAACAGGTGAGTTGTAATGATAAAGTTCTTTTTAGTGTCAGTAGACTGTTAGACATTTTAATTGACTGATTGCATCAGATTCCACATCATTAGGACAAAATGTTACATTTCTTGAGCATACACAATATACATTATTACAAGGAAGCTTCATAGATATCCATAGTACATGGATATGCCTTATCCCTTATGTATGCAACATTCAGGTTTAAAATATATACCAGGTTTCTCATTAAAAGCTGAAGTAGCTTATATCACACTCTATTTTAAATGTCTCACTTTCATTTTGTTATAACGAATTTCCTAGTGCCACTATACATCTTAATCTGTAATTAAACATTAAAGGCCATTAAGTTTATAGATAAAGGTCTTTATACTCTTCAGGTCCCATGGGCCTCTTGTTTCCAATAGCTGTCCCGGTGGTTGTGACCTAGTTTATTAAATGACCTTTCTCGTTTCCCCTAGCTGCCCTGGTGGATGAAGCATCTGTTGTGCAGCAGCATGCCGATCAGGAAGTGGTTGCCATAGTGTCTGATTGTGACAGGACTAGTAAGTCACTGTCGAAGTCGTATGTAGAGTTCCATGATTTTGTCTACACATGCTTTCCCTCATACAAGAAAGAGGACACAGGAAAACTGACGGAGGAGGAAAAACAGGTAAAAAAGTCAGAGCAATAATACCGTTATTTACTGTAGTCAGTGTACCATGTCGATGGCTAGTCTGATTGATATGGTTAGATATCAACAGGATACTGTTTATAAAATAGGTGTATTATTTTGGTGAGCTATTGGATGTTACTTCATGAGTAATATGTAAATTTAGATAATAATTTGTGTAATATGAATTTCTGCATTTATTGGAAAATCCTCACATTGAATTTAGCTTAAGTATTCATTTTAATATTTCAAAAACCTTCCATACATACAGAAGTTTCTAGAATGACAAACATGAATATGTCGTTAAGTAATAGGTTGGATGTTATAAAGCATGTCTTTAACCTTGGTTTTACAGAAACTGCTTGGCAGAATGGATAAACGGCTGGGAAAGGTGCTGAAACATACCAAGGTTGGCAGTCTAGTGACAGTGATTTTACCAGGACAGTCTTCTTCAGGAAAATGCCAATGTGCCAAGACTTTCATCAAAATTGTCTGAACTGCAGATTTTTCTGTTGTTTTTATATCATTATCAAACAGAAACTCAGAGATATATAGTTGATTGGTATACTTTGGAATGGCCGACTTTCACAGCAGGATGGAATTTTTTTTTTTCATTTTTATTAAAATGACAATTTCTACATACTTTAAGAAATTGCTAGGAATGGTTAGTTGTAACAAAGTTTGTTCCCAGCAATTTGTTCTCATAGTAGTATGTACAGGCCAACTGCTTAAAACTTCAATCAGTCATCATTAAAAATCTGACCAAGTCCAGAAGTAATGCAAGTTTGGAACAGTGTGTACTGTCAATGCCATGTAACATCCATTTACATAATTAATGTGACATACTCTCATTTAAAATATAAAATCGTTTCTATTATCAGCTTGCTTTGTTTTATGTTGAAAAGTTATTTCTTGGATGTTGTGAAATAGCATACACATGCTCCTTTATCTGAATACACCTTACAATATTTATCTTAACCGACCAAAAGGCATGTGATCAGCTGATAATTATGCCATGATGTCTGTTATCCATACATCAGGTGTCAACCATTTTCTTACAAGTACTCTTAAAGAACTAGACAGCCTGGGGTTAAGATAATTTGTCTGTAGCAGCATGTGTTCATGGTAACAGGGTTTAGTGTGTAAAATATTTCAGCAATTTCTTCTCATGAAACCATATTGCCGCATCTTGATATTGAACAAGGATCATTCTGGGATAAAGGCTATCAAGTTTGTTCCATTGAATGACCTTGAACCACTTTGAGTCACAGGGTTGTAATGTGTTCAAATGACTTCACAAAAAGAATTGGGGTAAATCTGTGCTTTTGGTTTTACCTTCTCTTGCTGAACAGTCAATCATATTCCTCTTGTAAGTTTTATCAAACTAGTACTGTTGTCAACCTCATTTGACATTTTTAGACCATCATCAGATGATGGTTGGCTATTTAAATTGCTCTGCGTCAGTCTGTCCATTGTCCATCCATCTGTGAACAACTTTTCTCAAATTGCATTTGTTGGTTCCCCTTTGTCCCTAGTTGTGCCATTCGATTTTGGGTCTGATCAGAAAAACAGAATGGCCCAACAATGACCTTCTTGGATTTTGACTTTGAAAGTTTGTTAATGCTATTTCTTGAGAAGTACTCGATGGTTCTTTCTCAAATTACATTTGTAGGTTCCCCCTGGTCCCTAGTTGTGCCCATTCGATTTTTGGTCTGATAAAAAAGACGAAATGGCTGACAGGCAGCCATCTTGTATTTTAACTTTTTAAAATTTGTTATTGCTGTTTCTTAGAACGCACAGGATGTATCTCTTTCAAATTTCATAAGTAAGTTCCTCTTTGTCCCTAGTTATGCCCATTTAATTTTAGGTCTGATCAGAAAAACAAAATGGCTGACAGACGGCCATCTTGTATTTTACTTTGCAAGATTGTTATTGTTATTTCTTGAGAACTGCTCCGTAGATCTTTCTCAAATTTCTTATGTTGGTTCCGCTTTGTCCCTAGATGTGCCCATTTCATTTTGGGTCTGATCAGAAAAACAAAATGGCTAACAGCAGGCCATCTTGCATTTGACTTTGAAAGTTTGTTATCGCTATTTCTTAAGAAGTACTGGGTGGATCTTTCCTAAATTTCAAGTGTATGTTCCCTCTTGGTCCCTAGTTGTGCCTATTTGATTTTGGAACTGATCAGAAAAACAAAATGGCTGACAGACAGCCATCTTGGATTTTGACTTTGAAAGTTTATTAACACTATTTCTTGAGAACTACTGCAAAGATCCTTGATACCAAGTTGTGCCTGTTTGATTTTGGTACTAATCAGAAAAAACAAAATGTCCCACAAGCGGCCATCTTGGATTTTGACTTTGAAAATTTGTTATCACTATTTCTTAAGGTCTAACGCAGCTAAAGCTATAACTCTGTAAATTACAACCCAATATAAATTGTCCAACTCATCCAAGATCTTACTGATATATGGTTGCACATCATGTTTCATAAAAATTTGTTCATATTTACTCAGTTATTGTGTTCCCAAGGTCCATAATGAAATTGCAAAGGGCCCTAACTTTGTAAATTACATGTACATTCAAATCAATTTCAATGTCAAACTCATCCAATATCTTATTGTTATATGGCTACTAACAGTTCCAGCAAAATCAGTTCATATTCATTCTAGTTATTGTGTTCACAAGAAAAAGTAAATGCACAACACATGGCGACAGATGAACAACGATCACTAAAGGTCACCATGATATCAAAACGAGAGAACAGGATGTATTTAGATGAATGACCTCTTGACCTCTTGCTGAAATACAAATCTAAGGTGAAATGACATTTATTTCATCTTGTGTGACTGTACAATGGTTATCAGCAACAACATAACAGCATGGAAACTTTTTATCATTTTAATTTGTTTTAAATACTTTATTTTCATGCAAAGATTTTATTTTTTAAACATATCTTAATTACAAACCAGATATAAAATTTGATTGCACTACTTGTAGCTATAACATTTGCATAGCAATAAACAACAATTGAAAACCAGACTAACAAAAACAAGGTCATAGAATGCTAACACATATATGTGGAACAGACTTTCAGCATTGGAATTAAACACCTACAAATACCTTCAACTCTTTATAGTACCCATGTTGCTGGTCTTATTCCAACTTTATTCAGAAGAAAAGATGAAAATCAAATTCTCCTTCAGAATGTTACTGAAGAAGAATTTAATATATACTTGCCAATAATCATTCCTTACAGATACTGTACAAGATACTTGGCAGGTATCATCTTGTACATCCTAAATTAGCCATAACAGTCTGCTACGCCACAAAAATTGTATCATCATTATGATTTACACTACAAACAAGATAACACTATGATTCCTCCTCCAGTTGGAAATGTATTCTCATCAATACTGGTCTATTTAGAATATCATTAATATCAGACTTTTACTGATAACTAGGTCACATTGTATAACAGTAGTATTACATTGTGTTAACATAATACATTGTATTACTTACTGATAACTAGGTCACATTGTATAACAGTAGTATTACATTGTGTTAACATAATACATTGTATTACTTACTGATAACTAGGTCACATTGTATAACAGTAGTATTACATTGTATTACTGATAACTAGGTCACATTGTATAACAGTAGTATTACATTGTATTACTTACTGATAACTAGGTCACATTGTATAACAGTAGTATTACGTTGTGTTAACATGATACATTGTATTACTTACTGATAACTAGGTCACATTGTATAACAGTAGTATTACATTGTATTACTTACTGATAACTAGGTCACATTGTATAACAGTAGTATTACATTGTATTACTGTCTAGGTCACATTGTATAACAGTAGTATTACATTGTATTACTTACTGATAACTAGGTCACATTGTATAACAGTAGTATTACATTGTATTACTTACTGATAACTAGGTCACATTGTATAACAGTAGTATTACATTGTATTACTTACTGATAACTAGGTCACATTGTATAACTAGTATTACATTGTGTTAACATGATACATTGTATATGGCTACAGTAATTCACACCGATAACTAGGTTACATTGTATAACTCGGTGTTATGACCTTGTGTCGACACGCTACATCACATTACCATCACATCAGTACATACACAATCTGGGTACATAATATATAATAACTAGTATTCAAACTGATAATCTGGGTAAATTGTTCCACAAAAATGTTCAAGAACTTTCCGTTGTTAAATAAATGTGGTGATTCCACTATCTTAAGCTTTAAATTAACAAAAAAAAAAATTGTACAGATAAATAATCAGCTGGAACACAAAGGTCAGTTTGTATGTACATTTCGTTTATAGATAACACTTGATGCTTTTGTTAAGCACACTGCTGCAACATTTTGTTCACACTAAGCAATGATATAAAACATGACATACAGTTGTGTGGATCATTTTTTTTGCAACAAGTGTGAAATGCTTATTAAGACTGTCTTCCCAGGAGATTTGGGTTTGGTTCACTGTCTACAATTGTTATAGCTAATTTTAGGTCATGACACAACAACATAAAAAATAAATAATATTCTAAGGTCAGAAAAAACAGCTTTTCTTCACTTACATTAAAATCTGATGTTATTATATTAAACAGATAACATTAAAATCTGTCAGGATTATAGAATCTGATGTTATTGTATTAAACAGATAACATTAAAATCTGTCAGGATTATAGAATCTGATGTTATTGTATTAAACAGATGACATTAAAATCTGTCAGGATTATAGAATCTGATGTTATTGTATTAAACAGATGACATTAAAATCTGTCAGGATTATAGAATCAGATATCATTGTATTAAACAGATGACATTAAAATCTGTCAGGATTATAGAATCAGATATCATTGTATTAAACAGATGACATTAAAATCTGTCAGGATTATAGAATCTGATGTTATTGTATTAAACAGATAACATTAAATTCTGTCAGGATTATAGAATCTGATGTTATTGTATTAAACAGATAACATTAAAATCTGTCAGGATTATAGAATCTGATGTTATTGTATTAAACAGATAACATTAAAATCTGTCAGGATTATAGAATCTGATGTTATTGTATTAAACAGATAACATTAAAACCTGTCAGGATTATAGAATCTGATGTTATTGTATTAAACAGATTCTTTTCATTTATTTCAACAAAATTTTCTAAAGTTTAATTCTCTTGTGTTTAAAATGTTCAAGGTTGTATAATAGATTACCCCAATAGCTGTTACTTTGAGAAAGTGACAAAGTAATCTTATACCCGAGGATGTTAACCCCTGGATCTGTAAAGATTGGAAAAATCTTACCCATGGGTTGAGGTTTCTCTGTTATACCCACAAGGAAAGGAATGATTGTTTCACTCCAAACTATTTCTTTCAAGTCTTGTTCATATTCTCAAAACAAATGTAGATATAAGTATGAATATTCACTGTAATGGCAGTGTGCCTTTCCTTTAAATCTGTATACCAGAAGATTTACACAAGTGAATAGAGGTCTCCAGTATTGGTGATTCACAGCTGTTCACCGAGCAACTTACTTTAAATATCACATTGATACAAACAATTTGTCTGGTAATTGATACAACAGTCTGTGACTTTAAAGCACTTAGATATGTAAGAAATACATGGGAAGCATGCATGTTTTAAAATCATTCTACATGTGTATTGTAACATTACTCCAACAGACAGACAGCTCATGCAGTTTATCAGAGTAAAATTTGGATGCTAATGTATAAATGGTGGGAAGTTACCTGTCGTCGGTAGCCACCAGACATATGTCAATCACAACCTCAACATTTATCTTTTGTTTTAAGAGTTTCTGAAAGCATGTTAACTTGATCATGGCGATACAATATACACATTATATTTATTAAGCACTCACTATTCAGAAATAATACATGGGACACAATCAGATTTAGGGACAAGGAGTTTTGTGTTACGTAAATACTAATGTGACCTCCGTATAATACTGTTTCATTCAAAGAAGGTGCAAGTTCTATCAACTGTTTATAAAGGATGTATTAAACTAGAGCATATTACCCTGATAAGTATCTCATACAAGGAATAAATACATGTAATACATTTTATAGGCAGTATCAAAATCAGGTTAAGATACATCTAGTAATGATAAAAAATACCATCTAGTCAGGGTAAAGGATACCACTAAGTCAGGGTAAAGGATACCACCTAGTTAGGTAAAGGATACCACCTAGTCAGGGTAAAGGATACCACCTAGTTAGGGTAAAGGATACCACCTAGTTAGGGTAAAGGATACCACCTTATCAGGGTAAAGGATACCAACTAGTTAGGTAAAGGATACCACCTAGTTGGGGTAAAGGATACTACCTAGCTAGGGTAAAGGATACCACCTAGCTAGGGTAAAGGATATCACCTAGTTAGGGTAAAGGATACCACCTAGTTAGGGTAAAGGATACCACCTATTTAGGTAAAGATTTAGGTAAAGGATACCACCTAGTTAGGGTAAAGGATACCACCTAGCTAGGGTAAAGGATACCACCTAGCTAGGGTAAGGGATACCACCTAGTTAGGGTAAAGGATACCACCTAGTTAGGGTAAAGGATACCACCTAGTTAGGGTAAAGGATACCACCTATTTCGGTAAAGGATACCACCTAGTTAGGGTAAAGGATACCACCTAGCTAGGGTAAGGGATACCACCTAGTTAGGTAAAGGATACCACCTAGCTAGGTAAAGGATACCACCTTCATAAAGCAAATGATATCATAGCTTCTATGATATTAATGAAAGAAAATATTAGGTAATTGCCAGGTACCCTTTACCTTTATCAAAATGTGTGTAACATGAAAACAGACAACTATTTTTTTTCAAAGGAATGATACTAAAACAAGAAATCAGGATTACTTTTAAAATATTGCACATGCATATGAACTCAAAAGGCAGAGATACATATACCATTGTTATTTCAGTCTATACCTGTCTATTGTTATCTCAGTCTATACCTGTCTATTGTTACCTCAGTCTACACCAGTCTATTGTAACCTCAGTCTATACCTGTCAATTGTTACCTCAGTCTATACCTGTCTATTGTAACCTCAGTCTATACCTGTCTATTGTTACCTCAGTCTATACCTGTCTATTAATACCTCAGTCTACACCTGTCTATTGTAACCTCAGTCTACACCTGTCTATTGTAACCTCAGTCTACACCTGTCTATTGTAACCTCTGTCTATTGTTACCTCAGTCTATACCTGTCTATTGTTACCTCAGTCTATACCTGTCTATTGTAACCTCAGTCTATACCTGTCTATTGTAACCTCAGTATATACCTGTCTATTGTAACCTCAGTCTATACCTGTCTATTGTAACCTCAGTCTATACCTGTCTATTGTTACCTCTGTCTATACCTGTCTATTGTTACCTCAGTCTATACCTGTCTATTGTAACCTCAGTATATACCTGTCTATTGTTACCTCAGTCTATACCTGTCTATTTTAACCTCAGTATATACCTGTCTATTGTAACCTCAGTATATACCTGTCTATTGTAACCTCAGTATATACCTGTCTATTGTAACCTCAGTCTATACCTGTCTATTGTTACCTCAGTCTATGACTGTCTATTGTAACCTCAGTCTATGACTGTCTATTGTAACCTCAGTCTACACCTGTCTATTGTAACCTCAGTCTACACCTGTCTATTGTTACCTCAGTCTATACCTGTCTATTGTAACCTCAGTCTATACCTGTCTATTGTTACCTCAGTCTATACCTGTCTTTTGTAACCTCTGTCTATTGTTACCTCAGTCTATACCTGTCTATTGTTACCTCAGTCTATACCTGTCTATTGTAACAGTCTACACCTGTCTATTGTTAACGCAGTATATACCTGTCTATTGTTACCTCAGTCTATACCTGTCTATTGTTACCTCAGTCTATACCTGTCTATTGTAACCTCAGTCTATACCTGTCTATTGTTACCTCAGTCTATACCTGTCTATTGTTACCTCAGTCTATACCTGTCTATTGTTACCTCAGTATATACCTGTCTATTGTAACCTCAGTCTATACCTGTCTATTGTTACCTCAGTATATACCTGTCTATTAATACCTCAGTCTATACCTGTCTATTGTAACCTCAGTCTTTGACTGTCTATTGTAACCTCAGTCTACACCTGTCTATTGTTACCTCAGTCTATACCTGTCTATTTTTACCTCAGTCTATACCTGTCTATTGTTACCTCAGTCTATGACTGTCTATTGTAACCTTAGTCTATGACTGTCTATTGTAACCTCAGTCTACACCTGTCTATTGTTACCTCAGTCTATACCTGTCTATTGTAACCTCAGTCTATACCTGTCTATTGTTACCTCAGTCTATACCTGTCTATTGTAACCTCTGTCTATTGTTACCTCAGTCTATACCTGTCTATTGTTACCTCAGTCTATACCTGTCTATTGTAACCTCAGTCTACACCTGTCTATTGTTAACGCAGTATATACCTGTCTATTGTTACCTCAGTCTATACCTGTCTATTGTTACCTCAGTCTATACCTGTCTATTGTAACCTCAGTCTATACCTGTCTATTGTAACCTCAGTCTATACCTGTCTATTGTTACCTCAGTCTATACCTGTCTATTGTTACCTCAGTCTATACCTGTCTATTGTTACCTCAGTATATACCTGTCTATTGTAACCTCAGTCTATACCTGTCTATTGTTACCTCAGTATATACCTGTCTATTGTTACCTCAGTCTATACCTGTCTATTGTTACCTCAGTCTATACCTGTCTATTGTAACCTCAGTCTACACCTGTCTATTGTTACCTCAGTCTATGACTGTCTATTGTAACCTCAGTCTTTGACTGTCTATTGTAACCTCAGTCTACACCTGTCTATTGTTACCTCAGTCTATACCTGTCTATTGTTACCTCAGTCTATGACTGTCTATTGTAACCTCAGTCTACACCTGTCTATTGTAACCTCAGTCTACACCTGTCTATTGTTACCTCAGTCTATACCTGTCTATTGTAACCTCAGTCTAAAGCTCTTTATTTGTTCATTTTTGTTGCATAAAAACATTGACGAAATGCTTTTTATGCAGGCTCAACACTGAATGGAAGGCAACGTTCTGAAATAAAAATGAGGTTGACAATGCTAACATACTGAAAGCTTACAATTTTGAGACAAAGCTAGTAAAACTATTCCTAAAGCTGGTTATTATATACATCTGATATATACAATTTTTGAATTAACTTTCTTGAATATGAGACATTTTGTATATAAGACATTTCCCTGCTGACATGAAGTTCTCTCTCACTCTCTCTTTAGACACATATAAACTTAGCTGCATCTATGATCATGAAGAAAGTAATACAACAAACCAGACCGTTTCTTATCACACACGACTGCTTCAGAAACAAAATCTGGTTTGTATTTAATTTTGTAATCCTAAAAAAGAAAAACATTTAACCTACAAAATTAACATTCTGACATTTCTGTGATCAGATTAGTGGTAGAATGGATATGAGACTAATCCTGAACAGATTAGAGATTGAAACCCTGTTTCTCTTCATCCTTTATGTAATCATTAACCTTTACAACAGATACTCACTCTTCCTTATATTTCATTATTAAATATGTTTATATTACAATGTAACGGGGAGTGATGGAGTTAAGTCCTACAGGAAACTAATGGATGATTTGGATAGAAGACTGGAGAAGGAAGAAAACTCCTGATTATTTGGTGTAATTATTGTTCATTCTGGAACACTTTTCTGTGATAAGGATTTCAATAAATCTGGAACACTTCCCAATGACAGGGATTTCTGGAACACATTTCTCTGACCACAATTGATTGAAGTGTGTAAGTATATAGTCTTATAGTCTTGAGTTACCTCAGATAGACTTATACATATTATACATGTAGCAGGAGATGTAAACTTACAGATATTACAAACACACTAATACAACAGAATAGAACAAAGTACAGGTCACTGAAATGTTGTACTGTCCGAAATAATGAGAATATCATAATGATGAGACGTATCTATGTCTCATATATTTAAACTATTACACCAGATTTGACTTATCTATGTCTCATTTACTTAAACTATTACACCAGATTAGGTTTATCTATGTCTCATTTACTTAAACTATTCCACCAGATTAGGTATATCTATGTCTCATTTATTTAAACTATTCCACCAGATTAGGTTTATCTATGTCTCATTTATTTAAACTATTACACCAGATTTGACTAATCTATGTCTCATTTATTTAAACTATTACACCAGATTAGGTTTATCTATGTCTCATTTACTTAAACTATTCCACCAGATCAGGTTTATCTATGTCTCATTTACTTAAACTATTCCACCAGATCAGGTTTATCTATGTCTCATTTATTTAAACTATTACACCAGATTTGACTTATCTATGTCCCATTTACTTAAACTATTACACCAGATTAGGTTTATCTATGTCCTATTTATTTAAACTACTACACCAGATTAGGTTTATCTATGTCTCATTTATTTAAACTATTACACCAGATTAGGTTTATCTATGTCTCATTTATTTAAACTTTTACACCAGATTTGACTTATCTATGTTTCATTTATGTAAACTATTACACCAGAAAGCTGACCTGACCAATACAATTGCTTTTTCTCATTTTGCTTCAAATTACAAACCCATTTTATGTAACGAAGTCTGATGTGAAATGAGAAGATTTTAACTAGATGGACTAATACCAAATAAGTCACTGAATACCAAATGCCATGTCATGGATGACGTGTCTCTCACCAAAAACTGTCACAGTTGACCTGTCATCATTACTATGACCAACAACAATCAAATCTGACCTGTCACTATTACCTAAACCAACATCAGTCACAGTTGAACTGCCACCACTATTTTGAACAACAAAAGTTGATTTAGATCTGACATCATTACTTTAAACAACCACAGTCATGTTGACCTGTTCCTAGATCAACAACAGTTACAGTAGACCTGCCAATGTTACTCTGGCCGACTTAAGTCACTATTGACTTGTTACCATGACCGTGACCAACAACAGTCATGGCTGACCTGTCACCCTTAAAACAGTTGACCTGTTATCAGAGACATCCATGGTCATGGTTATGCTGCAAGGTAGTCGTGTCCAGTTCATGGGTAGTTATGAAACAGAACTAATCATGTGTTAGTACAGTTGTGTGAAACTGAGAGGAAATGTCGGGAAGTGTAATATTTAATACAGTGATTTGATAGTGTGCTTGTGATGATGTCTAAATAAACCTAGTTTTAGCTACGATGTTTATTTTCACTACAATACTGATTATATGCAGACTGCATGATAAAAAAGTGCTTTTTAAAACACATTTTCCAATACTTTTTCTGTAAAAACTTGACATCTTCTTCTTTCTCAGTTTTTTTGGCCATGTGAATCCCCAGGTTCCTACCTCGACTGAAGCCAATGCAGTCTCTCAACTCAATGTGTATTGGAAACATTGTGTCTATGGACAACTTTTCCTTTAGTTAAATGAAGGACTCTAAATATCTTAAATACACTCCACAGAAGTGATCTCTCATCATGTTAAAGCCTCCTTAGTATAAAAGTACAAATGAGCTCAGTTTTGCAGCCCACTAATGTAACTTGCTATATGTTACATCAAACCATATTACAGAAGCCTTACTGGGTTCAATACACATCCATTTTGTATTACACTTAGCACTTTCAGACATTGAAGAAAGTTATCAGATATCAAATGTTGGATTTACACAGGATTTTGGTATATATGTTTGTATTAATAAGTGATAAATATTACATTAAAACAAACTCTTATCTTTAGTGTCAGAAGACAAAAATATAATTGTTAAAATCATTTCCTTATCGAAGAAACAATTCCTTCAACACTTACGTGACTATCTTTTGGGAACAATTTTGACTGTGATATAAATAAAAGATTATGCAAGTAACAGAAGACATGGCAGGTTTGATCATGGGACATTTATCAACATTTGTACTCAAGGACTCACACATAAAATCATAGGTTGGAATGACAACTAACTAGAATAATTAGATGTGGCTCCTGCGAGTAAACGGCACAACCATCCACGTACTGACCGCACAATTTGTCTTGGCAAGGCGCACGGCTGAAGCTTGGACATCATCACTCCGCAGTTGACCAGGTAATCAGTGAAGTGTGTTAAGGAAAAGACTTGATAGGGTTTCATTTTTTATTTATTTACTATAAAAATAAGAAACCAGAGCTTTCATGTGAAATCACAGGTTGTTCACAGGCTGATGAATGCCGCTTTGTTGGCGAGACACTGCTGGTTGTTTACTTTCTCTCATGCATGATTTGATCATTTTCTTATTTATTTGTTTTAGGGAGACCCATTCACATATGCTTATGATTTGTCTCAAATAGTGAGGAATTTTCTGATAGAATGATTTGTTGTGTCTTAGAATTACTAGATATGGCATATATTACTATTCAATCAACTTAAGCAGAACCAGGAAGTGTAGGAATGCTTACTAGTGGTGTTGGAAACAATCTGGAAACAAAGTTTTTAGATGATGTTGATGCAGGCTCTTAGCCTAAAAATCACACATTTTTTTCTATTCTTTTCATTTCAAACACTTTCATTAAATTAAAAGATATTTTTTTTGCTTAAAATATGTTTAAAAAGAAAACAGAAAGTCTTCGGTGATAAAAAGGATATAGGAAAGACCAGGGTGGTTTTCCTCCATTGACATACAGTACATATAAGTATCCATCCCTGGGTTTACCCTGAATCGAGTAGTAATAAGGCAGGAAGCTGTGAGCTTGGAATCGACGCTTCTCATAGAACCGGATAGCAATAACATTTGTAGCAAGCACATGAAGGTACACAGCCTTACAGTTACATCGATCTTTTGATGTAAGGTAGGAAATTAGGCTGTCCAATAGCAAAGAAGCTGGAAAGTTTAAAATATACATTATACATGATTGTATTACTATTTCTAGGATATGTTGAAAACAAAGAAGCTGGAAAGTTTAAAATATACATGATTGTATTACTATTTCTAGGATATGTTGAAAACAAAGAAGTTGTAACAAGGCAAAGTGTTTAATTTTTGTACAAATTATAGAATTATCTCATTTCACATTATACAATTCAGCATCATCAAAATAAATTTAAAATAGTTCTTTAACACGAATCAGATTAAGTACAAATAAAAAATGTATGAAAATTTGATAATGTCAGTTTTTATACACTTAACATGGACTTGTTATCAGAAATCAGTGTATAATGTTATCTAAGTACTTGTACACTAGCATCAATGTCCTTACCAATGCCGTGCTTCCGAAAGTCCACAACCACCCCTAGACTCAGTATGTAGGCAACCTGAGAAGTGGGAGGATGATGAGTGGCCAGAATGTCAGCATCCTGTGAGTAATCACAATGTCCATGTTCAAGTATCACTTACATATCATTTTCATTCTTTTTATTCAAAAATGAAACCATGATAATAGGTGAATGGTTTAAAAAACTGGATAAATTATAACAACATCTCATCAGTATTTGGTCTGGTAATTTTACTTTTATAGACAAACTTTACTGTGGTACAATAGATTTCTGAAGATATCTCAACATTTTATGTCTGACATGTGTTGGACTTTCAGCACTGGTAAATGGAGCACAGTGTGAGGACAACAGACCCATGGAAATATCCAACACCAATATGATAGGTCCTCCCAAAATATGGAACAGAATTTAGAGATAAAATACCATTCCTTGACAGTCTGGAAAAAATTCTTACAAATGTAGGTAGTTCCTGCATTCATATCTCTCATTCAAGAACAAGTTTTCAGATACACAAAACTACAAGCAGGTCCTGAACAAACCAACCTCTTTATTGATGGAAGATAGTAACTTGACTTCTGACACAATCATTCCCACGATCCTGGAATGGTAGGTTGCAGCTAGTGAGTAAAATTTGGGGTTGGAGGTTATTTCCTGGTACCATGTATCGGGATATCTGTAACAAATTAAGGACATTTTATCAAACGAAGATTAAGCTATATATCTACAGGTCGTCAAACAATAATATCATTTCAAACTCATGCATAACAAGAGTATCACCAGGCAGAACAATATCATTTATGTCTATCCCATGTCGAAGAAATAGTCATAATTTAATGTACTGAAAAGAATACAAAAACAGATAAAGCATTAACAGGTCCAAGTATCACAAGTTAAAACAATGCAATATGTTTTAATGATATATCAAAGTGTAAAATAAAATCATGAAAAAACAAAGGGCAACAGCTGTTAGAAATACAATTGAATCAAAATGATGTTCATAACAAAACAAAATCATGATGTGGATTTGAAGTCTACCAAAGAAATTGGTTTAAAAACCGAGGGAGAAAATATAAAGACACAATGAAAACATCGGGAAAAAAGCAAGGGCAATAACTCTACCAAAACTGTAAAATAAAAATGTCATTGAGAAAAACATAATTTTATGTATATAAAACCAACCAGGGTTTAGAGCAAATGGCTAAAACTGAGGGAGAAAATATCCATACAAACTATAATATTGCTGATTGAAATAAAAGGTAATAGTTCCTTCAATTTTTTTTCAAATCTGATTTCTGAGAAATGAAGAATTCCTAATTAAAGGAAGGTTTATATTGTTTTCTTAAAAAAAGGAATATGAAGGAAAGGCACAAGAGAGAAAATATTTAAGAAAAATATATAAATATACTGATTCACTATAGAATTAAGTCAGTAAGTTTTATCACTTTGTAATAACACAAATTGTTTCACCAATATTCCATTCATATATATAATTACTACTTAAGTTATTTTTATTACATACCAAAATTATTACTATACATACATATGGTTTCATCAATTAAAATATTTTAAGTATGACAAGAGAACCCAGAGGGATCTTGGCGTCCACCATTGTTAGATTTTTATATGTTCTTTGAAAGTTTGATCTTTTCCTTTCTTTTCTCATCTCTTTTTTTGCTCTTCATGATAAGACATTTGAACATTCCTTTGCAGAAATAGCAATGATAATCTTTACCTGCCAAATCAGAACTGGTTGCCTGGAAGCTATTTCATTTCTTCTGATCAGTTCCAAAATCAAACGAGCACAAGGAGAGACAAAGGGGAACCTACATATGAAATTTAATAAAGACCCATCCAGTACTTCTCAAGAAACAGCGATAACAAATGCTGTTTACCAATTAACCGACGAACCATGGATGCAGAGCGATTTGAATAGCCCACCATCTGATGATAAAAAGTTACCATTATACATAAACAATTCTACAGGTGCAGGTTTTCCAAATGGAAGTGTTAAGAACAAAAACAAACTATACACACTCTATTGGAAACCATTCTCTGCATAACTTCTTGACCTCATCTATATCTGCTGGACATAGAAATCGAAGCTGGACCTCCCTCTGGACACTGAAGGACATTGGCTGACACATGCCCCTTCCAGAAACATCAGCACTTGACCAACATGGCTGCTTTTCAATCACAATGCTTTCTGGCAAAATTTTATTTTGTCATTGATCACCTCACTATGTACTATGTACACTGCTCCATTCTCATCACTTGATCTACAATTTTTGAAGAAACATAACAGAATCATTATATATCAGAGGTTCTTCATAATTTAATAGGTCAAGGTAAAAACTAAATACGCAAACACAAAATTCAAATATATGTTGGTTAATTTGTTTACAATCAAAGAAACGATACACTGCAAAATGTAACCTAATGGACATCCACATCAAAATAATGCAAAGATTAGTGAATTTATTTTTATATGTGTTTACTAGTGTTTTTTTCTGACAAAATACTTCAATGTTATCACTTGCAATCTATGTACTAAAAGCTGAGACAACCTTGATGCCTCAGACAGATTTTCATATGTTATTTCTTTGCTGTGACAGTTCTCAGGAGCTGACTTGGTCATGCAACAGGTAAACTTGATCCTGTCATGGGTTACCTCAATCATATCACAGATTACAGGGCTCTCAATCTGCCAGATTTGGGGCCAAATAAATATCGGCCCTATTCCCAATGCAAAATAGTATCTTTTTTTCCCCAATTTAGACCCCAAGTTTTCCAAATTATAAGGAAAACACCATTATTTTTCCCAATTCTAAGGGCCCCGGGTCCCAGTCCCAAAATGGGGTGTGAGAGCCCTGGATTAACTTGATCATGTCACCAGTAAATCCAATCAAATCCCCAGTTAACTTGATCTTGTAATGGATCATCACAGGCTAACCTGATCCTGTCACTGGTAACTCAATCATATTCCTAGTAAACTTGATTCTGTAATGGATCATCACAGGCTAACCTGATCCTGCCACACAGTTAAGTTGATATTGTCACTGGTTAACTCAATCATGTCCCTAGTAAACTTGATCCTGTAATGGATCCTCACAGGCTAACCTGATCCTGTCACACAGTTAAGTTGATATTGTCACTGGTTAACTCAATCATGTCCCTAGTAAACTTGATCCTGTAATGGATCCTCACAGGCTAACCTGATCCTGTCACGGTTAAGTTGATCCTGTCACTGGTTGAGTTAATCCTGTCAAGGGTTACTTTGATCTTGACCTGAAATCCTATATCAGCCAAATGGAGGGGGATTATTTTGTTTTCAAAGGAAAGATGTCAATTCACAAGAATGGCAAGCCAATGGACACAGATGAATCAATATGAAGAGAGGTTATGACAGTAGTAGTAGTAGGAATTTTATAATTAGGGACCAACTCTTTGTATAGATTGTCCATACTTAGGTCACACCCAACAGTCAAACAGAGTCAAAGTGTTCAAACACAGGCACAAGTAGGTGGATTGCAATTGCAACTCAAGTAAATATCGGTCCATGAAGAGTTGACTGTGAATATTTTGATTGGGTTGCTTGCATTCCAGATACAAGTGACTGTGGTTCAACAAATTCATTGAATCATAAAATCATCATATGACTGAAAATAGTGACGACACACGAAAGAAAGATGTCAGAGCCCTATATTGTTACGAAATTCGTTGCATTATTTAAACAGATAAATAATACTTACACAACTAACTTTCGTCCATATCTGATACGTCTTAAATTACTTGAATTGTCGCGATTTCATTCAAAAAGATCATTTTCAGCGTTTGTCGAAAACGTAAACATTTTCCCGGAAATAGAGCAGGAACTGTATTGTGCATGCGCAGTGATAGATCATTGAAATGTTTTAGAATCTTGAGTGTGGGGAATACTAATGGTAAGATAGAAAAGAAAACGTGAGTTTCTGGGAACTTTACCAAAATGGAAAAAAAGTCCAATGGGTTCAGACAGCCCAGGAATTGTATGTATGATGCGGCAAGTGGCAAACCTTGTGCATAAATCTCTGTTCACATCTAATACACGAGTTGGTGAACCTTTATATATAGATGTTATCATAGTCTGGCAATTGAATATCCAAAATCAAAATTATGTTTCCAAATACACCTTATACCCAAGTCAAAGTTGATTTTTAACAAGAAACATAGATGAATAATAATTTTAGAAACGGAAAACAAGCAAAACAGAATCTTCCTTGGGCACCAGACCTTATAGCAAGGACGTATAATATTGTATTATACGTCCCTGCTTATAGGCATCACTTCCTCAACCATTATACGCGTACTGTTTAATATATATTTAAACAGAATGGTATGTTTAAGTGTGCAAAGGTTGAGCACGTCCCAGTCTATACAGATTTCGACTAGTAAACTAATATTAGATTATGAAATTAATAGGAATTAAACGACCTTACAAAATGCTATAAACTGGATGTGAATGTCGCAGAAAAAAACCATTTGCAATATACGTGTGCGAAATGGAAAAAACCTTGTGTAATCGCAACAGAGATTATTATCTATATCAATTGCTATTGATATATTCATTTGTAAAGCCTCCGAATAAGGTCAGTGACAACGTTGATCAGTAGCGTCCCGGTTAGCTCTAAAATATAAGCTTAGGTCCATTCTTTCTTCTTTCTCCAGATCTCAGCAAATAATAATAATGCTAAAAAGAGTGCATGGGGACACAGAGAGATTTTTTTGGCAAAACTTTTTAACCTTGAATCGACCGACCTGGCCAATGTTGTTCCGCCTACGGTGTGAAGTGAGCATATAAATAGTACAAGTGAAGTCAGTTCGTTTGTTATCCTATCAACAGCCGACCCCACTATCAACAAAGCTTTCCAACAACGTCGATTTCTCGATAAGCAGCATGGAGGAGCTCAACGAAAAACATGATAACGTAGACGTCCAGGGGTTCACGGGTAAGACATAGTTACATGTTGTTGCCAGAAGATACTCGAACAGTTTCCAATATTAGCACTCTTGTTCAGACATAACAATAACAGCGTATGAAACGGATGAGTAAGAGACTGTGTTTTCGATCTTTGATTCTCGGCTGGCAAGTCTGGCACATAACTTATGGTAATTATGGTATATTTTCCAACACAGTTCCTTTAAGGTCCTCTTCGTCGAACTCATTAGTGTTATCATATTTATGACCGGTAGTGTCGAATACAAAATCCGCCTTGAAGTCATACAATATTTCTTGATCCTTCAATACTTCTTGATCCTTCCAAAAGTAGTCAAGTCTATTCTTAAAGGCATTGATGCTACTGGCATTCACAACTTTTTCTGGTAGCCTGTTCCATAGTTTTGCGGTCCTCACACTGAAGCTGTGTTTTCTGATATTTAGCCTGGATCTTTGCACATATATCTTTTTTGAGTTCCCACGTCCTTGTGCTCTCTGAATGTTATCATTTCACAATTTGATGATTTCCCAGATTCTATATCATATTTTCGGCTCAAGGTCTTGTACACTTCAATTATATCACCTTGACTTTTTCTATATTTCAGGGTGGGTAGCTTGAGTTTCCATAATCGGTCCTCGTATGTTAAGTTATATTATCCTGGTAACTGCTTGGTTGCCCTTCTTTGAACTTCCTCTATGAGGTCCACGTGGTACGATTTTTACGGAAACAACACTGAGCTAGCTTAATCAAGCACATGTTGATTTATCGTGACAATCAGACTATGGTATAAATGTATCATTGTGGACTGACAATATTCTATTCTAAGTCCATGGTATTATATAATGAAACTTGTTTTATTTGCTTAAATTGGCCCCGAGTGCATCAACTTTACGTAAAATCATTATTAGAATATGCATGGGCATTTTTCAAATGATTAGTTTTCATTTTCAAAATTTTTTTTGCGAAGTCATTTTCTTTTTCTGCAATGAGACATATACCACAAATCAATTAGAATGAAATAATTTTTCATCTGTCAATCTACAACTCACCAGTTAATTAACATCAGATTTCTTATCAATCTCTATGAATGCGCTGTACTAACCCATGAAATGAAATTTTATTTTTGTAAACAACATTTTAATTCAACAATCTTTATGCCCTTGAGATCATGGATTAGAGCATATTGTTTCTGGCCCCTGTCTGTCACTTGGTTCAAAATTTTATGCACACAACATAGACCATTATCTTTGCAATGTTAAGAAATAATGCTCTGTTGTCAAGAATGTACATGAGGACAAGACCTACTGTTTGATACTACATGTGATAACCTTGACTCCATGCAGCTTTGGACCTAATTTGGTACCAAGGGGTGTATAACTTAATATCAATGAGATCTCAGATATCTTTGATATTGGTTAAAATCTGTTCATATTCACCAAAGTTACAGGACTTTTAGATCCTTGTAAAAGATAATTTTTTTGTTTTCATCAAATAAATTTCAATTTTTACCATTAAATTACCTCATCTTGACATCCCATTCTCTTCCATTGCTTCATACTATTTACTCTCTACTCATTTTCCTATCTTCTCCTGTCTACTGAAAGGCCAAAAGACCATAACTGTGCCCATGGGCCTCTTGTTTTCCTATCTTCTCCTGTCTACTGAAAGGCCAAAAGACCATAACTGTGAATGTAAAACCTGTTGAATAAATAAATAAATAAATAAACCATCAAATTACATGAATTACATGCAACCTTTTAGATTGTAAACCCACACATTTGATATGTTACAAAAATGTCTTACAATTAAATGTCCTAGCCCTGGTGTTGTCGTAGCCTCTATAACTGGCTTCCCCTTCCAGGGCATAAAGTTTCTGAAACAAATCTTGTTGCCAGTAATATTTCACTTTATTATTTAGATATCTTCCCTCAGTCTCTGATTCATCTTTTTGAAACTGTGTTGGATTATGGTTTATTATTTTTTTCAACCAAACATATTTCAGTCATTCAAGTGAAATACTCTGAGAAAAGTAAAGCAGCCCACTGTCTTTACCTGAAGGAGCACAATGTTCGTGAGGAAGATAAATGTAAACCAAGGGAAACAACCCTGTTTGTACTCAACATACCACCATATTGTAATGAGGTAAGAAATACTGTCAAGCACTTATTCTGTGATAGTAGCTTTATAACATGTGATCTACAAAAGTCAGTTTAAAGGCATTTGAATCAGGAATAAAATTGTGGTTGCATACTTTTTCGAATAACAACATCTGTACATAATTCATATAGGTGGTGTTTGGGATTTACTTCCATACTGAAAACACAAGCACACACTGGTTATTAAGATATATCTCAGAACGTATAGAGATTTGTGTGACTGATACATCTGTTGATTTTTAAAGGAACATTTGAGACATATGTTCTCGCCTTTTGGAAAAGTTCTTCGGGTATATCTTCATGACAAGCCATCCAGTGGGCCACCACGTACAGATACCTCTAAATACTTCCCAACTGTGAAAATGCATGAGGTAAGGAACCGGATTGATGTATATCTATATTGATATCTTGATTTAGCTGTGGACAGTGAACCATTATCAACTGTCTAATGATTAGTTGGGATGCACACTTCAGTATTTGTAAATGGTTTTGTTAGGAACTGAATCATTGATTTTCATACTTACTACTCTAATGCTCTGTCAAATGAAATGGAGAAATAATGTGTTCCTAGCTTATATATTATATAGATGATACCACAACCTGGAAAGAATTTGTCTCTTTCCAGAGGAAATAGCAATGTTTGAGAGAGCAGGGATCAGTATTTTTGTCTCTATTAGTTCATCAGTAGCACTGAAACACTGGTTTATATTTACAATATATTGAAATATAAACCCAGGAACATCAAATTTACTAGCCTGACACTCACTGAAGTGAAATTCTCCTCTACCAATTAGAAAGCAGCCAGAATTTTGGCAAGGATATATATTCATCTTTGTTACTTCTCATGATATCTTTTCATTACAGGGTTTCAAGGTTGCTTACATTGTCTTTAGAAAGCCAAATGCTATCAAGAAAGCCAAGAATATTCCTTACAGCAAACCACTAGTTATATCATCAGAGACCCCCCATAAAGACACATGCACAGGCATGGGAAGTAAGTTGGCAATAATCACAATTAGGGATTATCTAAAAACCAGTTAGCTGGCAGCTAACATCACCAATGGAAGTCTGGCAGCTGTACTTTTAGCAAGGTGGTAGTGGTAGTTACACTAATATGTTAATTCACTTTGGAAATGAATATTCATAAAGGAAGTTATTACATGTATCTTTAATTTGCTACTGTTAGTATTAACATATTAAAGGATGTTCAGTCCCAGAATATTTGTACGTTTTTTGGTTCACTAAAATAAAAGTCAGTTGAGGGCCACTGGAAGGGAAGACTTTATTTATGTTCCAGTAAAGCGATAAACATGATGTATGAAACTTTTCAGTATGATGTTTATTGTTGCTTTCATTAATCTTTCTCTGATGAGTTATACCCCTTTTGATATCTTTATAATGTTTGTCCTGGGTAATGCTACTTACTCTCCACAGTAATTTGCATGTGATCATGTTTTGTACTTTTCTAAATGAATTGTGCCCCATTTATGATAATTTTTTATCACATATTTGCCTCATTATGCATAATACAGATTTTGTTTTTGCTTAAAAGAAATTATGATGGATTGTTGCATCAGATGAGGTTAAACTATTAGAAAATTGATCATTGTCCCATAACTAGTGAGTACTAAACATATAACATAAACTATTATATTTTTTTATGACTGTAGAGTGGTGTAAGGCTTACGAAAAGGAGAGGATAAATGTCGACGATTTACAACAGGAGATTGATGAATACATGGCCCAGTATGATTCACGAGTGGAGGAGGTAATGCTTTCACACAAAAAGTTCATTCAAGTAGGATCACTTTAATTATTACAAATATATAAATACACTCCTTCTGCAGAAAGGGTGTTCACTGTCAACAACAGATCAGCCACCTTGTACCTATAATGTGGTGTTGCCTGTAGAAAAGAATGCAGGAGCTTATTGTGTGCCAAAAGAGCCATAACTAGTTGTGTTTCCTTGTGTTGTGATACTAGTTTTGATGCTGGGAACCCTCATTCTATCCAGAGTTGTAGGTTCTATAATGCTTGGCCACGCATCCTCACTCAGTAGGTAGTTGTAATGCTGGAAACCTCAAAATACCCACAGACTTGTCGGTTCTATAGCTGTAATGCTTGATCCCTCATTCTACCTACAGACTGGCTTTCAGTGGTTTTTAGGTCATCTGACCCAAAGGGTCAAGATGACCTATAGCCATCATGCTTCGTCCGTCGTCGTCCGCCGTGCGTAAACTTTTCATTCAAACAACTTCTTCTCAAATACTAGAAGGTCTAGGGGGCTAATACTTGGCACAGAGCATACTGGCATGGAGCTCTACCAAGTTTGTTCAAATGAATGACCTTGACACACTTTAAAGGTCACAGGGGTCAAATATCTTGTATCTAATGTCAGATGACCGTTAAGGCCCATGGGCCTCTTGTTTTATGGTTGGTTCCACATAATACCCACTCAGTAGGAAGTTTTGGTGCAAGGATCTGTTACTCTAGGTTGATTGTGATTATAACATTTCAGTTTTGGTGTTTGTTCTCAGGAGAAGCAGAAAGCTAAGGATAATGAAGGGGTGCCAGACGATGATGGCTGGGTAACGGTCACAAGACACGGCAAGAATAAGGGTGTTCCGTGGAAGGAGTCGCAAGAGAAAAAAGTCACAGCCCGAGAAAAGAAGAAGAGAAAAGATAAGGTACTTTGGTGGACTTATATGATGTAGATTAATCCGCACTTCAGTGATTGTACAAAAGGCACAAATTTAGAATTTGATACAGCAGAGTTAAACAATGAAAGTAGACTAAAATCATGTTGAACTAACGATATATTACCTTATATCCTAAACCTCTGTAACAGAAATGTTTTTGTAGAATTATGTGTCAGTATAGCTGAAAGTTTTTAAATGTACGGTTTCATTTTGACAGTTTATTAATCAATAAATAAAAGCTGTAGCCGTCCATTCTACATCAAAACATAATCTGGTTATATATTGGATCACTGTGTGTTTTACTGTGTGTTGACGGGCCGTTAAGAATGCAATGATAATAATATTAAAAAATGTTAATCAGGATTGATTTTGACCTATTGGTCTTGGGCAACTGTAGCTGAATGAGACCTTAATATTATGTAAATGAATGGTGTGCACATCCTTTGGGGATATAGAGGTAGATCACTTCAAAACAGATGATTTGGATCATATCTTGGGCGAGAGGGATCGCCATGGTATATGTAGACTATGACCTTCTTGGATACAAACAGCCAGGGTTGTTTTGGAGAAATGAATCATATTTCAAGTCCTTCTTTAGCGCAGATATAGGAATTTACCATATATAGCTGAATATGCTGGGTATGACCTCCCTGTGGGTCAAAATTGTGTTTATTAATTTGCACCTTGTGAATAGAATTATGATATGTTCTACTGAAGTAGTGGCTTGGCAATGTACACTAAGGGGTCATAACAGGTAATAAGAGTGACATCCCCTCATTCATGGAAATGTCGATGTCTGATATTGATATTGTTATGATCTATGTAAATTGAGTTTAAGACTGTGAAAGTAATTTGTCAGTTATGATTTGATGTGAAACATTGGCCTGATAATCAATAGAACAAGAGTACAGGAATAACAATATATGTCTGTCCCATGCCAAAGAAATGTTCAGGATTTATTGTATCTAAAAGGATACGGGTGTGGAAAAATGAGTCAAAACAGTGCTATGTGTGTTTCAATGATCAAAAGCATACCAAGTTTTAAAGACATGGGAAGAAAATTGAAAAAAATATATATATCGCTGGATGAGATAAAAATGTTGTTGTGGGGGTTGGGGGCTGGGGTAGAGCAATGACTATATGAAGCTGAAGTCAAGTATAAATGTATTCTAGAGGACAGGGCGCCTTTTTGTGACCCATCAACCACAACCATATAGGTAACCTTCTCACCAATACACGATCATGACTTTTCTTCCTATGCTAAATATTTTACAGTATCAGTTAAATGTTTTATAGTTCATTAAAGTACGTTACATTTTGATATATACCAGAATAATGTTTCACAATTTAAAGTTTTAATATATGTTTTCAGGAGTTGCTGAATTTCTATTCCTTCCAAATCAGAGAGACAAAGAGAGAACGTAAGTTTAAAAGTCTAAGCACAAGTACATCCACCTCAGTATTTCTGCATACAGCACAGGTCAAAAATCTGTTCTAACAATCAGGAGAAGTAAACATAGAAAGATTTTCAGTAGAGAGTAATCCATCAGTTTTATAATTACATATTACTAGTACATTGTATACAAATTTATGGAAGAGGTTGATACATATGTGTGACAAGATCTAAGAATTTACCTTGATTCTTCCACAGAAATAGCAGAACTGAGAAAAAAATTTGAAGAAGACAAACAGCGGATTGCTCTCATGAAAGCATCAAGACGATTCAGACCATATTGATTGTTATTTTTATTTTTAATAAAAAATTGAATGTTTTCATTTCCTAATTTTTTCTTTTATCAAGAGTTGAAAGCACCAGTTTACCTCATAATCAAAACAGATCACAGTGTGAAACAGTTTAAGTCATAACAGTCTTACAATTAATGTCATCACAGACAGAAATCTACCACCTGTGTGGCCATTAATAGTTTGTGGCTATATAAAGAAAACAAATTGGAATTTCCTACTAGTAGTTATGGCCTTGATCTTTGAAATCTAGACCTGTAAAACACCAGCTATGTTTGAGGGAATTCATAACTTCAGTATATTTCTGCAATCTTTTATGGCCTTAATGTTAGACCTATAAAGAAGAACTTTAATCCACAACAACAGCAAGAAATCAAGTACACCAAGGCTTGTATGAACATTTATTATGCACCGTAATTTGAAAAGGAATATGTACAATGGCAGGAGGTGTAACTATGATGTGTCCATGGGCTGATTTATCCATGGTCTTGCTATGATCTGAAGTAATCTGAAAATGTAAGAGGTTGTTTGTAAGAAAGTTTCACATTACATTCTTTATTGATGTACAATGATCTAAAATTCATGAAAAAAATATCTCTTACAAGGTTTAGTTAGAACATTTATCTGAAAACTGTTTTCGGCAATTAGATTTTTTTAATAGTGTATGTACCAAATTATTAAATACCATAAATAATGGCTTTTAAGGAAAATTAAAACTTTTATGAGTAAGATACTTTTATGGTAAATATACTCACCTATTCTGTGGTAAGATTTCACAAAGAGTTACAATTTCTTTACCACCTGAAGAGAGAGAGAGGATAAAAGATTGGCCCAGAATATATTATTGTTATTTTATATCATACCTAGTATTAATGAAAAGATCTTGGCTTGAATAACATGGTACACAAATACTGAACAGTATAGTCAAAAATTACATTTTCATATGTATTGATCACATGACCTTGTCTTGATTCATATGAAATAGAACTTGATAATTCCTTCATTAATTAGTTTATGGTGTTTGCAGGGATATTCCTGACAAGGTAGTCTTTCTTTCTATAAAATGTCCACTTTCACGACACTGCTACCAAAATAACTCGCTGAAATTGCCATTATTACACTTACCAGATATCTTTAGTCCACCTGTCACTATAGCAACCTGGATTATTTGCCCGAGTCGATCAACCAACGTTTGAAATTCCTCCTCCTGTATTTTATCTTTACTGAGTTGGTAAATTCTGACAAGCTCCCTAGCTATAGACAGAAAATGTGACATGTGGAAAAGTTCCTGGTTCAACTCCATGCTTTTATAGGCCTGGAAACTCTGTAAGATGCTGAAGTGTAGTTTAGAAAGCAATGAGAATGTCTTTGTCTTATCACTGTGCAGTTTGTTATGTAATGAAGAATCTGGATCACAATGAGTTGTGCACAGAATTTGTCCTAATATGCACCACTGCACTAGTCCATAGAATGGACAAGAAAAACTGGCCTGGATGCGAACAAGTCGAACAGACTCTGAACACAAACAAGGGTCACTGGAAACCCAGTTTGTGATGTATTCCAACAGGATTGGAGGAGGTGCCCGAGAGATTTCTACAAAGAGAAAAAATTTGTGAAACAGAAGAAAAAATTCTGCTTTATATTTACATAGAATATAACATCTCAAGTAACCTGCATGTTTATAATATCAGGTCCGGTACATGCCCTTACTTACTAAGTATGTACCTGGGGTAGTATCATGAAAAAACGCTTTAGAAGACTTGTAAAGTGCAATCAAGTTGCTGTCAACATCTTGAACATGTATACATGAGTATAGTATAAGTGTGCATATAATTTTGGGTAACAATTATTACAGAAAAGATTACCATGAAATGGATATATGGTGGCGACTGCTGTAATGAAGTTACAGGTGAAGAGTGGTGAGACACTGGGCAGTGTTTGGAAAGTGTGGCTGATCTCTGGGAACAGCAGGCAGTAGTCCTCCACCAGTCGCTGTACAAGATCACATACAGTACTGCTGTGACAGCCTTGCTCCTACACAACCACAGAGTAGGAAATTAGATACAAAATAACCATCACATGCTACAAAGTGACTGACTTAGATCGTGAGCATGAAAGCTGCATTATTCATAATGGGATATTGTTACTCCTTCAATGTGTAAATTTACAACTTTCCGTAAAGAATTTAATTTGTATTCCTACTTATCAGAGGGTATACAAGCTCCAATACTTGATTAAGAGGTGAAAGTTTGATATGTTAACACCTACCTGCATCCAAAGGGCCGCACAATCTAGTACTGCTCCACTGCCAATGGAGAGGGCCATAGAAACCAATTTTGTGAGGAGGGTAGTTTTTGACACCTCAATATTTCCACCAAAGATCACACTGAAGATGCTGAATCTAGAGCTCTGTGGCGCCCCTTGAAGACAACTGCATACCATCTCTAACAACTGGAGTTCCTGAATTGCATTAAGTTTCTGAAAGAAAGCAGACATCTATTGAGTTTTAACATACATTGGAGTTCTTAAGTGTAAATAACCAGGGTTAGTCATTGGAGAACATTTGATAGCCTATCCAATTTTCTGGTAGCCATACATCACGAGGCTATCCAAAAGTAGTATCTCTTGTTGCTTGTTATAAAACTTGAAGATTTTATCAAGTGGACCTAGTGATTACAAAGTCCCCATTCTATGTTATCATATGTTCAATCAGAAAAATATGTTAACCTTTTGTGGTCCTCTTGTTCTGCCAGGTGCTGACTTGAACAATACATAGTCCTGACTAACTTCCACTGCAAAGTTCTCAGCTCCTCCTCCCAGGCCAGGAATGGCACCTCCTGATGAGGTTGTGAAACATGATGTCAGGTACTGAAGTGCTATGCGTGATGACTCCGGAAACTCAAGCACACTTAACCGTTTTAATATCTTACTCATTTCAGAAAATCTGTAATAGAGAATGTAAGACCTTATAAGTACTTGAGATACTGGGGTTTATATCACCATATTGTTATATGTTTAACAATCTTATGCCAAAACCAAAATATGCAATTTCAGCCATGTCATATTTTCGCCATTGAAGAGTAGCAATAATGCTCTTCATCGGTTAAATAATCAACAGTTTAAAAAACAAACTGTTGTATAGTATTATTTGATCGAAGATCTAGTTACATTGGTAGTTGTGTTCCACCAAGACATGGGGCTCTCCTTGTTGATGTTTTGACATTACTTAGAATAAGAGACCCCTTACGTCATTTCTCTATTGGATATCGTTTCATGACGTGTATGTAACTTTCCGGAACGTATAAATAAGCTTCACATTGTTTAAGTGCACAAAATCCGTCAAAACTGGTGACACGTAGAACACCGGATGACAACGTCTCATAAATGTACATGTCCTATGCAATACAAATGAGTAAATACAGATTTGAAAACGTTTTGTTGAAATTGTTTAAAAAGAAGGTATTCACACCTTTAATCAGCACGTGTACATGGATTTGTCACTTAATAAAACAGCGTTCACTCTCCTTTTCTTTTCATGCCGGCCGACTGCTTCAAAGTGATCATGATTTAAAACGTTGTGATGACTTTTGTCTAGTATAGAAATTGGTATCGGACTATATATTCCGGATTGTTAGGAACCGAGGAGATGTTCTTGTTTTGTGTTGTGTCCGTCCATTCATTACATTTCCTTCATCAATCAAGCATCCACACATTATCTGTACTTTCATGTTGTTTTGGTTCAAATTCCTAAATCCAACCGAGTGTTTCATAAGTAACTATGGTAACAGTTAAGCAATCATTACAGGTATACCAAAATGGAATACTACCCAAAATAGAACACTTCTCAAATATTTGACGCATTAAAAAAAAAATCGATGTACAAGTGATAATTAACTATTTATTAATTATCATGGATTATTACAGTTTTTATCTGCCCATGTCTTCTATGTTGCTTATCATCTCTCTTTGAACTTAAAAAGATGAAATTCTATAAAAACAAAAACAAAAAAAATTGAAATGGTGCCATGCGACATCACAAATATTGCACGATGTTTTAAGATATTTTAAAGTATCGCTGAAATTAACATTTTGATAGATAAGTGACTGAGATTAATGAGAAGTTTGTTGAATTATAAAATGGAAAAAAAAACTCTTCAAGATTAGCTCAGTTATTTCTATAAACGAACAGAATATAAGAGGCGTTTCATTTTAGGTATACCTACCCTGTTGAAAGGCATTGCTGAACCTGGCATACCATCCTGTGTTCTATTTATAGACACGTGCGCTGCTGACATGTAACCAAAGCAGGATATGAGGGTATCTTGTGGTGAAATTCCATGATTTAAGACGTATGTTAACTTATGTGTTACATACATACATACATTCAAGGCTGACAGGATATGTTACTTACATGTATATTTCTTAAAAAGTTCTGAGTCAGAGAGTCATGTGATGAAATCAAGCTCCTCCAGTTCAATGTCTCCTTTTGTTATATTTTTTCATCTAGGTTTCCAAAGATAAATAAAGGTAAAATAAAACAAAATGAACCACGAGAAGAACGGAAATGTGTTAAGAATGTGTTATACAGTTTGTTGTTGTCTAGGTATTGTTCGTGATCAACTATCTTATCCTTTTTACATCCTAAGATGTGAACATTCACAGGCAAGTAACAAAGTGTATGGAGAGGAGGTGTCTGTGTTGTATACTGTGACTAGTACATATTGTTACATGTATGTACCTTTAGACGTTTATCTCTCTCTGTACCTTCAGACGTTTATCCCTCTCTGTACCTTCTGACGTTTATCTCTCTCTGTACCTTCTGACGTTTATCCTTCTCTGTACCTTCTGACGTTTATCTCTCTCTGTACCTTCAGACGTTTATCCCTATCTGTACCTTCAGATGTTTATCCCTCTCTGTACCTTCAGACGTTTACCCCTCTCTGTACCTTCTGACGTTTATCTCTCTCTGTACCTTTAGACGTCTATCTCTCTCCGTAGCTTCTGACGTTTATCCCTATCTGTACCTTCAGACGTTTATCCCTCTCTGTACCTTCTGACTTTTATCCCTCTCTGTACCTTCTGACGTTTATCCCTCTCTGTTCCTTCAGACGTTTATCTCTCTCTGTACCTTCTGACGTTTATCCCTCTCTGTACCTTCTGACGTTTATCCTCTCTGTACCTTCTGACGTTTGCCCCTCTCTGTACCCTCAGACATATATCTCTCTCTGCACCTTCAGACGTTTATCCCTTTCTGTATCTTCAGACGTTTATCCCTCTCTGACCTTCTGACGTTTATCCCGCTCTGTACCTTCTGACGTTTACCCTCTCTGTACCTTCTGACGTTTGCCCCTCTCTGTACCTTCAGACGTTTATCCCTCTCTGTACCTTCTGACGTTTATCCCTCTCTGTACCTTCTGACGTTTATCCCTCTCTGTACCTTCTGACGTTTATCCCTCTCTGCACCTTCAGACGTTTATCCCTCTCTGTACCTTCTGACGTTTGCCCCTCTCTGTACCTTCAGACGTTTATCCCTCTCTGTACCTTCTGACGTTTATCCCTCTCTGACCTTCTGACGTTTATCCCTCTCTGTACCTTCTGACGTTTGCCCCTCTCTGTACCTTCAGACGTTTATCCCTCTCTGTACCTTCTGACGTTTATCCCTCTCTGACCTTCTGACGTTTATCCCTCTCTGTACCTTCTGACGTTTATCCCTCTCTGCACCTTCAGACGTTTATCCCTCTCTGTACCTTCTGACGTTTATCCCTCTCTGTACCTTCTGACGTTTATCCCTCTCTGTACCTTCTGACGTTTATCCCTCTCTGTACCTTCTGACGTTTATCCCTCTCTGTACCTTCTGACGTTTATCCCTCTCTGTACCTTCTGACGTTTATCCCTCTCTGTACCTTCTGACGTTTATCCTGTACCTTCTGTACCTTCTGACGTTTATCCCTCTCTGTACCTTCTGACGTTTATCCCTCTCTGTACCTTCAGACGTTTATCCCTCTCTGTACCTTCAGACGTTTCTCCCTCTCTGTACCTTCTGACGTTTATCTCTCTGTACCTTGTGACGTTTATCCCTCTCTGAACCTTCAGACGTTGATCTCTCTCTGTACCTTCTGACATTTATCCCCCTCTGTACCTTCAGACGTTTGCCCCTCTCTGTACCTTTAGACGTTTCTCCCTCTCTGTACCTTCTGACGTTTATCTCTCTCTGTACCTTGTGACGTTTATCCCTCTCTCTACCTTCAGACGTTTATCTTCTGTACCTTCTGACATTTATCCCCCTCTGTACCTTCAGACGTTTACCCTCTCTGTACCTTCTGACGTTTGCCCCTCTCTGTACCCTCAGACATATATCTCTCTCTGCACCTTCAGACGTTTATCCTTCTCTGTACCTTCTGACGTTTATCCCTCTCTGTACCTTCTGACGTTTATCCCTCTCTGTACTTTCACCTTTAGACGTTTATCCCTCTCTAGACGTTTATCCCTCTCTGTACCTTCAGACGTTTACCTTCTGACGTTTATCTCTCTCTGTACCTTGTGACGTTTATCCCTCTCTCTACCTTCAGACGTTTATCTTCTGTACCTTCTGACATTTATCCCCCTCTGTACCTTCAGACGTTTATCCCTCTCTGTACTTTCAGACCTTTAGACGTTTATCCCTCTCTGTACCTTCAGACGTTTATCCCTCTCTGTACCTTCTGATCCCTCTCTGTACCTTTACGTTTATCCCTCTCTGTACCTTCTGACGTTTATCCCTCTCTGTACCTTCTGACGTTTATCCCTCTCTGTACCTTCTGACGTTTATCCCTCTCTGTACCTTCTGACGTTTATCCCTCTCTGTACCTTCAGACGTTTATCCCTCTCTGTACCTTCTGACGTTTATCCCTCTCTGTACCTTCTGACGTTTATCCCTCTCTGTACCTTCTGACGTTTATCCCTCTCTGTACCTTCTGACGTTTATCCCTCTCTGTACCTTCTGACGTTTACCCCCTCTCTGTACCTTCAGACGTTTATCCCTCCCTGTACCTTCTGACGTTTATCCCTCTCTGTACCTTTAGACGTTTATCCCTCCCTGTACCTTCTGACGTTTATCCCTCTCTGTACCTTCTGACGTTTATCCCTCTCTGTACTTTCAGACCTTTAGACGTTTATCCCTCTCCGTACCTTCAGACGTTTATCCCTCTCCGTACCTTCAGATGTTTTTCTCTATCTGTACCTCCAGACGTTTATCCCTTTCTGTACCTTCTGACGTTTATCACTCTCTGTACCTTTAGACGTTTATCCCTTTCTGTACCTTCTGACGTTTATCCCTCTCTGTACTTTCAGACCTTTAGACGTTTATCTCTCTCTGTACCTTCAGACGTTTATCCCTCTCTGTACCTTCTGACGTTTATCCCTCTCTGTACCTTCTGACGTTTATCCCTCTCTGTACCTTCTGACGTTTATCCCTCTCTGTACCTTGTACCTTCAGACGTTTATCCCTCTCTGTACCTTCAGACGTTTATCCCTCTCTGTACCTTCTGACGTTTATCCCTCTCTGTACCTTCTGACGTTTATCCCTCTCTGTACCTTCTGACGTTTATCCCTCTCTGTACCTTCTGACGTTTATCCCTCTCTGTACCTTCTGACGTTTATCCCTCTCTGTACCTTCAGACGTTTATCCCTCTCTGTACCTTCTCAGACGTTTATCCTCTCTGTACCTCTTTATCCCTCTCTGTACCTTAGACGTTTATCCCTCTCTGTACCTTCTGACGTTTATCACTCTCTGTACCTTCTGACGTTTATCCCTCTCTGTACCTTTCAGACTCTCTAGACGTTTATCCCTCTCTGTACCTTCAGACGTCTATCTCTCTCTGTACCTTCTGACGTTTATCTCTCTCTGTACCTTCAGACGTTTATCCCTCTCTGTACCTTCTGACGTTTATCACTCTCTGTACCTTTAGACGTTTATCCCTCCCTGTACCTTCTGACGTTTTCCCTCTCTGTACTTTCAGACCTTTAGACGTTTATCTCTCTCTGTACCTTCAGACGTTTATCTCTCTCTGTACCTTCAGACGTTTATCCCTATCTGTACCTTCAGACGTTTACCCCTCTCTGTACCTTCTGACGTTTACCCTCTCTGTACCTTCTGACGTTTGCCCCTCTCTGTACCCTCAGACATATATCTCTCTCTGCACCTTCAGACGTTTATCCCTCTCTGTACCTTCTGACGTTTATCCCTATCTGTACCTTCAGACGTTTATCCCTCTCTGTACCTTCTGACGTTTATCTCTCTCCGTAGCTTCTGACGTTTATCACTCTCTGTACCTTCTGACGTTTACCCTCTCTGTACCTTCTGACGTTTATTCCTCTCTGTACCCGCAGACATATATCTCTCTCTGCACCTTCAGACGTTTATCCTTCTCTGTACCTTCTGACGTTTATCCCTATCTGTACCTTCAGACGTTTATCCCTCTCTGTACCTTCTGACGTTTGCCCCTCTCTGTACCCTCAGACATATATCTCTCTCTGCACCTTCAGACGTTTATCCCTTTCTGTATCTTCAGACGTTTATCCCTCTCTGACCTTCTGACGTTTATCCCGCTCTGTACCTTCTGACGTTTACCCTCTCTGTACCTTCTGACGTTTATCCCTATCTGTACCTTCTTACGTTTATCCCTCTCTGTACCTTCTGACGTTTATCCCTCTCTGACCTTCTGACGTTTATCCCTCTCTGTACCTTCTGACGTTTATCCCTCTCTGCACCTTCAGACGTTTATCCCTCTCTGTACCTTCAGACGTTTATCCCTCTCTGTACCTTCAGACGTTTATCCCTCTCTGTACCTTCTGACGTTTATCCCTATCTGTACCTTCTTACGTTTATCACTCTCTGTACCTTCTGACGTTTACCCTCTCTGTACCTTCTGACGTTTGCCCCTCTCTGTACCCTCAGACATATATCTCTCTCTGCACCTTCAGACGTTTATCCCTTTCTGTACCTTCTGACGTTTATCCCTCCCTGTACCTTCATATGTTTATCACTCTCTGTACCTTCTGACGTTTACCCTCTCTGTACCTTCTGACGTTTGCCCCTCTCTGTACCCTCAGACATATATCTCTCTCTGCACCTTCAGACGTTTATCCCTTTCTGTATCTTCAGACGTTTATCCCTCTCTGACCTTCTGACGTTTATCCCGCTCTGTACCTTCTGACGTTTACCCTCTCTGTACCTTCTGACGTTTGCCCCTCTCTGTACCTTCAGACGTTTATCCCTCTCTGTACCTTCTGACGTTTATCCCTCTCTGTACCTTCAGACGTCTATCTCTCTCTGTACCTTCTGACGTTTATCTCTCTCTGTACCTTCAGACGTTTATCCCTCTCTGTACCTTCTGACGTTTATCCCTCTCTGTACCTTCTGACGTTTATCCTTCTCTGTACCTTCTGACGTTTATCCCTCTCTGTACCTTCTGACGTTTATCCCTCTCTGACCTTCTGACGTTTATCCCTCTCTGTACCTTCTGACGTTTATCCCTCTCTGCACCTTCAGACGTTTATCCCTCTCTGTACCTTCTGACGTTTATCCCTCTCTGTACTTTCAGACCTTTAGACGTTTATCCCTCTCCGTACCTTCAGACGTTTATCCCTCTCCGTACCTTCAGATGTTTTTCTCTATCTGTACCTTTAGACGTTTATCCCTCTCTGTACTTTCAGATGTTTATCCCTCTCCGTACCTGCAGACGTTTATCCCTCTCTGTACCTTCTGACGTTTATCCCTCTCTGTACCTTCTGACGTTTACCCCCCTCTCTGTACCTTCTGACGTTTATCCCTCTCAGTATTAAGATTATAAGATTATAATCTTGACGTCCAGTGTGTGACTTGTTTTCCTGACTGTTAATCTTTTATCAACTGACTGTTTCTTTCTCTCAACTATAGGTTCTATATTGCTATACCCGGGAATCGATACCTACTTAAATTAAATGGACTTTGTGCATAATTTTTTGTTTCGTTTTGTCGCTCCACTTATCAGTGACTTCACAGTTTCGTTATTTTGCGTTGAATTACTCGTCTTTTCGTTGCGTCACTGCGAAATAACGATAATAAGCGAGGGCGAAGAGAAGAGATTATCGTTCTGTCGGGGCGACAAAACGAAACAATGGAATGGTAGAAATCAGCCAACATAATATTCCTATGTTTGATGAACCTTAGTACATTTGCTGGAGTCTCATTACTTCTATTTTCCAGACCTCTATGAAGGTAAGATTTATCGTTAGGATACATGTATGTAATCTATGAATCAAAATTACAATGCTATGGGTTTGATGTGCTTTATCAGAAAATGAACTGTAAAAATACGGCATATTGACTAAAGGATGTTAAAAAACGGAAACAATAATTGTCAACATGGACAAGTTTTATTCAACGAAATATAAAACCTCCATCAAAGATTCACATAGAAAATCGACTTATTGTAACATTACGATACAAACATTGCGACTGTTTATAGTGATGACGTATAGACAGAGTCTTGTGATTCGTACGAACGTAGTTTTGATAACATTCCATCACTGACGTCGAATGATTTCACCACCTGATGTGGAACCGGGCGACCATCACTTTCTTCAGTCGTGTCAGATTCAGAGAGGAAAGGCTGGAACATGGACAGGTAATATATATATTAATCTTAGCAGTTAGGACACGGGTAGTTTGTTTTCTGTAAGGAAACACAGTACACTGACAGTAAATGGAAAAACAAGACAAAATAAAACAAAAACAAGAAAACCTCTTAATTGTCTTTGTTGAGATTTTAACTCCTGACGTATGTATATTTAATTATATACAAAACGTCAGACATTCTGGAGTTTTTTATTAAAATTGTCATTTTTGCAAATATTATGTTGTTTACAAGATTTCAAAATTGGCAATAGTTCTTCCACCATGATGTTATCAAACAAGACATATTTTCAGATATCACACAAACCGTGTCTTCGCATTATCAATCGAACTCAATTTACTGCATTCTCATGTGTTAATATACAATGGTCACATTCTGTACGCGAGGAATTCAGTTTGGGTATATGGTATGGTATGTTAACAATATAAGATAAAATGTTGAATTATGTGTTTATAGAAATACAATGCACGAGGAATTGAAATGGTATTGCATTGTCAATAGAGGGCTACACTACCGTGCAGGTATGCGGTACTTTTGACGTCAGACACAGATTGCCGTCTGTACTAGAATTGTGGTTTTATAGACCTCTCACGATGCTGATTGAATAAACAACAGAAACAGACAGATAAACAAACAGTTAATTGTTGTTTTGTTTTTACCTTAGACGCCTTTCCGTATTTGTCGATAAGAATCTCTACACCCAACACGAGGAGACTTAGTAAACAGCCGCCACTAATGACGATGAAAATTCCACCAAGGGCGTTTAATGTCAACCCATCGCTGTTGTCAACTTCGAGGCACGTGACATTGTTGCTTTCCCACCATTTCTCTTTAAGTTTTGTAAGGAGAGTAGTGGACTGGATAGCGAGTATTCTGAAGTGGTAAACATATCATACCATCATGTAAAACAGATTACCCATGACATTTAACCAGCGTGATATGAAACGGATTATATATATAAATTGATGGAATAATATTCACACTGAAAATAACGAATATACATTGCACATGTTGATATTTCTAAATTGTTGACTTCATCACACTTGTAATATTAAACTGAAATGGAGTGACATAGTTTAAAATTAACTTTGCAAATACCCCTTGCAAACTTACGTGCTAGATATATTTTTGACAAGAGGTGAGTTTTGTGGCAAGACGAAAGCGTAAGGTTTCGCGCTGAACATCGTCCCTACTGAGAGAAGCCCGCACCGACGACTCATTTCAAACTTTATCATTGGAGTTTCATGGAACAAGACAAAGTTGCCCTCTAAGACCTTTGCGATGCCTTCCTCCGTGTTTGTAACATAGCCAGTCCGCTGCATGGACTGCCAAAGTTTGATGTATTTGTCCCCAAGTGGATAGTCCCAGACGGCATACTGTGTCAGAGCCGAGTTAGAGTCTGTTGAAAAACTAACATCCTTCCAGTAACTATAGAAACCCGCCTCGATTTTGGCCATTCTTTGGAAGTATGTCTCACCTACTGTGCCCTTTTGTACAGTGTATTGATAGGTCGACTGGGTCACCAGATCATCCAATGATTCTACTGGCGAAGCTAGACGTGATGACGTCAGGAAAGCGGCGAGGTTAGCAGTGTAAGCGCTCATTATAATCTGACAGAAGAACCAGAATCCAGCAACGACTAGACGAGTGGACGTCATGGTTGGATGATGTTGTGGACCTGTAGTGTAAAAAAAACATTGATAAGATAAACAATCAGACGAGTGGACGTCATGGATGGATGATGCTGTGGACATGTAGTATAAAATATAGATAAGATAAACAACCAGACTACTGGAGAAATAATAAGATATAAAAATACCTAATCACCTAACCAAAATTAATTACAAAAATAAAATACAAAGACGCGACATTTTATACAATGTTATACGTCGTTAAAAGCACATCAGCACGAACCTGCAATAGCCACAGACATGGCGACGAACCATAAGGAATTCTTAATAGTAAAGATCTCCTTTGAACGGTGTGCCTTGTCCTCGGTGAGATATTTGTATTTGAACCTATGGAACACACATAGGATGACGACAGTGACCACGAGTAAGGACACCCACACGCCCCATGCCAGTTCCGTGAAGACAGTGACGAACACAAACAGAGATTGTGGTTCTCTCGTGTCTTTCGTCAGGATCTGAAGTCCGGCGTAGTCGTAATATGGGGCAGTGAAGTCTATGACGGTCTCACGCTCGGCTGTCACCGATATCGGACCGGCTCCCATGTCAGCTACCTGTAATACAGTCCACGAATAATAGAACTAGATACCTTATAAGGAAATAATGAATTAAGCTGTATCATCCAGCCGTTTCGACCTTCTAGTAGATCCATACATCCAGATTTTTGAGAAACAGCAATTATGAATTAAGCTGTATCATACAGCCGTTTCGACCTTCGAGGAGATCCAGCATCCAGATTTTTGAGAAATAACAATAATGAAAACACACACAACCTTACTTTTTAATCGTAAATCCTTGAAATTGATATACTGGTAGCATTATAGTTAGTTTTAAATATCTTTTTAACTATTACAGAGGTATACCACACTGGTACAGTTGTACATCTGTATCAAAGCCGCGATATTATACCGACGCATTTAAACCCTAAATGCATGATTACTCACGAAAGAAAACAAGAAAATAACAAAACCAACAATTTTTGGAATATTTTGAAATAGTGTGGTAGGCTGTCCAAATTCCGTATAAACACATTTCAGGCAACCTGCTCTATACTCACCCCAGTTGCCACCTGTCCTATAACTCCTGTCCAGGTTCCGTTTGGCCTTAGGACCCCATATTCATTGTCAGGAACCTCATAGATCTGGTACGTAAATCCATTCCTCCTAGCCAGTTCCTGTAGGACGTCGATGCTATACCCCTCGTAGCTAATACTTCCATTATCATGTAGTACACGCTGCACAAAAGGAGGTTCCTATAATACAATATTCAGACAAACTTACTCCTCTTCCTTAAAGTATTCTACAAGAGGTCATATCTTTCATCGTGTGATCCTGGCTATTACCAGAATGCCACGCCCCACAATATATTATTTTGTTCCCTAAATGTGAAAGAGATACATAATTTTGAAATAGATTATTAGATTCAAATGATTTACTTGAGGAATGAACCTACATGAATTATTACAACTTTTAACACTGGTGGTGGCGGATGTTCAAATACATCTGGGCTTCCATATATTGTTATCTGTCCATCGGAGAACTCTCCTATCTGTAAAGATAGGTAAGTATTTCATACAATCAAACGCAGAGCAAAGGAAACTTGTCTTTTAAAATTAATCTGTAACCATAAATTCTTATATGATAGCCAATGTTACAAAGTATTATGGTAAACACTCGTCATTTAAACAGGAAAGGGCTTTATAGAAGTTAGAAAACTTGTGCCCAATCCTGCTTGTATACTTTGTACAAATAAAATATGTTTAAATCAAATTTAAACAGATAATGTAGCGTGTAGATGGTATATTTCTTAAGGAAAATAGTGGAAACACTGAGAACTTTGATTAATGATGGAATTTGTTTTGTGGACATTTTGAACATCTATCACATCTACTACGTACTATAAACTACTATAAACATTTTCATATTAACACAGTTTTCGAGATTAACAGCAAATCTTGTTTTGTTAAAGAAAGAAATATCTGTCACATTGTTTTCGGCAGATAACAGATAAGATATAAATACCTACCAATGTAGAATACTTATATGACGTGTACTTTGATATGCTTACAGATGGCTGATGGGACGAAGCGTACCATCGAAAAAATTCCTGCAAAAGATCATTCATATCAATCAAAGTTTTAAAAAGAATTAAACGGGATGCACAAGACATACGAATGATCTTTTTTCAAACTACACGATATTATTTCACGCCAATATTTATAATTTTTTCTTCTGGTTTCAGAGATCAATAAGCACTGGATGTGATACTCTTTCCTTGAAAGTGTCATAAAATTTACACAATCGAAATTTGGTATCAATATAATTAAATAAGTAGTTTTCAGATGATACAAAGTCTGATGACTGCCACTATACAACAAATAATCTGACCACACATGGATATTGTACAAATTTTACATACCTAAATATTTACCATTTAAGTTGCCTTCCTTTTCAAACACTATTTAAATTACCTCACATTTTGATCAAAATGAATATAACCAGAATATCAATTATAGATGGTTACCATGTTTGTATAGCTTGCCGTGGCGTTCACACCTTCCATTGTCTTTATCGCACCTTTGATGAACTGTAGAGCATCCATCCAAAGAGGCTGGAAAATGAATCGTCTTTATTACTTTTTTTATCAGGAAAGTATAGATAAATATCGATAAAGGTGTTATTTACACTTCCATTAAATATGATTATTATTTATAAGTAAAGCATATACCTAAATATTACCCACATTCGTGAAATATATTTGTTTTTACTGATGGCATGATTAAATACACTCTTAGATATCAAAATAGTACTGTACGTTGTATTGCTTAAAACAGACTTTAGACATTTGAACTTTCTGAACACTTTAAAAAAAATTTGACAAACTTAGCTCGTTCATGGAAATAGTTGGGATCAATATCAGTGTGGTAATTTCACGAAATGCTGGTCTTGATAAGGGTACAAACCACTTCCTATACAAATCTAGTTTCTCTAACTGTTTATAGTTTCATATCATTTTTTCATTCCTGTCCGTTTATTATACACTAACTTATTGATTAATTACTTGATTGGTGTTAAAAGTTTATCAGTTTCACTTCCTAATTAGAAATTCTGATAGCATTGAGTACACTCTTTATTTATCATTATCGCTAATTTAGTAGTATCATTGTAACAAATGTTTATTTCACAAATTAAATTGATGATATTAAAAAATCAGTTCATGACATACTTAATTCAATTTGCTTCATTAGTACTAAATAGACGCCCCATAGTGATAAAGAAAGTCACTACTTACATCCATGCTTTATAAAGACTTCCTTACCGTTCTTTTGTCTGATGTGTTCTTCTGATGTATACAAATATACGACATGTTTAGATGTCCTGGACAGGTGTCAGAATCCGTAGGTATTAGAATCCATTCATTATTTAACAGTCTGACTCTTTGTTCCATCTATAGATACATAACATTGTTAGGATAGTGACTTCATATACTATTATAATCATATCTGACGGAAAATCTTGTGGTGAAACAAAAGGCCTTAACACCAATATCTTTATTATTATCAATAGTAATTATTAATATTAATAATTATTAATAGTGTTTGTGCGAATGACGCCCACCTTACAATTTACAACATTTTCATTTTTCTTTTTAAATATATTGTCTGTTGATTGAGACAAACATAAAAAAAACTATCCAAAAGCTCCACAAATTTCAAATTGCTGTTATCTTAATCATTAATCTGCATCCCATGTTTTAAACTCACCTCATTAAAGAAATTCAGAATCTTTGAATAAGACGCTAGTATGATTACTCGTCTCACATTTATTAGTAAGCGTCTCGATGTTTTATTCTCTAATATTAGTTCCTGGATATTGTATATCATTATTTTAGTCTCAATGTTATTCTTCGACTCCAGTATGCTGGGATCCAGTTCTGTGAAAAGAAGAGTTTAGCTCTCACAAAATGAGGTAAAAGCAGACTGTTACGTTTGAAATGCGAACTGGACGTGTTCAGGTTGCAATGAAATTCTTTGTCGCTAAAATATTTATTGGCTGCAACGTCCTTGCATCAGCCAAGGTCAAAGATATCAAAAATAGACTAGAAGCCCACTTTTATTCACTCCTACAAACCTGCAGTGAAACGCAGCAGACCCTATTCTTTAGCTCTGGGATGTCCCTCTAAACAGAGGGCATGTGAGAAACTATCCCCAATGAACAAAGAGTGCCCCACAATTAGTTGCCTTTTACGACAAGCAGTGATACATCAGATATATTCTTTCCCTGTCACGTGCACGTCAAGGGTACTAAATACCAATAAGATATTAACTTGGTAAGGATATCTCATGTAGAAAAAGTATGTCTTAAGTCCATGTAGAAATTGAAACACAAGCTCAAACTAAAGACTTTCATTAAGCGAAAGAGCTTGATGGAGGCTTAGTTAGTTTATACATTGTATATATATATTGTATAAATAACACATTAAACACAACTTTACCATGGCCTGAATCCAGAAGAAGCAGTGTAGCTCCAGCTGCAGTTCTTCCTATATCAAACATGTGTATGACTGAATTTAAAATATTGTACATGGATGGACGAAATGTGATTGGACGGCAATCTGATGATGTGTCACAAGACGATATGAGGTAGGGTATGTTGTTCGTCATTGCTGCTCGGCACTTCAGCAAGTCATTTATTGCTGTCAAATCCAGCGCAATTTTCCAAGCAATGAAGTCATCGGTCTGTTTGTCTGCAACAAACCAGTGTCACGAGTTATGTATGTATATAGCCTGGTAGTGGATACAGTTACATCACGACACCCTTATCCAACACGCGCACTTTACAGAACGAAACCTTTGTAGTTTGTATTAGTTAAGACATTTCTGTATATACTACAGTACTGCCTCTGAAGCCTTTTTAAAATGAAAGGGATAGAAATTGACGATATACATACACTTCATTAATATCTGTGATTAAAAAAAATACATTTTGAAATAATCAGATAATGTAAAAGAAACAAAATGCTTGGTTCAAATAAACATAACAATAGTAAATACATTAAAGACATAAACTCAATATTTCAACCCTTTCAGCAGCCAATTAAATGTGCACTGAAGTCATTCGAACTCGACCATTCAGATTACACGACACACTTTTAAGTTATGTTCTGACCAAATATCAGATCAGTCCATATTTTATAAATGTTTCACGATAAGGAATCTGTTGAAATCTTGTTTAAGTGAGTAAATTTTCGCATAATCAGAAGGAATTTAAAATAATATTTACTAGTACACATACCCAGACGGAGTTTAAAATAATGTTTATTATGTTCACATACCAAAGAAATCATGATCGAGCGCAGTGTGCTTGTTTGTAAAATGAAGGAAAACAGGTGTCTCCAGTGTTTGTGTCCAGGAGGCCACTTCGTCCTCCATCAACATCCTGATGAAGTTCGTTTCATTACCCCAGTCGTCAAACACAAAAGTATCTGAGGAAATAAAAACAATCGAATTTAGTCACTCTTATATTTTGATATCAGATAGCCCTTAAAGGTATCAACATACCCATTGTATCTGGATTAAAGTTGAACAATTAACCATGTCCTTTATTTAGATACAATCATTTACCTTGTGTAATCTGTCTTTAAAATATTTTGTCATGTTAATCAATATGAAACTGTCTTTCACAAAAGCAGTACAATTTTGTCAACGCATGGACACAAAATAAATCTAACATAACATACAGTCATTCTAATGATTATACCTTAAGATTGATATAAATAGTAAAACCTACAGAAATCTGAACTTCAATAATGTAAAGTAAAGGGATTAAGTTAAACGAGCACAATGAGAATGGCAGCACGTGCTCGTAAACACAATACATTATAGTGTTAGCTTTAATAGTGATAACTCGTTATGGATATAGTTATTGTTGTGATATATATTGGTTGATGTTCCTGATATTGTTGTGTATGGATCATTTGTCAGTGTAAAATATCCCTATTGTTTTGTCAATAATTTGGTTTTAACGTAGAAAAAAAGCAAAAACAGAAGAGCATATTATGTAACAAATGAAGGACTAGAAGGAATCACGTAGGAATGTGTGTGTTTTAAATGAGGAAAGAAACTGATGTATAAGTGATCCAACATGGATGGCATTTCCTCAGTGTTTTCCTCTTTTACAACTGAAATAAAGTTTGCCTAGAGCCAGGTGAAAAATTCATGCAACACGCCGTCTCAACTGTAGGGAATATCAAACTCTAAAATAAAGTTAGATCGTTTACAGATATTGTAAAAACGATATTGAAGAACGGACTACTTGCGTTCTTGTGTTGTTTATCAGTTTAGTTGATACAACAGAACGTCTTGTGTTGCCAGTGAGGAAAGGAAAGTTTACAAAGCAGAAATTTAATGATGTCACTAATGAGAAAATGAACATCAACACAGTATAAAGTCTATGTTAATAATTAAGAAAGGAAAACTAACACATCAAAGTGTTAAAGTGTCACCATTGAGAAAAGGAAAGTTCACACGGCAGAAAAATTCTGAAGTTGCTACTGAGGAAAGGAAAGTTAACACAGTAGTAAGTTTTTTATTATCTAAAATGTTTTAAAAGCTGACTGTCTTCATCGTATTCCTTGCTGACTACACTTCTTGTATCCATTATCTGTCCCATTAAAACATTGGTAATCTTTGAATTTTCAATGAAAGTAATAATTACATATTAGTTCTTAAATGAGTTTTCATATCAGATTTATAAGACATGTTTCTTAATTAATTGACATTTTTAAAGGTTTTCAAGTAAAAATAATGAGGACAAAATCAAACCTGATATTCAAGTGATGACGTAACGTATATAATGACATCACAATCGATTTCTGAATTCGCAGCCAATAAAAAACGCTCCCAGGTATATTGTACTAGTGTATTACATTGGCGAATTGACTGGACTATTATGTTATAATAGTGTTATGGAAAAAATAGCCACAGGGAAATATCTTTAGCAACATACAGTGTTTAGGAAATCACCTGTTAAAATAGACAACACACACTGCCGTTAAGTCATCAGAAAACAAAGTTTTAAGTCATCAGATTGACTTACACATACAAACATATATTGTAAAATGATTAAGAATAAACAATACCGGTTATGAAAACAACACATTGATATGCGGATGGCAGTAATGAATACTAAAACGTTTACCTATTCGTAATGAGGAAATACCGCTACATGTCATCCACAACAGCAACATTAACAGTCCACAAACAAATGGTGTCCACGTGGGTAGCATTCGGCTGATCCTTATTCTCCTGCGCTCCTTTGTGGGCTGATCATGTCTTCCTGAAATCAAACATGTAAATACATTTACTGATGATGAAAACCTATCGCACCCGTGTCAGCAGCCGTCACGTTTATCGACCGTACACCTGTCAAGGTATAATGAGCATATCCATTTAATGTTTGTGTGGGTTAAATACACTGATTTTCATTGTGCTGTATCAAGTGTGGTAAGGAAATATAAAATGTATAATCCATGGTGTAATTAAGTGAACAACATAGAAATAGCGTAATGTATTGTGTAATGTAATGTAAATTATGATCGTTGTGTAATGTAATGTAAATTATGATCGTTGTGTAATGTAATGTAAATTATAATCGTGTGTAATGTAATGTAAATTATAATCGTTGTTGTGTAATGTAAATTATAATCGTTGTGTAATGTAATGTAAATTATAATAGTTGTTGTGTAATGTAATGTAAATTATAATCGTTGTTGTGTAATGTTATGTAAATTATAATCGTTGTTGTGTAATGCAATGTAAAATATAATCGTAGTGTTATGTTATGTAAAGTATAATCGTTGTGTAATGTAATGTAAATTATAATCGTTGTTGTGTAATGTTATGTAAATTATAATCGTTGTTGTGTAATGTTATGTAAATTATAATCGTTGTGTAATGTTATGTAAATTATAATCGTTGTTGTGTAATGTTATGTAAATTATAATCGTTGTTGTGTAATGTTATGTAAATTATAATCGTTGTTGTGTAATGTTATGTAAATTATAATCGTTGTGTAATGTTATGTAAATTATAATCGTTGTTGTGTAATGTTATGTAAATTATAATCGTTGTTGTGTAATGCAATGTAAAATATAATCGTAGTGTTATGTTATGTAAAGTATAATCGTTGTGTAATGTAATGTAAAATATGATCGTTGTGTAATGTAATGTAAAATATGATCGCTGTATAATGTAATGCAAAATATGATCGTTGTGTAATGTAATGTAAAATATGATCGTTGTGTAATGTAATATTAAATATACCTGATAATTTAATAGAAGGACGAACCAGCTGTATGATGCAGTTGAATTCATTCTTGGCTTTACTGTATCAAACTATCAATTATTCACTTCTTTGTCTCTTGTACAAACTTTCCAACACATACAGAAAAAAACACTAATTTGTGTATATGTAATTACAATTAGTGAACCATTTATACTTAATCATCTTTTTTTAATTCATACAAATAAGCATACATTCACCAGAATTCTGATGAAACAATGCGCTAGTTTGTCTCCATTGTTCACCATTCATAATACATCTGGCAGGGGTCTGTTCAGGCAATAAGTATTATGAAAATCCATAGGATTGCTGAATATTAGAAAATCTACTGTTATTTACTAATGAAATCTGCATTGTAATGACTTCAAATCCATACAGTGTCTTATTCAAAAAAAACTAATAGGATTGCTTTATCTGCAAATTGACTTGGACTGGATTTAAAAATAACAAAATAATTCAATTATATAATACAAAGGCTTACTGAATTATACCTGCAGTGTTTTGAATACTTTTGTATCAGTACAATAACTGGCAATTCAGATTAATTGTGAACTAATCAGTGATATAAAATTATCAATAGTGAGTTTGATTACAAAAGAATAATATAAAACAGCATATTTCTCAATATAAATCTACAATGAAATAACTAGTACCAATGTGTCAGGATCTGGGGAGACAAAAACAAGAAATAAATAGGAAATCGGTAGACAACAAACGAAATTGATTATGGCTGGTTCACCGACATGGAAGGAATACTAGGTAAGCTTAGTGTGTTAGGAACGTCCATAGCTGTATATATGTTAATAACTTCTTGATAAATACAACCTGTCATGGTGAAGAGCAGCTTCGAACTTACTGGTACGTTCAAGGTCAAATAGATACACAAAGTAAGCCATAATGACCTTTGATCTACTAAACAGATTGAAAAAAATCTAAGGAAAAACAAACAGACAATAATGAGGACTTATATATTTTTCTCCTTTTTTGTTATTTAGTTATTTAAAAGGATTGAATGACTGTACATATCGAGTTATATAAAGGAGTATGGTGAGGAACGTGAAGATTGGATCGTAAGTATGATTACTCTGAAACAAATAATGAAATGCTCCTAGATAACGTGCGACTATGAAATGTCCATCAAACGGGAAATTGGCTCGTACAGATGGAGCGATTAGATTGGTGTTAAATTATACCCTCCTTGATAGCTTGATAACAAAAAAGATGACAAAACGTTAATAATAGCTGAAGTATCATTTGTCATGCAATAATATTCAACAGAGAAAATGTCGGACATCATGGGTAGATACCGATCGAATATAGGGGCAAGCTTGGTGTGAAGTTGTCATTTATTCGTTGCGTGACCAATCCGTTCAATTAAAATAAGATATCTCATTTCACTTGGTGCCCCGTTAGTACAGTTAGTATGAATTGATTGGTATTTAAAATAGACTGAGCCATGATGACGGGGACGATGTCCAGTTCAGTGTTTGTCCATTGTTCCATTAGTATTAGTAAAGATAACTCAGAACAATACAGTGTAGTAATGAAACGAAGATATCATTTACGCAGAGTTAGGTTTAATGAAACGAAGATATCATTTACGCAGAGTTAGGTTTAATGAAACGAAGATATCATTTACGCAGAGTTAGGTTTAATGAAACGAAGATATCATTTACGCAGAGTTAGGTTTAATGAAACGAAGATATCATTTACGCAGAGTTAGGTTTAATGAAACGAAGATATCATTTACGCAGAGTTAGGTTTAATGAAACGAAGATATCATTTACGCAGAATTAGGTTTTACGAAAGCTTTTTCCCAAAAGACGACAAGGAAATATTGACATATCAACGATAACTTAAATTAGAAATCAAACTTGATGGAACTACATTTGACCTCATGACCTTTAGATGATACGTTGATGTTGCATTTATTCTTCACCATACATGCTTTCCACCTTATGTAACCTATCAGAAAACTGGAGGTCAAACGTATACAGATAGAGAAGAGTGTTAGATAACGGGAAGGTGAACACGCTCCGTAGTTTTTCACGCAATATATGTTCTTAATCGTTGATTATAAAACAGAAATGAACAGTTAAATAATCAGCATCAATCGAATGGTCATTAAGATGGCGTCTTTCTTCTGTTTCTTCTAAATGTTATCAGCACAATTGAAAAAAAAATACTTTTTGATTTTTGATGTTTGATGGTAAGTATCTGCATGTCGACGATTAAACATTCGTTTCGTTGTTTAGTTTTGGGAACTGAAGCATGTGTTCAATTGCATGTATTCGCCTTAGAGCTATCAACACACACACGTTCTGTTGTTAATATTAATTATTATCTTGAGGAATAATCAATAAATCGAACAGAGTGAGGCGACAGCAAATGAATGTCATTGTGAGACGGGTCACAACATCTACTGCTATCTGTCGACAGGTCAATACGATCTGACACTTCCAAGGTTGTTCAGTGCAAATATTGACAACCTATACCTGGACTAAACATTGACAGGTAATTTCTTAATGAAATCAACAACAAATATTTCTCACACATCCGCCTGTAGGCGTTTGTGATCTCAACTGAGATGTTGTTGTCAATTCATGTATTAACACCTGTCTGCTTTCATCGTATAGATAATTTAAAATCGATATAGAAGACGAATTCTACATATCTTTGTATTTTACTTTTCTCCTACATTTTGTCTAATATTCATTAGCTTTTGATTGCCGTGTTACCTATAGCTACCTATTAACTGATAACAAATTGTTTCTCTCTTTCATTGTTTTCTTTCTTTGAAATGCCAATGCAGACTTTTTCTCTTCCGTAATATGCTATACTGGTTCCGGCTTCAACACTAGTCATCACTTAACAAGGTACGATGTAAACAGATAAAGAAGAAAAAACATGCATTTTCCTTCGTTAAGTCTTTAATCCTGATGTTGGCATATAATGGTTTCATGTCAGCCTCTTAGTCTCCTCAATAAATAACGGAACAAAATCGATACAGCAAGATATACATACCTGGATATTGTTTATTAATAGTTGTAATGATTATGCTCACTTACCTATTGTTGCCTTAAACATACATAATTATTTTTGTATTTAAGAAAGTTTATAATGAGGAAAAGCTTTTAAGGAGTATTCCTTATAATTACGCAGATCCTATGTCATGATTTATATCTAAATGCTTATCTTTACTCCTGATGATTGCATCATGTATAATGTATGGTTCATAGTCATATGACTCCATTGTTTCCCTCAAACAAGTTAAACTTAAGGTGCATTTATAGTTATATTGTTATGTGAATGTGAAATAAGTTAAAAGTTCGTCTACAGAGTAGAGGTCATAGACTCAAAGTCCTTCTACAGAGTAGAGGTCATAAACTTAAAGTCCTTCTACAGAGTAGAGGTCATAGACTCAAAGTACTTCTACCGAGTAGAGATCATTGACATAATGCATCTACAGAGTAGACGGACGTCATGGGTTTAAAGTCCATATACAGAGTAGAGGTCATGGGCTTAAAATCCTTCAATAGTTTAGAGGTCATAGATTTAAAGTCCGTCTACAGAGTAGGAGTCCACAAGAGAGATTCTTGGGAATTCTATCAATGTGTTATAACTTATAACATAAAAAGAAACTCATTAGAGTCGTTTTTTTCTCGGGTCAAACACTGGAGAAAATTTCAACATCTTATTTCGTTATGTTGTTTTAATAGAAATATGTGATATCGATTTTAATTGACAAAACTATGAATTAAGTTTATCAAGGTTTTAAATATTTACTAATTAAATAAATCAATAGTATAATACGGGGTCTTTTCATGTGACAAAGATTTATCACTACTTCCTTGTGGTTTTGCCTGACCATAGCTTTCTTAAGATTGTTGACTACCTCCTTAATGTTCTTCTGTATGTTGTATATTGAACTGATATGACTTTAATACCATATCAATATAGAATAATCTCATTTGATTAAATGACCTCTCGATGACTTTGTATTAAACAATGATAATACAATAAATACAATACTGTAGTAGTCACTTACTGCTACAATACAGACAATCGATTGGATAATGAAATGAAAACTAGGTAAAGGTTTTGACAAGCGGCACCAAACTGACATCTCATAATAAATATTTTTAAACGGTCACATAAATATTTGATCTTTATTTATCACTTCAATGCTACAGAATAACAGAGGAGATCTATTATTGACCGCTCTTTACATAAACTGTATTATGATTTCATGACCTATCGAGTTTAGACATCACAGAGGTGCTACATTCAACACGAAAGTGGACGGACTTGTCCTTTAGAGGGACTCTGCCGAACTGGAGCCAACAGCCATTTGTAAACAATGTACCTGCTGTTCTAGATATTACGTACTATTAAATTTGTTTACACATTGTTAATTAGCCAATTAGTGAGGTATGCTTTAACACTCTATGTGCTGCTTGCACTAAATTGACCTAGGGTATGCTGTAATGACCACAACAACATTACTAAATGAACAAATTGTACACTCGCTCCATTTTCAATTACGAAATTGTTGGAATTAAAGAAACATCAAATGCCAATCTGATGTACACACTACTGGCGGTAATGGTATTGTTATTGTATTGGATAGTTAGGCACGGGTATTTCCCGTGTATCAACTTCAATCATGCCAAGCGCTAATTTATCGCATTTAGCCCATCATCGAAGCTTATTTATCATCTATTGGATGGCATGATCTGATCATAGATTTCCTCATCTTCTCAAGTAGGGAATTACGACCTCTCGTGACACAGATAGACAGGATTTTCGTGACAAGGTTTAATGCATTATGAGATTGTATCTGAATTTGCTACAAATGGTTTTCAATTGAAAAAACGTGTTTAAGTCAGAACGGTTCCTCGTCCTTTATCTCAGATCATCAAAGCAAACGCAATGCATTTTGCTCTTTTAGAAATATGTGACAGGGATTTTTATTAAGGTTGATGATGACTATAGTATAAAAGTTCTTATAACACAACCAGATTTGAGTGTATTATCTACTTGTTGTGTTATATGAACTTTTATTCTCTGTGAAAGGAACTTCTATTTTACGTTTTCTCGGGAAGTAATCCCATTGTTACATTGTATAGATTTATGACTATATATATGTATTTAAAACCAATGAAGTATTCATAAATCCATGGGTCAGCCAGCATGTGAACATGCTTGTTTTGGGGCAATATTTTGCTCGGCAATTGATAATTGTCCCTTGTTCAAACCGACGAAACATGAATGGGTTCTGATAATTGTGTCGTTATGATTACTAAACTGTAAGATCTCTCACTTTATTTTCCAGTTAGAAATGGTGACGAAAGAAAGTAATCAGAACACAATATATGCCCACAAATATTCCTTAGACCCTTATCAGAAGATTTAGGTAAAACACAGTGAAAAGAAATATTATACCCTAAATCAGTGAACTGACTAGAAGCTTTAGAGTATAGGATATATATATATAAAGGATTTCTATGTATGTTTTATAGCAGTCTGTAGCCCAGTTTGAGTTACCAAGGTACTAGATAGGCACATATCCTAAACATTTAGGTAAAATGTGATACTGATAATAACCATAATATACATAAACAAGAATGTGGGCCAAAATTAAGGCATTGACATAATTAGTGTAATCAGTCCCCTTCTTACAAAATGCGTTGGATGTTTATCATAATATTACTTTCTACATATACAATTTCCGACAAGATACCTTAATCCCTGGCATTGGTGATATCAACTGCAGAGTTGTTTTTCCTTTGAGTTTCAAATGCTTTGTTGTTTATAAAGATGCAGTTTGAATAAAAATCCTCAAATTAAAAACATGTTAATTACAACCAAATTACATTTCTTTGTTGGTTGAAGAATTATACGTTATTCAGTTCACATTGTCTCCTTTGATATTTTACCAAAGTGTTGTCTTGATCCTTAAAATTACAAAGGTGATGTATATCATGTTTTTGGATAGATTGCTGTTTGAAATGCTACTGTAAAGGTTGGATATTAAACAAAACTCATTATCTTAATGAACATGGTACCGTATATTACTTCAAGGTTCAGATTATCTGTATATACAAAGACTTAAAACGACGTGAGATGAAAAACTGTACAGAAAGGCCATCACTACTGGTAATTCTACAAGGAATTAACTCTTAAATTAACATTACTGACCCACTAATTATGCGACAGGGAACACATTTTTATGCCAATTACTCTGTAATCAACCAGAAAATTATCATTTGCCTCAAATTGCGACAGTTTTAAGAAAATCTTGGATAAAAAGAATAGTGAACCAGATAAATGAAATGACTGGAAGGTACTGAAGTCAACAGTATTTTAGACAAAAGAGAGCAGAATGAATGCTAGCACAACTGGTAAATACTACAATAAAATAAATATCATAAAACCATACAGATTGGGAACCGCTATAGAAATTCGACATCACAAATCAAATAACTTTAACAGAATAATCATATTAACAAAGTGAAAGCTGACAGTACCTATCAAAACTAATGAGTCATTAAGGTATTAACTGTGAATGGTGTTTTGCGATATGCAGCCATTTCTCTTTTTTTATTACTTTTTATTCGATTTAGATATTGACGAGAGGACAACTACAGAAGCGAACGTAAAAAATAACAAGGGAATCCAACTTAAAAAAAATTAAAACCAGTCAATTTCATTGACAACAAAGCCAATTAAATGTATCAATAAAGCAAGACATTGACAATAGGAGAACAAACATATTCCACAATTCGATATGGCTCATTGAAACGTCGAGGACAGACATATTCTACAATTTGATAGGGCTCATTGAAACGTCGAGGACAGACATATTCTACAATTTGATAGGGCTCATTGAAACGTCGAGGACAGACATATTCTACAATTTGATAGGGCTCATTGAAACGTCGAGGACAGACATATTCTACAATTTGATAGGGCTCATTGAAACGTCGAGGACAGACATATTCTACAATTTGATAGGGCTCATTGAAACGTCGAGGACAGACATATTCTACAATTTAATAGGGCTCATTGAAACGTCGAGGACAGACATATTCTACAATTTGATAGGGCTCATTAAAACGTCGAGGACAGACATATTCTACAATTTGATAGGGCTCATTGAAACGTCGAGGACAGACATATTCTACAATTTGATAGGGCTCATTGAAACGTCGAGGACAGACATATTCTACAATTTGATAGGGCTCATTGAAACGTCGAGGACAGACATATTCTACAATTTGATAGGGCTCATTGAAACGTCGAGGACAGACATATTCTACAATTTGATAGGGCTCATTGAAACGTCGAGGACAGACATATTCTACAATTTGATAGGGCTCATTGAAACGTCGAGGACAGACATATTCTACAATTTGATAGGGCTCATTGAAACGTCGAGGACAGACATATTCTACAATTTGATAGGGCTCATTGAAACGTCCTCATAACTTCATATCCATCTTGTAGAGGACTGACATACAACACAGTAGACATAGATATTACTCGGTGATAAAAGTGGCTAACAGTAGGTCAAGTGCCAAACTTTACACGAAAACTATACTGTCTTTTTAAAAAAAAAACACAACAAAAAAGAAATGTCTTATTTAAGAAAAACAACAAAAGCATGCAAGCTCCAAACCAATAACACGAGGACAAACCATGAACATCGGAAGTATTTACTTACAATTAATCCTTTAAAAATATATCATGATTTCTGATAATATACTGTTTATTATATTCTCTTGAATTCCAAGCAGTAAAAATTTAAAAAATATATATTCATTTTTAAGTTTGATGTAATTGAGAAGAGAACACTTATAATACCTTAAAAAATCTTGCCTCGAAAACATAAAATTAGGAAATAGTTCGATTAAGATTTTCTTTTTAGCAATTCCAATCTATTATAAATTAGTCAATGTATTGACCGGAGTATTAAAGGAATATGAAGTATAGCCATGCAGGTAGTAACTTATTGGAAAATAATTCGTTATTTAATACGTCTGTGTATTCATGGGAGTTTAGCTTTCTACAGATGTTAATCTGACTATGATAACACATAATATTGAACGAACAGTATAAACACCCCTACTAAAACAATAAACGCCCAGTCTTTAGAAATCGTATAAAACGCTGGTTGAGAACAAATATTGACACTTTTCACCGAATACAAAAATTATCAAAATGAATCATAATGTGTTATGATGTACTATAAAGAAACCAGAAAGGTGAAGCTCACATTTGTCACCATTAAATGTCTGCAAGTACAGATAAATATTAAAGAAAGAAAACCACGTGACGACAGCAAAGGTATTTTGTAGGAGTTTATTGAACAGTAAAACTACAAAACTATCATCGCCATTTGAAATCAATCGAATTCGAATCCATTATTCACAGTTCCGAGACCATTAGGTATATGACCGGAGTTAAGTTTCGATATGTTCTTTTGTTTTAGGTAAGCCCGTCTCTTCAGACATATCTCAAACAAAAGACAGATGAATGACAAGGCTGCAATGCAAACGTAGACAAGGAATGGTCCAGCCAGACTGTCAATTCCCAACGCTGTAGCAGAACTGGTACGATCAGAAATTGAGCACTGGTCAGAACGAGGCCACCATTTTTGTCTCCATTTCTCTATCAGTCCCGCTTCTTGCATACGCATGATACTGGAAATGAAAACAGACTTAAATAATGGTTTCCCCAGACTATCTATCAGGTGTAACTTTCTCTGTGTACCGGAAATTTGACAATTCACTTGTCCATACTGTCGTTATTACTTCATTGATTATCAATTACAAAAAAATTTATTGCTCAAAAAGGGCAAAGGGATAGGACATAAGGCATTGCCTATTTAAGCCAGAAACTTCTGAATGGCAATACAAGCAATTGAATTATCAAACACATACAGACAATATATAACAGAGAAGTATATATTAGTGTCTCCATTTCCCCACTGGAATATAAACAATTACTCTTAGTCAAATCTTTTAGTGCCAATTATATATTCTGAGATACATTACAATAAGAATATATTTATTTCTTCATCACATTCATGGCACCCATGAATTAATAAATATTGAAATGGCCATAGTAATATTTTGGTTTATCGACTGATTTCGAAGAATTACTCTTGAATGGTTGTGGAATGGTAGGAAGTAATATTCTGCAGATTCTTCGCTAAAATTACAAGAACATCATGGAGAATCTTTTAAGTGATCAAGAAAGAGATTAGAGTTCGAATTACTGGCTTTATTCCTAAGTTGATTCATAATTATATTTATTCGACATTATTTTTAAACGTTTTTATTTTAGCAGAAACAGCTTCATCAATTTTAAAAAGTAGATATTTAAATTGATAACGAGGTAATAATTTGATAAATCAAAATTAAGAGCAAATGAGTTAAATTCTCTAAATTCTCTAAATATACTTGGAAAAAACTACTATAATAGCTAACTGTTCTATATATTGGAATATTAAAGCACCTGGTAGTCCGTAATAAATATCTTTCATTTTCATTTATATATATAAGAGTTTGCATGATGACTTTCAAATATTGTGGAGCCAAGCCTCGAAGTATCATAAACATTAACAATAGTTTATGCTTTTGACGCATAAAAGAAAGAGATTCCAAATTAAGTTCTTGATACAATTTATGATGGGAAGTACCGCATTCCTGTAATGATTCCAGCAGCTTGGTAATGAACAGATTCTAACTGTTGCTTAGATTGTTCAGTGCAGTTGTCCCATAACACATCTGCATACTCTAATATCGGCATAATATATGTTCTATACATTTTCAAAAGTGTTTTTTTTTTACTGATTTTAATACATTTACTCTTTTAAATGCTTTTTAATATATATATAATATACTTTCAATATATATATATAATTTACATGATGAATCCATTTACCATCGTCAGAAAAAAATACACCTAAATGCGTATGAGCTACACTCAATCGAACTTCATTGGTCATATATCTATTCCAGTAATACGCATCCAACGAGCCTTTGTCGGTATTACTCACTAGATTCTATATATGTACATTTATCATTACTAGTTTAAACTCATTGAAGAAAGATTGATTATTTCATGGTGACATTAGATGGCGCCATGTTAGAAATGCACCATTAACATAATCAGGGGAAACCGTTTTATTGAATTTAAATGTAAAGTCGACCATTGCTAGATATCCAGTAATGTGTCGCACTGCAATGAAGTTTATGCTGAAAATGCAATATCCAAGATTAATCAGTAATTGAAGGAAATGCATCAAAGGGGTTAGGTTAGAAAGTCCTCTGGTAAATGTCACTGGGTGATTAATGGATTTCAACGTCATTAAACATGGGGTGATTGATTGATATCGAGTATCATTACAAAACAACTCTCATGTTGTCCTGACTCATTTAAAGTATCAGCCTACATGTTCCATTAATATTTATTCGTGACTTAACAGTGTTTGACTGAACATACCCCGATGACACCTTACGTAACAGAGAAACACATACGAAAGCCATTATAAGATAATTACTTGTAGTTAAAGCTATCCAGGTAAGGAGCATGTTCCGGCACCACAAATCCATAACCAGCTGTGTTGAAGATTTCATCGGCTAGTGCATATGTTTTACAATCGCTTAAGACATGATATTCCAGCTGAGAACGGTCAGTCATAAAAGCAGTTTCCGAATTTCGGACAATGTCAAGTGCTTCGTTTGTACTCTTGACCACAGGCATATCACCCATCCGCTCCCATATTGTCTTGTATATACCAGAATCTGCAGTCTGTGCCAATCACAAAAATAAAAAATTTAAAAAAAAACCAAAAACAAAAAAAAAAAAAAAAAAAAAAAACACAAAAAAAAAAAAAAATAAAAATAAAAAATAAATAAAAATTAAAAAAAAAAATCTGTATAATTACTGTGACTGTAGTGTACACATTACAATCTATCCAACATTTTATCACATAATCGATCTGTTATCGAGTGGATTCGCCCATGTTTATCACCAATATAATATACCCGGTGTGCTTTTCATTGGCTGTGGCAATCATACATCGATTGTGATGTCATAATATGAACGATGACGTTATATCGTGAATTAAAACTGGCACCACAAAATGGCTGCCTACGTTTGATTTTGCTCTAAATTCTTTCATAACAGATCATATTTGATAAAAGTATCTAAAGTTTGGTTTCAGTTTGTATGAAATTTTAAAAATTTTCGCAAAAATAAAAACTCTAATACCTGTTTAAAAAAGTATGATATGAAATGAAAACTCATTTAAAATCCCATATAAACCAATTGTTTGGTGAATTTGGACATTTTTAAGACGAGTTAATACCGAAATATTTTTGTAAGTATTTGTTTATACGGCGACTTCAATGGATCAATCTTAAAGCATTATGAGGCTGCGAAGTAAACACGCCTGATAAGTATATACATATAAGATGATGTAAATATGCTTATTGACTTCACTGGAAATATATCAGTACAGTCGTTCTAACAAATATTAAGGAGGATTAACTTGATTTTACGAGAATATGATGCAAAGCCTTATTCATTGGTCATTCGTGTGCCCTAATGTATTTGAAAATAGAAGATATACCTGGAAAAGTGAGTATAGGTTGGTTCCTGCCTTAACTAGAGGACTGATTTGCTCGTGAGCTGCCAGTTCGTTTAGACTGTTGATAGGCTTCACCGCTATGGTAACAGTGAGGAAGGCAGCAAGATTGGCAGTATATGTGGACGTGATGAGGATGGTAAACACCCACCAGAACCCGACAATACATCGACCGGAAATGGCTGTAGGGTAGGTCACTCCACCTGTTCACATCGAATAACAACCAAGCATTATATCTGTTATCAGTATGATTTGGATTGAACAACTATTTTATTGTCAGTAGTCGAAAAACACAACCTTTATCAAACCGTTTCACGTTTCTTTTTAGTAAGTTACATTGTAAATAACACGCAAATGATATGTTCCTATGAGTCGTGTGTAAATACATAAAGGAAAAGAAAACCAACCTTGGTTTACAAATGTTCCAAACACCAGCCACATATTGCTAGTTAGGCTGACCTCTTCCGGAGACGAATCTTTGTGCCGTTGATTGTAGGCAGTATATGGACTGAGTCTGTTTACAATGAACAATAGTAAACCAACACACACTATAGCAATGGCGATACAGCCCCACACTGGTAGAGCGAAAGGACGGATGATCCGGAAAAATTTGTCAGAGTCAGCGTCCGGACGAGTGGTCAGGATACCTGCTCCATCCTCCATAAAAGGTTTCGTGAAGTCAATGACTTGCTCTCTCAAAGAGGTGATCGTGAAAGGCCCTATTGCAAAGGCTATTTCCTGAAAATATTAATTTCAGACATGAGAAAATATTTACGAAAACAACTATGTACAACTATTAACCTGACATTTTATGTTAGATAATCACTAAAGAATGATCTCATGATTCGCGATAAAATGAAATGACTTTGAAAATAACACAATGGAACCTACCCCTCTTTTGACCATGCCAACCATACCGTTCCAGGATCCGTCCGCATTTGGTCCTCCCCAAAGTCCATCCGGTGGCTCTATCAGTGTGTACCTGAAGCCAAAGAAAAGTTGAACATGTTTGATGCTCGTTAGCTTGTGTGTTGGTCCCGTTGCAGTATACCTTATTCTCATTTGAGAACGTGACATTACTTAGTAGAAATGGCCAATTACTCTAGTTCTTTTTCATGAGTCTCCGTGTAAATCTTTTTTTATGTATTTATTTTTTGTTGTTTTTGGTATTTTTTCATTTATTGTTTTATTTATTTAGTTTTATTAAATTTGAGTTTGGATTATTGGTATTTTATGTTTTTAGACATTGGTCACTAATAAAACATTTTTATCTATTGGAATTAATCTGGCAGCCATATACTTTTTCTGATCCAATTTATATATACATGAACAGTGGGATAAATATAATCTGAGAAAGACCAGACATGACGGTGCACAATAGTGGAGTAATGAGGGTAAGAATATACATGTCACACCTGTAATACTAATGACAGATTTATCATCATTGATTGAAGTGTCTCACCTAAAATTAAACCTCACGGCAAGTTCGTCCAAAATATCCAAGCAAAATCCAGTGAAAGTAACAGTTCCATTGATCTCCGAACGAATTGTGAACGGTTTTGCCTGCAAGAATCAACATATCACTGAAGAAGCCGCGATGAAATGACTCAACAAGAGGAAATAAAAATACGGCATAGAAAGCAAACAATACTTTTTGGAAATAAAAGATTTATAAAAAGAAAAAAAAATATACAAATGTTTAGTATATGTCAATTCAATTTTTTTCTTTGCTTCATATTTGTTACGTACCTCCTGTGTTGCTATGAGAAGTGTTCGGTTTCCGAAGTCCTTAAACGTATTCAGGTACACCATCGTGTCTTTCAAAAGGAATCCGTTTCTCTTGTCCCACGTTGCTACGATATCGACAGAATTCCTTCGATCGGCAATACTGTAGATGTCGTACTCAACGGAGGCGAGAAAACCATTACTATCAAACATCCGACCAGCTTCTGAATTCCTCGTATCGTTTGTCTTATGATACAAAAAAAAATCGTTTATCATTCACAAGATTGCTATCAACATTTTCTAATCATGTTGATTCTGCAGATGATTACATAATTTTAAGTCATACATAGAAACAAAATATGAAGTAAGAGAGATGTTATATAAAACATAATTAATCTAGTGTATTACAAACAATGGCTGGACGGGATTTGATCCATTGCCGTTATTCTCTGATGGTTTAAGGGAAATGGGTGTTGCGTGTTGCGACTTCGTATTTTTGAACACATTACAGTAAACAACAAATACAGAAAAGCTGGTAGACAAAACCTTTATATCTTCTAAGAATATTACCATCTAAGTATCAATCTACAACCATCGTTATATACGTACATCACAGAGGTTTGATCTAACTGTCTGCATCCATGGTGAGGGGGATATTTTCAATTCCTGGCAGCTTGCTGAGCAATTTTCCGTACAGATCACGTAGTCTCTGATGAACGCACTACTTAAGATGGAGTTTGCTTCTTCAAAGAATGCCGAATCAATCTAAACAGACAATAGAGAGGTTTTGCTATAACTGAACCAAGACTACAGTCGAACACAACTCTACATTATACTGTAAAAGGATGGTAGACAGGTTTTATTTTGGTTTATTATAACAATAGTTACTTTCTATAATTAAGTATAGTAGAACACAACTGTACATTATACTGTTAATACTGTATACTTAGTTAACCATAGATAAGTTATACACGTAAACAGACTGAATATCATATTCATGCATTACTGAAAACATTTCTTCGTTTCTTGAATAATTTCCTGATATTTCTGGCAATAATTTATAGTCTCTTTTCTTATGAAATAGACAACACGAGTCATTCAATAATTAATTTCTAAATATGAAAGTAGAGATATTATTTTAAGCATAAATAATGAATCAATTGAAATGAAGAAATATCCAAACGGTAGCTTTTGATGAATTCATTAAGAGACCCTATTTAATATGAACTGAAAGAAATATGCCAATTGATAGTGATTTAGAGAGGATCTCATGTTCTTTTCATTTGAGATGAATTCAGCTTCTAGCAAAATAAAAGAAAAATCCTTGACAATTCAAGGTTATAAAATGCATGAAAACCTCTCTCTTGATATATTTTTTCTGATAATGCCTTGGTTATATTTCCTCAATGCTCATCATTGAGTCTTTTTTATGTTTTAGTAAACATTAACTTTGAATAACTTTACACACCTTATTTATGAATTATTTTTACATGTGATATATTTTAATGCCTTCCATAACAAGAAGTATGCACGTGTATAAAAGATCTGTCGTTCTGGCTATAAGTCGTAAAGTTTCTCCTGTGATTATTTAATATTTGAGGATCAGCCATTAAAAAAAGAAATATCTCGGGCATCTCATCTTAAAAACTTCAGCGTGTAAAATATTTTCACACCATTTCTTAAATAAAATTCTTCAGTAACATAACGATTTATTGTACATACCTTTCCCGTGTGACACGGTTCACTCGATTCCATCACATCCATCCTTCTCTTGAGCACTATCAGATGACTTTCTGAGAATCTGGCGGGAGGGTTCCAGCATAGAGCGGGTCTGCTCTCCACGATTATCCAGAAAAAGTTCGGACCCAGCATTCCTATTTCGTATGCCTATATAAAAAACGATTATCTTCAAAACAATTCGACCAGAATTCGCATTTGTGAAACACTTTTTATACAGATAAGGTACATATTGCTTCAAATGGTTTATGGGATATAATAAAGGTTCTATTTGTAATAATGATAAGTGACTGTACTAAACAAAACATAATGCTAAATAGTTCTGAATGAAAATAAGCTGAAGCAAGGTTGGCGGATGGACTGATTAATTAACAATGTAATTTTAACTAAATCTGAAATGGTCACCTTTTGTAGAAGGTCATTTAGTATATCCTCGGATACTATAACGATGATATTCCTCCCCTGTGGTCCTTGGACGGTAGACATCGATTGTATAATGTCGGTCGTGTTTGTTACTCTCACCAGCCGGGATTGTATCAAAAGTTTGGAAATTTCCATCAGTAAATTCTGCATGCATCGAGAGTCTGGTTTGTGATATAAATGATGAAATGTCAGACATAATGGGAGTATCAGCTATCTTTTATCAAAATAGTCGTTTCATTGCTGTACGTTAAAAACTATTTTTAAAATGATAATCTTCATTTCAGTTTGTAAAATTTGTAATTATTATGTTCTCCCCTGGCCATCATACGGAGAGAATATATATAAGCTTTGCATGTTACACAATCTTAATTGACATTTAAGATCTTGTCTATAAAATTCGTTAAAAGGATAATTTACTTGGTTTACAGTACATTATGAATCGTATTGAAAGATACTATTCAATTTTGTGTCTTCTGCACAATCTTTACAAAATAAATTCATTTTGATAAATTTTACTTACTAGAAATGAAATCATACAAAATGGTGACTTCAGACCAGATCTGTGACGTCACAATACTCGTTATAGCTTTATTCAGTGTGTAGCAGTCGGGGAGCATTTTTACTGTGGGAAATGTTGATTGGTGCACTTCGGGGTCGCACGGCTGGGTGGCGTATAAAATACTCGGTATTCCGAGTCTAGCCGTATAGTAGTCCATATATCTTGTTGATGGACAGTCTAGAAAACTAATGAAGCCCACTCCGCCATCTTGTAGATGTTTACAAACTGAAATATACCACATGATAATGTAAAATTCAGAATATACACACTATGGCACTAGAGCACATCTCCATCTAGATCATTTTGGATTTTCCTCAGTCACTTAGTATACTTAAATAAATAGACTAGTGTCATCACTGAAGGATAACACGTTTAATTCATTGTTTGACTCTATTGTATCTCTCTTTAAGTTTGTATTAAAGGCATTATCCACCTGTATGCTTTTTGTGCAATCCTCATTCTTCAGTAGCACTTAGATCTGTCAAAACTGCTTTGAAGCGACATTTTTATTTCACAAAATTTCAAACTTTAGTAAGTATTGCAACACGTAGTTCGAGACACAATGTACGTCAAGGTTGTCTTAATTAAAACAATTGTTTACCTTTCCTGGACACGTCGAGAATGTTGTCTCGCAGAACCTCGAGAAAGACGAAGGTTGTATTGAACAGCATGCCATCTTCACCTACTGTTACATGTGTCACATTTGTCATTGATGTAGGTGGGTAGTCTTTCTGATAGAAGACGGCTGCAATTTAGTAAGAGAAAATTAATTGACAAAATATTAATAAAAGCAAGTTTGTTCCTATAGTAGAAATGCTAAGAATAAGAAAAGACAACAAATAAATAATTTCAATACAGGTGGTACTGACAACACGATATAATTATGTCTGTGATTTAATCGATAAAAGTATTTTTGTATAATAGGTTTATAGTCATTGTTCCATGGAGAAGACAATATCAGACATTGTGCATGATATACATGAATCACCTGTTAAAACCCAAACGGCATCCCACGCGACTACGTTGTTCTGATTCATAACATCAAACCACACTTTCTTACTACTTACCATTCCACTAAGTGACATTCTCTGAAATAGTAAAAGATTGTTCATGTAAACACTCACCGATCTGATGTATTTGTGATCGTGTCCGTCCTGTTCCGGAATGTATTACCGACATTGCCAATAGCAACCTCCCCAGGAAATTCATATTCTCGGAATAGTTTTCTGCAAAACAACCGATCTTCTTAGAAGCTTCTTAAACAAGTAAACGATAGTGGTTGTTTTTGTAAAGCCGAAAGAATTTCGCATACATCTATGAGTATTACTGCGATGCCACTGTTTGCTTCCCGCGGGATGTTCAATCCTGTTCAATTGGGCAATGAATATCCAATATCATTGCTTCCGTAAGGTAAAGTCAACACGACGTGGTTAAATCACAAACCAATACCTCAGGTAATCGATATGTCATCAATTATATAGGCAATTCACTTATAACCAGAACAATAGGTGTAATTGTCATATTAATATAGCTAGGAGGATGATAACATCTCCACGAGTCAATCAAACCACAACATCCTTATTAACAATGTCAATGAAAGTAGCGGATCTGAAACGGGCAGTTAGGCAATGTCTATAATATTTTATTGACTTTGACTAGGTGGTAAATAGCAAGTGATACAAGACAAGGTAATAAATGACAAGGTGGTAAATAACCCAGTAATACATGACAATGTAGTACATGACAGGGTAGTACATGACAAGGTAGTACATGACATGGTTATACATGACAAGGTTATATATGACTACGTAGTACATGACAAGGTAATACATGACTAGTTAGTACATGACAAGGTGGTACATGACTAGTTAGTACATGACAAGGTGGTACATGACAAGGCAGTACATGACAAGGTGGTACATGACAAGGCAGTACATGACAGGGTAGTACATGACAAGGTAATATATGACAAGGTAGTACATGACAAGGTAATACATGACTAGGTAATACATGACAAGGTGGTACATGACAAGGTAGTACATGACAAGGTAGTACATGACAAGGTAGTACATGACAAGGTGGTACATGACAAGGCAGTATATGACAAGGTGGTACATGACAAGGTAATACATGACAAGGTAATACATGACAAGGTAATACATGACAAGGTAGTACATTACAAGGTAGTACATGACAAGGCATTACATGACAAGGTTGTACAGGACTAGGTAGTATATGACAAGGCAGTACATGACAAGGCAATACATGACAAGGTAATATATGACTAGGTAATACATTACAAGGTAGTACATGACAAGGCATTACATGACAAGGTGGTACATGACTAGGTAGTTCATGACTAGGTAGTACATGACATGGTTATACATGACAAGGTTGTACATGACTAGGTAGTACATGACAAGGCATTATATGACAAAGTAGTACATGACAATGTAGTACATGACAAGGTAATACATGACAAGGTTGTACAGGACTAGGTAGTATATGACAAGGTAGTACATGACAGGGTAGGACATGACAAGGTAATGCATGACAAGGTGGTACATGACAAGGGATACATGACAAGGTAATATATGACAGGGTTGTACATGATAAGATAGTACATGACTAGGTCGTTCATGACAAGGTAATACATGACAAGGTGGTACATGACAAGGTAATATATGACAGAGTAGTACATGACAAGATGGTACATGACAAGGCATTACATGACAAGGTGGTACATGACTAGGTAGTACATGACAAGGTGGTACATGACAAGGTAGTACATGACAAGGTAATACATGACAAGGTGGTACATGACTAGGTAATACATGACAAGGTGGTACATGACAAGGTAATACATGACAAGGTGGTACATGACTAGGTAATACATGACAAGGTGGTACATGACTAGGTAATACATGACAAGGTAGTACATGACAAGGCATTACATGACAAGGTAGTTCATGACAAGGTGGTACATGACAAGGTAATATTTGACAGGGTAGTACATGACTAGATAAAACATGACAAGGTAATACATGACTAGGTAGTACATGACAAGGTAACACATGACAAGGTAGTACATGACTAGGTAGTACATGACAAGGTGGTACATGACAAGGTAGTACATGACAAGGCAGTACATGACAAGGTGGTACATGACAAGGTGGTACATGACAAGGTAGTACATGACAAGGCAGTACATGACAAGGCAGTACATGACAAGGTAGTACATGACAAGGCAGTACATGACAAGGTAATATATGACAGGGTGGTACATGACAAGATAGTACATGACTAGGTCGTTCATGACAAGGTAATACATGACAGGGTGGTACATGACAAGGTAATATATGACTAGGTCGTTCATGACAAGGTAATACATGACAAGGCAATACATGACAATGTGGTACATGACAAGGTGGTACATGACAAGGCAGTACATGACAAAGTAATACATGACAAGGTGGTACAGTACAAGGCAGTACATGACAAGGTGGTACATGACAAGGTAGTACATGACAAGGTCGTACATGACAAGGTGGTACATGACTAGGTAATACATGACAAGGTAATATATGACAGGGTGGTACATGACAAGGTAATATATGACAGGGTAGTACATGACAAGATGGTACATGACAAGGCATTACATGACAAGGTAGTACATGACAAGGTAGTACATGACAAGGTGGTACATGACAAGGCAGTATATGACAAGGTGGTACATGACAAGGCAGTACATGACAAGGTAGTACATGACAAGGTGGTACATGACAAGGCAGTATATGACAAGGTGGTACATGACAAGGTAATATATGACAAGGTAGTACATGACAAGGTAATACATGACAAGGTAACGCATGACAAGGTGGTACATGACTAGGTAATACATTACAAGGTAGTACATGACAAGGCATTACATGACAAGGTTGTACAGGACTAGGTAGTATATGACAAGGCAGTACATGACAAGGCAATACATGACAAGGTAATATATGACTAGGTAATACATTACAAGGTAGTACATGACAAGGCATTACATGACAAGGTGGTACATGACAGGGTTATATATGACAAGGTAGTACATGACATGGTTATACATGACAAGGTAGTACATGACAAGGTAATATTTGACAGGGTAGTACTTGACAAGATAGTACATGACAAGGCATTACATGACAAGGTAGTACATGACAAGGTGGTACATGACAAGGTAATACATGACTAGGTAGTACATGACAATGTAACACATGACAAGGTAGTACATGACTAGGTAGTAAAACATGACTAGATAAAACATGACTAGGTAATACATGACAAGGTAGTACAGGACTAGGTAGTTCATGACAAGGTTGTACAGGACTAGGTAGTACATGACAAGGTAATACATGACTAGGTAGTACATGACAAGGCAATACATGACAAGGTAATACATGACAAGGTGGTACGTGACAAGGCAGTACATGACAAGGGGGTACATGACAAGGCATTACATGACAAGGTAGTACATGACAAGGTTGTACATGACAAGGTAATATATGACAGGGTAGTACATGACAAGGTAGTACATGACTAGGTAGTACATGACAAAGCAGTACATGACTAGGTAGTACATGACAAGGCAGTACATGACAAGGCAGTACATGACAAGGTAGTACATGACAAGGTAGTACATGACAAAGTAATACATGACAAGGTAGTTCATGTCTAGGTGGTACATGACTAGGTAGTTCATAACTAGGTGGTACATGACAAGGTAGTACATGACAAGGTGGTACATGACAAGGTAATACATGACAAGGTAGTACATGACAAGGTGGTACATGACAAGGTAATACATGACAAGGTAGTACATGACAAGGTAGTACATGACAAGGTGGTACATGACAAGGTAATACATGACAAGGTAGTACATGACAAGGTAATACATGACAAGGTGGTACATGACAAGGTGGTACATGACAAGGTGGTACATGACTAGGTTGTACATGACAAGGTCGTACATGACAAGGTAATACATGACAAGGTAGTACATGACAAGGTGGTACATGACAAGGTAATACATGACAAGGTGTTACATGACAAGGTAACACATGACAAGATGGTACGTGACAAGGCAGTACATGACAAGGTGGTACATGACTAGGTAATACATGACAAGGTAGTACATGACAAGGTAGTACATGACAAGGTGGTACATGACAAGGTAATATATGACAAGGTGGTACATGACTAGGTAATACATGACAAGGTGGTACATGACATGGTTATACATGACAAGGTAGCACATGACTAGTTATGAATTTTACTATAGTTTCGTTGCAGGTGTTTTATTAACACTGTAATAATAATCTCGAGCACGTCCCTTACTCTATTTTAACAGTTGTTCTGGAGTGTTTTGATTTTCCTGTATAGTCAGTTTTCCAGTCTTTTTCCCCTGACATTACTAACGGGTATTAAAAGAAGCATTACTATGATACAGTTAAATTATTTGAATATCAATCATTTAATGTTGAATATTGATGTGATATTCAGTTGTGTGCCTCTGATAATTTTCACTTTAGTACATGTTTCGCCTACTAATTCAATGAAACCGTTATGAAAACAATAAAGAAAATACTGCCATGTTAACGAAATCATCATTCAAAAACGAGATGGAGGGGATGGGGGAGATTTTTACAAATACGAGATGGTGGGGATGGGGGAGATTTTTACAAATACGAGATGGAGGGGATGGGGAGATTTTTACAAATACGAGATGGAGGGGATGGGGGAGATTTTACAAATATGAGATGGAGGGGATGGGGGAGATTTTTACAAATACGAGATGGAGGGGATGGGGGAGATTTTAACAAATACGAGATAGAGGGATGGGGAGATTTTTTACAAATATGAGGTGGAGGGGTGGGGTAGATTTTTACAAATACGAGATGGTGGGGATGGGGAAGATTTTTTCAAATACGAGATGGAGGGGATGGGGGAGATTTTTACAAATACGAGATGGTGGGGATGGGGGAGATTTTAACAAATACGAGATGGAGGGGATGGGGGAGATTTTTACAAATACGAGATGGTGGGGATGGGGGAGATTTTAACAAATACGAGATGGAGGGGATGGGGGAGATTTTTACAAATACGAGATGGAGGGGATGGGGGAGATTTTTACAAATATGAGGTGGTGGGGACGGGGGAGATTTTTACAAATACGAGATGGTGGGGATGGGGAAGATTTTTTTCAAATACGAGATGGAGGGGATGGGGGAGATTTTTACAAATACGAGATGGAGGGGATGGGGGAGATTTTTTACAAATACCAGAGGGAGGGGATGGGGGAGATTTTTACAAATATGAGGTGGTGGGGACGGGGGAGACTTTTACAAATACGAAGTGGTGGGGATGGGGGAGATTTTTACAAATATGAGGTGGAGGGGTGGGGTAGATTTTTATAAATATGAGGTGGAGGGATGGGGTAGATTTTTACACTTTTATTCACAAGACTGAATTCAACATTAAAATATGTACTTGTTAGAATTCAAGTTTCGAATAGTTTAGCAACATAACATTTTGAATAGAATAGGATAGAATATTTGGGGAAGAGTTAAGCAGTCAGATATCCCATCCATGGATATTATGAATTATTCGACATAAGCCTACTGTGCAGACAAAACAAACTACAGAACTGATAGGATAAAAGAACAAAGACAAGCAAAAACACCATATGTAAAACATATTTTGATGGTAATACTATTGCGATTATTGGTGATGAATATAAACCAATAATACACGTGAGTGCTGCAGGTGGATGCTGTTTCCGGATCCGGTCAGAAGGTTATTAAATGTGTTAACTTCCATCTGTATCGATAGCGCGATCCGTATTAAACTTGTTATATTTCTGGAAGTAACTCGTGTTAGGCAAATAACAGTTCGAGCGCAGTATTGATTTTTTAATAAGGTAGCTATAACATTTACCTCCTTCTATGTCACCTGTATAGGATGGGTAGCTGTTACATTTACCTCCTCATATGTCACCTGTATAGGATGTGTAGCTGTTACATTTACCTCCTCCTATGTCAGCTGTATAGGATGGGTAGCTGTTACATTTACCTCATCCTATGTCAGCTGTATAGGATGGGTAGGTGTTTCATTTACCTCCTTCTATGTCAGCTATATAGGATGGGTAGCTGTTACATTTACCTCCTTCTATGTCAGCTGTATAGTATGGGTAGCTGTTACATTTACCTCCTCCTATGTCAGCTGTATAGGATGAGTAGTTGTTACATTTGCCTCCTTCTATGTCAGCTGTTTAGGATGGATAACTGTTACATTTACCTTCTTCTATGTCAGCTGTATAGAATGGGTAGCTGTTACCTTTACCTCCTCATATGTCACCTGTATAGGATGGGTAGCTGTTACATTTACCTCCTTCTATGTCACCTGTATAGGATGGGTAGCTGTTACATTTACCTCCTCCTATGTCAGCTGTATAGGATGGGTAGCTGTTACCTTTACCTTCTATGTCAGCTGTATAGGTTGGGTAGCTGTTACATTGACCTCCTCATATGTCAGCTGTATAGGATGTGTAGCTGTTACATTCACCTCCTCCTATGCCAGCTGTATAGGATGGGTAGCTGTTACATTTACCTTCTTCTATGTCAGCTGTATAGGATGTGTAGCTGTTACATTCACCTCCTCCTATGCCAGCTGTATAGGATGGGTAGCTGTTACCTTTACCTTCTATGTCAGCTGTATAGGATGGGTAGCTGTTACATTTGCCTCCTCATATGTCACTTGTATAGAATGTGTAGCTGTTACATTCACCTTCTCCTATGCCAGCTGTATAGGATGGGTAGTTGTTACCTTTTCCTTCTTCTATGCCAGCTGTATAGGATGGGTAGTTGTTACATTTGCCTCCTCGTATGTCAGCTGTATAGGATGGGTAGTTGTTACATTTGCCTCCTCGTATGTCAGCTGTATAGAATGGGTAGCTGTTACATTTACCTCCTCATATGTCAGCTGTATAGGATGGGTAGCTGTTACCTTTACCTTCTATGTCAGCTGTATAGGATGGGTAGCTGTTACATTTACCTCCTCCTATGTCAGCTGTATAGGATGGGTAGCTGTTACATTTGCCTCCTCCTATGCCAGCTGTATAGGATGGGTAGCTGTTACATTTACCTTCTTCTATGTCAGCTGTATAGGATGGGTAGCTGTTACATTTACCTTCTTCTATGTCAGCTGTATAGGATGGGTAGCTGTTACATTTACCTTCTTCTATGTCACCTGTATAGGATGGGTAGCTGTTACATTCACCTCCTCCTATGCCAGCTGTATAGGATGGGTAGCTGTTACATTTACCTTCTTCTATGTCAGCTGTATAGGATGGGTAGCTGTTACATTGACCTCCTCATATGTCACCTGTATAGGATGGGTAGCTGTTACATTCACCTCCTCCTATGCCAGCTGTATAGAATGGGTAGCTGTTACCTTTACCTCCTCATATGTCACCTGTATAGGATGGGTAGCTGTTACATTTACCTCCTTCTATGTCACCTGTATAGGATGGGTAGCTGTTACATTTGCCTCCTCCTATGTCACTTGTATAGAATGTGTAGCTGTTACATTCACCTCCTTCTATGCCAGCTGTATAGGATGGGTAGTTGTTACATTTACCTCCTCGTATGTCAGCTGTATAGAATGGGTAGCTGTTACATTTACCTCCTCGTATGTCAGCTGTTTAGGATGGATAACTGTTACATTCACCTCCTCCTATGCCAGCTGTATAGGATGGGTAGTTGTTACATTTACCTCCTCATATGTCACCTGTATAGGATGGGTAGCTGTTACATTTACCTTCTTCTATGTCAGCCGTATAGTAACAGGTTTTATATTTCAGTTAAACAAGTTATATTGCAACAAGCAGCAAGGCAGGGCAGGAAGCAATGCACGTTTAAGCTTTCTAAATACAATATCGATAAATTGCAATCAGAAATAACTGGTAACCAACACCATGTGTATAACAATGTAGCACAGATAAAATAGAAATAGACTTGGATATTTGTTTTTCTACGACTCTAAAGTTGATATGGTTCTAGTCTGATGTTGGTTCCAGGGTCATTACGTGACTTTTCTCCTTACATTCCCTATTTGTAGACCTCATTTATTTGACTGATTACCGGAAATAAGAATTTCATAAAGTTCACAATTGTCAATACACTTGTGTAAATTTTCCTGATGTTTCTTCTGGTCTTTTTTTTAAAACTATTTCCTTCGTCATGGTATAAAAATGATCACAAAGGTCAGAAGTCGATCGTTTGGACAATTTTAGTGATTATATATCTCTGTTGACCTGTCTCTGTGCTACTATATTTTCATTATTCTTTCTCTGATTTTATAGCATTAAACATACTGGACACACTGCTATGTCTAACCTTGTTTACCTTACTACAACAAGTCGTATGCAGGCCATTCCCACAAACACCATTGTGATTCCCAGAGATGTTCCGTCATTGGTAAATCGTGGCACGGTTACCTTTGCTGCAGTTTAGATTTGACGGTTTTTGAAATGGTTGGTTATTCGTCATTTACGTGGAGTAATGGCATTTTTACAAAATCTTTAACAGATATCTACTATTTAAATCTCTGTTTTACAGACGACGGAAAAATGGTTTAATCATTTTAACAATCAACAAATTAAAGTAGCTAGCAATTCAAAATAACAACAGAATTGGGAAATAAAAACAATATTACTACTACATGTGATACAAGTGTATTGATAATACCGGGTTGTCAATTCCACAAGTGAGCCAAGTTCACGATTAAGTCAATGATAGAACGTGTTGTCGTATCTCGGACTTCATCCTTTGTTAACTACAGAGAATTAATTAGACTGTCACTATTTGATGAGAACATTTTGTACGTTACTGGATTGCTCCCAAAGAACAGTAAGAAAGGAACAGCCGAACAATGCATTTTTAGGTCAGATGGATGATGTAGTCCATCAAAAATATTTCGGACATTCTCTCAAACTAATTTCTGAACAACCTGAGTCTCATTTCAATAGTGGGTTTATCACAAAAGCCTACGTACCTCAGACAAGTTTCTATCGTCTGCGAAGGAGAGGGCTTCGTAACTCGGACAAGTTTCTATCGTCTGCGAAGGAGAGTGCTGTTACAGGCTTTACCTGTTGCCCAATTTCGTTGTTTTTTTTTGTAAGATCATGACGATAATATATTCTGTAATGTATAAAAAGGTCCTATTCGTAAGCCACGATATCTTCGGTACTTTTGACGTAGGTTTTAGTAAGGTGAGTATATAGTTGGAACAAATGAAGTAAGGGCGTCACCCTGTACAGTTACAGTCATTGATGTTTCTAACTGATTTATCAATACTTTTTCAAGTAAATGTTGATCTTATTTACAAAATTTAAGCAGCATGCGGAAATACAAAAGCAAGAAAAGGACAGCACTTACCTTACTGGTACTAATGTCCCGCTCGCATGTGTCGGGAGCTGGAGTACACGGACAGGTGTAGGTAGCTGGGTCAATCAACGATTTCTATTAGATAGACTATCGATTTCCGTAAGGTCAACAGCACGTGGAGGAGTCCGTGTTATTAATTAAACATGGATGTAATGATCACTGTGTGTTTACACGTTTGCTTTTATAAATCTCTTTTTGTAATATCACTGAATCCATTCACATACTAGTCTCATTTACGACAGTAGTTCCCCTAAGTACACATTAGAAGCACGTGCTTATATCACGTGTCGTATTGATTACACGTTTAGCAAAAATTAAAAAATAAGACAGTTTTATAGGGTGGTGATCCTCGAACTCAACATCAACGTTACCCAATTCAAACAATTTCGGCCGTAACGACGCCATAATGGTCCTCTCCATAAAACGGGGTTTCTATCTAGTGTCAAGTTTGAAGGTATAACAGGGGTGATAAAACGGGGTTTCTGTCTAGTGTCAAGTTTGAAGGTATAACAGGGGTGATAAAACGGGGTTTCCGTCAAATGATACAACTCATGTACAGTATAATATAGCTGAAACAAGAACTGAACACATGAAGCCGATAAATCAAATCTATTATCAATTTTAGTTTCAAATCTTTAAAAAAATTACAATGAAATTAATGAATCTATTTCGGGATGTGGAATACTGACACGTGCGTAACATACGTCATCGTCAGGTTTTAATCAAGACCATGTTTAGTAGATGTATATCCAAAGTGTCTCTCATTGTATTTAAACTCGTGTGTGTTCTGCACGAACAGGAAGCAACTGGCAGGCTTGTCTTGTTTCAGCAAAACATTTTTTTAAAATGCGCTCAAAGTATACACAAAACGTCCATGGCTGCTTGTCGGCCTTCAGTTCAGCATTTCAAATTACTATCATATTTTTTAAAAAGTTCACCTTATTTCGCATTTCGCATGGAGCATCCGCAGTAAGTATATATATGTCCCAAACAAAATATATATGCAATGGACAACATAAGTCAGCACAACAACTGTTATCTTCCAGTAAGAAGTTTTTTATATTGACATTGGGGCATCTTGAAATATTTTAGCGAATCTAGAATTAAGATAAAGTATTAAGTATAAAGCATTTAGCATAAAGCATTTAGCATATATCGTATCGGTTTTCCATTGTGAGTTGTTTCGTCAGCTGTCAGCACCTGTGACCAATCGTGATATTGGCAGGATGTGCTTGAATATACAATCTACATCGACATGTAAACACGGTCTACAGCACTTTAATGGATAATATAAAAGATTTTCTTAGGTAACGAATGCGTACAAAAATAGACATGTGATTCGTAAATAAAATAATTGAGGTAACAAACACAATCCTCCAACAGTTTCTGTAAATATACGTCTTGTTCTCTTGTCAGACAAATCAATATGATGGTTTCTGTGTAGTACTTGAGGTAACAAACACAATTCTTCAACAACTTCTGTAAATATAAGTGTTGTTCTTTTGAAAACAAATCAATATGATGGCTTCGGTGTAGTATGGACATGTATATCACGCTAGAAACTTAAGATATCTTTTTCATTTTCAAAATCATTTACCTCTATAAAGGCGGTCTTAAAAATCCTTGAAGCTTTAATTATCATAATATTTGTGAAATTGAAAGTTACACTGATTTATTGCAACCAATTTTTGGCAACCACAATTTGTTTTTAATAAAAAGACATTTTGACGTCACAGATACATCAAGTTGCTTCCAGGGATGCGTGTGGCTTCTCTCTCCATGACTGTGTATGATAATTTGATAACTTGCGTAAATTTCTGAACACGTACGTCTAACAATTTAGTCACTCCCTCCAACTTATTGAGTATATAAGATGCATTTTTATTTAAATACTCGATTACACTTAATATGAATCGGCATTTCGATACTCAGATTCTATGGGGATTATTTATACTCTACAACAGTAATTAGGGTATAGGGTATGTTTAAGTGCCTACATTAACATGCCTGTGTATATCGTAGTAAACACGTGAAAATATTCTGTTTATCTTCCTATCGTTATTTCATACCGACAGAAAACTCACGTGGTCGTCAAGAAATTCTTGGCACCTGTCAATCGATCAATATTTTGTTCTTTCCCGAGCAATCGATAAATTTCCTTCACTTGGTATCTTTAACCGTGGGAAATATGACAATGATTGAATGTTGACATAACAACATTTCTGAGAATACCAGTGGCTATTACTTGTATAATCTTGAAAGTCGTTCACATCCTTGTTTCACCTACTTTGTTGTTGCCACAGGAATGACCGAACAGCACTCTACGATAGCTTCCGAAAACACCTCGCTTTTTTTAAAAGTATAACCTTATCTTTGCTTTGTTCAATGTTACATATGAAGAATTTTCAGAAAATTGATTTAAATAACAGAAAATACAGAAATAAAGGTTTAATAACTAGGATTTCACTTGTAAATGGGATACAACAACATTTCGAAAACACATGCTTCATACCCAGAATACAAAAACTAAATAAGAAATAGATAACCTGAAAATTAATTTCTCTTTTGATATTCAAATTTTATTTCTGCGGAAATGTTTGATAATCTCTATATCTGTCAGTTTAGATAATAGCATCTCGGACAAAACTGCTGTTCATTTAACCCTTAAATATTTTTGAAGAACATTTTCGCTTGTGAAATCAACATCCGGAACTTCAGTACAGCTGTGTTGCCTGATTTCTACAATTTGTATCAATAATGTATAACTTGTATTTCTATAACACTGACACTTGAGGTGAACTGTCAGCAGAGTCCCGTTCTGTGACAAGAACACTTCCTAAACAACGCTAATATGAGACATGCTTTCAAACATAGCTACTTTATTTCTCATGTGTAACACAAAATCAATTACGTAATAAATGCCACGCTTACAGTTATGGGAGTGACTGATTCATGCACCAAATGGATCCAATCGCCATGGTAACCGGCGTGTCATTTATATTAAGTGTTTGTATGGGTGCCTTTGTTTTGACTCTACATAGATGGTCTCGTCATTGTCGGATTCCTCAATCTACCTCACCCTACCCTGACCTTGGCTATGAACATGACCTTGGCTATGATCATGACCTTCAATGTGACTAAGGATGTGCGTGTTGTCACAAAACTGGGGCTGACAGCGTTACCGTTGTCAAACGTTGTACGAGTAAAACCGCAGGATTTCCCGAGAGCAGTTGAACACACGTTCCAGATACGTGTGTCATTCTTTTGGTAACCTATGTTACTAACACAATAAACTTTAAGGTATTGGCTAAAGAGACTAGTGATTTTAAATAATGTCAGGTAAATGTTAAGGCCGACATTAACTAGATATTGCTTAGAAACAAAACAATAACCGCTCAAGACAGAACAGTGCCATATTGACTCTCTGTGTTCTACCTTTCTCTCTTCCACAGATCTGTGAACCCCAATAAAATACATTGTTGAAAATTTTAGATAAAGACTCTACTGTGTAATTATATGACAGATCGTCAAAACTGAATCATACACGTTTTCCCAGTCATTCATCGAAGGAGTTATATATATAGGAAAACAATGACAGGACAGAATATCAGTTAGAAATACAGGATCAATCAAACTTACTTTGTTTTCAGATGAATTTAAGATTTATGAGTACTTTGCGGGAATGTTGTTTGATCAACAGCATAATAAATGTGAATATTGACTTTATTATTTTATTTTAGAGACAGAAATTTTCAGTCCAGCTCAATCCATAAAGTACAATTTAATGTTCAATGACAGCGAGGAAACTGACGACGACAGTCAAACGATTTATAGGGAAGTGTTAAAGTTGATGTTGTGGAAAATATTAGTTTTTCGTAATGTTCATCGCTTGAGGCCCAGGAGGCAGTAGAAGAGTTGGTCTGGAAAAGTTGTGGGTCAACTGCGAGTTCTTCCCCCCAGGAAATCGCTAGTTGTCGTAATATATTACATCTGAAAATGAGGAAACTGAAACGGCACTGTAAACTGAACGCCAGTATGATATACCTGCGCCATACGCAATTTGTATTCAGTTGGGCACTGGGAAATTTTCTTTTCTCCACAACACACGGACAGGTGTTAATTTATTTTTATAAAAAAAAAAAAAAAAACATAAATCTACATTGGCAACAGCTACTTTTTATTACTGTTATAGCCCGTCAGAATTTCTCAATACAAAATATTTCATTATTTGTTCAAACTTTAGAGTAGAAAAAAAAGTAAAATTTCGTTTGAATAAATGTCAGTATATGTTACAATACCATGTATCAATAACACATCGTACAACGTTAGGTATCATTTTGTATCACAACGTTAATGGGATTATAATTAGGCCCTGTTCTGCTAACAGATTGATTATTTTACTGATGATGCATGTCTACGTATTCAAAAAATAATATGTTTTAGTTTTTAACACCTCTGTGGCGTTTACACCGTTCATTTAAGAAAAAATGTCAACAACTTAAAAACGTTATAATCAAAAGAATGAATTGATTTTTAGTTTATGCAAACAAGTCTCCCTACATGTAGCAAGAGCGCGAAAATTAATTATACTTCTTTTAAATAAATATCAGTATTGATAATTATCGATCTGTTCCAAACCTTTATTCTAATGTGTATTTCAATTCTCTTTTTTATTTTGAGGAACGAAGATCAACATTGTAATCGCTAAAGAACGCTCCTGTGTTATTGTATCATTAGTGATATCGTCATTTACTGTACAGGTTTTACAATCCTTGAGGACGTTTGTACGGAAATATCGAAGCAAGTGCACTTTTGTAATATCATACAAATATAATACATGCTGCTATTATTAACCTCTTATGGCCATGATCGTTTACATACTGTCTTTGTTTTTTGCTAAAATATTTAGTTTCTTTCCAGTCACCTGATCTCACATCAGTATCTTATGTCTGTACCCTATCGAATACAAGAGCAACACAAATTATTTTCAAATTTAAGTTGGCACATGTTAGTCACTCCAATCCTTTTAATATAATTCATTTCTTAAATGGAGGAGGGAAAATGTACAGCATAGGGATCACAAGACTGTCCACGTCGGCTTAAGGTCTATAAACATGTAAGCGTTACTACTCGATTGATGTGAAAAGCAGACCTGCACACCACCTCTCAATTGATGTGAAATTTGACATAAATTTACAATTCAGTAGAAGTGAAATTAGAACTGCATATTACAACCCAATTGGTCGTTAGTAATAAATTGCAGTACTTTTGAATAGAGATACGAAAAAGTTTTAATGAAACAAAATTTCCTGATATTTTGTATTTTTCTTATGCAGATAATTTTTCTGATGCTAAAATCAGCTGGAACGTATATTACAGTATGTCATGGTATGGTACCGGAACCTGATCACTAATCAGGATAGAAACCAATCACCAGAAATCAATCACCTGTAATACTAAACGGAAGCTATAGCTAAGGACACGTTTGTCTGCAGCCTCCCAGTACATAGATCGGCGTTACCGGATTAAATGTGACATGCAAAACCCATCAGTCGGATAGCCTTACCTATTAATATGGATTTTTTTCTGATGTGAATTAAATAATTACTTAAGGCGTATTTATAGTACATCACCATAAATGATAAAAGCTGAATCCAATTTGTTCTGTAACTCTTTAATGCAAACACATACATATAGTATACAGCAGTAAACATTATACACTGACAGGACAGCATTGGCTCCGTCTTGTGACTATACATCCCCCATAATCATCAGAAAGTCATCTGTCCATATTGCCGAGGCTGACGTTTAATATATGGGCGTTAAAAACAATCGCAAGGAAGCAAAGCCTTACATGATACATGTCCTATCATAGGAGTCTTGTTTCCCTTCTCCTCTTCCCATGTTTGCTGGAGTAACAACAAAGTAAATACGGGTATGATGCCATTTGATTGTTTGATTGGTTTCCTGTAAACTTTAAATATCCCCTCTCCTTGAACATCTAAGGTCATTGTACTTCTGCTGCAGGATACAGGAGTGGTGTGTCTCGCTCAGAAAAACCTCAGACGCTGATAACGATTCACTGAAACAACTTTGTTTGCGAAAACTTATCATAAAACAGACAAAGTTTTAGATCACACAGTAAAGATATATTTTCACCGATGACAAGATGACTTTAATCTTCAGTTTGTTGACTTGCTGTTAAATCAGGATGCCCTTTTGTACGTGTCCTTTGGAACTTTAAGCCATACTTAGTGACCTTGACCTTTTCACAGTTGACTGTTTTTAATTCTATTTTTGCTTCACAATGTCGTAATAAAATGTGATACAAAATTTGACCGTGACACTGGAACTTTTGATCAGTTGACTTGTTGTTAAATTCCGATCAGTTTTGCTTGATATTAGCTAGGGTCTGATTTTGAGGACAAAGAGATAACTGTAATGACACACGTATTTAACAAAGTGCACCCTAATTACACATCACACGATTTCTGTTCACGTTGTCATAGACAGGACATGCCTTTGTAACCATGATCCACAACAGCCGAATCTTCAGGTGTATTCTTAGTATCATTTCCTAGGCCCCCATCATCGTTGTCTCGAAAATGCTGTGTTGGTGAAAAGCCATTTCGTACGGTGTATTTCTGTTATAAAACATTGGCACATCAGTTAAGCATACACAGGATTAATTCACTTTCCCCAGAAGTATTGGATTTACGAGGTTCCTTGAAATTACAAGCAGAAAATACCAGAAATATTTATCGAAATCATTATTTCTTTGACAATTTCACGTGTAAAAATTACAAATATTACATTTTGTCTATAACATTAGAGAAGTTGTTAATATAAATTACAAGCTAATTACTGGCCCAAAACAGATATGGTATCGAGGACAGCAAACATCACTGATGTTGTGTTGTTATTTACCTTGACTGTGTTGCTGATTCTGTAGCGGACAATTCTCTCTATACCCAGGATAAGGATTCCCAGACCCAAGCCAAACACGGGAGTCAGGAACCAGTAGGCTATTTCAGTGAAACCAATTTCCTGTATAATTTCATCCGTATCACAAAACAAAGTATCGTTTTCCCACCATTTTCTTTTCAAACCCTCCACATCAGACGACTGCTGTATTTTCATAAAACTGTGGTGGAAAAAGAGTTTCCTAAGCACCCAACACAACTTTTAACATTTTGGCAATTAAAATTCTTATCAGATGATAATCTCAAAGAAGATACACAAGACGATGATTAGAAACACAAATCGTTTCATAATTTTAGAGAATTTGTATAAGTTATAATTATACATAATACAGTTTATTTCAGTAGTCAAGGATGAACTATATATTGAAGACACGGTCAACAGTTACCTATTTGACATTGTTGATAAGAGACTGGAATCCTTCTTCAGTGCAAATCCAACAGGATGATAACCCATGGGTGACCCAAGCGACTTCACATCACAATTATGGGAAACTAGATATTTAACGGTGTCTGTCTTTGACAAAAGAATAAAGTTTCCCTCTGCCACCCTTCTCAGAGCCTCCGATGTACTGTTGAAGAATCCAGTTTTTGTCATGCTTTCCCATATTTTCGTGAAAGTGTCTCTTACAGGATAGTCCCACACTATTTCATTGAAAGCGTATTGTTGATAATCCGGGTACAGGTTCGAGCTCTTCCACAGATCATGAAACGCCTCCTCAGTTTTCATCATATTTTCAAAGTAAACCATCTCATCTGACCCCCACACTACAGAGTATTTCACATCCTTTTTGTTAACCAAATCAGATATGGTGCTGACTTGTATCTCGTCCATGCGATAAACTGTCATAAAGGACGCCAAGTTAGCCGTAAATGCGGATAACAGGATGAAGGAGAGTAGCCAGAAGCCAAAACCCATCAACTTGGTACTGGTTCGCGATAGACGGATACCATCACCTATGGATTCAGATAAACATTACGTCAGTCGATAGTTATACACACAGTATTTTCTTTTTAATAATTTACTGTCAGTGTTATCAATATCAAACCTAATTTGTCAATAACTTAAATCAAACATTTACCACATGCGTGATCATCGACAGAACAAGTAAACGGAGTAATCGTAAAAGAATATTTTAGACCGAAGATAAAATAATCATCTATTATATATTTAAACATGTCACATAAAGGATGAGAAGAATGAGAATTGTTTTTTTAAGATCCCAACATTTCGCTTAAAATCAAGCTTTTTTCGATGTTCGAGAACTACACTTCTCTGATAAAGTACATATACAATAAGTTTGTGTAACGTCATAAAAAGTACGCTATTATCTGGGAGAATGCGCCTTTTAGTCGTCGTCATTTTTTATAGCGAAGAACCATTTAAAGCATCTAAAATGTTTAAAATACCATTCTATCATATATACCATATAACATCAGTGTTCTTGTCAGGTTCTCTTTCTTTAGGAACTTGCTAAACTCGCCATATTTCCATTTAATAAAGGCGTTTGATAAATTCAGTATAAACTCTTGTGAGAACCTTAATATCGTGCTTACTGATTAATAGCACTGATAGTGTTTTACACATGTTTAGCATTACAGCCTCAATGTTAAGATACATAAACAAAATTAGAAAATAAAACGTAGACATTTTATTGGTTATGGGTACGTACATTCAAACTCTGCCTTTGTAATTATGAACCATACAACATCTTGGAAGGAACAGTATTTGACATCCGGGTTTCCTTTCCTCTCTAGGCCTTTCATTGCGTTTTCATAAATCCACAATGCCACCGAAGTAAAAACAAAACAACCCAGCCAGACAAGCATGGACCAGTGGTCAAATATTTCTAAAAAATCAAATCGTCTCCCCTTCTTGGCCCTCGTGAGCATCTGGACACCATCATACTGAATATACGGCAAGATGAAGTCAACCTCCATTTCTCGACCCTTAGTAACTGCAATAGGACCGATTACCATATCGGCTCTCTGAAATAGGAATAATCACAACAGGTAATTATAGCTTAAGGTCTGCATTTAACATAGTGCACGATTTGATTTCTCTTAAAAAATATCATTGAAGTGTTATTTTGTTGTACTGATGTCATCCTGCTGACCAACAGAACGTTGCGCTTCATGTGATGTATGTTCTCGTTTTTACCCCTCTGACCTGTATGACCTCTGACTTGAATAACTATGGTATGACAATAACTCCTTCCTCTGTCTAACCTTTCACTAGTAACATTGGTGAAGATGCTCCTGACCTTTATCACTAGACCCTGACAGTAACTCCTTTCTAGGCCTCTCCATTTATTGGTTAAATGTATTGTGTCCTTGACCTTTATTACTAGACCCTGACAGTAACCTCTCCCTAGGCCACGCCATTTATTGGTTAAATGTGTTATGTCCTTGACCTTTATCACTAGACCCTGACAGCAACCTCTCCCTAGGCCTCGCCATTTATTGGTTAAATGTATTATGTCCTTGACCTTTATCACTAGACCCTGCCAGTAACCCCTCCCTAGGCCACGCCATTTATTGGTTAAATGCATTATGTCCTTGACCTTTACCACTAGACCCTGACAGTAACCCCTCCCTAGTCTCACCTTTTATTGGTAAATATATCTCTAACCTTAATCACTTAACCATGGGAATAACACCCCTCCCCCTCAGCCCCAGCGTTTTTGGTCGGACAAATGTCGATTAAGCTATAAATGATCTTTCAGCGCATGCTCATGATGGAAATGTCACATCTTTATTAATTCTTTCGATGTTGTCGGCACCGGAAACGAAGTTACAAGCGGTGTAATCTATTATCATGGAATTTAATTGATTATCATGAAAAAGTATCTAACTTTTAACTTGCTAATACGTGCAGTGAAATTACCCCGGAAACAACATCTTCAATGCATTCCGTCCAGGCGAACACCGTGGCCTCTACAAATGGCTCGCTGATTGTACACTCGGTTATTGTGAATTGTATCCCAGATGCCGCCGCGATTTTGCCCAACAAATCCACCGAGTAACCCCGGAAAAAGGGGATGCCGTTATTAACATGTTTGTATATGTAGGGAGGGCGCTAAAAGAGAAAATCAAGTCATTAACCAACACAACATAAAACGAGTGGCTTCTCATATCACTGTAATAATATTAGTGATTAAATCTTATGGATGTCCATTCTCAAGAACATTTCCACATATAAAAAAAATAATTTTCTAACGGGTTGGTAATGTGCTTTAAAAGACGTGTCTTGAAAATGTACATCAGTTTACTTTCAAGAAAGATATTTTGTAAATATAGAAATTCAAAATACATCTATATGCATTGATTGGTTGGTAAGTTGTGAGTCTCATATTTAAGGGTTTGACTTTTGGCGGACATATTGCATTATTACATACTACCACTTTGGCATAAACTTAATGATACATATCCACACATAAAATAAACATATTTACAGTTACACAACAACAACATATTGATACATTTATTTATATAAACATACGAATCTTATAAACATAATACACGTGTATGTACATCCTGACTAATTCAGTTCTATCTACGTACATGGATAGTAACAACTCTGAGATCTAGCTTTTCATTGTGTGTCGTGAAATTGATGGGCAGTCTATCTGATGTTTCCGTAAAGTCATTCCACACGCCGACCTAAAACAAAATATACCAAGTCATTCTGACGAAAGTATTGAAGAAAATGAAACAAAACTTACAATATAATGCCGTACGGTGTCCTTTAGCTTCATGTAGTTCCAAATGATTCACGCGGCCATGTAGGACCACAGACTAGACAATCACAATTTACATACATATGGTATATATGGTCCTCTCTGGCACTGATATGTTTTATATGTTTTTGTTTATAAAACACACAAAGCGTTTAACACTGTCTAATTATGAACTGTTTGTAGTCGGCACTGAATTGATATAAAATTGATAAAAAATCTATGCTATTTCTTTTTTTCTTCTTTTCTTTCTATCCTATCATCTTTTCCTCCTTTTGACAAAATGATTTAAACTTACAATTGTACGTCTACGAATTACTTATCTTCATGTTTATAGTATAAATATGTGTCACGTGCTGTATATTCATTATTTGTAATTTTATTTATGGAGAAGAGTTCATAAGTTGCTAGAACTTGTCTCTGATCCATTTATCTGTTAGTGAATAATAAAAATGTGTTTAAATCAAAGCACTGATATGTTACCTGAGCAAATGTTCCATTCAACGTGGGCTGGAATATTTGTATGTCATGCTCAACTTCAGACAATGCCTGTAGAGATAGTAAAAAAACATTGTTTAAACAAACCGACTCAATTAGTGCAACTTATCATTGGAAATATGAAAATTTTAAAAATCAACTGATATACGATCTACAATAAAAAGCAACTAGGATTTGTTTTCTTAATTGAAAGACAGCTGCCAAATCAAATAAATACTAGTTTGCCAGCATTTTACGAACAGAGGAAACATCGAATTATGTACGAGATACCTGGAATTCTATACAATATATCTTGTTTCTCTCGCCACGCGCCATTAGAATCCGACATTTGATGTTAAACCGGAAAATCTAGTTTTCGACATGTTCGTTTTCACCATTGCTGAGTAGAAAACAAAATTACATAATGTAACTGTTTCTCAACTAAAACCATCTAGATCAGTATACAGCGTGTAATGGTTTGGAGACAATAGAAATGTACACACGGTATCCCACTATGATATGTTAATCTCGTTCTAAAAATCCATCAACTATTATATACCTCATGTCCCCTCACCCTCCTTTTTTCTCTCCTACATTTGACATACAAAGTTCAATGTGCATAAACCAGTGTTGTTAAACATATTTATATTTTGGACAGAAATGTGAAGATCATGGAGATCCGTGCCTCACACGTTTGTTTGACCTACCTGTTGTAATTCGGAACTTAACACGTTGATCGCATCTCTATCTGTATATAAATATGACGTATTTAGGGCACGGCGAACTACTGCTTCAATCTGGTAAAATATGGAACACGATATGTAAAAGTTAATCATAATAAGTATAGACACATTTCATTTTCTTTACTGGATATTAACAATGTACATTTAGCCAATGGTAGTTATTTTAGGATCTGGTGGAATTTTTTTTCATTTATCTTACAAAAACGATATTTTCCAAAGTTTTGTATAAAACCTTCAATATTTAGAAGCATTTGTTACAGTCTGTCATTCTATCTTGTACTTTATCAACGAGACAAACATACAGTGCTGTCCAGCTGATGTACATAATCATCTCTGAGAAGGTTGATAGCGTTGTCACACGACATACACAGTGGAAGTTCTCCTTGTGTATCTAATAACAACCATATGGTGTCCGCTACTAGTGGCATCAGCTCCCAAATCTAAAACATACCAAACTTAGGGCTGAATATAGCAATGATCAGTATTGTTAGTTACAAGGTTAACAGTTTCTAATTTCTGCTAAATAGAAAAATACATATACCGGATTGTTTAGAGACGACTACTGTGACATGTGATTGTACTAGTTCTATATAAGTGTCAAACACAATTAGTACATATATCTTCACTCTAATTAACATCTATTACCAACAGTGTGATGTTCTGAACTAGTGATGGCGTGCCGAGAAAGATGAATTTTCGTGAATCTGAACGGGACAAGACTTTCCTCAACGAGTCCAGAAAATTCCTCTCCGGCAGTGTGATATCCAGTAGGACTACATCCACAGATTGTACATGTTCTAGAAGGAAGGATAGGGGCACTGCAAATAAACGAGAAAGTATGAAAGTAATCGGTGATAAAGCATAGAATACGGAATCCTAGAAGTTCACTTAATTATCATCAAATTAATGTCACAATCATTGATTAGACATGAGAGAGGTGTAAACACAAATATTAGTAAACGATTTTCAAATATACAACATTCTCTAATAACAATGCGTTAATTCTATATCGGAAACAAATACTAGATCAGGTTATGATTACAGGTAAAACTAGATCAGGTTAAGATTACATGTAATACTAGATCAGGTTATGTTTACAGGTAATACTAGATCAGGTTATGTTTACAGGTAATACTAGATCAGGTTATGTTTACAGGTAATACTAGATCAGGTTATGATTACAGGTATTACTAGATCGGGTTAGGATTACAGGTAATACTAGATCATGTTATGTTTACAGGTAATACTAGATCAGGTTATGATGACAGGTAATACTAGATCAGGTTATGTTTACAGGTAATACTAGATCAGGTTATGATTACAGGTAATACTAGATCAGGTTATGATGACAGGTGATACTAGATCAGGTTATGATGACAGGTAATACTAGATCAGGTTATGTTTACAGGTAATACTAGATCATGTTATGTTTACAGGTAAGACTAGATCAGGTTATGTTTACAGGTAATACTAGATCAGGTTATGTTTACAGGTAATACTAGATCATGTTATGTTTACAGGTAATACTAGATCAGGTTATGTTTACAGGTAATACTAGATCAGGTTATGATGACAGGTAATACTAGATCAGGTTATGATTACAGGTAATACTAGATCAAGTTATGTTTACAGGTAATACTAGATCAGGTTATGATGACAGGTAATACTAGATCAGGTTATGATTACAGGTAATACTAGATCAAGTTATGTTTACAGGTAATACTAGATCAGGTTATGATTACAGGTAATACTAGATCAGGCTAAGATTACAGGTAATACTAGATCAGGCTAAGATTACAGGTAATACTAGATCAGGTTATGATGACAGATAATACTAGGCCAGGTTATGATGACGGGTAATACTAGATCAGGCTAAGATTACAGGTAATACTAGACCAGGTTATGATAACAGGTAATACTAGATCAGGCTAAGATTACAGGCAATACTAGATAAGGTTATGATTACAGGTAATACTAGATCAGGTTATGTTTACAGGTAATACTAGATCAGGTTATGATTACAGGTAATACTAGGCCAGGTTATGATGACAGGTAATAATAGATCAGGTTATGGTTACTGGTAATACTAGATCAGGTTATGATGACAGGTAATACTAGATCAGGTTATGGTTACTGGTAATACTAGATCAGGTCATGATTACAGGTAATACTAGATCAGGTTATGATGACAGGTAATACTAGATCAGGTTATGATGACAGGTAATACTAGATCAGGCTAAGATTACAGGTAATACTAGATCAGGTTATGATGACAGGTAATACTAGATCAGGTTATGTTTACAGGTAATACTAGATCAGGTTATGATTACTGGTTATGATACAAACTTTGCATGTTAACATCATTGAGGACGATGAGCTCCTTATGTTGATCCGACCCGCTCGTCAGCAAACGGGTCAGTAGAGTGCCATATCTGAGCTGAGGAGACAAAAGGGTCACCACAAGCTCTGACGGCACCTGACATCTACCATACAGACAGACAACAACATCGCATTCATCCAGAGCTCCGGGTCCGACGTTAGGGTCATACACAAATACTACAACTGGAGATGAATCTACAAGCACCGAACATACACTCGTTATAAGCATTTTCATAATAGGTCGTTAGTAATATCAAACTCGGCATTCAATAACAATCATAAATAATTCAAAAACATCAATCTTTAAGGCAACAGGATTATATTCCATTGAAATATATTGTACTCAATACGTGTCTTTCGTGTGATTGCTGATTAAAAGTTGAACTTATGAGAAAGCAGAAAGCGATTGACAAATTAAAAAGAACAAAATAAAAAAAATCAATACTTTTACTTAAACCGACTTGGAGTGTCCATGTCGGGTAAACAGAGGTATTGTTATATAATGCTCTATTGTTGATTAATGATTATTTATTGATTATAAAGGAAATATCAACCAACCCTGTCTTAACATACCCTGTGACATGTAATACCGAACTACACCAGGTGTGCTTCGGTTCACGATCAAAGAGGCATCATCCACATCGAAATTAGCAACTGTGAAATAGGATTTAGTTATAAGGTACAAAGCAAAAGACTTAGGAGACATAGGAAATAGGACACATGTAAAACTTAAAGGTAACTTAAAACCTAAGATGATTATTGGTGAAGTAAACACAAAAGTAAACATCTAAACTAGGTCAACGTTCCCAGAAACTCTAACCATATCTGTCTATTATACATTTCCTCTGGCTTTGTACTACATAAACGTTACAGAGACATTATTCATATTAATGTGACTTGTACTGAACATTAAACCTATCAATTCCATATAATAATGACACGAGTTTGTCATGCATGAAAACATGAATACCAGATAATCCCAGTAGTGATAAATGATAACCTTTATAAGCAAACTAAATATTAGTTTGGTAGTGGTAATTATCTCATAGCTTTTCATTGTACAAATAAGGAATGTTCTAAGACAGGAACGGCTAATATTGAATGTCTCTAGTTAAGGTACCTTTATAACGATTCAAAGCTTTCACAATTGGTAATTAATCCTATAAAATTGCATAAGCACTGACTACCCAGGCTATCAACGTTAAATATACACACATAATATTAAAGTACACCTATAGTACGTATCAACACATCAAAGTATATCGGTACATATTTTAGTTGAGGGCTAAATAATCTAAATACACAACATGAAAAAGTTCAAAAAGAAAAGAGAAATGGAATGACAATGCTTTCATTAACATCCTTTTGATGGTTTGTTCCACGAGACTTTATAAAGTAATATCGATTTACTACAGGCAGTCGTTCAATGGACTCCCATTTCTCAACAAAAAATGTCTTCATGTTATTGGTTTAGTCGTCCACGACTACTGGCATTCAAACTCACGAAAGAAGAGGATAAAATTGGTGATTGAGATTTAAACACTTCTGTGATCAACTTTTTTTCACAGTCACCACACACTAATGAGGCAAATTGTCATTTTACGATTGTCGTTAAGTACATCGCCAATCCAATTCTGAAATTGTTTCTAAACAGTCAATGGTGTTCGCTTATTTTTAAATTCGTGCCACGTAATTAGCTCCTGAACATAGGTCCATATTTCATACCACACACACGAACATCGGTCCATGTTTTATGCTACACACGTGAACACCGGTCATGTTTCATGCTACACATACGAACACCGGTCATGTTTCATGCTACACACACGAACATCGGTCCATGTTTCATGCTACACACACGAACATCGGCCAATGTTTCATGCTACACATACGAACACCGGTCATGTTTCATGCTACACACACGAACATCGGTCTTTTTCATGACACACACATGAACATCGGCCCATGTTTCATGCTACACATACGAACACCGGTCCATGTTTTATGTTACACACATCAACATCGGCCCATGTTTCATGCTACACACACGAACACCGGTCAAGTTTCATGCTACACACATGAACATCGGTCATGTTTCATGCTACACATAAACATCGGTCCATGTGTCATGCTACACATGAACATCGGTCATGTTTCATGCTACACACATGAACATCGGTCTGTGTGTCATGCTACACACATGAACATCGGTCCACGTTTCATGTTACACACATAACACCAGTCATGTTTCACGCTACACACGCGAACATCGGTCCATGTTTCATGTTACACACATGAACATCGGTCTGTGTGTCATATTTCACGCTACACACGCGAACATCGGTCCATGTTTCATGCTACACACATGAACATCGGTCATGTTTCATGCTACACACATGAACATCGGTCATGTTTCATGCTACACACATGAACACCGGTCATGTTTCATGCTACACACATGAACATCGGTCATGTTTCATGCTACACACACGAACATCGGTCGTTGTTTCACGCTACACACATGAACATCGGTCCATGTTTCATGCTACACACACGAACACCGGTCATGTTTCATGCTACACACACGAACACCGGTCATGTTTCATGTTACACACACGAACACCGGTCATGTTTCATGCTACACACACGAACACCGGTCATGTTTCATGCTACACACACGAACATCGGTATGTGTGTCATGCTACACACACGAACATCGGTCTGTGTGTCATGCTACACACACGAACATTGGTCATGTTTCATGCTACACACATGTTTCATGCTACACACATGAACATCTGTCCATGTTTTATGCTTCACGCATTAACAAAGGTTTTGTAATTCAGACATACAGCTCATCCTGTGGTGAATTTATTGATTAAACTCCATATTCCTTGATCAATCAAGCTGATGTATTTTCCCTTAATTGTTTTCTTCAATTAAGTATAAAGCGCTTATATTATTACTTCATTATAAGTTATTTAAATATTCTTCTAGATATTCAAATGCTCAGAAATGGTTATATCTGGAATATCTTAAAAATGACAACTTTCGTTATTAGAGGCATGACTGGTTGATAGATATTGTAATGTACCAATGAACTACCCTTTATAGTCGTTAAGATGAATGAGCATATACACCTACCTTGGGACTCGCAGATAACGTGGGATATTAGCAAACTGGATACCGTGGTCCATAGACACAACTTCATCATGGAACACGAGTCCGAATATCTTACAGATAGACAGATCTTCTCACGCAGTTTGATAGGTCCACACCACACACCATACCAAGCACGATCTGAACTAAATTAGAAGAGAAAAAAGCTAATCACTGACCCTAGAACCCACTGGATACCATGTATCGAATATGTGTGCTGCTACAGGTAAATGGCGGCTCATCACAATGCTCTCTGCTCTACTTGGGTTGGTGTCTCGGCGTCATTAAATTATCACGTTTCTGTTCTTATATTCATACGAGTTCTAATGTAATTCCACAATTTGAAAACATCGACATTTTAAGTTTTGGACTTGGATAGTCTCTCTATAAATCTTACATCTTATGTATTTTGTGGATATAGCTTGAAAATTAAGCAACGATGTGAATTTACCAACAGGAGTCACAACGAGGAAAGCAACATTTATTGTCACGCAACTAAAATAAGTTAAGGACAAATCTAACTACAGTGTACGCATTAAGTAAAAACAAATGAAGTTACGATGTCATGTCAGATATCAATATAATACTGAACGAGGAAAAACTAGCGACAAATAAACGGTGTATTCCGGATGTTTTATATAAAATTGAACAACTAATAACAGTATTCTACACGGGAATTTACATAGATTTGATAAAAACCATCTTCAATAACTCAGGTGATCATTGACATTGGCAGTAGGAGTTATTTTGGAAATTATAAGTGGTGTAATATTACAACGGACTCAGTAGATCGTTACAACATGCTAGTAATGAAGACGTGAGGGATATTATCTGACCAATGGCTTTGTTATGATACAAAGTGTTGAAATGACTTAAAACAACAATAAACCAATACTATTTGATGTTGGAACACCAGACATCATTCTGACGCTGCTGCCGTGCAGTGTGTCCCTGGGGTTTAAACTTACGTGTTAAAAGCGTAGCAATGATTACAAAGCTTGTTTGTGTACGATTCCGACGATAAAAACTGCCATCGAGCACAGGAAACCTTGCTGTGGCATTTCGTACCAGCTCCAACTTATACCAAACTACCTGTACTGTTATTGACCAAGCTCGGACACTTTGTTTACCGAATGTTGGTCTGAGGACCTATTACAGAATAATGGCGGATCATAGAAGAAGATTAATTGGACGTAATGCCTTCAGCATCAATCCGTTCTGATGCACGTGTAATCAATATGTGGACAGTTGGCATCAACTCCTTACCAATCAGATTGTCCATTATATTGGAATGTTTATGTAAATTGATTTTGAGATTCTTATGATAATAAACATCGTTTTCATTAACTTTGTACTGTTCGTTTCTAAAGGCCAAATTTGTCAAATATTTATTAATTAATTTATTTAAATCGGGACAAAACTACACCTGGTGCGCTAGTTGAGTAAGTTCATGAAGATCCTTTAAGGTTCATTAAGTTTATACGTTACACGGCGCTCCAAATATATCATGTACGTAACAAAAGAATTCCAGTGAGAATTTAGCGGCCACTTTCAGAGTCTACATTAATAAATCACCGAACTATCATCAATAGGCACGTGGTACTGTTGCTATGCAACGTCCGCCATTCAAAAACAATAACAATGAACACAATGAAGACAAAATAATGACCATCACAATTAACCACATCACAATAATTCAATATCACTTTATAATGTTATCATGCATAATAGATCATTATGATATGTACATATACCGTGGACTTTTCACCATTATTTTGTATGAAATGACAGATTGCAGGAATAACTTTGAGGGTATGGGTCCGTCTAACCGTCCGTCTTGTTGTACAACTTTACTTTTTCTTGATAAAGAGGGGAAACACACAAATTATACTAGAATTATAATTACTTGAGAGTGGACTTTGAAGAATTCAAATGAGCGTTAAACCGGCCAGTTTTAAATGCCGGGTATGTATTCCTGTAAAAAGCTTTATCCTAAAAATGGCGTTGTCATTGTCGGAACACACCTGCCACATATATTTTTGCTGTATTCGGCAGCGACGGAAAACAGCTGTAGTTTATCACGTGCATTAAGTCGACAGAAGTGCTTTCTGAAATTACTTAAAAATTAATAACAGCTTATATTTTAAGGCACTGCTAATGTACTTCTCTATATACTCCTGCATATCCGTGAATAGGACCTTTTTAATACAAATTTAGAATTAATTTCAAGTAATATCCATCATATAAAGATCTGTGTCATTCTTCTAGGACTTGCCAGTGGTGCTAAGGACCAAAACGTTGAAGTCATGTATGCGAATAAAGAAAACCGACACGTGACCAAAAGAAAAAAAAAACTAGAGAGGAAGGAGCACTAGTCCAAGGATTAATGTCGTAATTTAGTTGTATTTGATAATTCTAGAACAACGACAAGGCTAAGTGTATACTCGAACCCTGCCACTTTTCGAATGAATAAAACGTGACATGTAAGTAGCAGCATCCACTCCTGAGAATGCTTCTCCTATAAAACTGTTTTATTTCATTCTGTACATTGTCATACCCCATTCCAAATTAAACGCCTTCATTCTACGGTTATGAAGGAAATGTAAACGGTATAAAACATTGTTGTGAATTATCACACTGATAAATGTAAACGAGCCAGCTACATGACATTCCACCTCGAGGTCGTGGTTCGGCAACGCGACGGCTACAGTTAAAATGGCGGTATGTCCACAGGAAGATGGATGTTAATATAAACAAATATACCAGTTTGTGTATACGATTTTGCTGAAATCGGATTGTGTGATATTTCTATCTTTCGTTGTGTAATTTCAAATGCCTCGCGGAATCACAACTGTAAAAATAGACCCCAAATATGTTGACAGATTCCGGGGCTGGCAGCAAATGGAAAAATATTCATGTAAAGTGATAGTATTTGAAATGTGAGCTTCTTTGTTTAAAGAAATAGGCTTCTATTACAAAGCAGTTATATATTACGATTTGAAAGAAAAATGAAATAAAACTCCAACTGGTCAGCTGTTATCAAAAATATTTAAATACCAGAAAAATACCATTCAATCGCTAATCAGAGTTGTGTATCTATTTAAACAACCAAACAGAATGACAAAAAGAAAGCGACGTCCCTTTTTTTCTGTGGCTGGGAAACAGAAACAAAATCATCTTCTATGATAAGGTAACGTATCTTAAATAAGCAATATTAATAACAGCGAAATTCCGTCTGTACAGATAATAATTCTTTCTGTTGAATAGTTGCTATAGATAAAATACTATCATGCCAAGTATTTATCTGAATAGCATGGCTTGTTGTCTACATGGTGTAAAAAATCTTCGTACCTTCCAGCAAGGATGTTTTGCTCAATAAATACAAAATACCGAACTTTACACCACGGCCTTCACCCACAAGCTCATCTGTTACGTGAAATTGAGGAAGAAATAACGGGAGATCACAACACTTTCTCAAATATATGCTACGATTCTGAGGAACAAAGGCTGTCGGCAAGCTATCTAGTTGTTATTTACTTTCTTATTTTTTTTACATCGAAAAACAAAAGCATACCCGCTAGCAAACATTGCTCTTCTACTTTAATTAGAAACTGTTTGATGGTTTTCACGTAATCACCAGTAGAAATATGCTACCTTTGTGCACTCTAATTTTTAACTGTATCGTGTAAAGTTCCATCTCTTTTTCAGACAGACGTCAATCACGCAAAAAACTCGTTGTCGTCTAGTATACTTTAATGAGATGAAAATGAACGAAGATTTTCCAAACCGACATCACATACACCGTGCACATTAGTCGGTATCATAGACCTTAGTACTAACCAGTACGATATTCGTGTAAACCTGATCAATAAATAATCGATTTAAACTTTAGTTTTTCATTATTTAGTTTTTGTTTTTACATTGGTGTATAAGTTATAGGTGACATCCGACAGTTTAGAATAGAACAACAGTGTATGTTGGAAATGTTGTGTCCGTTTGTCTCACCGCAATATGTGGGAAACTAGGCGGGAAGCTCTCAGTTCAAATACTTCAGCATCAAGATTCTTAGTGAAAATAATTTCATTTTTTCGTTTGCAGACCTTTTGTAACATCTGTAACTCGCTGACATATTCGAGGTCTATATTTTTATGTATTCCTATTTAATGTATGTGATGTTTGTCTAAAGCCCGGAATTAATAAATACGTAGGTTAGAGTTCGTCACTGTCGCTATGTTTTGTGCTTGTTGAAGAACGTCTTTTGGTTGCCGTAACCAGCATGCCAAGTTTTTATTCATTTGAAAATTGGCCCGGTTCTGTACATACACATGTACTTTGCGTTATTTCAAACCATCAGATATTTGAACACTATGAATTATGTTGAATTATGGAACCAGAGCCCCATCTACATTTTGACATTTCAGACAATTTACATTGTCTTGTACCCGACGGCACATTTCGCGAGTCGAATGAGAAGAGAAAAAACATCAGACACGATTAGCCGTTCAGTAAGTCTGCTTTCTTTATCCTTGTTAGTATTCAGCAGCTACATCAGAAGCCGACACTTGATATGTCTATGTTTTCTTATTGTAAATGTTGACTTAACCTATTTCTCATAGCCAGGTCATTGAACGATTTTTTTCTTTATTTTTTTCACATATATATCTTTGCTGACGATGCATTTTGATTACAATATGGACATTTGTTCAACCTGATTTATAAAATCGTTTTGAAGACTTCAACATTAGGTTCACCAAGAACTCATTTATATGAGAACAAGTATCTACCGAGCCGTCAAAACAATAGATCTGTTATCCGTGGATAACGAGGATGGCTGTGTGCTTAGGTCATTCCTGCGTGGAAATGCGCATTTCCTGTCAGGTTTACGTCAAAAGGGAAGTCACGTGCGATGTGTAGTTGTACGTAATCAATGTACTGGCGGGCCAGTCTCGTTAAACATCATTACCTGAGACTTTTTAGACTCTTGAGATCATCTTAAAGATATCTTTGCCTAATTTCCCCTTTTGACTGTCTACTGCTTCAATGACTTGATCACGTTCTATTTCTTGTGATTTTGCAGAATATTACATAACATGGGTTTTTTTCTGTCGACATCACTTGATAATCCCGTCTTGCAACACGTTGCTCCAGATTTCCTTTAATTGTGCTCGATATCTTAAAGAAACAACTAGTTTTTACTCTGTAGTTCGTAACAAATATTATTTTGCTTAGCTTTCACAACTGATATGTCTGGATCCAAAAAGATTCCCTCTACAGTGTAAAAAACACACCACCGTGACCTAGTAAAATTATAACGAACTTACTCAGACCACGCACTCGCTTCTGGTCTTTGAGGAATAGTAATGGACAAGTTTACTTTTTTACAATACATGAATATTGTAAACAAAACAAACTTACTAAATTGTTATTCCTCTGAGTCCAAAAGCGAGTGCTCAGACCACGATGATGTCGAGTGTTGAAGTAGGAGCTTATTGTTTGTTAGATGTGTACACGTTTCTTACCTTTTATTGAGCAATATAGGAGAAGTTATGACTTACAGGTGAAAATATTGAAGAGGTTTGACAGTCTCCAAACAGATACCTGCTGTTTCTGATAGATTTTTCCCATAGTTCAATATTATTATTATATTTCAATATTAGCAAAATATTTACTTCACATATGAATAATGGAAGGAGAAAGAATGAAATTGAAATAATTATAAAGAATGAAATATTTATTTAGAATTTCCTACTGATAACACAGATATATAAATACTAGATACAATACACTGCTGATGTTATTCCCTAAGGGTTATAGCTGTCCACAAATCGATATCAACATCATACAATTTAACACGATGTCTAATCAAGCATGTAATAGGAGTATAACCTCACTTTCTGCTTTATCATAGGTTATGAGGTTTGTAATTAAGAAATATTTTTGAAGTTATCAGAAGTAAAAATTTCTTTGAAGAAATAACAGGTCAAGCAGAAGTTCCGGAGGAAATCCGACTTTTGATGTTTGAAATAAACTTATTTGTTAATGAAGATGTGAGATGTAATTCTAAAACGACAACAAACAATACATAGCACACGATACAAATACCCTTACGCCTCAAAATGATATGACATGGTAAGTGTAAATGGAAACCTACACCTGTTCACAAACATCACCTCTTGTAAGAGTTCGCAATTGTACCTTCTGTAGTGCAAATATAGGTTACGGTTACTATAAATAGGTATAAGATTGTGTACCCTTTTTATCTAAATGTTGTGGTCTGCGATTAGATGACGTGAATGCTTCTGGTGTAGACATGGTCTAATAATCTACCAAATTGATGGATAGGTGACTTGATAGGCTGCTGTACGTGTTTTTTAATGACAATCCTACTAGTGTTTTATTTATGTCATAATTGAATTATCTAGAAAGTCAAACTCTGTAGAGTAATACCTGACATCCAGATTTCAGCCAATTTGTTTTATAGAAGAGTTGACCTCTGTTCTTAAGCTCCGAAGGTCAAAACATATACAAAAGACAATCTTTGTAAACGCATGTGTGAAGTTAGAAACGAGGCGGAGAAGCAATGGAGCCTTTAGAGCGATGACGTGAACATTTTGTTGGATTCTACTTATAGTAGCAGTGACCCAGTTTTTGACTGCACAAGGTTGGAAGTTGAACGTGTGATTTGGTGACGTGTCTGTTGATTTGGTGATGTGTCTGTTGATCTAGTGATGTGTCTGTTAATTTGGTGACGTGTCTGGTGATTTGGTGACGTGTCTGTTGATTTTGTGACGTGTCTGGTGATTTGGTGACGTGTCTGTTGGTGATGTGTCTGTTGATTTGGTGACGTGTCTGGTGATTTGGTGACGTGTCTGTTGATTTGGTGACGTGTCTGTTGGTGATGTGTCTGTTGATTTGGTGACGTGTCTGGTGATTTGGTGACGTGCCTGTTGATTTGGTGACGTGTCTTGTGATTTGGTGACGTGTCTGTTGGTGATGTGTCTGTTGATTTGGTTATGTGTCTGTTGATTTGGTGACGTGTCTGTTGACTTGGTGACGTGTCTGGTGATTTGGTGACGTGTCTGTTGACTTGGTGACGTGTCTGTTGGTGACGTGTCTGTTGATTTGGTGATGTGTCTCTTGATTTGGTGACGTGTCTGTAGATTTGATGATGCGTCTGTTGATTTGGTGACGTGTCTGTTGAATTGGTGATGTGTCTGGTGATTTGGTGATGTGTCTGTTGACTTTATGACGTGTCTGGTGATTTGGTGACGTGTCTGTTGATTTGGTGACGTGTCTTGTGATTTGGTAACGTGTCTGTTGATTTGGTTATGTGTATGTTGATTTGGTGACGTGTCTGTTGATTTGGTGATGTGTCTGTTGGTGACGTGTCTGTTGACTTGGTGATGTGTCTGTTGGTTTTCCTTTGTTAATATTGTAATCATGTGTGTGGAGTTACGTGACAGTTTGATCAGAAATGTAGCCTGTAAAGAAAGGTCAATTCAGTACTTCTCAAGAAATGGTGATAACAAGCATTCACAGTCAAAATCTAAGACTGCCACCTTTCAGCCATTTTGTTGTATCTGATCAACCCCAAAATAGAAATGCTACATTTATCAACCAAAGGGAGCTTTCAAGATCAAGCCAGTACTTCTCAAGAAACAGAGATAACATCGTAAAAAATCCTATAATGTCATCTGTCAGCCATTCTTATCAGCCCCTACAATCGAAATAACACAGGGAGCGATGGAAACCTTCCTGTGATATTTGAGAAGATCTGTCCCACCTTTCATAAGGAATAGCTATAACAAACTTCAGTAGTTAACAATCAAAGATGGCTGTCTGTAAGTCATTCCGTTTTACAGATCCGTCTCAAATTAAAAAAGGCATATCTGGGGACAAACGGAACCAGTGGGGTGGGGTTAAGGGGTGTTTACCATAACATGGTTTCAGACTATAATAGGTTAAAATCTGCCAGTTTACTTTCCTGTTCACATCCCCTACCTCTGGGATATCACAGACTCAATTACAAAATATAATTGCCTGTCCTTGAGGTTATTGCAGACTTTTGGTTTAATCCTCAACATCTGTCAGGGAGAGTAGCATTTTAAAGAAAAGCTTGATTGACAGATGGATGATGGACAGACAGTTGGAGGACAGCGTACCACACCGAAAATTCCCCAGTTATTTTGTCTAGTGAGTAAGAAATAATAAAGAAGACTATTTGTTATATACAAATTTTAATCAACATAAGATGTCGGTAAACCAGGTGGACGGAGGAATGTGTGGAGCACAATAATCAATGTCTCTTGTATAAAATCTATCATAATGACAGTGTCTTAAAATGTTCAACACGTTCTTGGTAGATTTTGTAGAATTCATTTGCAATATAGTAGAATGGGGCCTCTACGTTCTGGAACTCCTTCTGTAAAATACAATAACGGAGGCAAACTTAGAAAATATTGTATAACTTAATCAATTTCTATCAAAATTCTATTTATTAAGTTTAAATAAACATTGGCATTTCTTTAAACACAAAACAAAGTTCTAAAACAATTCCGGTAAAAAAGTAAACTAAAAATATTTTTTTTGGCACTTAAATCTGACATCTTTCGAAATCTTCAAACATGAGCTGGAATTTCCCATTTGTTTACAAACATTATTGTTCTACTGAAGTAACAGTGAAGTGGATTTTCACCATAGATCAGTCAAGTCATATCTGATTATAAACCAAATAATTCTTCATTTAAGAATTTGATTACAACATGAATATAATTCTTGTTTGGAATCTTTCAATCTAATCTGACACAAATAAATCCACAGCTCTATGTTGCCATTTCTGACATACCTAAAAACACGATTGCTTTCACCGATTTTACTGATCACACTGGACGTCAACTAAAGGTGATATTATCACTCACTATCAGTGTCTGTATGTTAACATTTAGGATAGGTATACATGTATGCACTTACAGAGGAGCACTCAAAGTATTTCAGACCGTTGGATTCAGCAAAATGTGTGGCTGCTTTAGGACTAATCACCTGCCTCTGCTCCAGATCAACCTTGTTCCCAATCAAGACTCCTGCATATCAAAACAGATACAATATCAGTTTACATTTTATGATGAAAAAGAGTTCTTACAAGTATAATTTGTGTTAAGGGCAATACCAGATATCATTACAGTAATAAGGAATCGTTTACCCCTACACCAACCTACACTTGTGAATTAAGGAAATTTTAGTTATCTCCCCTTTACATATCCGTATTCTGGTGTGCCACACGGAATCTATGGAACTTCAAATAATCAATTATGTATTACAACATTCCTCTTCCTCTCAAACATCTTGCTGATATAAACAATATTAGATCTGACAATTCCTTTCAGAAGGACAATCATATTTTGTCCTCTTCCTCTCAAACACCTTGCAGATATAGACAATATTAGACCTGACAACTCCTTTTAGAAGGACAATCATATTTTGTACACAGTTGTCTGCATCTCTGTATAAATGTTGGGGTGTACACACAGCAATGTGATAGAACCGAGAGATATTGAGCATCACTCACTACAACTCATATTTTAGTTGACTTTTGGGTTACTCCATCGTGTCACAAAAAATAATGCTGTATTATTGGAAACACTCTATTCATAATGTGAAATTCTAGGTAGCAAGGATAACTATCAGCAACTACAGAGTAAGTAATTTCAGGGTGATATTTATGTTTGGTCGTTTGACCTTAACATCTAACCAACAATTCTGATATACAAAACAAGGCTTTTTAAGTAAAAATTAATTAACTGATCAGAGTTATAACAGAGAGTGCCAAGGTAAAACTATTTTTTGTACCTTGGATTGATTACTCTGACCTGTCCAAGACATGTCAAGTGCAACTATGCCTGTGAACTCACATCAAAAACTGAGTAACTATCAACTCTAAAATAACAACAATGATTGTGACTGACACAATACACATCTATACAGCACCACTCGGACATGTAAAGTTGGGATATGATAAGGTAGGCTATATACTTACACATTATACTTACACATCATTGGTTTACCATATATATCTAGTAGACTTACCTGGCATATGTACATCAGGCTTCTGTGACCTGACTCGTTCTAACCACTTCGCACAGCTGGAGAAAGATGTCTCATTTGTCACATCAAATATGACCATTATGACGCCCGGATGATCCCACTGTTGAAAAAAATATATAAGACAGTCAAAATGACACTGTGGTGGTCACACTGTCTGGAAATGATCAAAATATTTTCATCATCATCGTCAGTTTGCCTTGGATAAGGAAATATAATCAGTCATCGTACAATGTAGAGAAAGTGTTTTCATATAATTTTCGACGTTGTTTCCTATTGAGAAATTCTAAGAACATGCAAAATGTCATTAGAAAGTATACCTGTTATGGACATACTTAAAAATAAATCTTAATAAATACTTTGATCTTTAAAGATATTATATAACACTGAAGAAAATGATATGTAAGAACGTAAAGGATGGAATGATATTAAACGATAAGAGAGACATAGTAGACAATATGATAAGAGAGAAACCTTCCTCTATAAATATTCAACAATAGATAGAGTAGACAATATGATAAGAGAGAAACCTTCCTCTATAAATATTCAACAATAGATAGAGTAGACAATATGATAAGAGATAAACCTTCCTCTATCAACTTACATATTTCTGGACATGTTCTGAGAAGATTTCTTTCCCAGCTGAGTCATACAAAAACAGCTCCTGTTAAACAGAGACAATATTAATATAATTGTCAATATAAAATCAACCTGCTGCTTATAATCACAGCATACAAAATACATCAATATCCAAATGACATTACAGTATATTTTCATTTGTGTTTCGTCAAGATGATATAAATGTATGACAAAGAGTAAAAAGTACCATTATACATTTATAACATAATCACCAGTAATAACAAAATCTATAACAAGTTAAATATATTGTCAAAAGTTTACATGATTAAAAATACATAGTCTGACGAAGTTACAGTGAAGAGTATACAAGGCTGGCAGTGTGATAGATTTACAGTGAAGGGTATACAAGGCTGACAGTATGATAGATTTACAGTGAAGGGTATACAAGGCTGGCAGTGTGATAGATTTACAGTGAAGGGTATACAAGGCTGGCAGTGTGATAGATTTACAGTGAAGGGTATACAAGGCTGGCAGTGTGATAGATTTACAGTGAAGGGTATACAAGGCTGGCAGTGTGATAGATTTACAGTGAATTTACAGTGATTTAAGTGAAGGGTATACAAGGCTGGCAGTGTGATAGATTTACAGTGAAGGGTATACAAGGCTGGCAGTGTGATAGATTTACAGTGAAGGGTATACAAGGCTGACAGTGTGATAGATTTACAGTGAAGGGTATACAAGGCTGGCAGTGTGATAGATTTACAGTGAAGGGTATACAAGGCTGGCAGTGTGATAGATTTACAGTGAAGGGTATACAAGGCTTGCAGTGTGATAGATTTACTGTGATGGGTATACAAGGCTGGCAATACAGTGAAGGGTATACAAGGCTGGCAGTCTGATAGATTTACAGTGAAGAGTATACAAGTCAAGATGTACTAGTCATATGCATTATGTAGTCTGGAGTTATAGTACATACCACTGAATCTCTAGTTTCAGGAATATTGACTGACTTTACCAGCAACTCAACACCAGCAGTCTGGAAACAGAACAGGATTTCAACATGTGTAATGTTTAACATGAAAAATTATATAACAACTTAGAGAAGACAAAAAATAAAAAGAAGAGACCCATAGGGCCTGTATCATTGTGATGATGGTAGGCGTAAAATCTAAGATGGCCAATGGCCAATTGTGTATGCCATATCGCTTTTGTTACTAGAGAGATTAATTTTTTTATGTAAATTCCTGATATGCCTTATCCTACACAACTGAAGTACAGTAAACAAATGTATTATGAATTGATAACAAGCTATATAGTCTTCAGGTCATGATAGATGCTTTGTAAAACTTACTATGTGTGTACATACCCTATCCTTTAATCTATTTCTCATTTTAACTACCTAAACATGTAGAAATGAGTTGATTTTTACCATGGTGTAGTTCTTTGCAAAGTGTGACCCATCGCTGTGAAACATTTGACAGAGAGAACTTTTTCCAACTGTGGTATCACCTGAAACAATTAAGAATAAAGTATACAGTTGTTATTTGAATAACAGTTCAAGATTTCAGATTTGAACATTTTTTTCCACAATGGGGCATTAGAATGATGAAAACATGCTTACAAATGAAACATCAGTTAAGGGGTCTGTACCAATAAATATGTCAAGTTTCATTTAAATCGGCTTTGGGTCAAGGAGGAGTTGACTTGGCAACTAGAATGTCCGTTCAAGCTGTTAAATTTTAAAGAACGAGTTAGCTTGTCTTGTGAGTTATTCAAATCTGTTATTTCTATGTAATTTACGTGATTTATTAGATCTTGATAATTTCATTTCATGTTAATGGTTAACGTGTAAATACATCCAATCATATGTGGGTAATGGATGTTTCATGTCGGTAATGTATCCAACGAAACCTGCTGTGCACGTGGAAAACCGAGACGTCTGTAGATCATTAGATGCTTGGTCAGTTGGTGGCAGGAGGGGTCCGACACATGATTTTAGCAGCGAAGATTGCGTTACATCAAAGGGATCTCGGGGACAGAAGATTAAATAACATGTCTTGTCACTTTCTTAGAAATATAATTAAGATTACTTACCAACAATTATACATTTTGCTCTTAGTGTGACCGGCATCGCGGTTTGTAAGTTCTTTTCACGTTTGGAATGTTGTTTTGGTTGAGAAAGTACACAAAAACCGAACACGGTCTGAAATATGTGTTTTGATTGGCCAGCTCTGATCTACCAATCATAACCAATGTAACATTGACGGTGCATAAACCGGAAGTTGGGGAAGCTGGAAAGTTCATCGCGAAGCGAGAGCAAAATTAGCCTACTCTTCCGTAAATTTATACTTGGAAATTGCAATGAAAATTGTAATGACGATAAAGGGAAACACATTTTTCATATAGTATGCATCATATTATTCTTCCGAGTGTGAAGCGCAAAAAGGATGCTGAATAAATCGCCGTCCCTTGATACTACGGCCGTTTGCTTCAAGAGGCGGACATCACATATCACATTTCATCGTCATTGCAGTTGTGAGTGAGCTGTTGTGTGTTATAGAAGTTGCAACACTTTCAGAATATTTGTGAAAAGTGAAATTCCACACTGATGAAAATGCAAAAACCAGCAGATCGCAACTTTACTTTAACGATGGAGCGAGGAAATCATCTCATATTGCCAACTGCTTTTCACCCAATTAACAAATATAACCAATCACATTTGGTATTCGACTTGTACATGGCAGTCGCATCAGGTAGCACTCAAGAGGCCAGGAACATACTGCTCTCATATCCACACGTTGATTTTAACATACCAGTGAAGGGTGCAACAGCTCTATCTTTGTCTCTTTATAAGAGGCATTTTGATATTTTTAATCTGTTGATGCGTCATTATGAAAAGAGTAAGAATCTGAACTTGAACAAAAGCAGCAAAGATCATCTGAACCGTGTCGAACCACCGATCATCACAGCATGTCGAATGCATTTTCTTGAGGGAGTAGTTGCATTAGTAAATGCAGGTGCTGACATTGATGCCGCTGATAACTACAACCACACAGCTTTGTGGGTGGCATGCCGACAACAAATGCCTGACCTAGTGGAGTATTTGATTTCAAATGGTGCTAGTGTCAACAAAACTGACCAGTTCAATCGTACTCCACTCCTCACAGCCTTAACTTACAGGGTCAGCTCTTTTATAACAAAAACTCTTATTGTCCATGGAAGCAATTTACAAGGTCCGAAATACCCGATTGGTGGTATAAGTGCACAACATAATCCACTTTTCTGGGCATCAAAACACAAAGCTATGGAAATTGTCAAACTTCTTTTGTGTGCAGGTATCCCTTTGTGGGAGATTCGCAGTGTGAGGAGAGCATTAATCATGGATGGCGACAATGATGTGGCTATAATAAGTCTGTTAGATGCTGAAATCAACAACCCTCCAAGTCTGAAACAGCTCTGTCGAATGGAAATTAGATCATGCATCAGCAAAAACTGTAACGGGAAAGGGTTTTTGAAAAATATTGAAACATTACCACTTCCTGTTATACTTAAACAATATGTGAGTCTCAGAGTTTTGTATATGTAAGATTAATTATACTGATGACAGTATGAAGATGGTGATGGCTACATGTTGACCATTTAAACCAACTAATGCAGTAATATTTACTTGAAAGTTGAAACTGTCTTGATAATGACAATATCTGTCTGTCTGTGTATTACAATTTTATTGGAATTTGAGGCTGTTATGATGATGTGAATATGCTGTATAATTGCCAAGCTAGCAACTAATGTTGACTGTTTTTTTTACATAAGTACATGGAGTTTTATGCAATTCATGCGATAAAAAGAAACACAGATTACTTTGCCACATGTTTAGAATTCTGAATCCAAGAGGAACACTTACCATTTTTTTCATCTTTTGAATACAAATATGTTGTGATTAAACATAGCCTTCTAAATAGTTCCAGACATCAAAAACCTAACAAGAACATAATGATAATTTTTTACTGGAAAAGCAACAGGAAATGAAAGCTAATTGATGTTATGACATTACATATATAATATCATGTGATTTGTTTTGTCTTGCATGAAACTAGTTACATGTCAAACTGTATCACACAATAAGGCTATGTAGAGCAATTAATATCAATATGACTAATGACATATCCAAGAAAAATAGTGTGCAGAGAAGATATAAGAATACTTTGATTGAAACCACTTTTAGGATGTCAGTTTAAATTTGCAAAATGTTTAATAAAACTTGCTGTAAAATATAGTGAAAAAAGACTAGTTTCTGAAAAACATTGAGAACATCTGTATTCATGTAGTATGTGAGTGTTAAAAGGTCACATAAGTCACATCATGAAGGACTTCACAAACATTTGCATTCATTGGATTTAAACAATGACATACAGGCAGCACTCTACCATGTATGACATATGTTAGTTTTATATTATTTTAGCTTTAAAGATTTGCACGTGATGATGTTGATAGGTAACAACAATAACATGTGATCAGAAATTCCTTATAGTATAAACATTTCTTTTGGGATCTCGGTGTAGGTTTTTAAGGTTGATTCATTATTGACCAGCTGAAATTACACATTCTGTGATTTGGTGCCATAAACATACTGATATCATCTGTTGCCATCACATCAGTAAATGTATGAGACAATATTTGACAAATTATACGCAATAGTTTGTGCATACCATTGTCAGAGCAGACCATGGTACTGATTTGATAATTTCTTCATTTCCACAAAAAAGAAAATTGGACGTTCTGGATGATTTTGTGACCTCAGACTGTCAGATAAAGGTTGGTGTAGCATACTTACTTATAAAGTGCATTTACCATTACATGTACCAGTAAAGTATCTTAAATGTTCAGAAGTAATGTGCTCTTCACATTAAAGCTTAAAGATTTTTGAAGCCCGCCATCATCAGATGGGGCATGGACTCTTCAAACTGACCGTCGCCTGTTGTCCAAAAACCTGTTGTCTGTCAGTCCATACACAAAACCTGGTACATGCTTTTTCTGTAGACGTACTGGAATCATTTTCAAATTTCAAAGGTAGAGCCCTCTTGGTCCCACTTTGGGACGGATCAGAAAAATGAAATGGTTAACAGTTTTCATAGCTATATCTTGAGAAGTATTGGAAGATCTTTCATAAATTTCCTATGAAATTAGGTCCTTACTCCCTAATTGTATCCTTTGAACTTGGGACTGATTGTGAAAAAAAATGCTGACAGGCAGCCATCTATGAAAGTTAAGTATTGCTATTTCTGTGGAAATACTGCCACTGTAACATGTAATGGATCAGCCAATAGGAGGAAAGAAGAGAAAGAAAGGAAAAATACCAATTTATAAAAAACTAATAGTGATCAAACAATGGTGGGTGCCAAGATCCCTCTGGGATTTCTTGTACATTAGAGAGACGGTTGTTTGATGTATGTACAATATATAAACTATATGAAATTTACACGCCTGTCATATATGGAGTTTACATTTGATTTTGTTTCCAGAGTTCTTGCCATGTATGATGTTTGAATTTATATCTTAACTGTATATATTACTATTGTATGTGCAAATATCTGTTTACATATAAGCATTTGTCATATAGTAACTACAGTAAAAACATTCTGAGGGATCACAATTTACTTTATAGTCTATATTCATTATTGAGCTTGATCAGGTAAACAATTTACATGAAATGATGGGGAAAAACACTATTTTATATAAATGTTTTATGATGTATACCTTCAATTAAGTATTTACTATTTGAACTGTGAATGTGGATATATATGATCATATGTTTCAAACATTTTTATATCCAGTTACCCATGTTTTGTACATTGCTGAGACAGCCCTAGTGCTTGCCTGTGTTGGGACAGCTGTATGCCCTGTAATTCCTGCTGGTCTGATTCAGATATTTGCATTCAAGTTGCCAATTTGTTAGTTTTAAATGTCTTAATTAAAGGTCAGGATCACAAACAGATCATGGAAAATGCGAGTGGCATATTTACATACAAGTAATTTGTATCTTGATGAAAACTGTTTTGAAAAAGTGAGAGGACCACTAAGTGATTATGATATTTGAAGTAAATGAGATATAACACATTAAAAATTCTGGGACCAATTTATTCCTTTAGAAAGAAGAAACACAATACTTGATATCCAAAGAACCACGTCAGGCTTGCAGTTGTGTAGGCCCCATTGTTAACGCCAAGAAAATATGTGCATTTTTGCTGCTTTTTTGATACTGGTACTATATACATGTATAAAATTGTAAAATTTATTTTGATGTTTTCTGTACTTGTGACTTACAGTTTGTTTCATACTGACTCTAAATGAACAACCGTAAGAAATGGTATATATTGATCATATAAGACACTTACCGTTTGAATCCAACATCAGATGGTCTCCTCGGGCATTCTTCATGAATTTTTGATTGTGTTTATTGTTTCCTGAATACAGTTTTGATAGATGTTTGTGAAAGTTATCATAAACAGAGTATCTTATGTCAGAGTAAAAAACTGTTTTAACTTCCTCTGTTAAGATAAAATCTCATGTAATTGGCTCTGTTATAGTAAAATCTCCTGTTATTTGCTCTGTTCTTGTAAAAACTCTTTTCATTTGTGCAGTTTGGTAGTTAGGTTTTCAGCATGTGATGAAAGTATTCTTTAATACCTGTTTTTACATTTGTTTTTGTTTGATTTTAGGTTTTAAATGTTTGAATAGAAACAATAAACCAAGTTAATGCTGTTGTAGAGGATTACTGTAGTATGTATATATATACATGTACACCATGTATGGTGGGAAATAGACACATATACAAACACACAGGCAGTTGTGATGGTATAATCAGTTCAACAAAAGTATATCACATGATTATACATTACATGTCATATGTTCATCCATTGAAGGTTTGAATTATTAAAATATGGATTGTTTATATAAATTAGAGATTAAAACACTAAGTCCAGTGGGAATTACCATTGAATGTGCTTACCTGTAAACTGGATGTTGAGGATGATGAGTGTAATCTTCATGGTGATAAAATATCACAAAATATAAATAGTTGTGTTGTACATGATCAAGTACAAACATATATATTTTATATCATTATTTGATTGTTTAATACATTTTTGTACCTTCAGTGATTGCTTTAGGATTAATGAATTGTACTATTTGGTATATGTTGGTCTTGTTGCACGAGGTGTCATATGTTGTCCTCTGTATGTAAAGCTCTGACTGGATTGTTTATTTTTATTTTAGCAAGTGTGGAGAGTTAGAAACCAAAACAAGTCTAGATAAAACTTAAGTATTCGAATGAAATCAGAAGAATTGTCTTCTTTAACTACAGTAGTTATACAAGACATTAAAATACTAAGGAAAAAGAAAAACTCATATTTAGGATGTATGATATATATGGGGCTATGTATTTTCATTTCCTGACATCCTTTAGCCCAATTGATGATGTCAGCTCTTAGCTAACCAGTCAATGACAGGCAGCTGACTGATCGTAACTATGGTAATCAGACTGACATGACAGTCACACTAATAGTATATGATAAAAACAACCAGTTCTACCATATATCACCTGGTTCTAACAGTTGCCTTTTTATAAAGTTTATCCCAGTTGATGTGATGCTTTCCAGGTCTAAATCACTCTTTGGTCTTGAAACTTTTACAACAGCTGGACTTGCACAGCATTAGCCCAGAAGTGTTACATCAAGTTGCCATTTGGAATTTAAAGTTTATTTATCTTCCTAGAATTCAATCAGTCTTCCATGTACTCAAGATATTTATTTGTTTATTCTTAAACTTTCAATTATTATTGTCATACAGTGTAAGGTTGAATCATTATAAGTAGCATAAAAAAAAAACAGAATAAAACTGATAATTCTTTTCCACATCTGCCAAAAGTTCATATTCCAAGTTGAATTTAGGCAAACACACATTTTAGTAAAACCTCAATTTTCTACCTAGTTGTTACTTTTGTACCAATTTCACTTTCATGCTGAAGATGTTGCATTGTACCATGAGGTGGTCTTACTGTCATGTCTTACAGGGTCAGCAATCACCAAATCATTAATTAATAGGTCTGTGTGTCAAGTTCTTTTGTACAGTATTTCATTATTAAAAATTGGGTGCCAGTATTTATATAAGTGTTTGCTGTATGACATTGCATGTTGATGTGTGCTATTTGTTTGGTTTTTTCTCTAGTTTTTGTTGGAGGGCAAGGAGATTGATATTCAAATACTTTCAATTCTGTATTGTCAAAAGTATAAATTTGCCATTTCTAGTCATTTTGTTCATAATTATGTATTAATAGCCATGGTTGATGAATTAAATTGAACGTTTAGAACAGGACAGAGAAAAAATGATTTCATTTGATGCTAGTCACAATATATGTTTTGCATGTAGACTGAACATCTGCATGTATGTTTGTAGTGATAATCAGATAATGTTCAGTGAATGATGGCAAGTGTTTCCAGAGTTTGTGGATCCCTCGTTTAAATCCTGACCCGCTCCATTGTATTTTCCTCGGCCATTTTCTTGGTGTCTGGGACCAATTCTTGTTTTGAAGCAATGAATGTAAATTACCGTGTAGTGTTTACTTATTTGGAAACAGAGATGTACAGACCAACAAACTCCATATATTTTTATTTTCCTAGATGTCAGAAGTCCCAAATTACAGCAGTTATTCTTTGTTACACTTTGAAACACATTACGTACAGCATATAGTTTTTGTTTTCTTATGCTGTTTTTGATTTGTCATGATATAGTGTACCTATAGTGAAGTATTTCACCGAGTTTCTTCACCAATATTATAATACATGTAGTTTTTGCTTTGGTTAATTTGTTGCTCTCAAAATATTGTACACTTGCAGATACCAAAGACATTTTTGTATCGGTGCTGTTTTGATTAAGATTAAATCTTATTCAAAATAATTTTTTTTCTTTGTTTTGTTATGAAAATGCCACTTTGCTTCATTTTATTTGTAAATAAATGATTACAAGGTTCTGGAACAATATTGATTATTTACAGGGTTTTCCATAATTTTGTTAGTAGTAGGCTGTGTAGTGAAGGTAGGAGGCCGGCCTGCCTTGTACATGTAGTCGTGTACGGAACATTATTACGGAACTGGATTGGTGAAGGCAGCGAAATGATCAAATTGGCCGGCGACCGGCTCTGATGGAAAACCCTGATTAATGATATGGAAATTTTCCTGTGGAATGTCTTCTTATATGTATACAGTCATTTTAGCCCACCATCTGACCTACGTCCATGGTGCATTGTCTATCCGTCGTCTGACTATCCATAAACAGATTTTGTTATCACTATTTCTTGAGAAGCACTGTATGGATCTTTCTCAAATTTCATATATAGGTCCCCCTTAGTCCCTCTTTGTGCCCATTTGATTGTGGGACAGATCAGAAAAACAAAATGGCCGACAGGTGACCATCTTTGATTTTGACTTTAAAAGTGTGTCATTGCTATTTCTTGAAAAGTACTGTATGGATCTCTCTCAAATTTCATATATAGGTTGCCATTGGTCCCTAGTTGTGCCTGTTTGATTTTGGGACTAATTTGAAAAAATAAAATTGCTTACAGGGGAACATCTTGGATTTGGAAGTTAAAGATAACCATTGCTATTTCAGCAAAGGAATATTCAAATTTCCTCATCAATTAGAGCACAAACAGAAAAGAGAAAAGAAAGATCCAACTGTCAAAGATCAAAAGCTGGTAGGCACCAAGATCCCTCTGGGACCTCTTGTTTATGTACTGAAATTTATTGCATTTGTGAGGAAAATTTTCTTTTTGATGTTATTAAGTAATTAATTTCATCTTTTGACACCACTGAATATCCATATAACCAGAACTTTGATTTATTAAGGTACATGTACCTCAACTTCAAATTAATAAACAAGATTCAAATATGGCATTATCTATAGATTGATCAGACAGAACACTCATGTGCAAGGACAGGACCAACATTTGCTCTGGACTTGTTTGTATTTTGCTTTAGAAGGTTTAAAGAGAAATATTGTTTCATTCATTTACATAACACATCATTTGTTTATCATAGAGCATATATCTGGTGTATTTGCAGTTTTCAGAAATGCACAGGAATTTTGTGGTACTATTTGGTTCATGTTGAATAGAGGAGGCAGATTGTTTCGATAATAATTGGTGCTTAAGGTTTATTGTGTTGACCATTTCATTTTTATGGACAAATAAAAATCTGGAAGTATGCTTACTTGTATCTGTTCTTTGTGTTGCTCCTATGGGAAGGTGAGAAATATCTTACTAGCTTATAAAGCAATATAATACTAAACACTACTTACAGAACTAGTGTTTTAATGATATTGATTTCTTTTGTAATGTACAAGTTTTTCAATGTAGAAACCATATTTGTGGTACATGTCCGGTAAGTTGGGGTCATTATTGGTTACAGAACTTGTTTGTTGAACATCAAGATCTTAATGATGACAACCGATTTAAACGTGACACAAGTCCAAATTTCACATAGGACAACAGTATGTTAGGAGAAGACGTAGTAAAAATGTTCAATATGACAGTCAGGGATATGATGGTCTGCATGTGGTAAAGGTATGAATTTAAGTAAGGATCATGAATCTGTGGACATATATATACAATACATTTGTGAAAGTTCTGTCTCTACAACTTTTGATTTTACAGAAGTAGTGATAGCATATTTTAAAGACAGCAGCAATCTTGAATTCAGCACTGGTAAAATCTTCTATGGACCACAAACAACTCGCCAGTGGCAGTTCTGTCTTGATAAGACATCATTTATTCAGATGGGAACTATTTCCTTAAGATTTTTTATTTTGTGCAAAACTCAAAAAAGTTGAATAGCTGACATCAACCCAATACCAGATGACTACTTTGATATGTACACAGCTGTAATTAAATTGAAATGTAAAGCTATACATCAAAGGATCAAAAGGTTATACATTTCCTCTAGTGCCATCTGATAATTTGGAAAAACAAAAATGACCTACAAGATCTCGAAAATCTAAGGAAACCCAGCTCTAGTAACTAATGGCCAAATACACCTCCCCCCCCAGCACCTCCATATGGAAAAATAACAATACTGAATTGATTTATTTTAAAATTTATTTGATGTTTCTGAAGATGATCATTTACAAATGGAATGATAAATTCATGTTGAGGAATTATTTCTTAAAATTCAAAATTAAAATGATGTAATTTGGAAAAATTATAAGTTTTTATTAAAAAAACAAAAAAAACAAAAAAATAGAAAGAAAAACAAAAAGCACTTTGTACGTATTTTCATTCATTAATTGTATAATTATTCAATATTTTTTCACACCCTAGACCTCATATTGATACATATACCTCGCAAGAAGAAAGGTATGGTTGGTATTTCATCTAATCTTGGTATATTTCTTTATTATTCATTTTGTCTTTAGATTGCAGTACAAGCTGTGACAAACATGTATCCAAGCTAAAACAAACACAAATACCAGCTAGCCCAAACACAAATAAAATCTTACACCAACACAAATACCAGCTAGCCCAAACACAAATAAAATCTTACACCAACACAAATACCAGCTAGCCCAAACACAAATACCAGCTTACACAAACACAAATACCAGCTAGCCAAAACACAAATACAAGCTTGCACAAACACAAATACCAGCTAGCCCAAACACAAATAAAATCTTACACCAACACAAATACCAGCTAGCCCAAACACAAATACCAGCTAGCCCAAACACAAATAAAATCTTACACCAACACAAATACCAGCTAGCCCAAACACAAATACCAGCTTACACAAACACAAATACCAGCTAGCCAAAACACAAATACAAGCTTGCACAAACACAAATACCAGCTAGCCCAAACACAAATAAAATCTTACACCAACACAAATACCAGCTAGCCCAAACACAAATAAAATCTTACACCAACACAAATACCAGCTAGCCCAAACACAAATACCAGCTTACACAAACACAAATACCAGCTAGCCAAAACACAAATACAAGCTTGCACAAACACAAATACCAGCTAGCCCAAACACAAATACCAGCTAGCCCACACACAAATACCAGCTTACACAAACACAAATACCAGCTAGCCAAAACACAAATACCAGCTTACGCAAACACAAATACCAGCTAGCCAAAACACAAATACAAGCTTACGCAAACACAAATACCAGCTAGCCAAAACACAAATACAAGCTTACACAAACACAAATACCAGCTAGCCCAAACACAAATACAAGCTTACGCAAACACAAATACCAGCTAGCCAAAACACAAATACAAGCTTACACAAACTCAAATACCAGCTAGCCAAAACACAAATACAAGCTTACACAAACATGACTAAAAACATAGACAAACATGTACTGTACAAGCTTGGACAAACGTACTGTACAAGCTTGGACAAACACAAATAAAACCTTAGACAAGCATGTTCTGTACAAGCTTAGACAAACATGTACTGTACAAGCTTGGACAAGCATGTACTGTACAAGCTTGGACAAACATGTACTGTACAAGCTTGGACAAACATGTACTGTACAAGCTTGGACAAACATGTACTGTACAAGCTTAGACAAACATGTACTGTACAAGCTTGGACAAACATGTTCTGTACAAGCTTAGACAAACATGTAATGTACAAGCTTGGACAAACACAAATAAAACCTTAGACAAATATGTACTGTACAAGCTTGGGCAAACATGTACTGTACAAGCTTGGACAAAAACAAATAAAACATTACACAAACATGTCCTGTACAATCTTGGATAAGCATGTACTGTACAAGCTTAGACAAGTATGTACTGTACAAACTTAGACAAACATGTACTGTACAATGTTTGATAAACATTTGAGTTAAAAGACAAATGAGTCCAAAACGTAACATTTTAACACACAAAAGTATAAATTTATCAGAATACTGAGGTCGGCCTTTTAGCTTGCTCTAGTTGTTTGTCCATTTGATCTATAAGACTATCACAGAAAGGGAATGTTGGAAATGACATACAGAGTAACAACTTAATATATTTAGTATCTAATACAAAGCTGTCTGTTTTTACAACATACAGAAAACTTAATATTTAAACAAGAGCCCCTAGGGCCTTTACGGTCACCTGAGTCACAATGCTTCATAGAAATGATTGTTTTAAAAAACTAATAGAACTTTAACTATAGTATACACACAAAGCAAAGTGAAATTGTGTATACATTAACTGCTGTCCAATGCCAGGCCTTCTAACCAAGTTTGAATGAAAAGAAATTACACTAAAGATTTGATTTTTTTTTTAAATATAAAATCTTCTATCCAGGAACAGTAGAACATCTTTGAAATTTCAGTCAATTTGATCGTTTTTGGACCCCGCCCATCAGTTTCTGGGAGTTACTGTCAGCTCATGTGTGTACTAATAACAAAAAATCTATCCAAGTTTGAACTATTTCTGAAAAAAAAATAAACAAATTATGCTTAAAAATGAATTTTCCTATATAAAATACAGTAATTTTATCCCCTCCACAATTTTCATAAAGCAACGCGTGAGACACTCCCATCCATGTAGAGTATTTAGTTCTACATTATCATGGTATTCAGAAGAAGATTTTTGAAATTTCGGCCAATTTGACCCAATTTTTGCCCTGCTCAACAGCACCTGGGGTCAGTTGTGGTTAATATGTGCATCTCATTAAGCTGTCATCTTAAACTTATCATCCTAATCAGGTTTAACTATTTCCAATTAAAAAAACATAAATAATATTAAAAAAAGTGATTTTCCTAAACAAACTAGAGTAAACTTTACCCTCTCCCTTGAGGGATTTACAAGTTTGGTAAAGCATCTGAAGCCTTCCATCTAAGAAGAAGACTTGATTCTACCACACGTGGGATCCGAGAGGATTTTTGAAGTTTCAATCATTTTGACCTTTTTTGGCCCCGCCCTTCAGGCCCCTGGGGTCAGGGACCATATAATTTACAATTTTGGCGCACTTTTAGCCATGGAAGGTTTTTTTCAGGAGTTTTTCATAAGAAGTCGGAAATGTTGAAAGTTTACAACGCATGACGCCAGACAAAAGGGGATCACATTAGGTCACTCTGAGACAAAGTCTCAGGTGACCTAATAAATTAGTAGAGTCTTCCTTGTCAAAATACTTCTGTTGGTCAACAATTATTAACATATTAATGTCACTTATGATACAATGATATTTATACAATGTATATAAGATGTACACATACTACGCATCACAAAATTGCAAACATTTCCTCCCACAGGAAGACACCTTGTACACTTACATCCAGGCCAACAACAGCGATCATTATAAGTCGCTATAACTTGTTGCTCAATTATAAAATAAATAAAGTTTATAAGTTTATTGCATACATACAATAAATGGGACAAAGATGTCCCATTCAACCATATAAAATTGTAAACTTATCTGTGCAATGTATAGTAAAATGACCTATATTGTATCTCAAAATACAAGAGAATGTATAATAAGACAGAAGACATATCTTATACATCTTCCTTAGAAAAGCAGTTTAATCATGAGTTAGTTTTGCCATGATCTTTCATATTGGTTTTTTTATGTGAAAAGCAATAATATGTCATGATCTGATAGATTCAAAATACACACTACTTTCCAGATTGATTGAAAAGTGTGAATCTTTTCAGTAGTACAGATTCGATCTGAACGCAGCACTGATCTGAATCCTGTTAGTAGTGCTGACCCAATCTGAACTCAGCACTGATCTGATTCCTGTTAGTAGTGCTGACCCAATCTGAACTCGGCACTGATCTGATTCCTGTTAGTAGTGCTGACCCGATCTGAACTCGGCACTGATCTGAATCCTGTTAGTAGTGCTGACCCGATCTGAACTCAGCACTGATCTGATTCCTGTTAGTAGTGCTGACCCGATCTGAACTCAGCACTGATCTGATTCCTGTTAGTAGTGCTGACCTGATCTGAACTCGGCACTGATCTGAATCCTGTCAGTAGTACTGACCCTATATGAACTCAGAACTGACCGAGATGCTGCAGTAACATTACAGATAAATAACATTATCAAATAACTCAATAATACTCTCATTCCTTACAAATAATTCTTGTAGATAAAGGCACATTCTTAGAGTTAACTGATAATAAAAAACATCAACATTCACACCCTTGAAGGTCTTCACAATGTACTTGTGCGAAATTTTAACGTCAGATATCTTTCACTCACACAAACATTCTTCTTTCTACAAAATTCTGCATAAATGAGGAGCAACATTCTCACATACTTTAATTTGGTGATATGTACAAACATCTTATCATAATTTACATATATTTGGCTATTGAGTTTTCAGAATGAATTAAACAAATGTAAGTCAATAAAATAGATTGTCCCTATGTGAGATGTCAGATAAAGTAAGTGTCCCTGGCTATGTGAGATGTCAGATAAAGTAACAGTGTCCCTGGCTATGTGAGATGTCAGATAAAGTAACAGTGTCCCTGGCTATGTGAGATGTCAGATAAAGTAAGTGTCCCTGGCTATGTGGGATGTCAGATAAAGTAACAGTGTCCCTGGCTATGTGAGATGTCAGATAAAGTAACAGTGTCCCTGGCTATGTGAGATGTCAGATAAAGTAACAGTGTCCCTGGCTATGTGAGATATCAGATAAAGTAACAGTGTCCCTGGCTATGTGAGATGTCAGATAAAGTAACAGTGTCCCTGGCTATGTGAGATGTCAGATAAAGTAACAGTGTCCCTGGTTATGTGAGATATCAGATAAAGTAACATTGTCCCTGGCTATCTGAGATGTCAGATAAAGTAACAGTGTCCCTGGCTATGTGAGATTCCAGTAAAAAGTAATGGAGCCTCTGTGTATGGGAATGCCTGTAAAAGTCGTCTATGGGAATGCCATTTTTTTATGAGATTCACATTTACATCTCTTTAACAGAAGGTAAAAAACTTATTGTCTCTGCTTTTCAAAACATGTCTACTCACAATGACAAAATTGGTCATGTACTGAAGCACAGTTTTCTCTAATTTACTCAAACACAAAGTAAAAATTTTTGCAAGAAGTTAAAACTGAGATAAAAGTGACATATTCTGTACATCAAGCAGAAATCAACAATATACTATCTTTGATTTATATAATTACTGAATAAAAGTATCATGAAACAATGTAGTATAGACTAAATTTGTCATTAAAACTGTAGAAAATGTAAAAATATTGCACATGAAGCACCTCATTTTTGATAAACTCTTTGACACACTTAAAACAACTTCTGCGATGATATGCTACAACAACTTCTGTGCTTCTGTAAAGTCTGTATCATAATACTGTCGGAACACACGCTCATCCTTACAACACTTCATGGCATGGTAGGTGTGAATTAAAAGTCTCGGAAAACGTGATGTGAAATACAACACAAATTGGTCTGGTACTGCTCCAAGTGAGTTCTTCACATTGTCGGGCAACTCTCGATAATGGTGCTTCTGCATCTCTTTACAGAAGGAAAAACTTATTGTCTCTGCTTTTCAAAACATGTCTACTAATGAATTTGAAAAATATTTTTTATATTTTTTGAATTTGAAAAATATTTTTTAATTATATTTTTAACTTAAGTATCATTGTACTGTGTATATTTTATATACAAAATATGTCTCTGTAATTTATGTGGGGCTATAGAAAAGCTTATCATAAAGTAACACAAAAACATTGCTAGCATTTTTACTGAAACTACAATATGTAAGTATGAGTCACTTACTGGCAGATACAACAGATGTATGGGCTCATTATCAGACACTGGCTTATTGGCAGATACAACAGATGTATGGGTTCATTATCAGACACTGGCTTATTGGCAGATACAACAGATGTGTGGGTTCATTATCAGACACTGGCTTATTGGCAGATACAACAGATGTGTGGGCTCATTATCAGACACTGGCTTATTGGCAGATACAACAGATGTGTGGGTTCATTATCAGACACTGGCTTATTGGCAGATACAACAGATGTATGGGCTCATTATCAGACACTGGCTTATTGGCAGATACAACAGATGTGTGGGCTCATTATCAGACACTGGCTTATTGGCAGATACAACAGATGTGTGGGCTCATTATCAGACACTGGCTTATTGGCAGATACAACAGATGTGTGGGCTCATTATCAGACACTGGCTTATTGGCAGATACAACAGATGTGTGGGCTCATTATCAGACACTGGCTTATTGGCAGATACAACAGATGTATGGGTTCATTATCAGACACTGGCTTATTGGCAGATACAACAGATGTATGGGCTCATTATCAGACACTGGCTTATTGGCAGATACAACAGATGTGTGGGTTCATTATCAGACACTGGCTTATTGGCAGATACAACAGATGTGTGGGCTCATTATCAGACACTGGCTTATTGGCAGATACAACAGATGTGTGGGCTCATTATCAGACACTGGCTTATTGGCAGATACAACAGATGTATGGGCTCATTATCAGACACTGGCTTATTGGCAGATACAACAGATGTGTGGGCTCATTATCAGACACTGGCTTATTGGCAGATACAACAGATGTATGGGTTCATTATCAGACACTGGCTTATTGGCAGATACAACAGATGTATGGGCTCATTATCAGACACTGGCTTATTGGCAGATATTGGCAGATACAACAGATGTGTGGGCTCATTATCAGACACTGGCTTATTGGCAGATACAACAGATGTGTGGGCTCATTATCAGACACTGGCTTATTGGCAGATACAACAGATGTATGGGTTCATTATCAGACACTGGCTTATTGGCAGAGGATATACAAACCTTGTTTCTCATAGCTCGGAGTAAATCTCTTACATTTTCTCCCTTGTAAGTTCTAAATTTTCTGAGATCTACAAAACAAATTGTGATATGTAGATTTTGGACAACTTGAGACTTTTTTCTTTCCATTTAATAATTACAGAACACCACAATGAAATGTCTTATTTTATTGAACACCAACAGAATTAAGAAAGAATTATCTGAAATGTTAACATAAGTCTTTAAAGCTCCATTCCATATAGTATTACATTACACAAGGTATACTATGCACATTGAGATCACCTTTGTTTTCTGGATTTATACAATCCTGCCAATTTTTGAAACCGATGTTTTGAAATAACATTACCATTTTGTAACTCAGTTGTTATATTTTTGCGCCAGTCTTTCTTGACGACCTCTGACCCTCCTGCTTCTAGCTTCTGTACCACCTCGCATAGTTCAGTCTCCTTCTCAATCCTGTCACTCACATCCTGAAACACATTATCAAATACTTAAGTCAACTTATACATGTTAGACCACAACTGTAGGTCTGTGAAGACAAAGTTTCGCCTAGATTGGATTAATTCAATATTTGTATCTTGTTGTTTAGCTTTACATTTGAAAGGCATAATCAACTTTCATTTGAAAAGCCTTGCATAGCTCTTTGCTTAAGGATTTCCTTTAATGAATATAAGATATCAAGATTAATGGAGTAGCATAGAGAACAGAGCAATAATTGTCAGTCACATGGCACCTGTTGAAGAATTTGTGTTACATAATATATTCACTTCGTTGAAATGGTAGAAAAATACTAAAATATATATCTGAACTTAATTTTACAAGGGAAAAGAGTATGTCAATATGCCCCAGTTTAGCCTTGTGTTACAGAGACTGCACCATATAGCCTATTTCCTGTACAGTGAAGACCCCTTAATGTGCCTCTATTTATGGGCTAATGGATAAAATATGTCCTTCATTTACAGGATGATCTCACTTAAGCAAAAGTCAAAGCTAACATTTTAAATAAGTACAATCATGTTTAATGTTGTCTTTTTTCTTTCTTGGCCTTTTAAGCACCAGTTTAGTTTTGAAACTCACAAAGTATTGTCACCTAAATTTGAAAAGGATCGTTCTATTCTTGAAAACAAACACAAAAACATAAAACATTCATGCCTGTCAGATGATAACAGAGTGAAGGGGATCACAACAGGTGAATTCAAAATGGTTTTGTTTGTTCAGGGTTCTACAAAACAGAGTAATATGTACCTGAAAAAACATCATCTGCTTTTCCCTGCTCCAAAAAAATGGATGCTTTAATATCATTTTAGCTGTTGGTCTTCTGGCTGGTTCAAAACTTAGGGCGACTTCTATCAAATCTCGTCTTACATAATAATCTGTAAATACAACAGAATTCTTTGTTTCTCTCCATCATATCTTTCCAATGGAAGCTTTTAAGTTATACATATTTTGATAATGTCCCATCATATATTTTGATTGAGCTGATTTTTTGGGAGAAATAACCTGTATCAATATTTTTATTAAATGATATTATGTCTAGAAATTAAATGTAATCAACAAAAATTAATAAAATGTACCTGTGATTAGACAGCTAGGTTTCTAAAATATTTCATGAACTTCCTGACCTGTTTCTTGCTTTACAAAAATATTTTGACTACCACAAAAAGTCAGATAATCCAGTCAACATATCAACGAGCTATCATTGCTAGTCCCTGTGAACATACGATAACTAATGTGATCATCATTAAATGTGGTGTATAAGTAACAAATATTCACATAACTGAAAATTTGTACCCTGTTAACTAAGATATTTCTAGACAGCAAAAATGTAAATACACAAAATATTTCTTATTATGGCTGAAGAGCTGAAAAATAGCTAAATATGCATCTTACAGTATTACTCACAATACAATCACTCTCAGGCAGTGCCCATTAAATGTAAAATTAATTCCTAAAATTGTAACTATGTGAAGGCAAGTTTGCCAGGTAATCTTCCAGGAAGTCATTGGCTTTCTCACCTGTCACAGGTAAGCTGTCTAGACTGTGATCTCCTGCCATAATATTTGCCTGTCGTCGTAATGAGTCCCCAAATGGATGCTTTCCTTTGGTAAGTACATAAAAAAAGACACATCCAGCAGAGAATATGTCAACACTGCAAGTCTGCAAAACGAAATGTAAAATTACTAAATATGGCATCAGGATGATTCAAATCATATCAAACAAATGTAAACTAAAGGTATATGATGACAAAACTGTAACATTGACTTGATAAATAATAAATTAATAATCATACCACTCTCTTATTCTCCTCCAACATTTCTGGGGCTATCCATCCATCTGTTCCTGCTGCTCCGGATCTTCTGGAAAATGAAATTCTGCCTGCTGCCAACTTCTTACACAAGCCAAAGTCAGAGATCATAGCCCTGACCTGACCCTTAGCATTTGGCTGGGACAGCAGCACATTGTGGGGTTTGATGTCTCTGTGCACTGAAAAGGAATGATTAGTTGTCAAAGAAGTGAAATTTATCCACATCTCTTCTGTATTGATCGTTGTTACACAAAAACATATGCTTTACTAGGATATGGAGTCTGCATACATTGTATTTCAATAATCAGATACATGTCACAAGGAGTAACTACCTGCATGTACCAAAGTCACCAGGATACAATAAGTAACTACCTACATGTACCAAAGTCACCAGGATACACTGAGTAACTACCTACATGTACCAAAGTCACCAGGATACACTGAGTAACTACCTACATGTACCAAAGTCACCAGGATACACTGAGTAACTACCTGCATGTACCAAAGTCACCAGGATACAATGAGTAACTACCTACATGTACCAAAGTCACCAGGATACACTGAGTAACTACCTACATGTACCAAAGTCACCAGGATACACTGAGTAACTACCTACATGTACCAAAGTCACCAGGATACACTGAGTAACTACCTACATGTACCAAAGTCACCAGGATACACTGAGTAACTACCTACATGTACCAAAGTCACCAGGATACACTGAGTAACTACCTACATGTACCAAAGTCACCAGGATACACTGAGTAACTACCTACATGTACCAAAGTCACCAGGATACACTGAGTAACTACCTACATGTACCAAAGTCACCAGGATACACTGAGTAACTACCTACATGTACCAAAGTCACCAGGATACACTGAGTAACTACCTACATGTACCAAAGTCACCAGGATACACTGAGTAACTACCTACATGTACCAAAGTCACCAGGATACACTGAGTAACTACCTACATGTACCAAAGTCACCAGGATACACTGAGTAACTACCTACATGTACCAAAGTCACCAGGATACACTGTAACTACCTACATGTAACTACCTACATGTACCAAAGTCACCAGGATACACTGAGTAACTACCTACATGTACCAAAGTCACCAGGATACACTGAGTAACTACCTACATGTACCAAAGTCACCAGGATACACTGAGTAACTACCTACATGTACCAAAGTCACCAGGATACACTGAGTAACTACCTACATGTACCAAAGTCACCAGGATACACTGAGTAACTACCTACATGTACCAAAGTCACCAGGATACACTGAGTAACTACCTACATGTACCAAAGTCAAGTCACCAAAGTCACCAGGACTACTACATGTACCAAAGTCACCAGGTAACTACCTACATGTACCAAAGTCACCAGGATACACCTACATGTACCAAAGTCACCTACCTACATGTACCAAAGTCACCAGGATACACTGAGATACACTGAGTAACTACATGTAGGTACCAAAGTCACCACTGAGTAACTACCTACATGTACCAAAGTCACCAGGATACACTGAGTAACTACCTACATGTACCAAAGTCACCAGGATACACTGAGTAACTACCTACATGTACCAAAGTCACCAGGATACACTGAGTAACTACCTACATGTACCAAAGTCACCAGGATACACTGAGTAACTACCTACATGTACCAAAGTCACCAGGATACACTGAGTAACTACCTACATGTACCAAAGTCACCAGGATACACTGAGTAACTACCTACATGTACCAAAGTCACCAGGATACACTACCTACATGTACCAAAGTCACCAGGATACACTGAGTAACTACCTACATGTACCAAAGTCACCAGGATACACTGAGTAACTACCTACATGTACCAAAGTCACCAGGATACACTGAGTAACTACCTACATGTACCAAAGTCACCAGGATACACTACCTACATGTACCAAAGTCACCAGGATACACTGAGTAACTACCTACATGTACCAAAGTGTACCAAAGTCACCAGGATACACTGAGTAACTACCTACATGTACCAAAGTCACCAGGATACAATGAGTAACTACCTACATGTACCAAAGTCACCAGGATACACTGAGTAACTACCTACATGTACCAAAGTCACCAGGATACACTATCTACATGTACCAAAGTCACCAGGATACACTGAGTAACAAAGTCACCAGGATACACTGAGTAACTACCTACATGTACCAAAGTCACCAGGATACACTGAGTAACTACCTACATGTACCAAAGTCACCAGGATACACTGAGTAACTACCTACATGTACCAAAGTCACCAGGATACACTGAGTAACTACCTACATGTACCAAAGTCACCAGGATACACTGAGTAACTACCTACATGTACCAAAGTCACCAGGATACACTGAGTAACTACCTACATGTACCAAAGTCACCAGGATACACTACCTACCTGCATGTACCAAAGTAACTACATGTACCAAAGTCACCAGGATACAATGAGTAACTACCTACATGTACCAAAGTCACCAGGATACACTGAGTAACTACCTACATGTACCAAAGTCACCAGGATACACTATCTACATGTACCAAAGTCACCAGGATACACTGAGTAACTACCTACATGTACCAAAGTCACCAGGATACACTGAGTAACTACCTACATGTACCAAAGTCACCAGGATACACTATCTACATGTACCAAAGTCATCAGGATACACTATCTACATGTACCAGAGTCACCAGGATACACTATTTACATGTTTCAGAATCATTAATCGCTGATGGGTAGAAATGTCTGTTTTACTTTGGAGTTGTATGATAAACAAAGGTAATGGAGAGGTATGAGACCTTTTAGGTGTAGTTACCTGGAATCCTCGAAACTGTACGTAGTCATTTCACATTACTATCAGCAGTACAATCAATCGTAATTTCAATAAAAGTCTGGTGAGGTATGCTTTTTATTTGTTTATTTTAATGAATTTATGACAAAGTCTCCATAGAAATTGAAAAAAAAGAATAATTATCTACAAAAGCCGAGAAATAAAGGATAAAAACAATTTTCCCTGTAAAAGAGACCAGATTTGACAGCAAAATTGACAATTACTTTTTAATTACCAAAACAGTTATGTATTATATTATGTGTTTCAATGATATTTATGTGTTATGTGTCTATTTATTGTTTTATAATGAATTAACTGAACAAAATATTTAATTTCTTAAAATTGTCCTAATCTGGATCAGTAGTTCATCAGTATATATGTATCTGTATGTTAGTCTGGCAGTAAAAGTAAGCTGGTGACATATCTTTTGTGCGGTTATTGTGATTTAAGCATATCTACCATCAAAATTAACGTAATTTAAACACCAAGTTTTATCTATTAAAATCTGAAGGGATGGACGACCTACCGATGTCAAGTGAATGGAGATGTGCTATGCCTGACATGGCTTGGAAAAGCAGCGTCAGAGGGTCCAGTATTCTAGAAAACTGTGTCCGTTCCTCAACAAAATCTTGTACAGTGGCTACACACAACTCCAAGGCGATGTATCGGAACTGGCTATCAGCCTCCTTAAAAATACAGAATTAAATATGATAAGACAGAATCCTTGTAAAAAATCATGCTAACACAATCTGGCCTTGGGAACTACAATCTCCGACTGATAAACTATTTTAGTATATCAGTGGAAGTATTTGTTTCTGTATATGCTGATAAAACATCATTATATTCAAGACGCAACCTTCACATGTCTGAGGATAATATGCCATTGTATAACGAGTTGAGCAAGTCTCAGCCAATCTGACTGCAGGAATTCATGTAGTGATTCTTTTCCTTACTGTAAACAAACTGCCTCTCATGTGTGGTTTACAGTCACAACTGTCTGATTGAAGCAAACTGGTAAAGATGAATTGCCACAAACTAAAGTGTCGATATTCCCCACCAATTTCAAACTTGGATAATTCATGATATCTAAAAATGTACAGTTTCTCCAGAATCTACGTGTACAATACATACAGCTGTAGCCTGTTTTTTTCAAATTTGTTGTTTATTTCAATGTTGATGATGAATTATTCTCTTGAGTGTTTGATTCGGAGAAGTTTATATTTGATAACTTTCGAGTAAAGACTGCTAGTTTCTTCAAAGACTGAGTCACCTCTATACACAGTGGTACAGGCTTTAAAATAACTGTAATTAACCTTTACTTTGCCTTTAACACATCAGTATGAGACACCTAGGTAATTAATCTGGAAGCTGATTAGACTGGTTTATTCATCAGGATATGGTACCACATTCAATGTTAAGGAAAAGTGTAAGATGTTCTGGTCTATAAACAGGCCACCAACCGGCCCATGTCCCTCAGTCGCACTTTGGCAAGATAACCTGTCACGGACAAGTTAGTGACAGGTAATGGGGCTCACTACATGGTTTCAAATGAAGACATGTTGTATTGCTAAAGCACTAAAAGTGAGTTGGTTTACAGTATATACCTAATTAGATTTTACATAGTTTGTGTAGCAGGTGGACAGATGCCTTCTAGGTCAAGCTATGAATTTAAAATTACCTTTTAAAAAATATGGCAATTCTTTTCACAGTTGTTTTGACTTTAAATATATCTGACCTGACTGAAAACTGAATTTGAAATTAAACACTCATTTAAACTACCAAGCATATAAATATGTGCAGTGCATATAATGTTGTCAATTGACATTTAAAGAAAAAATGGCAATGTCATAAAAGTTCAAATTAATTCACCTATCCTGCATTAATGGTATAAATAAAAACAGACTGATGTTATACCTTGTAAACTTAAAATATTTGACAGGCTAAAGAATTCTATACCATAGAGAAGTATCTGATGACATTAGGGTGCTGATCTGATTCCCGTAAAAGCTCCACTTCCCGGTCAGCAAATGTGAAACATTCAGGAAGTAGTCGCTTGATAGCCACATCTCTATTGTCGAATCGGCCCCTAGTTTTACAATACAAGATGAATATCATTAATGTATAGAGAGTATAACAGTATGGACCTGTAAGGCCAAAACTTTGATGAGACTGGCTTAGAAGTTAATGTTACACATCTTTCTGTACAAAAAATACTCTTTACTGCAAAAAGCTGTTACATTCATTTATTGATCTTTTTCATACTTTTTTATATTTCCATGTGTTCAAGATCAGAGTTTTGGTCTGTAAATTGTGTTTAAAGTATTACCTGTACACAAATGTTCCTTCACAACCATGGCCTAGCACATCATTCGGGTTAAAAATTATCTTTCCAACTTTAATATGTCCATCAGGCAAACCTGTAAATTAAAAAGAAAAATATTCCTGTCAAATGAACATCCTTTATCTGGTTCAACCTGAAAAATTCTCATCATCTACATATCAAATGAACGCCTTTATCTGGTTCAACCTGAAAAATTCTCATCATCTACATATCAATTGAACATCCTTTATCTGGTTCAACCTTTAAAATTTTCCTCATTGTCTACATATCAAATGAACATCCTTTATCTGGTCCAACCTGAAAAATTCTCATCATCTACATATCAAATGAACATCCTTTATCTGGTTCAACCTGAAAAATTCTCCTCATCATCTACATATCAAATGAACATCCTTTATCTGGTTCAACCTGAAAAATTCTCATCATCATCTACATATCAATTGAACATCCTTTATCTGGTTCAACCTGAAAAATTCTTATCATCTACATATCAAATGAACATCCTTTATCTGGTTCAACCTGAAAAATTCTCATCATCTACATATCAAATGAACATCCTTTATCTGGTTCAACCTGAAAAATTCTCATCATCTACATATCAAATGAACGCCTTTATCTGGTTCAACCTGAAAAATTCTCATCATCTACATATCAAATGAACATCCTTTATCTGGTTCAACCTGAAAAATTCTCCTCATCATCTACATATCAAATGAACATCCTTTATCTGGTTCAACCTGAAAAATTCTCATCATCTACATATCAAATGAACATCCTTTATCTGGTTCAACCTGAAAATTCTCCTCATCATCTACATATCAAATGAACACCTTTATCTGGTTCAACCTGAAAAATTCTCCTCATCATCTACATATCAATTGAACATCCTTTATCTGGTTCAACCTGAAAAATTCTCATCATCTACATATCAAATGAACATCCTTTATCTGGTTCAACCTGAAAAATTCTCCTCATCATCTACATATCAAATGAACACCTTTATCTGGTTCAACCTGAAAAATTCTCCTCATCATCTACATATCAAATGAACATCCTTTATCTGGTTCAACCTGAAAAATTCTCCTCATCATCTACATATCAAATGAACACCTTTATCTGGTTCAACCTGAAAAATTCTCCTCATCATCTACATATCAAATGAACACCTTTATAAAAAAATTTCCTCATGGTTTACTACTCACCACTGTAGAATAGAAATGCTAACTTCAAATTGCATGACATGATGCTGTAAATACCAGACAACATTAAGTTTACATGTATATTTTTTCTTTAATCTTTAACTTCTCAGTATACATGTAACACAGATACAAATCAGATAACATGGCTTTAACTTACTATCATATTGTTGACCAGCTTTTGAGTTTCTATTCCCAGTGAAGGAGGTTTGGGCAGACTTTTGGTTTTGGTCTAACAGCTTGTGTTCTCGCAACATTCTTTTCAAAGAGAGCTCCTGCTGCTGTAAAAGTCAGAAACAACTTATCTTTGTTTATATTTTCCTTTACATAAGGACTACACAAAACTGGGGAAACTCCCTGCAATCCAATACATATATCCAGAAACATGTGCATGTGCACCAAACTCTGTACACAACCAACTTTACTATGTCACTGAAGTGTCTGAAAACTGCTGTATAACATATGACTATCATCTGTTTATGTTTTCTCAATCTTGGTCGTGTAAATGCTTGACTAGGGAAATGGTGTAAAGTGGTGACCTGACGTAGATTGTCTAAAATTTGACTAGTGAACTCTTTTTCTGAGGGAAATAACTGGAAATAGTAAAGCTTAGTACAAAAAAAATTATGTCTGTACTCCAGAAAAACAAAGTAGGGTTTACCATAGTTATTCCTTTGTTGATATGTTGCGTGTTTTTTGCACAGTACAAGTGTGTAAATCGTGTCATAAATGTGTATTACTGTTATATGACTAATTTGTATCTGTTTGTCATAGATAAATGTTAAACGTCCATTTTTGGGTAATTCCTTCACTAGGAAGAAACAAATGGAAGTAAATACCACTGCCACTTGACAGGTCGAAGGCCTTTTATACCCTCGGATGTTCAGTCAAGGCTTGGACTAAAATCTCTGCCACTTGACAGGTCGCAGGCCTTTTATACCCTCGGATGTCCAGTCAAGGCTTAGACTGAAATCTCTGCCACTTGACATGTAACAGACCTTTAATACCCGCGGATGCCAAATCAAGGCTTGGACTAAAATCTCTGCCACTTGACAGGTCACAGGCCTTTTATACCCTCGGATGTTCAGTCAAGGATTAGACTAAAATCTCTGCCACTTGACATGTAACAGACCTTTAATACCCTCAGATGCCAAATCAAGGCTTGGACTAAAATCTCTGCCACTTGACAGGTCAGAGGCCTTTAATACCCTCGGATGCCAAATCAAGGCTTGGACTAAAATCTCTGCCACTTGACAGGTCGCAGGCCTTTTATACCCTCGGATGTTCAGTCAAGGCTTAGACTAAATCTCTGCCACTTGACATGTAACAGACCTTTAATACCCGCGGATGCCAAATCAAGGCTTGGACTAAAATCTCTGCCACTTGACAGGTCGAAGGCCTTTTATACCCTGGGATGCCAAATCAAGGCTTGGACTAAAATCTCTGCCACTTGACATGTAACAGGCCTTTAATAGCCTTAGGATGTCCAGTCAAGGCTTGGACTAAAATCTCTGCCATTTCCTTAGATACCAATGCCAGAAGATATGGTAAGCTTACTAGGGAGAGGCCTCAGAAGCATACTAAACAATTTTTCCTATCTCAATACATGATTATTTTAACTGGTATTGTCAGTTTTAATTTCAGAAGATTAGGTGAAAAGACAAGAATAGTGGCAGTGTCATGTATGTGTATTAAATTTGGAGTCCATACACGAAACAGTTCAATATGAATTATGTTCTGATTACTGCCATTTCACCACATTTTGGCATTTTTGTAAAGACCAACTGTGAAGTACTTGTCACAGAGACATACACTGCCCACTATGGTGAAACAGTGACACATTGACTTAACTTTGCTTTAAGCTAACATATACAGTTATATTAAGAGTCACATGTTTACCTTAGGAAAATAGTAGACAATGGCGAGAATTGTAATAACCAGCAAGCCGACTGTGATTAAGAATTTAATGTCAGAGCCAAGATACATGGCCACCAGACTGCTGTCTATGTCTGTACTGTTCTTAGCCGGAGTACCATCAACCAATGGTGGGACAGGAATGACTTTATTATCCTCCTCTTCACCATCTTCCCGGTCATCTGTGATCTGAAATGCTGGAGAGATTCTTGACTTGGCTTTGTCAGGGACTTCATGATAACCTAAAATAACAGAGACATGAAGCTCTTCAACCCTGATAACAAATAATTACAACAGAATTCCATCTAATTAAAACATCAGGGAGGCCTGTTAAAGTCACCAGTATTATATGCACAATACACTTATCAAAAGACGACATGATACTAGTTTATTTTCAAGGATATTTCTCAAACAAGCTAGTGTAAACAAGACCGTTTATAAGGACAATCACCAAACATACTGTAGATCTAATGTATACACACAGGGGACACTCACCTAGCATTAGAATAGGCCCTCCTCGGCGGATAGTTGAAGCCTTAATTGTCTGTTCGTGAATACTGTTGTCCAGTTGACTTGTTGGTCCTTCAATTAAGAGCAGTCCTTTCTCCTTGGGCTAACAAAACATTATATTAATGTTATCAAACATCAATTATTTATTTCATCACATCTTAATAACCTATAACACATAATGTTTAACACATCCTCCACATTTACAAAATATACAGATGTAACTTTGCTTAAAGCTGTAATATTGCTTTATTTGAAGTGATCTTCTGCGACATTGAAAGCCAGTCAAGGTTATGACATCAACAGTGGTCTTCATTTAACATTCCTTCTACCCAGTATTACATTATGTACTTACAGCGATTGTGACAGTCTTTTCATCCACAAGTGACGTCAGAGCAAAATAGCCATGTTCGTATTCTCCAACATATAGAGTGGGACTGAAATGAAACAGAACAGTAGTAGAGTGTACAGTCCTACATCAATTTTCTAACCTTTATTTAGGCAGTGAACCTTTATCACTATTAAAAGTTTTGCTGTAGTTTCTGTTTGTAACCTCCTGAGGGGTTTGTTCTCTAACAATGATATCTGGTGAAGGGTAATGTCTGAGGGATAGAGTGAAGAATGCCTGCTTTGAAGACCATACAAGAGAAATGTAAACAAAGTGACATGGTAAAGTTTGTACATCACAGGAATGATGACCTTACAAATCTTGATGACCTATAAACAAATGGAAATTTGTCATCAATGTTGTTTATAAACTTAACCAATCTTGGTATCTGCAAATTTGTACACGTAAAACATTGGAACAATGATGAATATCTGGTCAAGGGAGGAAGCTCAAGCCCATGGACTATCTTAGGTAATATTGTTTTACAGGGAAACACTCAAGCAATGGCAATCTTCTTGACAATTAGAACGTGTGTAATGATACTATTTCATAGAAAATTGTGTTGCCTGCTTCGTCTTGGTACTTCAGTTTACCAGTATACCCGAATATGATTTGTTGATACAATGAAGTGGGCGTAATTGAAAAACTGTCTTACTAGAAAATTTTCTTCTGCCCATGCTCAAGAAACTTGTGTCTCCAGTGATTTGATGACAGTTGTCCTGTAAGATGTTCTAGTGTTTCTGGAGCGAAGCTCATGAAGGGTACCTTCTGTAAACCACCATCTTGGTTCATGGTATACATGGCCACTACAGGTGAATTGTAATCCATGTACCACTGAACCTCACCTGTACACATAAACAAAGAGAGAAAACACACATGAAACCAGCCCCTTAAATAAATAACATATTATCAGTATAACAAAATTAAGTATACTTATTGATCCAGTTTTTATTTATTTGGTGTTAACTGTAATCACTAAAATTTCAGCCTTCTTTACTTAGCATTTTCTTCTGTCTATACAATTTACTTTCCAAAACTGCCAAAGCTCCTAGTGCAGACATAAGGAAATATACAGACCAGTAGACAACCAGAACAGAGTTATCTAACAACAAACCTGATTTGCTGTCCAAGGTGACAGTCATGCCATCAGAACTGGCTGTAAAGTGCTTTAACTCTGAAATATAAATCAACTGAAAACTGAAATGAAAACCAGACTTTCTGGCGTCCTACTCCATATTTTTTCAAAGAGTAAATTTTACAAATTACAGCCTCAATAGATGCATGTCATATACATAGTCTTTCATTCAGCTTGCTAGGTATCAGGTAATATGTATGTTAAAGTATTACTACATGCCTATACTGTTCATGTCACATACACAAATGAACCTTCCCTTTTACAGTTTTGTCAATTTTACCATAGTCTAGATCTTAATAAATATGATTCTGACAAGTAAATACAGCCAGAACTGTCTCAGCTGATTTTACCATAGTCTAGATCTCAATAAATATGATCCTGACAAGTACACATTGCCAGAACTGTCTCAGCTGATTTTACCATGGTCTAGATCTTAATAAATACGGTTCTGACAAATAAATACAGCCAGAACTGTCTCAGCTGATTTTACCATAGTCTAGATCTTAATAAATACGATTCTGACAAATAAATACAGCCAGAACTGTCTTAGGTGATTTTACCATAGTCTAGATCTTAATAAATACGATTCTGACAAGTAAATACAGCCAGAACTGTCTCAGCTGATTTTACCATAGTCTAGATCTCTATAAATATTATTCTGACAAATAAATACTGCTAGAACTGTCTTAGGTGATTTTACCATAGTCTAGATCTTAATAAATACGATTCTGACAAATAAATACAGCCAGAACTGTCTCAGCTGATTTTACCATGGTCTAGATCTTAATAAATACGATTCTGACAAGTAAATACAGCCAGAACTGTCTTAGGTGATTTTACCATAGTCTAGATCTCAATAAATATTATTCTGACAAATAAATACTGCTAGAACTGTCTTAGGTGATTTTACCATAGTCTAGATCTTAATAAATACGATTCTGACAAATAAATACAGCCAGAACTGTCTCAGCTGATTTTACCATGGTCTAGATCTTAATAAATACGATTCTGACAAGTAAATACAGCCAGAACTGTCTTAGGTGATTTTACCATAGTCTAGATCTTAATAAATACGATTCTGACAAGTAAATACAGCCAGAACTGTCTTAGGTGATTTTACCATAGTCTAGATCTTAATAAATACGATTCTGACAAATAAATACAGCCAGAACTGTCTCAGCTGATTTTACCATAGTCTAGATCTCAATAAATATTATTCTGACAAATAAATACAGCCAGAACTGTCTTAGGTGATTTTACCATAGTCTAGATCTCAATAAATATTATTCTGACAAATAAATACTGCTAGAACTGTCTTAGGTGATTTTACCATAGTCTAGATCTTAATAAATACGATTCTGACAAATAAATACAGCCAGAACTGTCTCAGCTGATTTTACCATGGTCTAGATCTTAATAAATACGATTCTGACAAGTAAATACAGCCAGAACTGTCTTAGGTGATTTTACCATAGTCTAGATCTTAATAAATACGATTCTGACAAGTAAATACAGCCAGAACTGTCTTAGGTGATTTTACCATAGTCTAGATCTTAATAAATACGATTCTGACAAGTAAATACAGCCAGAACTGTCTTAGGTGATTTTACCATAGTCTAGATCTTAATAAATACGATTCTGACAAATAAATACAGCCAGAACTGTCTTAGGTGATTTTACCACAGTCTAGATCTTAATAAATACGATTCTGACAAATAAATACAGCCAGAACTGTCTTAGGTGATTTTACCATAGTCTAGATCTTAATAAATACGATTCTGACAAGTAAATACAGCCAGAACTGTCTTAGGTGATTTTACCATAGTCTAGATCTTAATAAATACGATTCTGACAAATAAATACAGCCAGAACTGTCTTAGGTGATTTTACCATAGTCTAGATCTTAATAAATACGATTCTGACAAATAAATACAGCCAGAACTGTCTCAGCTGATTTTACCATGGTCTAGATCTTAATAAATACGATTCTGACAAGTAAATACAGCCAGAACTGTCTTAGGTGATTTTACCATAGTCTAGATCTTAATAAATACGATTCTGACAAGTAAATACAGCCAGAACTGTCTTAGGTGATTTTACCATAGTCTAGATCTTAATAAATACGATTCTGACAAATAAATACAGCCAGAACTGTCTCAGCTGATTTTACCATAGTCTAGATCTCAATAAATATTATTCTGACAAATAAATACAGCCAGAACTGTCTTAGGTGATTTTACCATAGTCTAGATCTCAATAAATATTATTCTGACAAATAAATACTGCTAGAACTGTCTTAGGTGATTTTACCATAGTCTAGATCTTAATAAATACGATTCTGACAAATAAATACAGCCAGAACTGTCTCAGCTGATTTTACCATGGTCTAGATCTTAATAAATACGATTCTGACAAGTAAATACAGCCAGAACTGTCTTAGGTGATTTTACCATAGTCTAGATCTTAATAAATACGATTCTGACAAGTAAATACAGCCAGAACTGTCTTAGGTGATTTTACCATAGTCTAGATCTTAATAAATACGATTCTGACAAGTAAATACAGCCAGAACTGTCTTAGGTGATTTTACCATAGTCTAGATCTTAATAAATACGATTCTGACAAATAAATACAGCCAGAACTGTCTTAGGTGATTTTACCATAGTCTAGATCTTAATAAATACGATTCTGACAAATAAATACAGCCAGAACTGTCTTAGGTGATTTTACCATAGTCTAGATCTTAATAAATACGATTCTGACAAGTAAATACAGCCAGAACTGTCTTAGGTGATTTTACCATAGTCTAGATCTTAATAAATACGATTCTGACAAATAAATACAGCCAGAACTGTCTTAGGTGATTTTACCATAGTCTAGATCTTAATAAATACGATTCTGACAAATAAATACAGCCAGAACTGTCTTAGGTGATTTTACCATAGTCTAGATCTTAATAAATACGATTCTGACAAGTAAATACAGCCAGAACTGTCTTAGGTGATTTTACCATAGTCTAGATCTTAATAAATACGATTCTGACAAATAAATACAGCCAGAACTGTCTTAGGTGATTTTACCATAGTCTAGATCTTAATAAATACGATTCTGACAAGTAAATACAGCCAGAACTGTCTTAGGTGATTTTACCATAGTCTAGATCTTAATAAATACGATTCTGACAAATTTACCGTAGTCTAGTACATCTTTGGCAACATGTGATGAATAGTCCATGAATGTGGCATTCCATCTGAAGTTAAAAAAAAATCATTTATCTACTTTATCATACTTCAATCTACATTTAAAATTATATGATTGCAATTTGGCTTAATTTGATGCTACTCTCAATAAATGCTAAGTTTCAATTTTAGTGATCTGGGGTCAGGATCATAGTGTATGGATAGAAATGAAAAAAAAAAAAAAATACTTTACTCTCTTTGCCCTATTGGGCGCTGCCTCTCCAACCAAGAGCGGCAGAAACCAACTTTTCATGCAAGATTAATTCCACTTTAGCAAAGAATGCTTTGACAGAAATTTTAGGAAAATCCAATCATTCCTATAGAGTAGTATTTAAAAGAATTCTCTCTACTTCCCCTATCCACGGGCGCAGAGACCCACTTTTACTACAAAATTGGTTCCCCTTCCTCCAGCAATGCTTCTGACCAAATTTTGTTAAATCCAATCAGTCGTTCATGACAAGTAGTAATTTTCAGTAAAAAGTTGACGGTTGCTAGACACCGTACAAGCAGACACTGGATGCCACACCTTGGCATAAGCTCACCAGTCTTTTGGACCAGGGGAGCTGAAAACTTGGGACCAGTACAGCTTAACAGCAAATAAATGATATATCATATATGGTTAAAGATCACTTAAATTTAAATGTGTTTAAAAATAAGGACAGATGAACAGAGAGGACAAAAACGTTTATACTAGCATGTTTTATGTTAAGTCATGACTCATACCTTTTTGTTCCAGTCTTTGCATCAAACATTGTTATGGTGTACTCTGTAAAAAGAAATTTTAAAAAAGCATTATAAATTAAGAGATTAAGTTTTACTTCAGAACATCCTTGCAAAATAATATCCTCCAGTTAACCAAACAAAATTTGCCAACTCTGACTTGCCTTTGTGACATTAGCCTCATAAGTCATTCACAGATTCAAATTTCTATAAAAACAAAGGCTATATTAAGTGTTATCATACCAGGAGGGAATGAAGACTTATAAAGTTACACATCAACTTACCCGTTCTACCAATGTATATGATATTTTCAGCTTTTGAAGGACAGACTTTCCGAGTTCCATCCATGGACAAGGTTTGTATCTTTTGTCCTGTTACTGCATCAACTGCAATCCACGTGTCTTTTTTATGTCCTGTAAAGTATACAACACCACTGTCTATAGAAATTTGATGTTTTCATATTATTGAATTGACAACGTAGCGTATATCATTGCATCCTAAGTGAGATTCTACAGTGTTTTGACAAAAAAACAAGAGGCCAATGGGCCTTCAACTTCACCGACATATCTAAACCAAACTTAAACTGCCCTTGGTGATTTTACCCAAGGTCTGATTGACATAACACTGTAAACCGCATTTCGTTAAAATTTGTTTATCATTTATTCACCGGGTCCTATAATAATAAAACATCGAAGGGCCATAACTCTGCAAAATCCTATCAAATTGGTTCCAAGGTAAGCTAATCTGAGACCTCATTAATGTATGGCTGCATACCAAGTTTCTTTAAAGTTGGTTCACATTTATTTGTGTTATTGTTTTCTTAAGAAAAAATGACCTTGACCCAAAATTATTCCTCACTTACCATACAACAAGCAAGGACAAGCACCAACATAATGGTTCTTGTACATTGCTATTTTTCTGATAAAACAACATAACTTTTTTTAACAATTTAAAATTACCTGTATACAAGATGCCTTCATTACTTTTACAAGGGGAGGCTGTCACCAGCTGTGGGATGGTAAAGGGTAACTTCTTAATTCTTTCCATACCATCACTTAATGCATACAGAGTTCCATCCTTTGGATCTGGTAGGAAAGTCAACTTACTGAAAAACAGATCACACCAATACTATAGGACTACAAACTATAACAATTTACCTATGGTGATATGCACTTTCTGTCTCCAATACTATAGGACTACAAAATATAACATTTACCTATGGTGATATGCACTTTCTGTCTTCACACCAGTAAACATATTCATTTTAACCATGTTTCTGTAACTTCTAAGTATGCCATGAAGGATTCAGCCACATTAAAATTTTTTCAAGGATTTTGGAGAAGTTGAAAATGTAAAAAGTTCATGGACCCAGGACAGACTTCAGGAAACAATATAATCTTGGCTGCTGTGGTCAATATTCAGGGTAGTGAAGGACTATAAATATTGATAAATAAGGATCGAATGATTATCATAGTTTATAATTAAGGGAACAATCATGTATTTACCCTGCTGCTACACCAGACGGAACCTTGATGACAGGATCTGTAAACAGGCAAATAAAGGAGTTTACATGAGGGAAAACTACTGTGTAACAATGTATGTTCAAAATTCATAACTCTCTTACTCTTTACCAGAAACTTTATTTTGGAAAATATAACACTGATTATCAATGTTCAACAACTGCAAGGTGTTTACAATAACTAATTCCTTATTTATCCATAAAGTAAATGGAATTTTAAAGACATACAAACCTTCATGTAAAGTCCACAACACTTTACCAGTAACTTTACTGACAGCATGGAAGTTACCAATCAAGGTGGACACAAACAGTACAGAATCTGGGGCAGTCAGCGAATGGACCTGAATAAAAATAATTTCAACTATTTGAGTTCTTTTCAGTGAATCTCTGAGTTGTAATGAAATATTTGTAACTGCTTAGTATACACAGACCATTTATTTCAGAGTTTTTAAACAATTGTCTACATTCATGTACAACTGAAGTACTAGTTTTACTTCAATAAAGAGTGAAATGAGTTCTAACACCATAAATACCTTTTATTAAAGAGTTTTAGCATAATCTGATATTTCAGTCTATACGTTGATCAACGACATACACCTTGATGACCAATACATAAAATCAGAAATCTTCAGGAAAATAACTATTTTATGTTGTTGTAGTTCAACATATGTTCTCGGTATTAATTTAAGTAATACAATTTTAAAACCTTCATATTATGTGTAATTAACTACAGGTTTTAACTGTTGTATCTTTTGTGAATCTGTTATAATCACAAAATACAAGAAACAAGAGACTCATCTAACTATAAAGACTATTTTAGTTAAACTTAAACCATGGAAGGTTTCAGCAAAGTTTCATTGAAATCAGTTCTATGGTTTTCCATTAGTCAAATAAAAAATAAAAATATTACTGATGCACAACGGATGCCGGATAAATTAGTCACCATGAGACTTTGTCTGAACACTTTCAGGGTCTGCAGTTTTGACATGTACAACAGCTTGTCTGTGTACACACACTATGTGCATATATATAAATATATATATATTAGATTTTTTACCTTGTCTCACAGATAATATCAGAAATATTCATTAGTTACGAACGAATGTTTCTTATATTCTGATAATTTTACATACATATCACATTACAGACATAAGTACACAAATCCTCAAGTCATGTAGTTGATATTGGCATAATTTTCTTGTTTACATTACAATTAGTAACACATGTGCAGTTCACATTATAGTGAACATGTAATCGTGTGTAAATACCTATGTTACAAAAGAATTTATATCTCCAAAACTGACAAGCCCAAAACAAAGAACAACTGAATATAATACCAGAATAACTTATATTTTATGTAACATCAAAAATTTATTTTATAACAGCCACAAATATTTGTATTTCCTGCCTCTCTTCCCATCGATGTGGATTTGCCACTAATTTTGCTTTTTATTCCAAGTGATTTCTTTGCTCAGGTTTGTATAAAACGATATATAATTTATCTAAAATAGAACATTTCATCATCAATCAAGGGTATAGTGAACAGGATCATATTATTGCCTTCTACACTACTGTTTACACATTAGACATGGTCAGTCAAGTAAAACTTTACCAACAGGTGTACCAAATAACCGCTCACATCATAAAATACTGCAATCATGAGAAACAAGTAGTTTCGAGTACCTAAAAACAGGTATCAGGATATATTTGATCGATCCCATATCAATAGTAGTGCTACTTCAATTATGATGTAACAGATTAACAAAAACCAAATTAGTGGCAAAAACTGTTTAATGCAATTTGAATCTACCTTCTACTTTGAGCAAAAAGTGACCACATTAAACACACTACAAAAATTTGTTGCATAGATGGTTCATCATTGCATGAAGAACAGATATCAATTAGCTTTTGCAGTATTACGAATAATCCTCGACAAAGTCCAAAGGGTCTGACTACATGTAATTTAAATATTTTCGTCTTGGTCATTGTAAAGAAAATTGCAAGTGGATAGTCAGAACCCTTTGGACTGGCCCCGATACCAGTAGTAATAGATACACAGAAAAAAAAAGGTTTGACTACCAGTATACTGGTACAATCAGACTTGTTCAAGGTTAGGGAGAGCTCTATGAGCAATGTCTATTCAGGCAACACACCTGTGTCACTCATCCTTCTTTTGTTTAGACATACACCAACACTGAAGAAGACATACAAATGTTTTTAGTTACCACTGCAGTTGACTTTTTTTGTAATTCTCATCATTATACATGGACAATGATATTCTAACTTGCACACATAGTAATATGATGTTATGAATGAAGGACTCCTGCATAATGTCATGTATCACATGCTTGGCTGGAATTATGTGCGTTTTAAAATGCCTCTGCAAAATAAAGTCTGTTTGAAATATGGTCCCTATGTCAATCTTTGTCAAACTTAAAATTTTGTATTTTGAAAATATATATGTATATATTTAAAGTATTAAGAAATTGTTGTTTATTTTGTTGCTGTGGTATCAGAAAGACATTTTCTTTTTGTGTTTGTAAGCTTTAAAATAAAAAGAAAATTATTTTAATGATGAAAATAAGGATGAACTTCTTATTTGTCCAGTTTATCATGGGTTAACTACAACTGAACACAAGTAAACTGAATACCAGTTATGAAAAACATAACTAGAGTTCAATTGTAGTTTTCCCCAATTAACCTAAACAAAAAATAAAGTTAATTAATACTAAATAACAAATTATATTTGGACACACCGTCACAGCCATGACGACAAGACCTTCTCATTAACAGAATACTAATGGAATTAGTGGTACATAGATTTTATACAGTCTCCAACTATTTTACATATTTTTGGAACATGCACCTATGGTAAATTTACCACATGACAATTGGTATTGTACTGTTTAAGAGTGATGAAACTCTTGTCAGTTCATCGAACAGACAAACTTGTGATGTGCTATTCACCTGTTGGGTATTTCTTTCGCATGACACAGAGGCTACTGTCAGGATAATGATGGCAAACTGTTTCAAATTCATGATTACGGTACAGGTTGCATCAAATAACTCGGCATGATAAATTTCATATGTAGGTTTGGGTTTCCCAAGTCCGATCACTGTTGTTGGCGTGAAGAAGAGTTCCGCACATATGGAAAAATGAAAACACGTCGGTAAAAATCATTATTTACATTTTATAATTCAACGTAGAAAAAAATTATTTCTTATCAATTATTAAAGTTTAAAATGATATTATAAAATCTGTTTACATAAAAGTAAAATACGATAATTATTTATTTATTGCTGGTGCTAAAAAATTACGTATTATTCATCGATTGGTCAAAAATCATTTGCTGCGTAATTAAACATAAACAGGAAGTTAATAGCAGACTGCAAGGAAAAAGCTCTCGTGCTTGGTAAGAATTTGCAATTTTTGTTATTTATATGTACATTACAAATATAACATTTGAAATTGTGTGTTGATCATACCAGTGACGTAAATGCTTTGGCTATTTACGGCGTCTGGACTGTTCAAAGTACGCTAAAAAAGTAAATGCGTAGGTTTGACAGATGGCCTGAAGAACAAGTGGTCGTCAGCTGTCATTGGTCTGTGAAAGAAGCTCAAATAGATATTTGCAGCTGTTGCTCATTGATGTTACGGATCTATTGTCACAATTGTATATCGTTGACTTTCATTAATGTGTTTATCGTGGAGTGAAAATTTATCTACAGACCTATGAGAAAAATGTAATTACAATAACCACACATTGTAATTATTTAAGTGTAAATATACTGCTATTGAACATCATAATTTATGAATATGTGTAAAACAATGATTCTGTTACTATTGTACATTATTCATTAATCATGGCAAGCATAATTGCTTTTATTTTGAGAATCAGGTTTTGGTCACCGACTCTGATAATGCGATAATAATTGCAAATTCATTACATAACACCTTATATATGGACACGTGAGAGTTGATTGTCATTTACATAACAAATGCTGTTAAGTTGTGGTAATCTAACAAATTATACTTGTTTGAAGCTTGTATATAATGACACAATTTTCACATCAACAATTTGAAATCATTGCTGACAAGGAGAATTTTACTTTCAAAATAAAATGAGCTATACTTTATGAGAATTAGCTTTTAAAGTTTGGTCCGCAAGAAATATACAGGATGAGACACTGAAAAAAACTACAGCATCTGATACTTCAGTGCTTATAATGGAAGACATGAAACACTGATAAAAATATTTCACCTTACTCAGGAAGTATTACTGTATCATTATCCATAGAAAACTTTGATTTAGTGGAGACAATGAAATGATAAAATAATTACCTCTGTTAGCACTACAGTTAGACTATTTAGCTCATTTCTGTGATTGTATTAAAGACAAGTTTTTTGCATAGAATCGTTAACAATTTGAAAACTGTCCATTACTTAATGATGTTTGGATGTCTTAGTTTGCATTATATTCATAAGTGTGTATCTATCTGAGAAAGCAGATGTATGCAAATCTCTTGAAAATACATGAAGAAATATTTTTGATCATCCCTGGAAAATGGTATGGAGGAATATTTTACTTGTATAAGGAAGAAAGCTTGTTACATACATCTATGTAATTCTTCTATTCATGTTGTAGATTTTTATATTTTGCCAGATTGTTAAATGATTTATTTAATTTGTTTACAGAACAATCAGATGCCAGTTGGAAAATCAGATTGAAGGAGAATATGGCACTGAAGCGAGATTCTGTACCACCACCAAGACCTCCAGCTCCAAAAAGCTTAACTAGAAGATCAGCATCAAATAATTCCATAAAGAAAAGCTTTAAACTACTGGAGGAGGATGAAGAAGATGAAGAGGACTTGACAATTTTAACAGGAGAGTTTGACAAAAAGTTGGACAGGACTAAGGCAGATGCAAATGCCTCGAAAGGTGACAGATCAAGGGAGTCAACACCTGTGAAAACTGCAAGCTCAACTCCCCAGAATGAATCAAAAAGCCTTGGCCTGAATCAAAGATCAAGATCATTGGATGATGACAAGACATCAAGTAACGTCTCCAGAATAAAGCAGAATTTTGTTGATATATCTTCAGGACTGAAAGACAAATTAGCTAAAAAATGGGAAGAACTATCTGCAGAAATCAATTCTCCAGTAGATGTTGATCCAAATCAAAAGACAGAAGAAATAGTTGATGAAGATACCCTGAATTCAAGACTTGATGTAAAACGACTAGAAATTCAAGTGTCAGAAAGTGGCGAAGAAAATTTAATCATAGAAACAGCCAAGAACAGTACTTCGGTTGAACATATCAAAAATGAATCTGACAAGAAGGTGTTAGTTAGATCACATAGACTACCTCCTACACCAGAGGAAATGCCTGCTGATACTTCAGAGATTCATTTAGTTGAGGATTTTTACAAAACAGAACCAAATGATGTCATAACCGACACAAGTGTGCAATCAAATGAACTTCGTCAGCGAAACAATAGTAGTTTAAAGAAGATTATGAAAAACAAAGGCTCGAAGGCATCAAATTCTCCAACAGGAACACCAGTGTCAATGTCAAAGTTGATGACAAAGAATGACTCTGAAGATATTGATCAGAACATTGAAGTGTTAAGTGCAAATACAGAATTTTTTGATGCATCAGATATGGAGTTGACCTCAAGTGACCCTGTAAAGTCAGAACTCATTACTGGTAACCAGAAACCCAAAGTACCAACAGGACATGTGTCAGATTTTACTGCTGTTCCAGTGAGGAAATTAGCAGCAGGGAGTATTTTCATTTTCCTTTATTGGATCTTGCCTCTCCCATCATATTTGTCGGGAATGTTGATGGGCATATTTCTTGCCTCAGCTGGATGGGCTGTTTACTTGTGGTTAAATAAACCTCCCACCCAGAGGCCTCCAATTGAAAGGGTACCTGTGAGTAAGCTCCCACCGATGGTTGTCCCTGAAATGAAAGATGTTGTCTCAGAGGATGGAGTCTACAAGGTTCACATTATTATTTTTTTTGTAATTTTATTGTTTTTCTATAAAAATGGATGTTCAATTGTTTTTGTATAGATCTAAGATTTTCTCGTTTCAATACATGTACCAAGGAAAGATATTACAGCTTTTAGTTTAAAAATGATGAATTCAGGACAGGAAATCTTTTTAATCTGCTTTTTTAAATTTTTTTTTATTAGATATGCAGTAAATGGTTAAGAACATTATTGGAAAATACCTTAAAAAAAATGGAGCTTTTTATGTTTAGTTTTATGTTTTTTTTGCGAAGCCTTTAATTATGATTAATTATATAGAATATGGGTAAAGGGAGACACTCTTGACAAAAGCATGAGAAAATAAGTTAGTGGTGTGACATATATAGGATATACATACAGACCATACTGTGTTTTAAGAAGATGTGGTTTTATGTATCGATTTCAATGAACATTGCAATTTTAACTTTCCTGGCAATAATTCATGATGTACTAGTCTATCAGAACAAATTATGCACAGAGGGTGATGAAACATACAGTTCTGGAAAAAAACATTTTATTTGATATGTTATTAGCACAGAGATAGAGAAATAAGTGTTTTCTATGAAAAATGAAATATGATCTTAAATAATTGTTCTTTACTTTTCTTATTATATTTTATCCCATAATTTGTTTGTAAGTGTTTATGTCATTAGTGTATTATGGTGCAGTTTTATAGGCTGCATCAGTTAGAAATTGATTATGAGTCGTAATATGGACAATAAGTTGCATCATGAATTGAAAAAGGCACAACAAAATACCTGGTAGTTTCCTCAGTTTGATTTTGTCCTTCACTTTTATAAGTTTAGAACCTATCAAGGCTCGCAAAAATAAAAACTTTAAATACTATTTCATAAATTCTCATCTGAAAGGAAAATTGACTTAAGATCCTTTATTTTGTCACTTGTAAAATGTAGAAAATATGACATGGTATAACTTCAAAAGAAATCTTTGAGGACAATTAAAATTTCAGAATACTACAAAGGATATTCAGAATTATCAAGCAAGTCTTTTAGATATCAATGACCTAGTCGAACATTGCATGATTATCAAGAATTCTAAGACATTCAACACATAATATTTCTTGTTTCTGTGCAGATACATGTAAACTATGTGTAAGTTTGAATATCATCTACATGTAAATCTGGTTTATTCCATTACAGATAGAGCTCTTTTATCATAGTAGATATCTAATTGAAATACTCATCTGGTAAAATACAGTGTATACTGTTTTAATATTATCGTCTTTGTTGTTGTAGGGGTGGATGAATGAAATTCCAAGCTATGACCCTGAAAAATACCACATCAATCAAACTCATTCAATCTATGTGGATTTAGAAAGTTCAGTTTTACGTTTGCGGCGACCAAAGACAAACATTGCTAGGCGTTCAATGTGGGATGAGCCTCCCATCCAGACATCCCCTTTCATTCATCAGAGACATTACAACTTAGAAGGCAGCAAGGTGTTTCTGGTGCCTCCTGGCTTGGTGAAAAAACGCATTTGGAGTAAAAAATATCCCATCTGTATAGCCTTGGCAAGCATTGACCCAAAACATCATACAATGATGAATGAGCAAAAACTTCCTGAGACTCCAGAATCTGAGTCAGGGTTTGAAATGGTTACAGAACAAACTTGTGGAAATGGTCTTCTGTTTTTGTTTGCTAGGACTTGTAGAGAGAAAGAAGACTGGTACAAACGTTTTACTGCAGCTTCTGTAGGAAAGCCACTCCCCAGCCATCTGGGTCTCATCCGCAAGTGCATTAGAAAGTCATCTTCCCAGCAGCACCACAGCAGGAACAACAGCACTGATGGTGTTGTACAACAAAAGAGGCAAGAATCAACAGAGTCAACCTCATCAGGCTCATCATCCCCAACCAAGGAACCAGACGATGTCCCTGTGTCTAGTCAATCTAGCATGGATGACTTTATACGCTTCATGAGCAGAGTGATGCCAAAGGAAGTGAAAGACTCCCAGTCTAGTCCAACTCATGTGAAGCGAGGAATGCCTGAATATGTTAGCCCAATTGACTGTGATTTCAGTATACTCTGGCTGAATGCTCTCATCAACAGAGTTTTTTGGGACTTCCTGCATGAGCAATATTTCATCGATAAAGTCCTGGATAAGTTGCAGAGAAAATTAAGTAAAATACATGTGAGTTCAATTTTCTTTTAATATTTTACTCAATTGTCTATGGTTTCATGTATGTTTTACCTTAATAACAATTGTTTTACTTTAATTTTATTGTATTTATTAAAAAAATGTTATTTTTTCAGATTCCATATTTCATAGAGGAGCTAAAAATAACTAATATTGACCTGGGAAATGAAGTGCCCAATTTGCGTCGTGGAGCACGTCCTTACTTTGATGAGCAGGGATTCTGGGTGGATATAGACATCAACTACGAGGGAGGATTTCAGATGACAATAGAGACCAAAGTGAACCTTATGAGGCTGAAGAAGACCGCACCTGTTGACAAACATGAGACTGGGTCAGCCAGGAAGTAGGCACTTGAATTATATTTTAGATTAAATATTGTTTTGAATACTTAAAATACCATAATGTGCTTGCAATAGAACGATGACATAGAGTTTTAAATTTTAAGTTTGAACTACATGTATAGTGGTATCTTTTGAATACATGTCCGTTCAGTATGTACAGAACTTTGTTATGTTCTTCAGGTCAGCAATAACAGATGAAGATGAGGAAGACAGTGCTGAGTCGTCTAGTGATGAGGAGGAAGATGTTTCATCACCCAGTACAGAAGACGGGTATGTTATTAGAGTATAACAGAGATTGTCTAATTTGTGTAGGAACTAATGTTCATTACTTGATCATTGAAAATGATAGTGCTTGTACTAATTTTGTTATAATACATTACTGTCTACTGGAATATTTTAATGTAAGTTTATAAAATATATTTTTGTGCCAGACGTTAATTGATCATTAACTATTGTCTCTATTATGAAACCTTGTAGTGATAAAGACCAAATATTGGAGGTATTCAGTGTGCACAATGATAATTGTACTTAGTGTGATACTACTGACAAAGTTACTACAAGGATAGATTAATTAAATCCACAAGAATGTTATTTTTATTCAATCTTAAAGTATCATGCAGTAAGTATAATGTTACTTATCATACAGTTAAGTTTTACTGGTCATAAGTACAATGTTACTTATCATACAGTACAATGTTACTGGTCAGAAATACAATGTTACTTATCATACAGCACAATGTTACTGGTCAGAAATACAATGTTACTTATCCTACAGCACAATGTTACTGGTCTTCAGTACAATGTTACTACTCAGTATGATTTACCTTAAATTGTAACTGGGGAATTGTTTCTACCCTGACATTACAATGTGAATATTCAGACAGTACAATGTTACTGGTCTTCAGTACAATGTTACTACTCAGTATGATTTATGTTAAATTGTAACTGGGGAATTGTTTCTACCCTGACATTACAATGTGAATATTCAGACAGTACAATGTTACTTTTTATATAATACAATGTCACTACTCATACAGTTAGACATTACAATGTAACTTCTCATACAGTTACTCATAGAGGTAGTACAATGTTTCCTTGTTATAGTGCACGAGGAGGTAAAGCCAGCAAAAAGATTATGGGCTATCTGGGAAAGATCACACAGTCTAAATACTTCCAAAGTGCTACAGAGATAAAGTATATCAAAAAGAAGATGGAAGAGGTTTCTAACACTCCAATAGAACTGACTGTTGAAGTGAGGATACTGTCGGGGACCATGGCTATCAACATTCCTCCCCCTCCCACTGACAGACTGTGGTAAGTAAAAGTACTAACCATGACATAGATATCCACAGTGTACTGTAGACTGGTAGATGTAGGGAACAGGCTGGGACCATGGCTATCAACATTCCTCCCCCTCCCACTGACAGACTGTGGTAAGTAAAAGTACTGTCCAAGACATAGATATCCACAGTGTACTGTAGACTGGTAGATGTAGGGAACAGGCTGGGACCATGGCAGTCAACATTCCTCCCCCTCCCACTGACAGACTGTGGTAAGTAAAAGTACTGTCCAAGACATAGATATCCACAGTGTACTGTAGACTGGTAAATGTAGGGAACAGGCTGGGACCATGGCAGTCAACATTCCTCCCCCTCCCACTGACAGACTGTGGTAAGTAAAAGTACTGTCCAAGACATAGATATCCACAGTGTACTGTAGACTGGTAAATGTAGGGAACAGGCTGGGACTATGGCAGTCAACATTCTTCCCCTCCCACTGACAGACTGTGGTAAGTAAAAGTACTGTCCAAGACATAGATATCCACAGTGTACTGTAGACTGGTAAATGTAGGGAACAGGCTGGGACTATGGCAGTCAACATTCTTCCCCTCCCACTGACAGACTGTGGTAAGTAAAAGTACTGTCCAAGACATAGATATCCACAGTGTACTGTAGACTGGTAAATGTAGGGAACAGGCTGGGACTATGGCAGTCAACATTCTTCCCCTCCCACTGACAGACTGTGGTAAGTAAAAGTACTGTCCAAGACATAGATATCCACAGTGTACTGTAGACTGGTAGATGTAGGGAACAGGCTGGGACCATGGCAGTCAACATTCCTCCCCCTCCCACTGACAGACTGTGGTAAGTAAAAGTACTGTCCAAGACATAGATATCCACAGTGTACTGTAGACTGGTAGGTGTAGGGAACAGGCTGGGACCATGGCAGTCAACATTCCTCCCCCTCCCACTGACAGACTGTGGTAAGTAAAAGTACTGACCAAGACATAGATATCCACAGTGTACTGTAGACTGGTAAATGTAGGGAACAGGCTGGGACCATGGCAGTCAACATTCCTCCCCCTCCCACTGACAGACTGTGGTAAGTAAAAGTACTGTCCAAGACATAGATATCCACAGTGTACTGTAGACTGGTAGATGTAGGGAACAGGCTGGGACCACTACTGTTAACACTCCTAAACTGGACTGGTAACTTACTCCCTAAAACCATGTAAATACATATTCTACATCTGTCTCTTTTGTTTCGGTTAAAGGCACAGTCTGACCCATGATTTGTTTTCATTCTTATCCAGACCTATAGATCTAAAAGATTGGAAATAGAGATACTCCCAGTGTCCCCAATTTCTTTTCTCTGCTGATGATTGGGTTTCATATAGTGATTCAGAAACTGGAAAGTTCTCATAGAAACAAATTTACAAGGAATAATACCGGATGATGTTTTAGAATGATCTCGTGTTTGTCCTAGGTATGGGTTCAGAGGTAATCCAAAGCTACACCTGGTTGCTAAACCAAAAGTTGGAGCAAGAGAACTGACTCTCACACACATAACAGAGTGGATTGAGAAAAAGTTGTCCACAGAGTTTCAGGTAAGTTGAATTTGTTGTTTACAATGACATTAAATTCTAGGTACATGTGTGATGATGACTGAATGTTATTCTCAATAGATAAGATAAGCTAGTGTAGAACAGCTATATACATGTATATGTACATGAATTTTTTCACATAAGACTTTTAATTAGGATAGTGTTACAAATGAAATAAAATTTTGAATTGGAAGTGCTGAAATTAAGCTATTACTGAAGCTTACATATTTGGGTTTTAAATTTTTTCCATTGTCCAATATCTCAAGTGTTTTGGAAAGTATCTTTCAAAGTTAGAAATGAATTTTTTTGATAGGTCATTGTTGATTTTTTTCCAGGAATATATAGATTCACTCATAACCACAGAGTTGAAATGTGTATAAAACAAGTTCTCTGTAGTAACCACTAAAAATCATGAGTCACTGACATTTGATTTGTCACTTAATTTTAGAGCTACTCTAGTGGCTTTGTATCAGTGTTCCATGGTTCTTTAGTGGTCCATGGTTCATCAGTGGTCCATGGTTCTTTAGTGGTCCATGGTTCTTTAGTGGTCCATGGTTCTTTAGTGGTCCATGGTTCATCAGTGGTCCATGGTTAATCAGTGGTCCATGGTTAATCAGTGGTCCATGGTTCATCATTGGTCCATGGTTCTTTAGTGGTCCATGGTTCTTAGTGGTCCATGGTTCATCAGTGGTCCATGGCTCATCATTGGTCCATGGTTCATCAGTGGTCCATGGTTCATCAGTGGTCCATGGTTCATCAATGGTCCATGGTTCATCAGTGGTCCATGGTTCATCAGTGGTCCATGGTTCATCAGTGGTCCATGGTTCATCAGTGGTCCATGGTTCATCAGTGGTCCATGGTTCATCATTGGTCCATGGTTCTTTAGTGGTCCATGGTTCTTTAGTGGTCCATGGTTCATCAGTGGTTCATGGTTCATCAGTGATCCATGGTTCATCAGTGGTCCATGGTTCATCAGTGGTCCATGGTTCATCAGTGGTCCATGGTTCTTTAGTGGTCCATGGTTCTTTAGTGGTCCATGGTTCATCAGTGGTCCATGGTTCCTCAGTGGTCCATGGTTCATCAGTGGTCCATCAGTGGTCCATGGTTCATCAATGGTTCATGGTTCAACAGTGGTCCATCAGTGGTCCATGGTTCATCAATGGTCCATGGTTCATCAATGGTCCATGGTTCATCAGTGGTCCATGGTTCATCAGTGGTACATGGTTCTCTAGTGGTCCATGGTTCATCAGTAGTCCATGGTTCATCAATGGTTCATGGTTCATCAATGGTTCATGGTTCATCATTGATCCATCAGTGGTCCATGGTTCATCAATGGTTCATGGGTCATCAGTGGTCCATCAGTGGTCCATGGTTCATCAATGTTTCATGGTTCATCAGTGGTCCATCAGTGGTCCATGGTTCATCAGTGGTCCATGGTTCATCAATGGTCCATGGTTCCTCAGTGGTCCTTGGTTCATCAGTGGTCTATGATTCATCAATGGTTCATGGTTCATCAGTGGTCCATCAGTGGTCCATGGTTCATCAGTGGTCCATGGTTCATCAATGGTTCATGGTTCATCAATGGTCAATGGTTCATCAATGGTCCATGGTTCATCAGTGGTCCATGGTTCATCAGTGGTCCATGGTTCATCAATGGTTCATGGTTCATCAATGGTCAATGGTTCATCAGTGGTCCATGGTTCATCAGTGGTCCATGGTTCATCAGTGGTCCATGGTTCATCAGTGATCCATGGTCATCAGTGGTCAATGGTTCATCAGTGGTCCATGGTTCATCAGTGGTCCATGGTTCATCAGTGGTCCATGGTTCATCAGTGGTCCATGGTTCATCAATGGTCCATGGTTCATCAATGGTCAATGGTTCATCAGTGATCCATGGTCATCAGTGGTCAATGGTTCATCAATGGTCCATGGTTCATCAATGGTCAATGGTTCATCAGTGGTCCATGGTTCATCAGTGGTCCAAGGTTCATCTATGGTTCATGGTTCATCCATAACCAAATATTGTTATCACTGTTTGCAGTGGTACTGGATATATCTTTCTCATATTCAATGTAATTTTGGGACTGATTTAGAAAGCAAAATGGCTTACAGACAGCCGTCTTGGATTTTGGCAATGAAAGATCACTATTTCTTGAGAAGTATTGGATGGATCTTTCTCAAATTGCAAATGTAATTTAAAGGTAATATGGTATAAACTTTGTTTCTATTACAACAATTGCAAAACAGGTATAATAATACAATTAATGACCATTTAGTAATGGTTTAAATCATTTTACAAACATCACCTCTTTGCAAAGTCTTTTTGTGATACTGGTATATGTCGTCCTGAAAAATGGAATATGGAGCAAGTTCCTTTTCCACATGTTTCTAGGTGTGGACTCAGTGGAATTTAATGCATTTTCAGTGAAAGTATTTGTTGTTTGTGTTTTCAAACTCTGTTACTCAATGCATTTTCTGTCTGACCAACATAATGTTCTGTACAAGTTGGGCATATAATGACAGAAATCAGGTTCTTGGTTTTACAATCTAAGTTACTATAAGGTTTTACCGTTTTCACATCCTTTAATGTCAGGCAATTCCTTTCATATATGTAGGTACATGTTCTGCATCTTGATGCACAACATGTTTACTAGTTAAACATATATACATATATCTATATATGCACTTGCAGGAAAACTGCATAACCATAAATTAATTGAACAAAAGTGGAAAATATTTCCAAAAAACTTCCCATATAAATAATTTTGAAAAGGATATTAACAAACAAAAAATCACACAATTTAGAATGATAGACTAAATTTTACATCTGTTTGCCTCTATCTGTATCACCTGATTGACACAAACTGTTAAAAGGTAACATGTGGTGTGAATTTGCATGTGCAAATCTCTGACCATCATGCCAACAATTAGTGCCACATAGGGAAAATAATTTCAGCCTACTTCTAAGTGGTCAAATGGTTGAAATGATATATCTATTGCTTTGGAACGTGAAATTTTTTCAGAGCTATTTGATGGAAAAAGTGTTAAAAACTTCAAATGGTAGTTTTAGTTATCCTCTGTAAATGTCATTGTTTTGCATGTGATGGATTATATCTTACATTTAAAGTCAACCAAAGATCTCGGTCCCAGGTGGAATGTTTTATTGTCAGTATGTACATACAGTGTATGATGTTATTTTGTTGCTGAAATTAAAATCAGTTAAATTTGAAAACAAGACAACTTTGTCTCCTTGATTGACAAGAAATGATGAAAAATAATTCAGGTCAATTGTGAATTATATCTCCTTAATTGATTGACAAGTAATGATAAAGTATAAAGTACATCCAGTTCACCACATTGGAATATTTCTGGCATTAAGCCATGCCAGGTAATGAGATCAACCGTCTCATTTACATTTTGGTAGAATTACAATCAAATGCTGTATCCTGGTCCTGCAGTAGATCAACTTAAGCTGTATCATAGAGGCATGTCACACTTAATTCTACCCTGATAAGGAAAAACATATCATTCTAACCAACTTGTACAGAAAGCAGATACAACCCATTTCTATACCACCTTACACACAAAGCCTTACCCCAACGACTCCCAACAAATCCATCCTTCCTATATTATTTCCTCAATTCATTATTTATTCTCCATGGTTCTATTGATGACACAAATCTAGTTTTATCATTTCGACAAAAAGTTTTTTTTGTGTAAGTTTGGACTTGGGAATTCTTCCTTATTTTGTAAAGATCAGGATATACATGTAATAAAATGTGATAGTAGGCCATTGTTATCATGAAGCAGGAACTTCTCTACAAACTTGCCATTCATAACCTCTGTTATTTTGATCGGTTTTAGTTGGTATACCATTAATTGTCATTGAATACATGCAAGGGAAATGATATAAGCTTGAACTTTACTTTTCAAGGCTTGTATTCTGTGGGAAAATGGTATGTGTAAGCCATTTAAACAACTAGTGACTGAAATCCAATTGGTGTAGTGTGTAATCTGAGAAAGTATTGTGTCTGTTAACTTTTGTACTAGTATTTCTTACATTTATTGATCCCTGAGGAATAACGATGGTATTTAGCTGAACACTAGAAAATGTTTTACAGGCCGATGTATAATATGGTGTGATATAAAAATGATTTTTCAGTTATTATGGTGAATTAAAAAAAAAGTGAAGATAAAAATATATGTTACATATGTATGTAGAAATGTTGAATTTCATCTGTAATTTTACTCCTTTCTGTTGACAGAGAACATTTGTATACCCTAATTTGGATGACCTTGAGGTGCCAACATTTACCACATTCACTCCAAATGGTGTGGATCCTACTGGTCAGAGTGGTAGTCTGTAGTCCTAACAGACTGAGTCAGCATTAACCTACAGACATTAAATGTTATGTAGGTATGCAATATTGTGCAATATTATAGGATTTGTGATTTCTTTAGTTGTTTGTATCTATAATTTATTACTGTACATAAAATAAGTGATAATGCTTATGATTAGGCATGTTAAAAGATTGAATTCCAATAAGTGTAGGTCACTGCAATTAAGCTTTTTGTTACAAAATATGTTGATGTTATAATTAAACTTATAAACAGAGGGCCCAAAGTTTAAACAGAATTGGAAAAGAGACAATATTTATTTTGGTATATATTGTGTGTTATCATGTAACACTCAAATATTCTGTACGTTCAATCATCTGTTTTCTTCTGTTTTCAAGCAATTTTAAGTAAAATCTTAAATTCCCCATATATGTACCTGTAGGAACAAACTAAAGAATTAAAAAGGAAACCATAGTTAAATGAAAATGTAATTTATACTAGAAGCACATGTAAAGTACAATCACAATTATATGTAAATTATAATTTTGTACGATAGGTAAATGACATTAAGATGATGATTTGGTGTATAATCACTATTGCCATATCCCATTATTGTCAATTGAAAGATGTCATGATGTTGGTGCTACTGTTGATAATAGGCCATACTTCATTGTTGTTTGAATTACTGTCATGTACATAGAGAGATTCAGAAGGTCATATATATGTAGCCCAGATATACCATCTCCTAAAGCTTGTAAGGAGCTCTACATGTTCTCTATGTAGAGTGTGGAGCTGTTGTTGAATGACAATTCATGTATCCTTAACACATATTTATTTTGGAGTGACCATACTTGTTCCTTCTACACAAATTTGTTGTGGAAGGACCATACATGTTCCCTTTACACAAATATATTGTGGAAGGACCATACATGTACCCTTTACACAAATCTATTGTGGAGTGACCATACTTGTTCCTTCTACACAAATCTGTTGTGGAAGGACCATACATGTACACTTTACACATATATATTATGGAATGGCCATTACCCTGTACACATATCTATTGTGGAACAGCCATACATGTACCCTTTACACATATATATTGTGGAAGGACCATACATGTACCCTATACACAAATCTATTGTGGAACAGCCTTACATGTACCCTTTACACATATATATTGTGGAAGGACCATACATGTACCCTTTATGCAAATATATTGTGGAACGGCCTTACATGTACCCTTTACACATATATATTGTGGAAGGAACATACATGTTCCCTTTACACAAATCTGTTGTGGAAGGACCATACATACACCCTTTACACAAATCTATTGTGGAGTGACCATACTTGTTCCTTCTACACAAATCTGTTGTGGAAGGACCATACATGTACCATTTACTAATATATATTGTGGAAGGACCATACATGTATCCTTTACACAAATCTATTGTGGAGTGACCATACATGTTCCTTCTACACAAATCTGTTGTGGAAGGACCATACATGTACCCTTTACACAAATCTATTGTGGAAGGACCATACATGTACCCTTTACACAAATCTATTGTGGAGTGACCATACATGTTCCTTCTACACAAATCTATTGTGGAAGGACCATACATGTACCCTTTACACAAATCTATTGTGGAGTGACCATACATGTTCCTTCTACACAAATCTGTTGTGGAAGGACCATACATGTACCCTTTACTAATATATATTGTGGAAGGACCATACATGTACCCTTTACACAAATCTGTTGTGGAAAGACCATACATGTACCCTTTACACAAATCTATTGTGGAAGGACCATACATGTACCCTTTACACAAATCTATTGTGGAGTGACCATACATGTTCCTTCTACACAAATCTGTTGTGGAAGGACCATACATGTACCCTTTACTAATATATATTGTGGAAGGACCATACATGTACCCTTTACACAAATCTGTTGTGGAAGGACCTTACATGTACCCTTTACACAAATCTATTGTGGAAGGACCATACATGTTCCCTTTACACAAATCTATTGTGGAAGGACCATACATGTACCCTTTACACAAATCTATTGTGGAAGGACCATACATGTACCCTTTACACAAATCTATTGTGGAAGGACCATACAGGTATCCTTTACACAAATCCATTGTGGAGTGACCATGCATGTTCCTTCTTCACAAATTTGTTGTGGAAGGACCATACATGTACCCTTTACACAAATTTGTTGTGGAAGGACCATACATGTACCCTTTACACATATCTATTGTGGAAGGGCCATGCATGTATCCTTAACACAAATCTATTATGGAGTGACCATACATGAACATAGTTGTACATAAACTTGTAGCTTTAGACATTTATATAGATAACAAAGCTCATAGGAATTTTCCCTCAGTGTATTGTTGTTGTGTCAGGACTAAATTAATATAGCATTAATACAAACATCACAGAAATAATGTATTTTCATAATAAGCTTATGTGATCATTTCATCCTTCATTATAATATAGATGGAATTTCTAAGACTGGTGAATTTATACTCTCACAAATGCTTACAGTAGCAGAATTTTAACTTTAGACAGTAATTGTGTGAAATACTGTTACAGTCATCACCCTCGGCTAGACATGAATGATTGATTAGTATAGCCTCCATCTAAATGTCAGGAGTTAGAATATCAATAACTGCTCTCTCATCAATAAAACATATTAATGTGATGTACATGTTAGACATGATCAGATGTAGAGGAGAATCAAGTTTGTCCACAACTACACATCCTCACATTATTTCTCATAGAGTGAAAATGTTGTGACTTCTTGTACTTAACATAGTATTTCAAGGTAGCTCTTTTGTTTGATGTGATCTATGTCAGGATTTGTGTTTGTAAGTTTATTCATTAGCATTGCTATAGAATTGCCATAATTACAAGCTTCTTCCATATGTATGTCTGTAACAGGATAACTACACACACTCCATACAGCACTACATACAAATGTAGAAATACAGTTTCCCAAGGTGAAATTTGTCTCACGCATACTGTCGGTGTATTTTTGTTTTAACAGTAAACAGTTATGCTATGGTACAACTTCTTTTTCATGGTAAGAAACAGTGTAACTTATGTCATACAAATTAGCTACAATGTAATGGTATTTGTACAATTTAACATTACAAACATTTTACCTGTAACTTCTGGTACACAATTCAGCTACAATGTAATTTCAGTTGTGAAATTTAGATACATTGTAGCTATTGGTATGAAAATAAGCATGTAGCAGGTTCTTTACAATAGAAAACTCAGTTCTGTTTACTGGGCAATCATGTAATAACTTCATTGTAAACTAAACCTACTAAATTTTGTGATATGTATTTTTGTGAATTTTTTGCCTAGAATGTGATTGTAGATAATGCAAATTGTTTTTTATGGAAATTATTTTGGATGCACCAATCCATCACAATAATTAAAAGATGTGATTGATCTTCTTAGTACCAAAATATGTTCACAGTATGTAGATGGAAAGTGATTTTGAAACAAGATACACATAAATGTAGACCGAGATGTACCATGTTGTTAAAACTGATGCTTCATCACACATGATTGTACTTGTGTATGATGTCAATGATATCTTTGTGTTATTTTTAAAACTATATTGTAAAACATGTAACTAGGGAACTGACTTCCATAAGTAGCCTGCTGGTACCTTAAATACTATACTAAGGATACATGTATTTATAGAACATGTAACTAGGGAACTGACTTCCATAAGTAGTCTGCTGGTACCTTAAATACTATACTAAGGATACATGTATTTATAGAACATGTAACTAGGGAACTGACTTCCATAAGTAGTCTGCTGGTACCTTAAATACTATACTAAGGATACATGTATTTATAGAACATGTAACTAGGGAACTGAAATCCTTCAGTAGACTGCTAGTACTGTAACTACTATACTAAAGATACATGTATTTATAGAACATGTAACTAGAGAACTGAAACTATTCAGTAGACTGCTAGTACTGTAACTACTATACTAAGGATACATGTATTTATAGAACATGTAACTAGGGAACTGAAACTATTCAGTAGACTGCTAGAACTGTAACTACTATACTAAAGATACATGTATTTATAGAACATGTAACTAGGAAACTGACTTCCATAAGTAGTCTGCTGGTACCTTAAATACTATACTAAGGATACATGTATTTATAGAACATGTAACTAGGGAACTGACTTCCATAAGTAGCCTGCTGGTACCTTAAATACTATACTAAGGATACATGTATTTATAGAACATATAACTAGGGAACTGAAACTATTCAGTAGACTGCTAGTACTGTAACTACTATACTAAGGATACATGTATTTATAGAACATGTAACTAGGGAACTGACTTCCATAAGTAGTCTGCTGGTACCTTAAATACTATACTAAGGATACATGTATTTATAGAACATGTAACTAGGGAACTGACTTCCATAAGTAGTCTGCTGGTACCTTAAATACTATAATAAGGATACATGTATTTATAGAACATGTAACTAGGGAACTGACTTCCATAAGTAGCCTGCTGGTACCTTAAATACTATACTAAGGATACATGTATTTATAGAACATGTAACTAGAGAACTGAAACTATTCAGTAGACTGCTAGTACTGTAACTACTATACTAAGGATACATGTATTTATAGAACATGTAACTAGGGAACTGAAACTATTCAGTAGACTGCTAGTACTGTAACTACTATACTAAGGATACATTTATTTATAGAACATGTTACTAGGGAACTGAAACTATTCAGTAGACTGTTAGTACTGTAACTACTATACTAAGGATACATTTATTTATAGAACATGTAACTAGGGAACTGAAACTATTCAGTTGACTGCTAGTACTGTAACTACTTTACTAAGGATACATGTGTTTATAGAACATGTAACTAGGGAACTGGCTTCCCTAAGTAGTCTGCTGGTACCTTAAATACTATACTAAGGATACATGTATTTATAGAACATGTAACT